TATTACTTCTAAGTACTTCTATAGTTCTACTTTTTTATAAAGTAATAGGGGTTATTTACTAGCTATTAAAATATTTCTTTTCTTTAGATACTAATCTATACTATCTTTTTCTAACTTATATATAAAATAGAGGTTATTAGTATAACTAGTCTATAATATAGCTATATAAGGTACTTCTTCCTTTTCTATAGTAAAGTTCCCTTATCTTAGTACCGGGTCTTTAATCTAACTTTTCTTATTCTTATTTTTCGGATATTCGCGTATATAGTATCTCTTTTTCTTATAGTAGAGATACTTACCTTTCTTCTTTAGTTACTCCTTTTCTTTATTAGATAGTTATTTTATCTATAAGGCGCTAAGCTCTATAGGTATAGGTCTATTATAGAATTCCTTATATAAGTAGTTTAGGGCTTTATTAATATAGCTCTTTCTTATATCTTATTTAAGTATAGATTAAAAGACCTTCTTCCCTCTTTTCTCGTAGTATGTCTTATATAGTAAGTTATTAATCTAGACTATAAGCTTAATATACTCCTAGAGATTAGTAGAATAGTCTCTCTCTCTAGAGATTTCGTCCTTAATATTATTATATAATCTAGTATAGAACTAGAGAATTAGGGGTTTATTATTCTATTCTAGCTAACTAGAGATTTATTAGAACTTTAAAGTATAGTTAGACACGGATTTTATCTAGACTATTTACTAGATCCGTCTCTTAGCTATTCTTTATTTATCTATATCTCTAAAAGTTATCTTAATATATTCCTTAAATTCTTTAAAGTATTTAAAGACCTTAGTAGTATTATTCTATTAATTCTATAGATTATTTTCTATAAAGTCCCTTAAATAGGGCTTAAACTATATAAGTATATCTCCCTTTAGTAGTCTAGTAGTAAATATAACTTATTCTTCTAGGTTCTAAATTTAATAGGCCTAGAGGTATATTCTAATCTATATTAGAAATCCTTAGAGTTTACTTCGCTTATCTTTAAAAGATTCTAGGATTTTTCTTTTAAAGCTCTCTTTAGCTTTTCTAAGTTTAACGTTTTCCCTCTAGAGCTCTACGACTTACTCCCCTAGTTCTATAATAAGATATTTAACTTATTCTATAGTTAGTACTTATAGGGTAGTTCACGAAGATAAGGATTATCTATTATTTACTATTTTATATTTAAATAGATAGCGTGAATACTTACTTTAGAGTCTAAGATAAGTAATTAAACTATAATAAACCTTCCTTAATAAGGGTACGGCTTATCCCTAAAGTAGTCTATTCTATAGAGTATTCTAGCTTTTCTAAAGGTAAAGATTCTTAGAAGGCTCTAAGAGATATAAGTGTAAAAAGGGCAGGTATAAATAGATATATAATATTCCTTATATAAGGAATATATATCTAAATAGAGTTATATAATAGGATCTAGCCGTAATAGACTATTATATAATAAACGGATCGGCGGAGTATAGCTTAAAGATAATAAGAATATAGTATAATTCTTAAAGTAAAGACTAGATAGAGAGAGAACTAAATACATAGAGAGACCGTTCCTTATATATTCCTCCTTATACATTCTAGATCCTTCTCTTAATTAATAATAGAAATCTTCTAGACCTCTAGACGTACGTATACATTCTATAGCTCTAGTAGTTTCCTTAGAATAGAATAGAGTAGAGTAGAACTCTATAGAACTTATAGACTCTATAGTAGAACCTAATAGAACTCTATAGAAGTTCGTGTTTCTAAAGACCTCTAGAAGTTTCTAGAGGGTTCTAGAAACTTCTATAAGAGTATAGAGTATTTATATATATAAGTAGATAATATTAGTAATATTAATTACTAATATTAAGCTATTCCTAATAAGGAAGTATCTTATATAAACTTATTAGATATAGTAGAGGTTAAGTTTATAATAAGTAGGTTTATAGTAAGTATTAATAGGGTATAAATAGTAACTAGCTAGTAGGCGAGTAAAGTAGTAATTATATTAGTATAAGTTTAAATTAATTACTATAGAACTATCTCTAGAGGTTAGGTCTAAGGGATCTATATAGTTCTACTAAGGTCCTCTAATTAGAATACTTATTCTAAGTATTTAGTATATTACTTAGAATACTAATATTCTATTTCTAATTACTAGGTAGATTACTTAGAATACCTATTCTAAGTACCTATAATTAGCTCTTTCTATAGGTATCTATCTCGGCCTTAGGTTACTACCTAAGGCTATCTATTATATTATAGGTATCTCTTCTATATACTATACTATCTCTTACGCTACTCGTGCTAGAGTCTACGTATCCTTCTATGGCTCTAGCTAGTAATTTATTATAGTTCTAGATAAATCTAATTTTATTACTATCGTTTATAAATAGATAGAAGAATTAGCTATATTAATAAGTCTATATATAGAAACTCTTTCTACTTTTACTATTAAAGTAAGATAGTTTCTTAGGTTAGAGTAATTAAGATAGTAGTAGACTAGAATAGACTATTTTAGTTAGTATAGATCTATATAAATATAGATTAGTTATTACTAGAACTAAAGCGCGTAATATAGCTTTAAGTCTTATAATATATCCTTAAGCTTTATTAAGTTTACGTAGTTATTACTTAAGTTAAGTCTAATATTACCTCTCTTTATATAGTCTAGTATATATATTATTATAAGATATAGTTAACGTTAGACGATTCTAATAGATTAAGTTATTAATATTAATAGGGTCTAGTCTTATATTAAGGTTAGATCTAGTATAGTTTAAACTAGACTAAGATAGAGTATAGTAGACTCTATTCTTATATTCTATAATATCTTCTATAGTTATACGGAATATTATATAAGTTATTAGTATAATAGTCTATAAGGTATAGTTATTAGTAGAGGTAGTTATAGATAGACTATTCTTCTTATTTAAGTAGAGAGAAGGTCTACTATAAGAGGTGGTACTACGAGTATTATAATAAGTAGTTAGAGCTATTTCTATAAACTATTATTATACTATATAAAGAGAAATTAAAATATAAGGATTATAGACATAGAATAGTAGTCTAATAGGTTATAGAAGGATTTAGAAATATATTTAAAAGGGTAGTCTACTCTTATAATAAGGTTAATTTCTAAAGAGTAGAAATTAAGTATATATAGTCTACTTATATAGTACTCTCGCTTAATCTAGCTAACTTAACCTAGATCTATCTATTATAAGACCGTACTAGACTATAGTAGTCTAGTTAAGTCTATTCTAGTATTAGTTCTAATACTAATTTATATAGATTATTATAGATTATTATTATTACTAGCTATATATAGTATAAAAATTAGTAAACTATATAAATTATACTAAAACTATAGTAAATCTATATAAATCTATATCTATAAGAATTAGATAATATATCTAATAATCTAAAAAACTCTATAATAAGTTATAAAGTTTTTTAAAGAAAGAAATATTTCTTAGAAAAGATTTAAATATAGATAGTATCTAGACTTATCTAATTATATTACGTAATACGCTAGGTCTAATTAGGTAATTCTATCTATATAAAAATTTAGAATAGATAAAATCTAGTTTATTAGAAAAACGCTTATATAATTCTTAGATTAGTAGATATCTATATATATCTAAGATAAAGTATAGAGAACGACTAAGGTCTTATAAGACTTAGAATAGAAATATAGAGATAGATAATAATCTAGATTACTAAGGGTAGCTTCCTAAAGAAAGAGGATAATTATTAGAACTTAGTCTTAGATATAACCTAATCTATATATATCTTAGCTAATATAGTTAGAAGGTAGCGTAAAGGATAGTAAATAGTTATATACTAGATAGATTAGCGTCTCTTTATATATATACTCTTAGATTTCTACTAAAAGGGTTTAATAGTAATTTATTCTATAATAGAATATACTCTATTATTCTATCTAACTATACTACTATCTAATAACTCTATTCTTATATTCTTAGTAGACTAGCCTTAATTTAGTCTAGTCTAGACTCTAGACTTACTTCTAGTATCTATTTTACTTCTATAGTAAGCTTTTTAATATTCTAGACTAGACTCTAGAAGATATTAAGAAGAGTAGTCTCTTCTTTCTTAATCTCTCTCTCTATATATACTATCTAGTATTTAATCTTATCTATAAGAGTATCTCTAAGTAGAGTTCTCTTTATCTTAGTTATCTATAGTATTTTATACTCTTAGTTATTTTTTATTTTTTAGATAGTAGATTAGTTATTCTAGAATATACTACTATATAGCTATTTCTATTATACTAATAGTAGGGGTATACCTAGTAGAAGCTAGGGTATATTAGTATCTAAGACTACTATAATTATTAGTTAAGGGCTATCCTTAACTAATAAAAGAGAGTTAGTATATTAGTATTTATTAGTAGTAGTCTATACTTATTACTCTAAAGAGTTTTTAAGTATATATATATAGTATCTCTATATATTAGTACCATTATATATTATATACTATATATATATATATATATATATATTAAAGGTTATTATACTTAGTATACTCTATAAATTAATATATATAGATTACTATATCGCTCTAAATTAACTAGTTTTAGTCCCTTAGAGTGTAAGAAGTTTTTTTAGATAGATAGTAGGGTAAAAAGTATATAAAAATACTTATTATAGATAGAGCTATAAAACTAGTAACTAGATTTTTAAATTAGACTCTAGTTAATTTAATATATAGTAAAAGATGAATTTTTGGACGTGATTTTAGTAAGGGCGTTAGCGGAGCTAGATAAAACATTATATCTTTTTATAATTCCCTTGGAATTTAACGTATTTCATGACGTTACGGCTACTATGTACGATAATATTTAAAGAGCTTATTTACTATGGAACAACGTTATATCGCGCACGAGCGTGCATGCCAAGAGTTGTACTGAAAAAGTTTCGGACGGATGTTTAACAATAACTCCTAAGTAAGAAAGTCTTTGTTCTAAGCTGGCTATGATAGTCTATTAGACCTATGCATATTATATAACCTTCTCTACTTCTATTACACTCTCGGAAATACCGTCAGATGCAGGGTACGTTGCGGCGATTTTTAGACCAGCTCGTTCGATTAGTGTCTTCCACTGTCGCTCGCTTCGCTCGCCGACCGCCAGGAGCGACATCATGTTCATATCTTGAGTTGATGCCCAGACGCTTGAACCAGTCTCGGGGATACATATCTCATGTACTATGAGCTTCGAATAGCCTGGAGTCATTACGTCTGCTAAATGCTTTAACAGCTCCACATTCTTCTCGTCGGGAAAGTCATGCATAACTTACCTGAGATAATATGCGCGAGCACCTGGACGGTGTTAGCAAGTGATCTCGACATGTGCTGTCATGGGACATAGGTTGGACAGGAAGTACCTCTGGTGACCTCGGGCTGAGATGTGAAAATGTCATGAGCCAAGTGTTCAATATCCAACTCCGGCCTTTTTGGTGCTTTCGCGATCACGTCAGGCGTATCTTGTACATAGAGCTTCCCTGGAAGCTCCTTGAATGCCTCTTTGAGAGCGACGGTACGTTGTCCGAAGTTTCCGCCAACGTCGACGAGCATGGCGGTGTCTCGCGCGGCCTGATAACCATCAATCAAGGCTTGCACTGGATATTGACGGAAGAATTGAGTACTGCCTTGAGCGAGTCCCGTGATTAAGATGCTGAATCCAGCTCCACTTTGAACTCCTCTTGCGGCCTGTTCTCCGAAAATCTCATAAAGAGATTTTCCCTTGACGTCAAACGCGTGCTGTACTGCAGTATCCAGTGCGTTGCTCGGGTTTAAATAGCCTGACGAGCTAAGAAAGCCCGGTAAAGCCTCATAGGTCTTCTTCATGAAGATTGCGCTATCAATGTGTTAACGGTAGGCAAGCGTGTACCTCTGAGTCGAGTCTTCTTACCTATCTCCCAGCCCAACTTCAGCGAATTTGGCAAACGAAGGGCTCAGCGCATACTGATTTGTGGTCCTTTCTTTCACTGCGCCATGTGCCACCAGACCTTTGAGGATGCGACCTAGGGGCGTTATTTGCTCGTGCTCTTAGTAGCAAGACCTCTACGACTTACCGAGGAGTACATCATCGACTTTTACTATCTCGGCAAGTTCCTCTGACTTCCACGGTGTTGGTCGACTAGCAAGAAGAGGGAAGAGTTTGAGGTCCCAGGCAACGTTGAAATATGCATGCTCTGCAGGCTGTATAGCGTCGTCTGTCAGCATAGAAGGTATGTCTAGAGCAATGCTGCAAAAGGGGAGGGCCGGTATACCTGATTACAAATGACACGCGCCAGCATATCGGCGGGCTGCTCAATTGCCCGGCTAAGTGCTGTGCTTGCATCATAAAGGCGAGAGTGTAGCTCCGGGTTATCTTTTAGTCCGGCTGGACTCCTCGTGAAAGCTTCAATGTGAGCTACGAGCTCTGCTGGGGTAATCGAAGAAGACATGCTGTTGAGTAGACGAGAGAACCAAGGTCTGCGAATTAAGAGGAAGAAGAGGAAGAAGAGGAAGAAACAAGACTAATGAGCTCAGATGCCCGGGGAGAGTAGGGTCGTAACGTGTCACAGGACCTACGCTGATTTTGGCATCCCTTGAGTCGCGGGCGGTTAGCATCATATGAATGCATTTGGGGCAGGGCCCCGTGTCCTCGACATATAACATCCAACCACAGGTACATGCTATTCTGCTCTCGTACGTAGTGATATGGCACTAACGATGGCTTTCGGTTGGTTGCAGTTTTACGCCAATATACATGGGTCTGACCGGCTTCGTGATGCATGTGCATACCGTGACAACTGTGCCACCAAAGAATACAAGGAGGTCCTGGCCGTGTCACGATTATTCAGCCCGAGGCATTCATCCACCGTGCCTCTCTTGGCGCTTTTGGCTCGTCGCACATACTACGTACGTATATTGAGAATCTACGACCCTCTCTTAGCTACCTGACGATGTACTCTATACAGTATTAAAATGTCGTCCTTCTGCTTCCTACCCTATCACGTGCTCTCTATGTGGCCCATAAAAGGCCCACTGAAGGCCGATCAAGCTCGACTGAGCAAAAAACCTCCATGCTAGAAGCTTTGGAAAACTGCTTCTGGATCGTAGGCCGCAGCAACATCTTCAAGCCTCTAGAACGTCCCCGATCTGTAGCTTTTCAGTGAGCCGTTCATTTTGAAGTCTTTCCTTCGGGGCATACCTGAGAGGAGTCTTTTCTGGACCAAGCCCGATTGCCGCCGCCAGCAATGCTACTGTGCCATTTGTCGGAGGCGCAAATGCCATGACTGGATCCAGTTTCCGGAAAGGCTCATTGGCTGTAGGCCACTCTGTCCATTCTGCATAGAAGAGACCAGTGTACAGACCAGTGGGATTGAAATTCAGGAAGAAGCCCAATTTAGGATCCGCCTCCATGTACGCGTGCAGTTGTTCAACGCCCTCCAATGCCATGCTGGTTTCATTGTGAGTGTACATGACGAGAGAGTACCAGATCTGATGTAACGGAACCGTATATAGGTCAACCCGAGTTATAACTCCTGCATTGGTCTATCGTCAGTCTTTGAAGAATGCAAGTGGGGTATCGTACCGTAATTATTACCACCACCTCTCAGCAAAGAAGAGATCAGGGTTCTCGTCAGCATTAGCAGTGATAACAGTCGAGTTGGACAAAACAACCTGTGTCGGTGATCAGGCACGTTGCTGTCGAGAGAAAGTCATACTTACTTCGAATTCCTTCACGTTGTCATAGGCTAATCCGTATAGGTTCCCGAAGTATGGCATGCCTCCTAGAAGATATGAGTACAGATCACATCAGGTCGAATCAATCTCACCTCCCAGAATAACGCCGGCGACACCCACATCGCCATCTCTTCCTCCGATAGCACTGACATTATATTTGTCCGTTGCGTTATATACATCTATAAAACTCGCACCTAGTCCAGTACTAACAATCCCTCTAGATACATCGACTGATACTTTATCGCCGGCAGCTTCGAGGTCTATTAAGACTCCGTTTTCTATGCTCGCGAATCTGGGATTTGGGTTGTGCCCCCTGTTTCGGATAGCAAATTTGGACTGGGTGCAAGTCGCAACCTTGAGTGCCGCCAGCACCTCAGTTGTTGTTTGAACTTGAACAAAGCAAGAAGCGGGAAGCCAACAAGTTTGGGACCTTGTACATGTGAGACTCTTTCATTCATCTCGGGAGAGTTTTTACCAGTTCACATCTGTTTCAGGGGTATAAGAAGGGTTTCCAGAGCTTATAGTGCGGTTTCCAAACAATGTCTGGAATATCTTGCACGCAGCTGTGCTCTCACCAGTAGTACCTAACGTCTCCTCGGCGCCATCAATGATTGAAGCGCTTCTCTTGATAGTGGCAACGAGTCGCGAAGAAGCGCCTGATTCGAGATTGGGGCTATATGCCGGGATACTGTTCAGAAGCTGGGTCGAGAGAGGATCCCCAATATGCTCTTCCTCCTTCCCAAGTTCGTAACCCACTCTAGATCCACGGTGGGCGGAAACTGAAGTGCAAATTGCAAAGTTTAAAGTTCGCGATGAGGTCGGCACGTAGTTTATGCTAGCCATGTTACTACCTGATGCAAGACCCTCCATCTAACACTATCTAACATTCCTTTTTTTGAGATGCATCCATCCAACCTGAGTCGCCCTAAGAGAAACCAGACGCCTCCACTCCTTTCCTTACACCTATCAAAATGATAGTTCTACTCGTCTCTGTATTCCCTCGGCCTCTTCGATACTCCCCTATCGGGACGTGTTCGGAGCGGTGTGTCCCCTGCGTCAACAGCCGATTGACTTAAAAATAAAGTAAACATGTCCATCCAAACTGTCCCGTGCCATTCAAGACAATCTGCATCGCGGTGTCAATTTTCTGCTACTCATACATGAACCAAGCGTGTTTCCCAATTTCCGCAGCAGTGAGACGACGGCTAGGCTGAAAAACCAGGACGCTTTCGAGCAGTTGGAGAAAAATGGTGTGCTGATCTTGCAAGAGCTCCGGTACGTGTTTACGAATTTGGGAGTCCAAGGTGCACTCTCGCTTGATCTGGTCATCAAACCACCGGTGTTTTCCTTCTATGTTCGCTAGTAGTCTTTCTTTATCGCAATATGATTCTTGCCATTCTTCTGGTAGGGCTCCAATTGTTTCAGTGGCCATTGCCAACGCCTCCTCGTGGGAACCAAATGCTGTGAGGATTAGCGCCCGAAACGTGTAAATCTCGAACATAAGACAACCAAGAGCCCAGAGGTCAACAGCATAGGAAGGGGGGTACCCGAACTGCATCTCCGGGCTCGAGAATGACACAGGGGTTCCAAGCCCTTCAGGTACGTTGTTTCCGAAGAACGCTTCACCGAAGTCGGTTATAAGAACGTTACCAGACAGTTGTTCTATGTCGAGGCGAGAGTAGTTAAGCGCTTCGACAACATTAGTAGGAGCGAATCCTGGTGCAGGCGTGCCATCGAGGAGTAGGAGCGGAGTCGTCCTAGGCGGTTCCAAATAACGATAAATCTCATCTGCTGTCCACTCTCGAAGACCTTTAATTTCGAAAAGCACGTTGGAATCTGTGAGATCTGGATTCTAATAAGTCAAGGGAATTTCATTCAAACCCGGGATATAGCGCTGACCGCCGTGGCATATACCGGCTGAGTGAAGGGCTGCAAGGCCTTCAGCTAGGTTTTGGGAGGCGACTTTTTGAAATGAAAGTGGAGGTCGTTTGCAGTACATGCTTAAATGACTGAGGCTCGGCCCGCCAATATCTAATACCAAACATTGATGAACCCCATTGGGCCCGCAAATTGTAAATGTTTCGTAGAGGTTTGTGATTTGAGCGCTGGCTGCAGAATTTTTAAGATGCTTTAAGACATTCACCTCATGATCCGATGCGTCTGCTCTGAGGACTTTGAGCGCAACATTTCGATTTTCCTCCAAATCCCGCGCCAGCCAGACGAGTGCGAAGCCTCCGTTTCCCAGTTTGTGAATGATTTTGAACTTTTGCCCAATCATATCGTTCAGGTCAATAGGGTGATGCCCACCAGGTCGATACATATTCACATCCTCGACATGGTCAAAGGCTGGACTCCGGAACAGCGACCGCTGCAGGCGTGAGGAGGATGGCGGCGGGGGTGGCGGTGGCGGCGGTGGCGAGTTTCCAGCATTTTCAGGAGTCATATTCGATGGATGAACGGGTATGAAGCAGAAAGGATCCTTGATGCTCTGAACTGGGGACTTGTTGCTTTGTATCAAGCGCGATCAAAGGATGAGAAGCGGCACGGTTTGATGCAGCCTGCAGGCGGGAGTGTCAATGGACTAGCGTACTCCGATCGGGCATAAATAGAAATTATAGTTATCTCTATTTAAGTCTCTTTCTCTCGATTCTTTCTAAGATATCTACTATTTGAAGATTTTCTAGTATAACTTATCTCTTTACTCTTTTACGCTCTATTCTTTTTATATAAAGTAAGAGTCTATATGGAAGTATAACTACATAACTCTCTAGAGTCTTAGTTCTAGAGTTGTTATAGAAATATAATTCCTTTTAAAAGCGGGGTGTGGGTAAAAAAACACGTGTAACACGTGCCAAGAGTTACGGATCCATCCCGATCTAGCGCAAAACCGAACCTCAATCGGCAGGGTGGCATAAATATCAAATGTACAAAGAAACAGTTTTCATAATAGCACGCAGATTCCATCAACCCGCCTCTGGGATCTTTCCTCGCACAATAATATAACACTCCGAGCACCCCAGCATGACGTTACCATCATGTCCGCTTTGGATAGCAGGTGAGGAGCGCATTACGCGACTCGGTGAACAGTTAGTCTTGCATTCACGGTGGCCCAAACCTCACTCACGACAACTTGCATGTAGAATACCAGTCGAAGATCCAGCAACCGGAGATATTATAGCTTCGTACGTCATGTCGTCAGCTTATTCTCAGCAGTGGCAAGCTCACATTCACAGCTGTAATGGAGCATCCTCGGAAGACGTCAACGAGGCTGTGAGAGTTGCGCACGAATGTTTCAAGTCAGGTATCTGGTCGAAATCGTCGCGGGACCATAGAGCTCAAGTGCTTGAGCGGGCTGCAGATCTCTTGAATCAACGTCTGCCCAGTCTGATCTTACTTGAGTCAAGACAAACTGGTAGAGCCATTCGTGAGATGAAAGCGCAAGTTCCATCTCTGGTGCGATGGTTCAAATACTACGCAGCATTAATTAAGACCGAAGAGCGTTCTGTCCTGCCCACCACCGGGAAGTTACACAACTGGATCGACAGAAAGCCCCTTGGCGTTGTCGCCCAGATCGCGCCCTTCAACCATCCATTACTAATCGCTGTGAAGAAGATTGCCCCGGCTTTAGCGGCAGGCAATAGTGTCATTCTGAAACCATCCGAACTCACTCCTCTGACCTCAATCGAACTTGGAAAGATACTGCAAGAGGCTGGTCTGCCACATGGTGCATTCTCTGTACTTACAGGCTATGGTCATACCACTGGAAAAGCACTTGTTGAGCACCCACTCATCAAAAAAGTAGACATTACAGGTGGAACTCCAGCTGGGCGCATGGTAGGTGCCATCGCCGGTCGTAATCTGGCATCATTCACTGCTGAGCTCGGCGGTAAGGCACCAGTTGTGATCTTTGAAAAGGCCGATATAGATACGGCAGTGAACGGTATAGTTTTCGCGTCGTTTATTGCCTCTGGTCAAACCTGCATTGCTGCTACTCGTATTCTTGTCGAGAAAACCATTTTGAAAGAAGTGCTCAGCAAGCTCAAGACGAAGACAAGGTCAATTGCCCAACGTATAGGCTCACCTCAAAACCCAGAATCGACAATGGGGCCGTTAATTTCAGCAAAACAGCTTTCCATTGTGGAAGACCTCGTTGATGACGCTGTGCGGAATGGTGTTTCAGTTATAGCTGGGGCAAAGAGACTGTCCGGGACGTCTGAACTTGATGGAACGGACTTTTCAAAAGGTTATTTTTACCCACCAACGATACTTACAGATAGTATAAGTTGTAACATTGTCGACACCCGCATTTGGAGGGAAGAGGCATTTGGACCCGTGATTGTTGTCATTGGGTTCGAAGGGGAGGAAGAGGCGCTCAGGCTTGCGAACGATAGCGAGTTTGGCCTGGGGGCTGCTATCTGGACTGAAGATTTATCCCAAGCTTTCCGCTTATCAAACGACATCGACGCAGGTATCTGCTGGAGTCAGTGTCATTGTCTCGCTCTTGATGCTCTCCTGTCATGCTAATCCATCGAACAGTTAATACGCACCATCGGAACGATCCAAGCAGCCCTTGGGGCGGGGTTAAGAACTCGGGTGTGGGTGTTGAGAATGGTGTTGGTAAGTCGTCTAGGAGGACATACATGAATGAATGGGTAAATGCAACTAATGGTGTTTGTTTCAGATGCATACCATGCCTATACCACAACCAAAAGTACTATTATCAACTACGCGACTACGGTTGAAAGACTCTCTTCAGATGACTGGTTCAGCGAAGCGAAAGCAGAAGCACGGTATGGCTAATTAAAGACCAAGATACAAATACGATTGGACACATGCCAGGCGCCACTCATGTACATCCACTAATAGGTCTCTGTCATTTACCCTGAATCATTACATACGTTGCACGGAACGTCCTATAAAGTACCTCTGGGTTTACGTGAATCACCTAGGGTCATGTGAGGGAACGATTTAAACCCCTTCAATACACCGAACAGTCTCGTGTTTAGACGTTAGTGTGGCATGTTTATGGCTTCGAGTGATATAAAGGTGAAGCAAGCTGTTGTTCCCGCTTCATGGTCTGGTAAGTTCCCCAGAACATACTACGATGGCTTTTCCGTAGCTGCAATCGTGTCCTACCGCACGTCAATCTATTTACGCGGGCCTTGGATAGAGCACATCTCATTTGGAAAAAGGTTCCTAATGCGAAGCAGTAGAGCAAAGGAAGAGGTCAATGATTCGATGGAGCGAACATATACTCAAGCATGTCCGACTAAATCATTACGCTCTTCAACCTCTGTGCTTCGTGGTCAGCCCTCAGGACGCCTATCAACTCTTGACCGAACGTCAAGTGAGCCTTTTCCATACTCTCCCGACCAAATAAACGAGAACATAGACACATTCACGCACATAGCATTTTGTTGCTCGCGCTTCACCGGCATCCATAGCCCTTCACCACGTTTTCGGAAACTAGGTGTCAAGCCGAATGCTAGTATACAGATCAGTGCGCGGCATTTGTTAGGCTGACAGTGCAAAGGAGCCCTAGGTAAGGGGTTTTACAAGACTAGCAGCTAGGGGCGAGGCGCCTAATGTGCATCGAGAGCAAGTATTTGCCTGTTTGAAGTTGATAGTAAGCGGGCTTACTTTAAACACAGTCTTGGAGCATCGCCTCGAAACGAATAGTGTGAATGATCTAGCGCTTAGCAGACCCTCAAACCACAGCATTCGACGCTGCCGCCATGCACAACAACCTCGCGTCCGAAGTACATTCTGGCAACGTCCGACACGAATTCCACACTATTGGTACTCCAAACATCCAATCCCATGCGTCCAATGTCGTCTGTACCAATGTGAATTACCTCTTTATCGTCCACTTCACTCTCACCCGTTGTGTTCTCATCTGCGTCCTCAATGATGTCCACAAGTGTTGATACCAACTGACCTGTAAGACGATGGAAGTACGCGATGATCCCAGTATGAAGGCCAGCATCCTCAGCATGTATACCTGCATGACTGGAAGAAATGCTCCTCGATTTGCCATTGCTATTGGCACGAGTGATTCCAGGCTTCATTGGTACATGGTCCACGAGATGTCCTATAATGTGCCTTTCTTTCTCGTCTTCTTCGGCTAAAGCAGTATCGTGTTCACCAGCTGATGCCCACCACATGAAACCGGAGTAGGCTAACTGACTCCAGGTCATAGGTTCGATCAGATTTTCATCATAGCCAGGGTCGTCCATTGATGATTCTCTTGATGTGGCAGACTGAAGAATTGAGCGTGAGTAATCGTCTTCGGGGTCTTCGCTATCATTTTCATCATCGTCGCCATCTTCATATGTCGTTACTGAATCGCGGATCTTGGTAAATTCACTGTGAAGTAAGTTCCACCGACGAAGATCTCGTTGCGTAGCCTTGATAACAGAGCCATCAGCTGTCCTGATTATCGGCCACCCTCTTTGTTCTGGTACGTGTTCGGAAACCGGAGGCAACTCAACCATAATATCGTACAGCTCTTTCTTCAGCGCAAGTATTTCGTCGGTTGTGCATGCGAGGAATCCAAACGGTCCGTAGGTGTGGTCACCTTCATCTGCTGGCCGCTCTCTCATGGCTTCCCTTATCGCTGTAGCCTCTCTCTCTAGTAACGGTATGTCATGAATGCCAATCTGAAAAAGAGGTCGTATCCTCTGCAGTCTTTCTGTATCTTGCGAGAGTAATTCTGAGAGAGACGAAGGCATGTTGGAAAGTATAGATATATCAAAGACTTAGATCTTGTTAGTTGAGGTTTAGTAGTAAGTGGCAGTAACGTACCAAACTCGCATGCTCGCTTTACAGGTGGAGCCGTCATGAGCACTATCCGTTTCCTTAGCAATGCTACTCTCCACAGAGGAAATATGAGGGGCCCAAAAGTGTCCACAAATTCCATCATAGACAAAGCAGGGTGAAATAAAGGAAGTGTCTTGTCGTCAGTAATGACGTTGATCAGGTTCGATAACGCTCGTCTTCGGCTATGCTGTTTTGGCGAAGTGTTTCCAAGACTCCCATTAGATATCTCTGTAACATGTGCTTCGTCCTCGACATACGCCTTGTGTTCCTCCCAAAATTGTTCGAGAATGTCTGTTCGTAAACAATCGTGCGCCAAGATGCTGTAGATGTATCAGCAAATGCCAGGCTTTAGATTCCAAGACTAACCGAGCCATGTCGCGGAGTCGCTGAGCATGCAACCAGCCTCTGCCAAGTCTAGCATTGCCGTTACTCAACGGAATAAGGATCCCGACTGCAACCAGTGCTGCATTTCGCTCTTCCTCCCCTGCCGGCGCATTCACAAAAGCGCTAAGCCCGGCATACTGGTCTTCAACAAAGTATCTTCTAGGGTCTCAGTTCATGAGCGTATACTTATGCCTGAAAGCTTACACCAGATCCTCTTTCACTCCGTGCAGGCCAGAAGGAAGCGATTTGAACTCGACCGAGCCATCAAGCGGTACTGCGTCAAGCCATGTCAGCGTAATGTTAATGATTAGTCCACAGTTGATACATACCACCAGGCGCGCTCCGTTTCCAAGTAATGGTATAGCTAGCGCATATCAGGCTGGGCAGGCTCTCGACGTGCAAGTGTTGTAATCGGTGAACTATGCCCACTTACCCAATCTTTAGATCGAACTTGATCAGGAAAGCCGCGGAGAGAGGTGGCGGCCCGGATGGGTCCAAGGCCGCTGACTTAATCATGCTCACATCATCGTGTTGAATAGCCATTATCTCTGGGGCATCGTAGGGGTGGCATAGATGCGTGACATGGGAACAGTTGGATTGTTGATTCACGGCAATGGATGCGCCAAGATGAGTACCACTTCAACATGGTAGGTGGTTCGAGGGCAATATTAGGGCTAGGCTTAATCCGGCCTGTGGTGTGGGGATTCCATTCCAAAGCACTGCACGAAACACCGCCTGAAGTCAAGGTTTATCTATGGTGTATAGTCGTTATTCTTAAACGGTGCTAACTGATCTAGAAGCGTACATGATCACGCAAGCAGAGCTGACCGGCTTTACTGTAACATACTATCAAGGCTTTCCCCCAAAGTCTCCTCGATCATCTTAATCCATCTCTGTGTCTCTTTTTCCACATCCTCATCATCATCTTCTTGTAATTCGGCAATGAAAGGTATCATCTCTGCTAATAGACCCAGCCAATCTTCTCCAAGAGTCTCGGTCAAACATTGTTCACACCTGACTGCAGCAAGACGGATTGCTGGATTGTCTGAGCGGAACATCTGCATGATGAACGAGTTCAGTTCCTTGAGCAGGTCTGCTGACGATGCGGCACTTGCTAGAGCCGTTACAGTGGGAATAATGAGGGCAGAAACTTTCGTCGGCAGAGTCTTAGCTAAAAGGCCCGTGATAGGGCCTGCTAGAGCGGTGAAATGTGACGGGGATTGCCAAAAATCTGTAGGAGTCAATAATGTTGCACATGGTTGTGAATCATCATGCTTACCATCTTCGTCGTGTTCGAAGCTCTTCTGGAGCGCTCGCAGAACGTTTCCAGTCAGCTTCTCACCTTCTGGTCCGGAGACAGGGTTTATCAAGATATGTGCAGAATGGTCTAGGACTGAGCCAGAATAATTTGTGACAATCGATCTCAAGCGATCGAAGAAGATGATCAAGAAGCTATAGAAGCTGATTGACCGGCGCATACGGCCTGACTGGTCCTTACTGGACAGATCCGTTTGCGCCCAAGCAGCGAAACGGGAGAAGAAGGGTCGAAACGTGGCATCGTTAAGTTTCAGGACCATAGAGATGGTAGCATCAGTAATGAAACGCTCAATAGCTTCGACTTCTTCCTCATCAAGTTTGCGTTTCTCTGAAGCTGTCGCATTCGTGTTTCGCAGGTCAAACCCTTGAAGCAAAGCCTGAAACAAAGCCTCGCTGTTCTTCAAAACGACTGACTTCGTGCTGTTTTTAAGTGACATATCTAGTGCCTTAATATGTTCTAGTAGGCCCAGGTATCCTGAATTGACGGCGCTAGGCCAAGTTTGGTTCAGAGCCTGAAACCGTTCCTTTGGTTCAACTACTGTGCTCAGCAGTAGATAGAATTGACGGCGCCACTGTTCTGTCTCCTCCTCTCCTTCATCGCTTGCTGCAGATCTATGTGAGAGCTCTAGCGCTGCTTTAATGTAATCGCCGATGAAGATGAAGGGCAGATGCTCAACCACTGCGCAAATGAGACCGTATGCAGCATTTTGGAGCGATGAATTTGAGGTTAAGCCCTCACGGAGCTGATCAAACGCAATGGATAAAGTTGCCGGAACCAAAGGAATAAAAGAGTTTCCAAGTACCTCAACGATCGACGACAAGCAATGTAATGCGATAATCTTAAGGCGCACGTTGCTTGACTTCAGTATTTGAGATCCCAGAATTGTTCGTCCCGTGCTCAAGATTGCATCGCTGTCTTTCTTCCCGAATGATGTTGATATCTGATCAACACAAGCTATGGCTAGCTCTTTTAGTGTAAGATTGCTTGAATCATCCAAAATCCGAAGTACTTGTGGTAGAAAAGCTATGTATTCCCGGACAGCTCGCAGGTCCTTGTGTTTCACTGCTTTTGCTCGTGTTTGAATAGCTTTCAAGGCGGTTCGCTTGATATCTTCATCTGATCGAGAAAGTAGTTCTTGCGCAATTCTTACGAGTTCGATTGGAGGTGGTAGATTCAAAGTTGCGAGAATGACCTGTCGAGATATGGAAAGCATATCTTTCTGTGACGCAAGTGTTGATGAAATTGCAATAGCTTTTTCAATCAGAGTAATCGTGGCTTTCCTTACGGCTTTCTCGTGGTCTCCACCATCTTTGAAAGCTTTGGCAAGAGGCCCGCGAAGGCTCGTGTTGTCCGCTGACCTGCCAATGTTCAGAAGGAGATTTTCGAATGTTTTGGTAGACTCTTGAGGACTCTTCTCATTGAGATTAAATAATGCATCTCCTAGCTGTCTCTTTGTTTTTGGTTTCATGGCGTCCTCGAGTATATCCAATGATTGTTTTAGCGCGTTCATGGCAATCAAAGGATCAAAGAGACGTAGCAACTCAGGTATAAATCGTTGCACGGTAGTATCGACCGGATGTCGGTCGAACAGGAGAGTCAGGGTAGGCGCAAGTGCATCATCCGGCCCAAGGGTCTCAATAAGCTGACTGAAAAGATTAAGACGACGATGGGATGGGATATGCTCGAAAGCTGCTGTGAAGCTCAATAGTAGCTCAGCTATTCCCAAAACGAAATTGCGGTTTTTCTTGCGGAGAGAAGCAGCCAAGGGAGGGACAATACACCGAACAGTCTAGTAGTGAACATTAGCATACTCGAAAAGGTACGTTCAGAGGAGTGCATGTACCTGATCAATAACGTGGGCCGTGTAGTCATCGCCCTGTCGAAGTAACGTCGACCCCATGAAAGTAAATATTGGCATAACGCTATGAAGAACCGTCTCAGGAAGCCACGAGGCCAAGCTAGAGATGAGTAGTAAAGCTGCATTTTGGACCTGGGGGCCATTGGTGCGGCGCACACAGTCGACCAGTAAGTCGGCCCTGATGACAGAAGGGTCAAACCCGGATGGGGATGTTCCCTACTCAAGTCAGTATGCTAGACTTGCATGATCATTTGATTTGGCGTACCTTGGCTGCGTTGACTATTGATAGCAATGACCCAATGTTTAAATTCTGTAGATAGACCATGTTCGAGTTTGAGACTGTTCGGTAATGCTGAAGCTCACCAAGGACGTAGAACAAGCCCTTGAGTAACTCGACATGGCCTTCTTGTTTGGAATTGTCGACTATCTCCAGTATGATAGTGACACGTCTCAAGTTTATGCTAAGCTGGTCGGCAGGCAACGGTCGCGAATCTGAAAGTTTTTGCCTTTTCATTGCCTCTGGGGATCCACTGGGCTCTTGACGACGCTTTCTGGCTACCTGGTTGGGCGAACCTACGTCCTCCGAAGGTTGGCCTACTATCTTGTATTCGTGGCCAGTGCACGGAGGGATACTTTCCAAGAGGCCCACTAAGGTATGAACTGGAAGTGGCACCGCCCGTATGATTTCAAGAGCAGCTCCGGATGAGTTGATCTGACTTGACTCATTGGAAGACTTGAGACTGAGATCTAGAAGAAAGGTCGCCATTGCATCTCTCGCAGAAGCCTTCATCTGGGGCCAAAGCTCCTTGACTCGTTCAAAAGCTCTCTCCAACGTTTCTGCTCTTGCTTTGAGTGCATCTCCCGATAAAATTGATCGCAGCAATTGCATCGCCCCATTATCACGAGGATGTATCACAGTCAAATGTTGCTCGTCAACCTTTCGGAGGTCCAGATGCTCTTGTGTAGCGAGCTGACGTGCCGTCTTCTCCTTCAAGCTAAACCAGCTGCGCGCAGAAGGGATGAGATACTTCGAGCGGGCGTAAGCGGCAGATTTCCCGATCGAGTGGATCATGTCATAAACATTGATCCGCACTCTTAACGGAGATTTTGTAGCATGGCTGGCAAGAAAATTCGCCAGGGAAGTGCGGAGCGCAGATTTGAGTTCTATTGTCGTTTCCGCTTTCATTTCTGTCTTGTCCTTGCCAGACAGTGCCAATTTGATCAATTGCCGAATGCGAGCTTCATCAAGAATACATTCTTCCAGGTATGGTGTCAGAACTAAGCTTGCAACCTTTAATGCATCGTCCAATAACAACCATTCCAGTCCAGCTTTGCCGTCTGGATATATACTGGTCCCCCAAAACTTGACGCCATTATTCTTTTTTGCAAGCTTGAGCGCTTTCTCAAAAGCGATCGTGGCTTCTGAGGCCGATCGACGGACAGTTGGTGATTCATCGGCCAACGCATTCAGCAAGTATGGTATGAGAATCTGAGGGTCAGCTCGGCCGGCCATAGTATTAAGACACTTAGTGATTTGCGTCCAGGCCGAACCTCGGACCACTGCAGGGTACTGTGTTGAGGTCATGTGTAGTAGCAGAGCGTTCATGAACTCGTTTTCTTTGTCCTGATAAGACGCAAGGCATGGGAGTGACATGATCACATCTGGTGTTTTCCTGATAGCGACTGCTAAAACGTAAGCGCGAGCAAATTCCTTGAACAATGGCATCCCGACGACTTCTATGAGAGCTGTTGGTAGCGTCTCCGGTTCCGCATTTTGAAGCATGCCCAACAGAATATTAAGTTGACCCTCACGAGTATCTGCTCCGTCCTCTTCCGTCATATCCACGTCACCCATATTCACATCCTGTAATCCGGTCGAGATGGATAAGACTTGTCCGAGCTTTAGTTCCAATGTATCCACATCCGTGCTTTCCCCGTCTAATATTGACTGAATAAGTTTCGGACCGGCTGTATTCGATATCTGGTTGAGCATCGACGCAAGAGAATGTCCAATGGCAGGCGAGTAGGCGGGGTCCTTCGATGCAAGGCGAACGACAGCTTTGAGTATGGGTTTGAGGTGATTGTCTACAATTAGACCGCGACTGATCAGATTACCCACAAGCTCGATTCGAGCTTCATCAAGATTAGCTGGTTTTTCAAGGATACCGAGGATGACACCGAGAGAGAGTCGGTCGACTCGACATTGTTGGGACACAGCGGCTAACTTCAGATCTAGATTCGCAATCTTGAGAGATCGTTTGAGCACTTTCTTGGGAAGTCTCGTTGCTTTTCGTTCTTGTGCGATCACTGCAAGACAAACGAGGCAGCTGTCCTCGATTGCGTCCTGGTGACTACTCATAGCAGCTTCCAGCATACCATCCAAAACCCTATCCTCAAGAATGGTCTTGGACACGAAGACCATGATTACCATATAGCACGCTACCATCATTTCCTGGCAGTGCTTAAAAGACAATCCCTCATTGAGAACTGGAAGAATAAACATTAATATGTCCTCCTCTTTCTGTCGCTGCACAACTCCTCGCCCAGAGCGCGCCATCGTAACCATGCTATCTAGAGCTTGGGTCGCCAGACTCGCCCAGAATGATAACAAGATCGGAGACTGCTGATGCTCCCGTACCAATTTGAGAGTGTAGCTATTTATAGCTGAGAACAGGGGCCTATTGGTCGTTGCAGCTGATGTGATTGCCGTTCGCGGTGGATTCTGATACGAAGCAAGATAGGGTTGTAGGAATCTATACGAATGCGGCAGGTGGCGTGGTATTATCGATAGGAGCGTCTGGAAAATGGGAGTCTCGTGGTATGGGAGGAAAGTTGTCAAAGTATACTCTATGTTGTGTTCGTGTATTCTCGGGAATGATTAGCATGACATGAGGGCCGGCGTCCTATGTGCTTACCGAAACCTCCGCACTAACCACTCTACAGCTTTCAGTGCAGGTTTAAGCAGAAGTCTGCCGCTGACCTGACCAAGGAAGCTTTCGATAACGTTGTCCAAATTCCTATTCTCCTCTGCAGTCATCTGCATCCTGTCCTCGGTCTTGCTCTGATCGCTGAAGAGATTCTTCGAGAATGAGGCGAAAGCATTGTCGATAGAGCATAGCTCTTTAAACCCTTCTACACAAATCTGAAAGATCGTATCAAAGTCCTGCGACACTGCGATTTTCGGATCGAACAGCAATGATTTTCCATGAGCCGTCCGCTGCGCTTTGAGGTCAAGTGTATTGGTGGTGTTCGCGTTAATAGCAGCCAGTTGCTGCTGGAGAGTTGTCGCCATGATCTTACTTTTGTATTGTGAATCGGCGTCTGAGCATGTTGTTTTACCCTACTCTTCGACTGTAAGTGTTTGCTGCGATCATTTCGATGAGGTTGCGCCTGTAGTAGAATTTCGTTGCCAAGATTTAAATTAAAGCGGGGCCACTTGAGCTCAGGCACTCCACCCGTCCCCACTCAGCTACGGCATCCATCTATTGCAACCTATCCGAGGATCAAGGTGTGTCGAGTCGGTGGCATCTTGCATTGAACAAATGGACCTACAGGTCAGTATTTACTTGTCTTATCGCGTCTATACTTAAGTATTTACCCCTCTAATTATCAGTCCATTAGCCTGCTACCGTGCCCAAATTCTCGAGTTTCCAACGCAAAGTCGCTCCCCCAACAGATGACACGCGATCTAGCCCACCTCTGAAGACCTCCGCAACGCAGCTGAGCCAATATGAGCTAAAGGAACACCGTGAGCATAGCTCTAAAGGCTCCAGAGCTGAGATTAAGAGACACAGGACACGAGATCAGTCGCGAGACAGACACCAGGCACGACACGAGAGACCACGAGGATCTCATGAAAGAAGACGCCGGATAGACCATCGTACTCATGAAGATGTGAGGGAGGCACACGCACTCGCAGTCAAGCCAAGTCAACCTGACACTGTGGGTGTAACTCCAGGCTTCGACGAATCTAACCAGCCATACTACATCGATCGTAGAGGCGATCCCCATAATGCAACATACGGCGGCTTAAATACGCATAGTGTTCCTCCCTACTATCGAGCAGGTGGTGGCTCTATTGTCGGACTATGTAAGACCCGTCGGATTCAAGAGAATTTGAGCTCAGGGCGCGGGATTACTTTATCTTACGAATGTTCGCACGCCAGTCTTAACAGAAAACTTCTGTCGAAACAGTATGCAAAGCAGTCCAGCGACATCAAGCATCGGATCACACGTGCCACGTCGCTTAGGACCGGCATTGATCACAACGCGGATTATATTAGTACATCGTTCGGAAGAAAAAGAAAACGTTGGTCAACTTCACCAATGGACACGCGGCGTCTCACCAATGCTTCCCATATCGCGTGGCGCTCAGCAAGCTCAGATGAAGAACTGTCTGGCTCTGATCCTGAGGATTGCACTTCGGATTTCTTATATGCGGATGGTGTTAAGGAGAGAAATGCCGAGCTGTCCCGACTGACTAAAGAAAAGCCCAAATCTTTAGATGGTTGGCTACAGCTTATTGAGCACCAGGATAAAATGATTCGACTCCATCATGGCGCCATATCTCGTAGGTTAACAAAAGCTGAAATTCGAAACGTCGCAGAGATCAGGATCTCTGTATACGAGCAAGCCTTACGTAGTATCGACACGGATCATACCAATCGGGTTTCTCTTTGTCTCGGGCTCCTTGAAGAAGGCAGTAAAGTCTGGGAGGCCACGAAGATAACCAAACAATGGCGGCAACTGCTAGAGGAGTTCCCGGACCACATTGAAGTTTGGCTCAAGTATCTCAACTTTTTACAGACAGACTTTCGCGAATTTCGGCTGGATACGGTACGTGAGGACTATCATAACTGCTTGCAGATGCTTTCAGACTTGAGAGAAAAGACTCCGCAGCCAGGGGTTTCAACATGCAAGCTTCAGCGAATTCAGCTCTACATTCTTGCACGACTTACTAAAATGATCAGTGAATCCGGTTACCACGAACAAGCCCTAGCCATATGGCAAGTGATCATCGAAAATAACTTTCTCCGACCTGCCGGTGTGGAGGACCCAATTCAGTCTTTGATACTGTTTGAAGAATTCTGGGACAGCGAGGTTGCGCGGGTCGGTGAACTCGGGGCCACTGGCTGGTGTAACTTTCGAGAAGTATCAGTGTTGCCAAAAACTGATCGACAAGATCTCGCTGCAGACGAAGTATCTAAGTCGCCCTTGAGCGCATTCTACCAGCTTGAGACTTCACACATGCAAACCATCGATGTCCCTGGTCGTACCAGCGACAAGGCTGCCGAGGAGGACCCTTATCACGTTGTGCTTTTCTCTGATATCTCTGTGTACCTGTCTCTCGTTGGTCATGGGCTCCCGATGACAAGAGTCGTAGAAGCTTTCCTTGCGTTCTGGGATCTTCCGCCACTCCCAGGCCCGAACGAGACCCCTTTCGATTCTCGTGATGTCTTCTTGCGCAAAGGAACTATTCACAAGAAAGTCGACTCACCAAAAGATGGTGGGCCACTCGGCCATTTCGTAGAGACTATGGGAACAGTGTCCAGTCTTCCAATTAGAAGGAGACAAACAACCATTTACGATCTTTTCAGCGATGCGTTCCACACGTTCGCCAATACACGTAGCAAGATTTTTGTCAAAACAGTCTTGCAACATCTATCGTCGCTCACAAAAGACGAGGCCATTCTGGAATACTCTATGGCGTTTACAGTAAAATTCTTTCCTCAAGAAGCGGATGCGTTCGCCAGGCGGATTCTCCAACGATGTCCCTCCAGTCTAAGACTTTACAACGCCTACGCTCTTGTGGAATGCCGCATGGGCAACAAAGAAACCGCAAGTCGAGTTTTCGGTACAGCCATCCGTATGAGTGCCAAACTGCCGGTAGGCGCACGAAAAGATGTTATCTTGCTTCGCCATAGCTCGATTTGGGAGTCGTTACATCAGGGTGATCTGATTGCTGTCCAGTCAGAACTTCTAGCTATTGCAAGCCCGAATATCTCCGAATCAAATCAAGATATCAACATTGCGAGCTTCCTCCCAGCTCGCACTAGTCTGATTAACGCCCGAGATGAGCACTACGCAGTCCATGATTATGACAGGGCTGTCCTCTACACAGACTGCCTCGCTGTTTTAATATACCTCTACTCTGATCAAGACCTTTCTCTCGCCATTGATGTCTACCGCACAGCCCATGACCATTTCTCAACACTCAATCTCGCCATCTCTCGGTTCAATGAAATTAACCATCAAGCCTGCACCCGTCTGCTCGCGTACCATGCATCTCGCTGGCGCTCCTTTAAGCCATCTCTACTGCGCGATACTCTCACAGCGAGTCTCAAACTGTTTCCAGACAACACAGACCTGCTGTCTCTTTTCGCCGCTAACGAAAGCCGCTTTCGTATCGACGGACGTGTGCGCACCCTCATGGACGATATATCCCTGCACTCTGACAATGGTAGCATTATAATGCATATGTTCGCAATCTCCACTGAAATACAACGGGGGGTGCAGGGTGGTAGCACTGCATACTCTGTTCGCGCGGCGTTTGAGCGTGCTGTTTTACAGCCTCACGTTCAAAGTAATGCGAGTCTATGGACAAGCTATGTCATGTTTGAAACTTTGGAGGCAGGGAAAAGCCATACAAAGGATGCGAGGGACCGAGTTAAAGGGGTCTTCTTTAGAGGCATGTTCTGCATCCCGTGGTGTAAGAGCTATATGATGCTAGCGTTTGCGCCGGAGCTGAAAGGGTTGATAGGAGTTGAGGATTTGAGGAAGGTTTGGCGTGTGATGGGAGAGAAACAAATACGCGTGTTTGTCGACTTGGATGACATTTTCGCGAAGGTGGGCGAAGAGGGTCGGATCGACATACATGGAGTTTTAGATGAGTAGGAATGGGTTCTCTGTACCGCTGCATAATTGGTAGCTTCAAGTATATACATGGGCTATTAAGTCAACAGTAGTCCTCCACACTGACCCCAAGTCCCAACACCACTCCATTGCAACCCCACATACTTTTTCCTCAAGTATTGGGTATCTGACGTCAGGTCCTTCTGTCCGTCTTACTAAAAATCTTGTCGTGAGAATTACCTTAAGCGCCCTTTAATCTACTTCGTACGTGGTTTGAGTCTGGTGGGGCTTAAGCTTCTGGGTATTTATAACTTTTGCGGCCATGACTAAAGTTGACAGATAGATGAATATATCAGGAGAAGAGAGACAGTCTAATTTAAAGCTAAGGAGGTCCGAGAGATAGTCTATGTAGGTCAGGTTCGGCGCTCTTATTCAAATATGATGTACCCTCATGGGCCAAATTCTGGAGAACAATGTTTTTGTCTACGACGTGGTGCTGTGGCAGCTCTGCCTAGATAATATTCACTATATTTGTGACTTTGGCCCCGGTATCGCACCACGTTGCCAAGGCCATACTTCTGTTAACTATAGAAGGACCTTGCGTATCAGTTCAATGTCAAGGTAAACCTCACACTATAATAGAAGCATTGCAGCAACACTGATAGCCACAATTGACCAAACCGTAGCGTGCACTATAAATCTATACGCTCCAGCTGTATGTAGCGTTCCCGGGCTGAATAATCCCCCATTAATACAACCGGTGACGACGAGTGACGAAACGGCGCCTTCGAGCTCTTGCAGTGGCGTGACAAACGCCATCTGACTCCAAGAAAATAGCTTGTTTCGCCCTCCGTAAACAAACACCTCGAACCTACCTTTGAACTGACCATCCACCCATACTCTGCTTCCTCCGATTCTGTCCGTTTGTATTTGTATCCGACTTGGCACGGTAATATGAACAATCTCATGTGTCGAGGTCGTCACATTCGTCCATATCCGCCCTGGATGTCCACTATCATATCCGTCCGTGCTGGCGACTGACCGAAGAGGGTACTCGTAGCCATCAGCGGTATATATAAGCATCCCGTCGCCGCGTAAGGTGAGCATACTGTCATTGGAGCGGAGTGTGAAAGGACCGGTAGCGTCCATGGTCAACGTGTTGTTCAGGCCCTTGCTCCCGTATCCTAGTTCATACGTCTCATTCCTAGTCTTCGGTGCAGTCCAGCTTATCAACGGCTGCGTACAGTCGGAATTATTGACGCCTAAGATGTTCCGGTCCAGATTCTGGCATGGTGCGGCGGCGGAGAGAAGGTGTACGGATTCGGCAAGGGAAGATATATCCAGAGGGGTGCCGCGTGAGCCACTCCAGGCGCGTGATGCAACTATGGGTAGTCCAGAGCGGATGGCGTAGAAAGCTTCAAGCTGGGTTGTAGCGTCCGGGCCATTGTCGTTCCATGCGGCCATAATAGCACCCCGGTTATTCGGTGAGGCTGAAGGGAGCTGCTCAGTGTTGTTTACAGGATTGTAAAGGGATGGTTCCCACTGGACGTCCGGCTGGTTTCCGAAGTTGAGAATTCGGCTGGTGTTGAAGAGCTGCGGGTAAGCGGCGGGAAGAATGGGCATATGGTCGTTCTTGAGCGTAACGTATGCCCACCAATCTTCCGAGTTGATTATGTTATAGCTACTACGATCGAGCTGGACGGGATCGGATTGGCCGTATTGCCAGTGCTGTATTGTAATATCATTGGATATAGTGAAGTTTTTGGATGGCTCGTATGTTCCCCAGATGCGGATTCGTTTTCCGGCCGTTGAATTTACAAACTGAGACATGCTATTGACGAATCGTATGTAATCATCTGCAAGATCTGAGTCGTACTCGTCTGCTCCGATATGAACCTCTTTCGTCTGGAACCATGGCAGAAATTCAGACCAGATAGCCTGCACTGTGGGTATGGAATCAGGATGAGAGAGATTGAGTAGATCTTTCTTGGCCAACGCAAGGTCCGGTTTCCACTTCGTGATGGCCAGACAGTGACCAGGCGCCTCAATCTCAGGGATGATAGTCACTCCGCGTTGTGCGCAGTGCATCTGCAGGTCTTCGAAGACAGCTCGAGAGAGAGTTTCGTTTGCTCGTTCGATGATTGACCTGAGCTCTACGCTTTCAGGCATGAATGAAAAGTGGGAATAAACCTCGTACCAAGTCTCGTTGTGGCCGCGACTAAGAGGATAGTTGTCAGACGCATGGTAGTGGAACTCTGACATCTTGAACCAGGATGCGTATGTGCACAGCTCTTTCAATGTGGATGGTGCGTACCACTTCCTTCCAGCATCTAACATGTAACCTCTGGTTTCATAGGCCGGGGCATCGACAATCTTCCCTATAGAGATCGACTCGCTTTGCACCATTTGTTGCAGCAGAGTCCGTGTTCCCCACCACATACCTCGAGCGCCAGAACCACCGATGAAGATATGACCTGACTGAACAACGATCTCGTATCCCTCTGTTGTAGGTTCACCATTTGCATAGGTTAAATCGTCCGGTGAGCCAGAGTACGACCCCAGGAAGATACCTGAGGCATTCCTATGGATCTCATCGATAGTCTCGAGGGCCCAACCGTCTCCTAACAACGAATTGAGATCCTTCACAAAAGTCGTAGCGAATTCTTCCGCGGAGGGCGGAATCAATGTTAGTCCGTCCGTGTCTCTAGTCGAAGCGAAAGCCGAATGCAGAAAGATCGATTTTGGCAGACTGGAGAATGACTGAAATCCGCTGGAGCCGTTGTTCCATTCAACTGGAGGTAATGTCTGCAGGGCTAACGCAATGGAACTAAATACCGACCATGATATGTAGATAGTCAACATCATGGTCATCTTCCCAGCAGTACTAAGATGTAGATCTGAATCAGCGCAATGACGCCTGTGCTGGCTATGTAAGCTAGATGGGTCATAGAACGCGCATTCTACGGTTGACGATGATCGTTGATGGTTCGCTTGTGTAGACTGACTTTTGACAAGCCCAAGGTCACATCTCACCCTGGCAATGCCGAATATGCACAAGCGTGAAGTGGCACAGCATTCATGCAGCAGGCTGCTTTGGCGCCAGCATCACATATGACATTGCCTAAGGCGTTCTGAGCATTGCGCACTGGCGATATATTATGGATCCATGTATTTCAGACTGTTTATTCATGAATCCTGTATGTATAAGGCGCCTACATGAATAGTAATATCATAACCCATTGCTCATGAACACTGGCAAGGAAACGTCCATTGATCTATTGATTGTTGTTTCAAGGCCAGCCATCCAAATCAGGTCTAGCTCTCCAAAATTGACACTTTGATGCCTCGCCGCCTTAGGGACCAAGCGCCAGAAAAGTTGTCTTACACAGATGTGTATAATGAGATTCCTACAGCCACGCGACGTCAGGACGGAGCGGGCATGTCTTTATACTACGAGGCCGCATCCGTTTTCGAAAATTTTGACCATGGCAGCGACTCCTTAAAGACCCGAATATATACCAATAAGGGCTTCCAAAGCCGTCCGGGACATCTATACGCTCTGGTGAGCGAGACCGCAAAATGGTCACCTATATTGAAGGAAGTCATAGATAGAAGTGGACTATTGAGGCTTGAGCGAAAGGTACGGTATCTCTATATAAGATCTGCTGTCACACGTCCTGATGCAAATACAGCTCTCACCGGCTCTAGCGCTACTGTTGACGCACGATCTTCTTCTTGCCAAACGAGGCGTTATGGCTCCATCGACTCACGCACTCAAGCTTGCTATAACCAGGCACAAGGCTCGATTGAGCGCGGAATTTACGAAGATTCGGGTCAAACGCGGGTTCGCCTCCGTCGACAAATGGCATCAACATGTAAATGCTAAAGACGAAGCGAACGGGAAAGAAGGCTCAATACCCCGCCCGCGATGGCTTCGCCTCAATACCATACTACCTGGCGACAGGGTTAAAGAGCGAGAAGAAGCGTTCGGAGCATGGGAGCAAGCAAAGACCCTGACATCGGTTTCTCATGCCGGAAAAACGAATATTTACTATGTAGACGAGACAGTTCCAGATCTTATTGCTGTACCAAAGGATCACCCCCTGGCCGATATCCAGCTCAGTCGGCTTGCACCGAGCGTTATATATCAAGACAAAGCTTCATGTTTTCCGGCTCTGCTACTTGACCCCGGCTCTGGCAACGGAGATGTCATTGATGCGTGCGCGGCACCTGGTAATAAGACTACACATCTTGCTGCTCTGATCCAAACCTCCTCAGGTATAAACCGAGCAAACCGTGTCATAGCTTTCGAAAAAAGTGCAGAGCGATCTGCCATCCTGAGACGAATGGTAGAGGCGGCCACATCGTCTTCGAAGGAAGCAAAAGGTTTAGTAAAAATCAATGCGTCTACAGACTTTCTCAATAGTGACCCGACCAGCAAAACATTCTCGAATGTGCAGGCTCTCCTGCTTGATCCGAGCTGCTCTGGCAGTGGGATGCCCCGCGACGATAAACCTTTCGTCTTTGAGTTGCCTGAGGTAGTCGGTTCGAAAACTCATCCTGAAGCTACCAAAGCAAGGAAAGGTAAACGTAAACGCGACGAAGACATGCACGAGGAACTAGCGGGACCTGTAGAAAAGAAATATCAAAGGTCCGGGCGTAAATTACAACCTAATGCAGAACAAAACACAGAAACAGAGCCAAGTTCCCCCGACGATATGCAACAACGACTGACGGGTCTGTCTGCATTCCAACTTCGCCTCATAGAGCATGCAATGAAATTCCCAGCCGCTCGCAGAATCACTTATTCGACTTGCTCAGTGCATTGGGCAGAGAACGAAAGCGTCGTTATGCGAGCTTTGGCGACAGATATTGCGAAAAAGGCTGGCTGGCATATTCTTCGTCGTGAGAAACAATACCCTACGCTCAGAGACTGGGCTCACAGAGGGATCAAGAGTCGCGATGAGGCCTCCGATTTCACTGAAGAGCTAGACCCCGACCTCGGGACAGAGGACAGAAGCTTGATCTTGGACTCCTGCATACGATGTAACAAAGGTACGGAGGACGGCACCCACGGATTTTTCGTCGCTGGGTTCGTACGCGATGTGTCTGTCATGAAGTCTGCAAAGCACAGAGAAAGGATACTTGAGAGCCAATTGCTCGAGCAAAAAGAGATGCCAGAATCCACTTCCATGGCCGTGGACGAAACGTCGACGATACTCGTGGATCCTTACACATCCCTAGAAGTTGAAATGTCCACACGAGCGGCAAAGCTTGAACCACAGATAGGGAAAAAGTTCAAAGGAACTCACCAGGAGAGAGGACGTAGAGAAAAAGAAAGCAAAGGCAAGAATAGTAAAAGACGCTCTGGCTGATTTGACAACCCAGTAAGCATCTGAGAAAGATGCAGGTGAAGAAGTGGGCACTCCACCCAGCCAAAACGACCTTGAAACGGGATGCGCAGCAATAATGCAGCTGATGAAGTAGTGGAAGATGTATGGAGAGGTGTTAATAGCAAGGGGTGAGGCGAAACATGTAGCGAACATAGCAGAAGCAACAACCCAATGATATATCGCGTCGCTCGCCGATGGTAGGTTCAAATGGGGGAAACCGAATCAAGACGAGAAAACGAAAGCCCGAATCTTACACAGGCTCACTCTTGAAAGACCGAAGGTGCGAGGTGTATGGCAAAGCCCAAAGATAGACAGTGTATTAAGAGAGCTGCGAAGAGAGAATGAAATGGGTCCGATAATTAGATCCTGATGGAGGCTGACCCTTTTGGCTTTTGGAGGTCTAAAAAAATTGGTGCGGACACATATTAATAGTACAACGAATTGCACCGAACACTCTGTTTATACCCCTGCGCTATTCTCAATCCCAAAATCTCTGCCAATCTCTGCCCCTAAGTCCATCACCTGACGCTCTTCGACCCCAACACCTCTGCAAAGACCCACAAACTCTCCACATTCACCCTATGCACCACATCCGCACTCGATTCTCCTTCGCGTGCGCCCGGCAAGCATCCTCAATCAGCACAACCTTCTCCCTACAGAATTCAAGACCCAGAAATGCGCAGCCATGCATACACTCGTACTCACACACTGATCCGTCGTCAAGCCAGCCAGAAACAAGATGCCTACATGTTCATCTCGCGGATAACGCTCAAGCTGCGTGCTGATAAATATGTTGTTCATGCTCTCCGTAAAGACGCGCTCATCCGGGTATAGCGTGGCAAAGGACGTGAAATGCGTACTTGGATCAGTGGGGGCTCAAGTAAAGAGGGGAGGGCAGACGTTTAGAGTGATAGCGGACATGATTGAGTTGCGGTGAAGCGCCGATCAAAGCGCTGGGATCGTGGCGTGCCTGGTAGAATAGGGACAGGAGAGGAGATATCACAGCCGCAAGGGTGGCTGGCGTTGCAGTTTGTGCCGGCGAGCCAGGGTGAGGGAATCGTAGATGCTGATGTGCATGTCGATGAGGAGGAGCGGCGTAGGCAGGGGGCCGGGCAGTAGACATGTCTATGGACGAGGTGAGGGTTGGGAGAGTGTAAGGGATCGGGAATGACATGCGCGGGCAAAAGAGATCCTCTAAATGCTTACGCGGAGCTATGTTATTCGAAGGGTGATCACAAGCCGGGCCAAGACTTGTTCATACTGCGATTTCGGGCCATGTCTTAGGGTAGCCAGGTTATACAGGCGAATTAATCTAGGTATGTACGTTCTTTCCGTATGTTTCTTCTGCATGTTTTAACATGCAACACTTCTTGTTCTATAGTACCGCTATAGCGTTAACATGTTCGACATTACCATCACCACACTGGATCAAGGGGGGGTCAGGGCATCAAGCGAACATAACACACGCCAATTCTTCTATGTCCAAGCATATGATTGCCTCAAGAGGTCAAGAAGCAAAATGATATGGCATGCCTGCCTTTTAACCTGCTTAATTTACCTCCTCGTCTCGCCATGCGCACTCTCACCAATCTCCACCGGGCCAGCTGGCTCCGGATCCGCAAGCTCAGCGATCGTATTCTCATTCTGCTGGAACTTACCCCCGCCCATATGCGGTGACTGGGGTGACTGTGGAGTCCAACCGCCCGGATAAGGACTTCCGGACTGAGACATTGACGGAGTGTTGGCGTGTTTGGCGTACATCTGGTCAGGCTGTGGGGATCCAGGACCGAGATATGTGGAGCCGGAGACGTGTGAGTAGCGCGGATCTATGTTATAAAGTTATTATCGTGCTCAGACGAGGTGATCTGAAGACTGACCATCGTGCGAGCTGGTCATGGGTAAGTACACACCTTTGGGGTCGTAATTTGTTCCAGACCAGGCTCCCCCGTTAGGGTCTGGAGAATGTACTGCGGAGTATGAGGGTGGATGTGTTGCGGCTGTGTTTGCGGATTTGGCGGCTTGTTTACGTCGATATAGAAACCAGATGAGCCCTGCGATTGCGAGGATTCCGACGACTCCTACGCCTACTGCTATGCCAACAATGGCACCTGTGGATAGACCACCGTCTGAGCCTCCATTCGAGTCGCTGGGCGCAGACGTGGCCGACGGAACAGCTGAAGAGAAAGTTGGGCCAGTACCTAGGAAGGATGTTCCATTGAGAGCGGCAGCTGTGAGATTGCCACTACAACCGCCCTGGCATCCAAACTCGGTGTCGGCACAGCATCCTATGAAGGGTGGGTTCGCATCTTTGCAGGTGAAGAATGATCCGCCATTAGGACATTCCTGGTCATTGAATTGACCGTACCAAGACGCATTGAAGCTCATCGGACGAAGGTCCTCTTCTGGAGGGCCTGTTGAGCTCCCACAGCCATTAGAGACAGAACAGCCGACGAACGGAAATGTGCTCCTTTCACACGCATACCAAGTTCCTCCCTCTGGACAGTAGGCGCCGAATGAGAGCCCCGATTGAGACATTCTGACGAGACGTAGGTTTCGGATTGGGCAAGGCTGAGAGAGAAATCAAGGAAGAACAAACAGCAGAAAGGTACCGGGCAGGCAGAGGTTAAAAGCACAGATGGATCCCGACCGGGAGGGAACTGCAGAGAGCCAAGCAAGGGAGGGATCCGCTTCGATACGACGGCCCACAGATTGCCACTGTATCTGTCTTGGTGAACAGCTCAATGAAGTCCAGATCTGCTTGGTATTGCTCGTTAGCGTGCTGCGTCGTGTTCTGATAATAACCGTGCCACAAACAGGGCTGTACAAAAGCTTGTGGGTAAGGTCTGCAGAATCAGGATAACGCCTGCATCTACGTATGATTCTATTCGAACTATTCCCACTCCATTGATAGCTCATATAGGAGAGCTTGAATGAGAATTAACTCACCTAATATTGCGATTGCATGGATTGCCAATTCTCAGCCTGATGCAAGTTTGTCAAGGAGGTGAAAGCTGGGGAGCACATGAATGCTAGTGCTTCGCTACTCTCGGCTCGACAAGCATCTAAATGAAGTGGGCACCCTGCGAAGAGGTTTCTCTCTTTTCGCTATAATATGATAGCACGCATGCTTGACCAGACAGCTGGCGCCCAATTACATGCATTGCCGACGCTTTGTATGCACCTAGTACACAAGATCAAGACCGGCCATGCCATGACCATACAATATGACGTTCGCTCAAGACATGTTGATGCACACGGCAAATCCCACGCAGTGATGGGAACGCAAGGCGAGGTGGGAAGATGATAAACGGACATGCAGGGGAAGCTAGCCTGATCAGTCTAGCCCATTATCAAGTACCCAATCAGACGAGCTGCAGGAGACGGGACACAACAACATGTTGACATCCATTCCTTGGTTTACCTGACACCTCGCAAAAGCCAAAGCTGGTTCATTTTTAGAAACACCAACGGAGAGGTGTGGCAGCTGTCTCAAGTGCAGAGACCCACTGATCAGATGCGTCACGGTACGGGACGTGTATCCCCCGGAGTGCTCCACGCCCCATGATAAAGGACCCGCATATCCATTCACTTCGTGCAACGACTTCCAAGGTCCACAGACTATGTCTGCCAGTAGTAGTATTCATGACCTACAACCGGAAACATTCCTTCTCCTCGAGCAATGGGCAGAGTTCGAAATAATCTGTGGTGTGCTGGCAGGTACCCAAGACCTTGCAGGTACCACTGCAGGACTGCGGCACAGCGGGCACACAAGGCTGGCAAATCAGATCGCACCTGAGGCAATACGCTTGTGCATGAAGCCGGAGCACCACAGATCCATACCTAGCCATGTACTGATATAACTCCGACACGTCCCGCATGAGCCGAGTACAAGCCGACAGCCTTGCGGAGGTTGGATGCATCTTTGTTGTTCAGCCTCGCGACTAATGATCAGAGCATAACGTTGGCTATCAAAGCGCCACAGGCACTTGCTGAGTGCTGGTCGTCAGTGGTGGTGGCATTACATCGAGTAGATGCATTGACTATAATGATGACGACAACTCCATGCACCCATATGACCACCCCATGCATAACAATACGGAGAGGTTAGTGCGATAACAATTCCAGCCTCCCAGTCCACCGACTACAGAATGCAGATGTCAACAAACGCCAGCCACCAAGACGGAGCATCAAGTCCTCACCTCTTTGCCAGCCATCTCTCGGCCCCCTCCCCGTGTCACTCCAAACCACCAGGGACCAAGCAAACACCAACATCTGAACTGAAACCCACTCCCTATTCGTCTCGTCTGATCGGGTCTACCTCCTCTCTGTATCCAGCTCCACAGCTGTACTCCCCCCGGTCCTCGCAACTTCACTCCCCGGCACCTCCGAATACCGACTATGCACAGTGTCCATCTGCGAGACACCACCATATCCATTCATAGGACTCATGCTCATCCCCCTCATTGCCCCAATATCATCCGGCCCAAGCGCCACACCAGTCCCCGTCCCCGTCCCCGTCCCAGTCCCAGCAGCACCCGCACCCGCACCCTCCACCGCACCATACTTATAGTCGTACCCCGGCGGGCCCTGCTCATACACACTGCGATACTCCTGCTTCTGCCCGAGACCAGCGTAGAAACCCGTATGCTCCTGCGTGGCCGGATTCGGCGACATGGGCGCCATTCCCGGAGACATGGGCACGGGGGGCGGTCTGGCTGCGTCTCGCTCTTCGGCCTTGGCTTGCTGGGCAGCGTACTTGCGAGCGAGGCGCTTGTGGCGCCAGACGAAGAAGGCGAGGCCGGAGAGAAGGAGGGTTGCGATGGCGATGCCGACGGCTATGCCTACGATGGCGCCGGTGGAGAGGCCGTGGTGGGTGGGTTGAGAGGTGTTTGTGGAGCTGGCGGTAGGGGATGTGCCCCCGGAGATGGTGGCGGAGTATTGCTCTTTGGCTTTCTGTGCCTGTTCGTTGATGTCGTATTGTTCGGACTGTGGTGGTGGTGGTCGTGAGTGCTGGGTTGGTATATGTGTGGAGTAGAAAGACACTTACTGGGTTGATGGTCCCTACCATGCCCCATTTACCACATGATCCAGGTGCTGCACAGTGGAACAGGATGGGCTCTGTGGTGTCTAGGGTATAATTCCAGATGAGAGGCTGTGTGGTCGATCGTATGAGTGGACAAACGGCGAAGACTTGTGATGGATGTTGAGATAGCATACCTCGTTCTCATCTGATACGGGCTGGAAGCCAGAGGCAAAGTAACCTGATCCCTGGTTGTAATCTTGCCAGCTGTCACAAGGACGGTCCCATTGGGAACGCTCTACGCCATGTTTACCAGCTCCGAAGACGAAGGAGATGATAGATATGGCATCATCCGGGTCCGTGTCTGTTCGATTTGGGGTGAAGGTGTGATTGTCAACGCTGCCACCAACGTGGACAATGTATACTCCAGTCGTCATTTGGACAGATGTAGATGTGTAACGTGGCGAACAAGAGCTAGGAAAGAAAAAAAAGAACCAGGCCAAGCTCTGAGATATAAGGGGAGGTACACCACCTTTAAGTCTCCCTGAGTTACGGTCAAACGGCACAGCATGGACAACAACTGAGATGGGGTCGAGAAAGATGAACCTGACCAATATCTGCTTCGCATCCATGCATCATGCCTAAATTTGACTGCACGGATGAGGCATGTGCTGCATGACAAGGTAGTCAGGGCATGCAACATCCAACATGGCCTTCAGCCTCGTGGCCCCACATCGATTTACACACTAGATTGTGCCCTCTTATCCAGACCGTCAACACACTGAAGATGTGGTAAATATTTCGAAACTTCTGTCCACCATCTTAGACTTATAGATCAGGTTCACGTAGAGAGAGACCCTTCTGGAGATCGCGACGAGGCTACACCGAACATGTACCTGTGAGCTGACCGTGATTCTGTCAAACAAAGAATAATTGGGCTTCTCCAGACGAGTTAGTCGTAACAACCATCGGTAATGAGCGACTGATGTGGTTTGAATATTCATTTCTAGAGTTGGCCCCCCGAGAGCAGCTTGTCGTCAATTAAACAAGTCGGCCGGCTCGGCCGAGCGTGCATTGGGGCCGGGACCGGAACAACTGAGGGAGGAGTTAATGCTTGTGTCTGTTCGTAGTCTGTCAACGATGTCAAATTATTCCATGCTGTATAGCGGCATCCGGCATGGACTGGAGGCATCAGATTGACCATGTAGGACGAATACTTCACTGCTCTTTCATATTCACCACCAAGCATACCTATACCCTATGTGACTGTCCGCACGAGGACGAACTTGCATGTTATATTGCCATCTCGTCCTTCCGCGTCTACATCAAAGAACTTTTGTACTTCGTATACATGGAAGAATCGGTCTACTCGTCTGCGGATTGGAACGTGCTACGACTTGTCGTTTCACTGCCTGACGGCGTCGGATCAAGAGAGCTTGATGCAGCTTCAGTCCCGTCGTCCCGAGCCTTGCCCTTGCCCTTGCCCTTGCCCTTGCTGTTGTCTCCTCCACCGGGCTCATCGGGTATCTCTTCGTGCGCAGGGTTCTGGTCAGCATGGATATCTACATCTGCTTGCTGTGCTGTCTCAGCCTCGCGCGTTCGCTGCTCTTCCTCCTCGCGCTGTTGCCGCAAGCGTGCTTCTCGCGTAGCAACCATGCGCTCTCCAAGACCGGGCCACAAGCTGGCCACGAAGAGGGCCAAGGCTCTTTCCACGATGCGCAACTGGTCTCGCATCCAACTGACGTTCTCGTTATTATGGTTCTGGACAAGCCTCTCGGCAACCTGCTCCGGTGTCAATCCTGCGTTGCGACGGATCTGTTCCTCGCGTCTGCGCTCCTCCGGTAAGGGCAGTAGATTCTCAAAATGACGCCGTAGCATATCCACCGGGGCGTTGAAGACCCCGAGCTGGAAAAGATATATGGTGAGAGCAGCACCAATCATCATGAGTGGTCGTCGCCAGCCTGAACCCCCAGAGAACATGTAGAGGAAGAACAGTAGACGAGCAGCAAGCCATATATGCCCGGCAAGTGCCATACCTGCACCGTTCTGGGCGTTTTGCGGATTTTGTGCGTTTCTGCCTTGTGCACGCTGCTGTCGAAGATGTTCGAGACGCTGTTCAAGACGTTGGCGAATGGCCGCTTGTGCATCTGGCGCTTCGTTCTGGTCTTGTTGAGGAATGCGTGGAGCATTGGCTTGATCAGGAGCTGAAGCAGCCGGAAATTGCGGAGGCACGGGTAGTCCAGATGCTGGCCCTGCTGACGATGTAGGCATCGAGGAATCTAGAACGGAATCTATTCGAGTACTTGGCCCAGCGGTCGAAACGTCGAGTGGGAAGGAATCTGAGAGTCCTCCAGTTCGATAAGTACCCGACGATGATAATAACAGTGCATGTGGGCCATCTGGACCTCTTAGCAAGAACACCTGTGGTAAATATTCACTAGTTGTTCGGATATGGTCGAGTCTCGGTGTTGATGCGGTAGCGGCACCGTTTGATCGGGATGTAGTGTTGGGTTGGTGGTTACTACCAGGTCTTGCTGCGTTCTGCACACCTAATGAACCTGGTGGGGGCGAAGTGGAAAACTGCGAAGCTGGATTTTGAGGAGTCGTATAGTTTAACGCTTGCTCGACGCGAGCATGGTATGACTCGTAGGTCTCTAATATTGCGCGTAGGCGGTTGACTTCATCGGGTGTGCTTTCTTCTAAGCGTCCCCCGACATCGTCACGAATCGTTCGCATGTTCTCCGTTGCTCTCCGTATGGATTCCTCCGTAGAATTGGTCCGCATCACTTGAGGCCCTGTAGGAAATGGCGATCCTACTGTTGGCAGCGCAGACGGATGTTGCAGTGACGAAGAAGTTGGTGGTGGCCGTTGAAAGGGGTTGCTGGGTAGCCTAGACAACGGTGATGATCCCATGTATTCGTTCGGGTGGTGCGGGAATTGGTGGATCGTACGGTCCACGGTCATACTCCAGCGTGCACCACTCGGAGTTTCACCTTCTCGATAAATGTGTACGTTGCCAGGGACTTCACCTGGAATGGGCGAGTGGCCACCATTCTGCCTTGCAGCACCCTCGCTGCCATTAGCATTTGGAGTCACAGATCGAGCCTGCTCATGTCCAGTTCCAGTTCCAGCCGCTGCTCTCTGCTGATGCTGTTGGGCAATGACTTGTTGGAAGAAGTTGTTGGGGTCTATGCCAAAGCCTGGTACTGGAACACCTCCCAGCACCTCTTGAGGATGTCTACCGGTATTCACGGATCCATTCTGAACCGCAGCCATCTGCCTCGTTATCATCTCTGCAAACTCTGGTGGAAATGGTGGAGGGCCGCCTTGAACAATGTTGTGGTGATGTCCATGAACATGCACATGTGGCACACCAGGATGCGTACCCCGTTGGGGTGGTTGTTGTTGTTGTTGTTGTGGTTGTGGGCGCTGTTGAGCTTGCTGCTGTACACGAAAAGGGTTTCTGTCGGTTGAAGGTAGTGGAGAAGGAACTGTGGGAGGGCGATTGGCTTGATCGGTCTGAGCGCGGCCTTGGTCGGGTACGACAAGATGGATAGTTTGTTCTCGAGACTGTTTGACCTGATTCGCGTCAATAACAAGTCCGGAGACCTACTCAGGCACAGTCATTGGCGGCTTACATGATCAGCTCCAAAGATGTCTAGAAGCGTGTCCTGCATATTGAGCAGAACCCGTCCTAGGTATATCATGCGCAAGCGATCCAAGGCCGGGTTTGGTGAGAGGTCATCCTGGATCCTGGTCTTGAGGTCGAGAATGGTCGTAGTTACGGGCAGATTGGGATAGAAGAGCGTGGCATGAGAAGTGTTCGTCAGGATCTTTAGGTCAATCTGTTGTTGCGCAGCTTCGGCACCGGTATTGTTCGCCATGACGATGCTTTGGAGTAGATGCGGAAGACGTGAGAGTGTAAAAGAGTCAGCTCATTAGCGAAGATACAGCTTTTGCAGAGTGAGCAAAAGCCGCGATGTCTAACCTTGACTCTCGCACAGAAGCAGGCTCGCGCAAAGGTGAACACCGTGTCTGACAATCTGACCAGCTTGCACTTCACGAGGAAAGCCAGCGGCGGGCCCGACGAAGCTCCGGACGGGCTTGGCATCTCGGAGGCTATTATGGAGGCTACTGACATTCCGATGGCCTGCTAGTTGCCTTTAATACCTTAGCGTCCACCAGCAGCTCTTTTAATGTTTCTCACGTTCTGTCTATGTAACCGTCGCCAATCTTCTCGATATAATTTCATGTGATTCATCTTGATCTTCTCGATATGTTATAATGTTGATCGCGATGAAGGCAGCCCTGGAAATGAATACTAAAAAAGCCGTACATGTCTCTGCGCCATACTGCGAGGTGCTTTCTATAGCCCGAGCATTGTGATCAGTATATACGGCTTGAACTCGCAAAATACACACTGTCCAAATTTCAGATGGCTCATCTGTCTCAGCAGGAGATGCCACCTAGGCTAAACTCCGCGAATGAGTATACTGATCAGGACGCACCCAGCGCAAACTGGCCAATATGGTGGCTTAGCAGTCCCCGACTCAACAGTTGACTGATATTATGCAATAGATCATAGAGGACCGCAACAAGTTACACATGGACTGTTTTGAAGCGCTAGGCTGCAAGCACAAGCGGATCTCGGATGCTCTACACGCTTTGTGCTCCTATGGAACATGCGAGAATTGCCCAGCTCGTGCTAGTGCTGCAAAGCATAGTTTTGGAGACTATCGAGAGTTTCGGTATGAGCTGCCCGGTAAAACTCATTAGAGCAGGCCCGTACCAGAGGGGAGTCTGCTGGCGCGTCGTAGCACGAACTACGGCCGATAGAACCAGCCGGTACTGACGCCTTCGCCTCGTGAAGACAGTGTTGAAGACCTGTTGCTCCACCTCGTACCGAAACGGTCACCAATGGCTAGAGGAATGCCGAAGACGTCAGCCTCATTATGGTGGGTGATACCCACAGCGTTCGTGGCGTTCGTTTGGGTCCCCGTTTGAAACCCCGCCAGGTAATCCACAAATTGAACTATTGCGAAGCCATTTGAGGCATTTCAGCGTTGATGACAGGCGCCACAGCTTATGAGGGGTGCGTTAGTATGACAGGCTTGACATTAGCATTAGTAGGAAGTTGCGTGTTCTACAATGAGGCTTGCTTAGCAGTCAGTATTCCTGTTGTTGTTCGGCCACATGCCAGCATGCATGATACAGCGGAATGTGACAGTGGCAGATTTGGGTGGACGCCAGCTTGGATTGCGAGATCTCAAGCTTTGATCAAGACCGAAGTCTGTAGCGCCATGGCGGGAATGCGTCAGTGACCTAAAAATTAAAGGCCGTTGAGCTTTGAATAGTGGTCGTGGGCGGTTTCTCCGGTGGAACAGAGCTAGCAGTATAGTAAGCATGATACTATGCACGTCTCTCTACACGCAGATTAGCAGCGATGAATCGGACAAGCATGTCTCCTGCTACGGCCAGTAAATAGCGAGATAGCCTCTTGACGGTCGAATGAAGGTCGCGTTGGGTGGTTACGTTGACTGCCTCGAAGCGCGGAGAGAAAAGTTTGAGCAGCTGCCTGATGTCGTGACCAACAGCTGTTAGACGTGCACTGTGCTGGCATCCGGTTGGCTGGATTCAAGAATCTTCAATGAAGTCCCACAAAGGCGGAACCGAGAAACATGTTCTGGTAGTACGGTAAAGTACCTGGATCGTTCCGCCCTATCAAGATAATGATTCGAGAGGGTTGTTATCTACACGAATCGTTTTGCCCCGGCAAGATCGTCATGGATCAGCATGCTGCTTACGGCATGTGGTTAGATGCATCGACATTGACCTACTCGGGATCTTGTACTCGTGTTTTGCTTTTTCAAGGGTTTGCGGGAGCGGCCTGGGTATCTCGCGAGGTTTAATTTTGTTTTGTTTCAACGCGCGTAGATGGTAACACCACGTCTCAACCTGGCTGCCACGGCTTGAGATAGGTTATCAGAGAGTCATTGAAGCGTGTCCTGGAATACAAAGACGGATGTGAGGCCTGACGATGCGATTGTCTGATTCAGGACAAGCATGCTATGTGCATGAAGAATGTTTCATGTTGAGCTCGAAGGCTTATGAAGGACGGGCCGGGTGCAAGTCCGCCAGTGATGAGGATGTAAGATGATGAACCGTGCTGTCAGGTGCTTGTGTGCATATATAGGTAGCCGGAGCGGCACGTGTGATAGGGTGTCGAACAGGATGCATGCAGACAACCTTGGCTGCAGGCGTTTACCTTGATGCAGAGGTCAAAAAGTGGCAGTCGGAGCAGAAGTACATAATTCGTCCACTCTTTTTGAACTCGGAATCAGCTATTAGCGGCGCGCCCGAGCAGGTGGAGTTAATTGTTAGGTGATGAGAGTGGCAGCGGTAGCTGTGCAGCGATGTTTCGAGTAGCGGTGAAAGAAGTGGCTCAGACTGAGACTGAGACTGAGATGGAGATTCAGCCAGAGGATAAGGAAGAGTGTCCTAGGTCTACTACTAGGTAGGTACCAATTGAAGGTAGTCGTAGGTAATATGATGTTTATTACTATTACTACTTGAGCGAGCTGTATAGAAGGGTTCAGGGTCAGTCAGGACTAAAGGACGGCAAATGGCCACGCTATCCACCGTATTCCCGACAGACATGACTGTTTTCAGATGGCGTCAATAATCATGATCATGGAATAATGCCGGTGCCACACATATTGATTGAATCGAAGATGGCTAACCTTGATCCGCAGACAATAGTACATATGAGGACGACTAGGTCTAGCACATGCTCAAGCTCCGTGAAGCAGCGTCACCGTGTCGTCCATATCCCTTCCCATAGGGTCCATTTAATATATTGAGGGACTGGAAAGCGGGGATTTAAGCGGCGTCGGCTTACAGGAACACTAGGCCTATCCATGAAGCGAAAGGCACATGGGCTCTGATATGCAGCCATGCATAGAGAAGACATTTATGATTACGGGTTTGAGGATGTAGGGAGGCACGTTATATGTCGAGATGGTCCATCGTCCTAAGACGGCCAAATATGCGTCCATGTATAGCTGCCACACAGTAATAGGCAGATAATACTGGCGAGAGATTTGCTGGTATGCAGAATCATTCCGATGGAAGATTAATAGGGTTATGCACAGTGGCGATCGGATCTACTCGTGAACGGTTGGCAGCGTGGTGCATGGAGTGTGTGTGTGCATTGCACGTACATAAAAATAGGCCGAATGGGCTGGCGTGATGGTAAAGAGGTGTAGATAGGAGAGAGGCTTCGCCACCGGTTTTTGATGAAACGTAGCCTCTCTTGCACTCACACCAAGTCGAACGTTACATGCTTGGCTTGGTCTATACGTAGCATAAAGTATATATAATCAGCTTCCAAAGCCATCTGCTCTGTGTCGGAACCATCATATCATGGTCGCACGCAGATACACACAGTAACGTCGCAGCCCTTATCCGGCCACTAGACAGGGGCATTTTCAGGAAAAGATAAATATTCAACGGTTCGGCGATATGCAAGCTGGAGCCGACGCTGAGCCTATTTCCAGGTCGAGGGTGTGAGCATAGTAAATACACAATAATTTGTGGTCTCATTGCAGCCTCGTACCTAGCCTGTGCCTGTGAGGTGGATGGAGTGAGGACTTTAACTGGACCACACACACAAGCGGGAGCTTTTCTGGGGGGGGGGGGAGGGGGCGCGGAGGGGCTCAGAGCGGCAGTGATAGCTAGGTCTTAGGGATGTATTGAGGGATGATGGGCTGGTCTGACACGCCATTTTCGCGGGCTGTTCGGGCGAGAGGGAGGGGGCGGGCAGCTTTGGGTTTTAGGTGTAATACAGTATTACTGAGTACAGTAGTTAATTAGTTGGCTCTGGCTCAGGCTCAGACGGCAGCGAGGAGTAGTCAAGAGCCTCACCAGAACAACCAAAAAGGGGCGGGTGCAGGTGCGGGTGCTGCAACAGTGTGCCCTGTGCGGGCTGGGTGTGCGCTAATTGATAGCGAGCTAGACGCCAAATCACACCACTACCACCACCACCACCACCAACGTCTAGCCACCCCCATTTACAAACATCTAGCGCCAATCTGGACACCATCCGGGCACCATCCCGGCCCAAGGGCAAGACTCACTAGCTGCCCGCCCGCAGCATCATGCTCGGCAAGGGGGTGGTGGGCTCTGTGCTTGGCCAGGTGTCCAATTCCCCATCATTCCTGGCATAATGAGAGCATGAGCGTGAGCGTGAGCGAGAGCCTTGAAGATGTTGTACTCATCATTCATCATATATACAGCACAATTGGATTGGGGTCTAGTGCACTTGTCCCTTAGTTAGTCATATCAGGGCCCAAACAAAAGGGGTTTAAGGGTTTGGTTGGGGGAGGGGGGGGAAGGGGGGTTGGAATGAGGCTTAGGACAGTGCAGATGGAGGAAGAGGAGTAAGGTGTGAATTAGTAGAGTAAATAAGTAGTAGGTAAGTAACAGGTAATAGTAGGTACAGTAGTCGTACAGTTAGTAGGTAGTAAATAGTAATTAATAGTAGGTAGGAGCGAGCCCAGGAGAGTGAGCATCAGCACTCAGGAGGACCCTGGGGACCTGGTCGAATAACAGAAACCGGGACTTGCGACAGCCAAAATCCAAAAAATCCTCGTCGCTCTACTACTCTCACACACACACACACACTTCCACATCCTTCACATCTTCTCTTCCCCCCATCTCGACAAACACCCATCCAGCAACGTCTCTCTCACTTAGTTTATTCTTTCTGCTCGATTCTTCTTCGTGTTTTTCGTTCGTGTCTGTTCCGTCTCGCTCGGCTCGTCGTCTGCACCAGAGTCCTCTGAGCGAAGTGTTGGCCGCGTCCTCACCCCTTTCACGACTGTCCAATGCTCTTCTAACGGATCCCTTCTCCGCCTCCACGGAAGGCCGTGAGATCGACTTCGTTGCTCAACGACTCCTTCTCCCATCGCCTACCATCTCGGCTGCTTTCCATTCTACCTTCTGTGTTAATAGACAGTTACGGCTTCGCCTTTATTTGCTTCTCCCTTAATATCTGTCGCCCACCGGTCGCTACAAACAGGTGAAAGTCGGAAGGGGGTACGTAACCTCTCTCTATCTCTCTCTCGTCTCCCTCTCTCCTCTCCCTCAAGCAGAACACGTCGGTCCTTGTCTGCACAACGACTTCTTAACCTTCTTCAACATCTCCAATGCCTTGCCCATACATCATTGCAGCTTCGTGCTAATTAGCTCTCCCTTCTGCAGCTCACCTTTCGTTACCGTTCTGGAAACGACATCCACTCTGCTCATCACTTCCTTGCTGAAACAAGGAATTGAGCTAGCGGTTGCTTAACACACTGGTCTTCACTCACGCTCCGATGGCTGAGGTACTTGCACCGATAATACAACAATCCGGTTCCATGACCATGCTTCATTCTCCTTCGGATGCCTTCCAGAAAACCTCCCAGCCTTCACATTCCTCTCGCTCAAACCAGATGCCGCGAACACATACATACAATAGTCAAAATGGAGGATCAGGATATAGAGGCACTTCAGCTGCTCCTGTGGCTCCATACGCCTTCTCAGCGACGCCCCAGTTACGGCAGGAGCAACATCGCACTTTGTCTGCCCCGTCTGTCCCACTTGTGAACCCAGGCACATCTGGTAACATGAACCCAAGACAGTGGCAGCCAAGTCATGTCTCCACCGCGTCAGACTCTACAGCGTCTACGGTGTCGTCTGGCAATTCAGTTTCGGCAGCGAAAGGCGATGCTTCCAAGACTGAAAAATCGTCAACAATTCCACCTTTCGCCGCCGCTCCAGACCTCTCACTCGCCTTCGATTCTGTCTCGAAGCCTTCGCCCGATCGTTATCGTCGCTCTGCTCGCCGTACAGAGCAAGGAAGTTCATCCTCTTTGCCCATAACACCACCTACCATGTCCAGGTCTGCCATGCCTTCTGGTTCAGGCATGCCCAATGTCGCGCATCTTTACAATCTCAACGTACAGCAACCTATTGCACCTGTCCATCATCGCACTACCAGCGTCGATGACTTGCACGTACGCACTGGGGCCTCAGATCAGGCAAAGAGATACAGACGACGAAGTTTGGGTGGACTAGACGGAGACGCTTTCACGAATGCTCCTCGATTCGTTCAGCCTACCACGAAGGCTGTAGAAAAACCTCCGATCAAAGGCCCAGACTCGAATGACGCTAGGCGATCACCGAATGCCGATCGACCGGCTAGCCATACAAGACAAGGTAGTCATGATAGCGGGTCTTCTCACCGACCGTCCTCGAGGGCCTCGTCACGCCCATCTTCAGTGAGTCTCCTTCAATTCTAACTTCATCATCTGCGTCATTGAACCAGATGACTAACATTGGGCAGTCGAAACAAGACCAAACGAGGCCAGCGTCTTCTGCAGGCTCACGAAGCGACCAAAGGAACATCAACATTCCCCCTCGAGGCTCTTCGGATGCCAACAAGCGCCTCGTCGCACCCTCCCCATTGTCTAAGCCAATGTCCAGCGGCGAAACTGACTCAGTCACGCCATCCACTCCTACCGAGACTCCACAAAGTCCAGCTGTTCAGCGGCTCACGGCTTTGAACGATGGAAAGGCTGATAACAAGGGGATGAAGTCGAGGCTTCGAAGAGCCTTTTCATTTGGTTCTGCTGCCGAGTTACGACGAGCCACTGCAGAGAACAATCTGACATCTGAAAGAGCAAAGCTTCGAAAGGAAGGGCCCCACGACGAACTTGACCCCGAAGATGCTGCCATTGCTGCAAAGCAAGAAGCTGCTGGCATTGGTGCCGGTATCTACTCTGGACAAGGTGGGTTCTCGGGCTCAACCGATAATCTGTCTATCTCTTCAACGGCTTCTTCGGCCTCTATAATGCTCCGAAAGATGGGCAAGGGCATGAAGAAGGGTGGTCGCTCCATCAAAGGGCTTTTCAGGCCAAAGTCTGTCATTGGAGTCCCGGCTGCGGATACTGCGCTTGCGCAACCTAGCCAAGCCCAAGTCTCCATGGTCACAGTCGAAGCTGAAAGGGAAAAGGTCAATGTCAATGCCGACCCGCACGATCAAGTCGGGGGTGGTACTGCTTATCCGAAACTAGAGCGTAATTCCATCGATGCCTCTACAGTGACGGATGTTGGACGTCCTTCGTCGATGCGGGGTCAGGCTGGTGATGCATCTGGTCGGAAGAGCATTATGGGAGGGGATCGCGAGCGTGCTGAAGTACTGGCTGGTATCAGGAAGGGCATCCTTAAACGTGAGTACTAATTCGCTCAATTTTGGTCGGGAGCATGACTGAACGTGTAAAGGTCCGATGGACGGTTCTTCTCCCATCCTTCGGCCCGTCGATGGGCTGCAACAGGTTGAGACACCGGTGTCGAGTGCCCCCAGTACCCCCAAGGATGATCACTCTCGTCCTGTGCAACTTCCCATTACCGAAGATTACTTCAATGGCATACCACGCTTCGGAAATTCCAGCACGAAAAGTCTGCCAAACACACCCAACTCCCGTAACATCTCGTTCAGTCCGCGCATACAGTTCCACGACGCTTGGTCCAGCTCTGAATATGATCGCAGGGGTGATGTTGCGACTTGCAATAGGCTCACACCAATGCTAGCGCAACAGATCAAGGAGGAGCTCAACTCTTTCAAAATGGTACGTCACAGCCTGTTTGAACGCGCTACAGCCCGGAAGCTTACATGTCTTTGTAGGAAATGGAAGTTCACGAACTCTCGAAACCACACACGCATTTCTTCTAATGACCACGCATCATCCCTCAGGGATATTCACGGCGTCTTGGCGATATTTTCAACCTTACTGTTTGGTCGGGTTTTTGTGCAAGCAGCATTTACGAGTCCACTCGCAACCTCTGCTTTGTTTCTTTCAACGTCTTCTGGCTATGAAGGTTATTGTCATTTGCGCATGTATTCAGCCGAAGATGTTCGCAGTGCATTTTGAGCGCACGACACGGGAGTGACGATGACGCGAAGAGAGATTTAAGCACAACCGGTCACGTATCTAACCGATGCGTCGTCCAGTGTTATCGGTCTCATTGAGGATGGCTGATGGATTCGCTAGCGTAGCTCATTCGTATTCGTCCTCCTTTCGTCAAAGTCGTAGCTCCGCAGCTACTTCTGTCCACTGTCGCTCATATCTCTCTTTTATTGCTGTCTGCTCCTGCTAGAAATGAGCTGCTGTGTCATCCCTCTCCTTCGGGGCAGCTAGAGCGAAAAGCATATCTGTAAAGGCAGTACTGGTTCACTATAAGCCTGCATCTGCCATTCGGGAGGTCTTAGTTTTGGACGGTTTGGAGGATCATATTCTCAAATGGGAGATAGCAGTAAGGGGATCCGAGGATAAGGAAAACACCTGAAAGAATCGCTCGAGCTTGTGGCAATCCATTTGCCATGAGATCAGAGCTCATCAATAATAAATTACTGCCGGTTTTGGGAGCTTCTCCATATTGTCTTTCTTGAACCGTGCTGAGACATCTCTTTGCTACTGTGCTTGCTCACCAGACAGCAACACGCCAACAACAATATGTGCTTCGCTCAAAGATCAGCATCATGGTCACTGGTCAGGAGTATCGTGGCTGACCTGCCCTGCCCTGCATGCACTGAAGTGGTGCGTGCGTGCATGCGTGCATGCTTGATTCGTCACGTAATTAACGTTAGAATCGTCACGTAACTGTAGCAGCTAGTGCCGGTCCCCCTCCCTACCTTAATTAATTATTAATAATAATCGGGCTTTGTCTTCCTACTAATTATTTAGTGACTGTTCTAAACTCAAATAATTTTAGCTTGTTTCGCACCACCACCACCACAGACAGAATAAGTCAGGGGCGCGGGAACAACCTGTGCCGCCGCCGCTGCCGCCGCCGTCGTTGCTGTCGTCGCTTGACTGACTCTTGAGACGTCGTCGCTTTAGTTAATTGATTAGTGGCGGTGTTTTTTGAGTCCGTGGAGCGTGTGGTTAATTTAGTACTCTGTAGGTATGTAGAGGTAGGTATGTAGAAGAAAGAAGTAGAGGGGTGAATTTAGAGGTAATTAGAGGGAGCAGCAGCAGGAGTAGTAGCAGCAGCCACTACTTACTTGATAAAGAGCTTTTTAAACTCTGACCTTGACTTGATTAACTGGTTTTATTTTACTTTTCGACTTATTACTTACTGCAGGTGCGCCCTTGTTGCTTGCTGCTGATGAACCATGAGGCAGGCGGGTGGGTATTGTATTCTTTGTCCGGGGGTTCTAGTGAATTCACGTTGTGGATGGGATTGGGGCATTATGTGGAATGGAGGTGCGGAGTAGGGAGTAGGAGATGTTGAGACTTGTATTTTATATGTATATATGTATATATATATAGACAGACATATACGTAAAGGACGTGAGTAACAGGCAGGAAATACGCCAAACCACAAGCATTGCTACATTCGTTCTATCCATCAGCATAAACACACCACCGACAGCCTAGGCTTTTGACAAGAGATATCCTGTGCTGATGGCTCCACAGGGCTTTGCTCGCCAGCAGGTCTATTGGAGTATTAGGGTGCATGCAGTAGCAAAAGAGGATGATATAGGAGAATGTTGTTATACGCTATACTACTAAAGTCCGAGATTCGCTGCATTTCATGGAGAGGGACATGTCCAAGACCTGATATGGAACGGCTATTGGGATTTTGTGGGTAGAGGACGCACCACATGGTTGGTACCTTGAATACACTGAAGGTTATGCAATATATGGGCTCGAAAGATATGCATTCTCGCATAGCGGATTTGTTTAGATTCCAGACTGTGCTTGTTTTCCAGACTGTGCTATTGTTGGGAGTGGAGGTGAAATTGTGCACTGTGAGGATAGAGTGGATATGGGACTTTTTGGAAACATGGCTTGGTGATATATATGTGGCTATCAGTTCTCTGTCCTGAATTTTGACGAAGCAGCATCATGTTGAAGACTGCGTAGAGTTTGTGTGCGCGTCATACATCCAACGAAGAATGACAGATCATGTATAAATAAAGGGGACGTTGCTGAAGGCACGAATCCACCACAGGTAACAGGCAAACAGTTGGTGTATCAATCGGATGGCTCTCAAATACGTCAATAACACTCAGAATTGATTCCACATTTAGCACTGTCTGAATTGTGATCAGGCAAAATTATTAACTTGGAAAGCTGTGCGTAATCATTTGTATAGCTGACTGCCATATCACTGCCAGACTGACTGAGGAATACCAAGGGAGAACGGCACACAATCCTATCCACTCCCCTTTCATGTTCATGTTCACATCCATGCTCTCATAAGACCCATCATCTGCTTCACAGACTTGCCTTTCCCTGACTCTCAAACGGCAGTATAAGCACTAGCAAGCCCGCTGCGATAAACAAAGCCCCGCTTGTGTACACCGGTGCACTTGTCTCCAAGTCGCTATAAATCGCGATAATAGGCGCCATGATACCAAATATGCGATTCGCCGTGGCCGTCAAAGCATTCCCTGTCCCACGATCTTTTGTTGGGAAGATCTCGGGCGTGTACGCATACAATACTGCATACATGACGTTGCTGCAGAAATTGAACGCGCAATTCCAGCCAAGCAGCTGATTCGATGTAACAGCTGTTGTTGAAGCGTAGAGGAACACACCTGTCGCGACAGTGGACAAAGCGAGAGTACCTTTGCGTCCGAAACGTGGAAGGTCGACGAGGAAGCCTCCTAGTATGGCCCCTGGGACGCCAAGCACTGCGATAATCAGAGAGTTACGGTAGGTGATATACGTCGAACCGTCACCAAAGTCAAGGCCACGTTGCCGCTGAATGAAGGGAAGGAATGCCTTGAAAGGTCAGTCATGAAACCACGTAGTCGACAATGTCGCCTACATTGTAGAGGGGAAAAGCTAGCCCGATGAACCCCCAGATAAGTATAATGAGAGTAGTGGAGAATCCCATCTTCTTTGTTCTATATAGAGCACGAACATGATCAGCGTTGAGCTTCTCGAGACGTCTTTTGATGGCAGCGGTCGCAGCAGTTTCTTGTATCGTGCCTTCGGGTTCGACAGCCTGTAGATCTTCAATCGTCACTATACAATGTTAGTCATCGATAACCACGGGGCGCCGGTAGGCTTCATGGAAATTGCGCACGGTTCGATGTCCTCCCGTTGCGTCTTGCAACCTCATGAACAATCTTGACAGCCTCTTCGTTACGCCCTTTGCCCATCAAGTACTTTGGAGATTCGTAGATAGTGAAGCAACCAAACCGTACGAGGAACATGATCATGGCCAGACCACCCATGCAGATCACGAAGTATCTCCACCCCATGTTCTGCGACCTCGTACAGCCTGCAGCCTCTTCACAGCTCATATTCCCCAGAAGGGGCCATGCAATCAGGTTTGCGACGACCTGTGCAAAAGCCCAGTTAATGGAGAGAACCGTGAGGAGATACTGATGACTTCCTGGCAAGAATTCGAGGAAGATGGCCGAGTCAACAGGGAGGTTTCCCCCAACACCGAAGCTCCACAGGGCCGCAAAACAACCGATTGCAGCAAAGTTGGGCGAGCTTGCAGCGATCAGACCGAAGACGCTGGTGATGCCCAGAGTGAGATTGAAACCCCAACGGCGCCCAAATATGTCGCATCCAAAACCCCAGAACATGGCGCCGGCGAGAAGCCCAATGTTCTGAGAAAGAGATAGCAATGGGGGCTTGCTGGGGTTGAATTCGCTGGCGATTGATGGTACTAAGTGAATTAGTATTTTGCTCAAGTTGCCGGTCGAACAGGTCCATTTCGATGGAACCATCGCAGCATAGGCTTACGAATGAGTGAGGTAACTGCCTGTTGTGAGCCTCTGTCATTCAAGCTGGGATCTAAAAGTCCACTACATACCAACAGGCCAAGCGTTGTCGCTCGCCCAACCGAAGCCGACTACAATGAAGAGTTGCCATTGATACCATCTCATCAGCGAGTCAGTATTGTTGTTGGCATAGTGTGTGAATGACTCGATACGAGTCGAACATACCCCATCCCAATGTCCTGGATCTGCACATGGGTTAACAGATCCCGAGAATCGGAGCGACAAAGATTCTACTATCACTTACTGCCGCGTTGAGTATTTTCGCTTTTGCTTCATACACTGGATCTAGTTGTCCCGGAAGAGCCGCCGCCGGACCTTCACCCTCTCGGACAGAGCTAGGCGACCTTGTCACCTCATAAGTCTTGTTATCTGCTTCGGCGCCGGTTGGCGATGCAGTGGAATCAACCATTTCACCACCCTTTGCTAGCAATAGTGCATGAAAGCGGCTCAGGAAATTCGACACGCGATTCGGTGCAGAAGCGTCGTTTATCAGGCCGGAAACCTGCTGCGATGGCGCCATCGAGGAGATGGATGCGCTATGTCTGAAGCGGCAATATGGAAGACGATCGTCGTGGCGCTATTATAGTGAGCTGGAGTACATAATACGTAGCTGCTTATGTTTACAGGTTGTGCACCTACACGGTAAATCTCGCTTCTTTTCCTTTATCGCTATTGCACTTGCCCAGGTGATGAGTCCTAGGATCCGTAGATACTCGGTCCCAGGTTCTCAGATACGTATGAAGCGTGAAGCAAAAAATATGGAATTGTTCAATGGCTCGCTTATAATCAATCTAGTATAATTCGATCATAGTACGTTCTATTTATAACCCTTCGGACAGGTCAACACGAAGTTTCATCTATTTATTCGGGGCTCAAGTCTTCCTCAGTTAGTGTGAGAGAGCACTGAATTTGCGCAATGTCAAAGAGAATCATATATTGATGCTTCCGCAGTCACCAACGTTTACCGTGCCTTGAACTACCAAAACCCTGAGCGCTAAGTACACAGTAATTAAACAAATTTTCCGCATATGATCAGAGATGACAGATACGAAAAGAAAGAGACCGGGTATCCTAGTTATCTGGGGTATGCTGGGGTGTTGTTGGTGTATCGTGCTTCAACAGTGCCCGTTGTAATGAATCAGTGTCCGTTGCAATAAGTCAGTGTTCGCTGTAAATCAGTGTTCGCTGCAAATCAGTGTTCGCTGTAAATCAGTGTTCGTTATAAAAAGTCAGTGTTCGCTGCAACAAATCAGCGTCCGTTAGAGCAAATCAGTGTTCGTTGCAATATACCAGTGTATCGTTGAGATGAACCAAGGCTCACGCAAAACGTGTATCGCAGAAGATGTATCGCGAAGGTGTAGTACAAATGTGCTTCGTGAAGAGTCACACCGAATCGTACTCCGCCTTTGGAATGAAGACCAATTCAAGTTATCGCTTCGAGAGCCTCATCATCACAAACATCTTGAACGGCATCGGCCCGCTCGTCTATGCTTTCGTCCACCACACGGTTTGAGGCTACCTTCCGAGGCTTCAGAGACATCCACATCTTTTGTTCGAGGAATCGCGTCCGTCCAGAAGAGACTGCTTTGATATAGCACAGCTCTAAGCCAGCCATGCGGAAGGCAAGCGACTGCGACTTGTTGATCTTACCTAGACATCGGATAAACAGTGCCGAAGCTTTCAGTAACGACCATTCTGAAGGAGCTCCTGAAGCAACAGGTCTAAGCAGTCGTGAGACAACACGGTCCTCTTTGTTTATCGGGTAGACGTTTCGATATCCATCAAAACATTCTTTGATGCATGCACCGATCTCATCCTTTGTATCCATATCCTTCGTCATGATGCTATTCCAATACTCGAGAATCTTTCCCAACCTGCCATCGATATGCTTGATTTCGATCTGCATCACTTTGTCATTACTCTCACTACGAGAAGCACGATATCTCTCATCGTCGTAAGGCTTCGACAGGGCAACATCCTCTGCCTTGGCCTTCTGCAGAATATTGGAAACCTGTAAGATGGTTTCTTCAATGTGTGGGATCATTAGCTCAAAGAAGAGGTCGTCGTTGACATTCTTGACATGCTGATTCTTATGCGACATAATTTCCGGAATCAATTTGCTATTCCATTTCGACTGTGCAATATGCTTCATTGCTCTTTTGTATGCTGGATCGCTGCTTGACTCGTTCAATTTGATATCACCAAACGATTTTTTGAGCCGATTGAACCTCCCGTTATCATAAGAATAGCCATTCTTCATGCAGTCAACTAAGAGGTCATGAATATCGCATAAGACTTCAGTCTTCGGAGATCTGATGGTCCCCTCGGCATAGCATAATTTCTCATGGGTCAGTGTAACCACCCCTAAGAGGTTTTGCTTCAGTCGAAAGTCGAACGCCTCCCGAATAAAGTGAGAGACCGAATGTTCCTTGCGCATTACTTCCTTTAGACTCCGCTGGTCGACTGAGATCTCATAGTCTGCTGGAGTCGGATTTTCGACGGGTGCCGGGGCATTCATGAAGAAGTTTGTAAAATCCTCTTCCCAGCATATCCAGAAAGTGTCACCGTCGTAGTCACCACCTTGTAGTTTGTTCGCAAGTGCGTGCCTGCCTTTGCAAGGAAATACGACAACATCGTAAAGGTGTCGGAGCTTTTCTTTGGAGACAATTCTGACCTTTTGGAGATCTGATCTTCTGAGTGCCGGGTTCCTGGCCACGAGTGCTTCTGTCTTTTCAAAAGACGTCCGAGACTGCCCAGTACTGATATCGTGGAAAGGCTTGCGAAATTGAATGAATATCTCGCCAGGTTCCAAGACCATGTAAGGATCGACAATGCCGATAGCAATCGTACTCTTCGCTACTGGCAAACGGAAATACTTAGCGGTGTCCAATAGGTTGGGGAAAATGATGCTTTGGGCTAAGTTGGCAAGGTGTTTGAACTCGGTGGGCTTGAAACCAGCTCCAATCATAGCTTTCACACACTCCGTATGGGAGGAATAGAATCCTGCCTGGATACTGGTTTCGCCATTGTGGTCCATATATGTCCCGCACGTATCCTCAATCCATTTTTGAAGTAGCAGTCCGGAATCATCTGGCGACTTCAGAATATCCAGAATTGTCTGACGCTGTAGGTCCATCGAATGCTTCAGAGTTCTCGTGATATACTCAACACTGACCCCTCGATCTGTGAGAATTGGCAAGAACCCTTGATATAGCGCTGCAGGTTGGAGAGGCCGGCTATAAGTCACCATTTCAAACGTGAGTCGATCTTTGTCGAATGTCTTGTCAGAGGAGTCACGGAGATGAGCCTTGAACTTCAGTTGACTCGGGCGAATCTCGATCCACACATCTGTATCCTCAACGCGATCTGTGGAGCCATCGACAAACCAGACACCCTTCGCTCCGCCAATTCGTGCTTGGAAGGCGCTTGGGACTGGTCCCGACTCATTGGCTAATTTCCATATCTGCCTAGCAGCTTCAGAGGATATTCTGGCACATCCATCTGTCATGTCCATGCCTGGTTTGGGCCTGGGGGACCAGTCCAGCTTCTGGTCGTTGAAAGCTGTACATTCGGGTGTGCCGTCGGCTTTGATATCAGGTATGAATTTCACCTGGCTCGGCTTGAAAACCAGTAACGGTATGGTGCGCGAGAAGCCCAGATCCAGTCGTGCAAAAGCCTTCAAATAGTTCTTGTCATTGTTGAGCGACAAAGGCATAAACCAATTGATCAGATCAAAGAGATTCATCTCAGCGTGCATTGGCGGTCTCTTTCCTGCAATAGAACCCAAGAGTTGCTGAGGCATTCGTGGTAATATCCCGCAGCCGGACATAGCGAATAAGATTATACGGTATTTTGACGCTTCATTCTTGAGCCGTGCCGTTTTGCTTGTTTTCGTCTCTTGTAGGTGAACTGCCCGCCACACGCGACCAGCGAAACTATGATTCGTGCGGAGCCATTCTTTAAATCGTGTTACGAATTTGTCTTCGTACATCCCCAATCCCTTTGGCATGCCTCTTGAAGTAGGAAAGGTGATGTATAGAAATCTATCTGATCCAAAGACTCTTTGGAAACGGCATGAGATCTCCTTAACCGGTGGTTCGAGTTCAAGTCTACAAAGAGATCGTTCATTGCGGCTGTTAAAAATGACGTTACCCTTCAGGGTATATTGTCCAGGTTCTTCAGAAGAGCATGGCCACAATGTCTTGGGTCCCCGTGATACTCTTTTAGGTAGTCCTTCTATGCGTGTCCAGAAGCTATCCCAGGCAATCGGTACTTCAGTGGAGAATTTTGCAATGACCTCATCAGGCGGTAGCTTGTTCACTAGAGCAGCCCGAGTACACTCGAAGTGAGTAAGGAAGTCCAAGAAGCCAAATTTATCCGATATAGTGTCAACGAAAAGATTTTGCTTATATAGATTTCGAATATAATGTGGCTCTAAAGCAGACTCTAGAGGTCGGTCGCCATCGATTGGGCTTGTGTCGTCTGCTGCGCTGGGAGATAACAGAAGATTGAGTTCCAGGTCACCCATCGAGCTTGCCAGGGGGGGCTTGGGCTGTAGATGAGCTTGCTCCCGTAGATCGATATCAGCGAAAATCGCCTCATTGTCGAAACGAGATTGGTCCGTAGCTAAGCTCCTTGGTGGAATAGTGATTTCTGTATCATTGGTCCCGTTGGATGTGAAAGACGTGATGAAAGATGTGATAGCTGGTGTGGCAGAAGCAAAGGAGGTCACATTCGATGTTGGAATCTCACTTCTCTGGGGAGAGCTGCTGCGTCTACCATTGGTGGTACGGGTGAATTTCTCGGAATATGAATGCTCCACAGGGTCCTCTGAACATCTTTTTCGCGACGGGGACAGGTCTGGGTACTCTACTGGAGAATATGGTCTCGGGAACCTAGGCGAGCCATGGCATGCTGGAGTAGGCGACTCGGGAGCCGTTTCGAAATCGGACTCTTCAGAACTTGGAGGTGTCGTAGGTATAATGTCAATGGCCGTCAAGTGCTCGCTCTTGCGTTCAAGCCTTTCAATCAGGACTGTAGTATTTGATTGCAAGCCAGACCGAATACCTAACTTATTTAGACAAACCTAACAGTTTTAATTATTGGAAGCTAGCGTACCTTCAAAGTTAGGTTGTCGAAGGTCAAAAGCATGTTCATGCTGCTTGGTAAGGCTATGAATTGCTCGATCTTCTGAGCGGCTAGGCTTGCCTGGAGTGCGTATCTCATCGTAGGCTAGTTGCAGTTTGCTTGCGAGGAGCTTCGTCCTCTCTGATTGCTGTAGATCCGGACGCGCTTGAAGTTGGAGGATGTCCTCCAGCGTCTTTCGTCTTTTGTAGTAAATAAACTTGATCAAGTTCACACATTTCTCCTCGGAGGATGATTTGCCGCCGAGCGAGTTGTTGCTTTGTGGCGACCAGGTCTCACTACGAGTCGGTAGCTCTAACTTAAAGGCTGTTTTGAACTTTTCTACGAAGTGGTTTACTTCTTCGTGGTCCCTCTTGCGTGGGGTGTTGAGCTTCAGATTAGCAGTCATCTCAGCCTGACGCACGAAATATTTGTCTCTTAACCAAGAAAAAGTTCTGTATGATTGAAAGCAGTTCAATCGTCGACCCACACCGGCAGTAATATTTAAGCTATAGAGCGTTAACGATATTGTTGATGTGAATGTGAGTTAATGGTCAGAAAACCTCAGGCTGAAAATGGTGGAGTAAGTAGGCAAGGGACCAGCCGCGAGCTAACTAAATGAGGATTAAAGCGTGTCTAGCCGCCCGCCGCGTTCCAAACTTTAGCGCCCACTGTTATGTCGCGCGATCCCGTGACTTTGAATATTGCATAATTTGCACAAGAGTTATTCGGTTGAGGATGTTGTCAACAAGGATATGTGATTATCTGAGGCCCCCGAAGAGGGACACAGCCTAGATGTGGTAGTATATAAGCAGCTGTAGTCACGACTACATCCCGTGTATTTTATGCAACCATTTCCGAACCCCGGCTTCACGACGCAGCTTAGACCTTCATTTCAGTAAGGCCATGCTTCCAGACGACTACGTAGGGAGTGACGCCATCTTCACGGTAGTTGAGAAGAACAATACTATAAGAGATTCGTTAGGAGGCGGTTAGCATCAAGATACTCCTGGTACTCACAGTCCCTCCGGGTTCATGGATTCGCCCATGAAAAATTGCCAGTCCTTAAAGTTCTTTTTGACCTGTCCGGCGAATTTGGCAGCGCCCTGCTCGAAGGCCTTGATCTCTGATTCGGGCGTGCCTTTTTCTGTCAAGGCCTCCTTGACTTTCTTCATAAACTCTGCAGAGTGTCAGGTAAGACTACGCGATGTGGTATTTGGAGGCGATCGTATATCATACTCTTGAGGTCGCTCAAGTATTCCGAGGCCTTGCCGTACGGTACTTCAGTGAGTCGGAACGAGTGGATCACATCGATAACAGTTTGGGCGTTATCCTCGACACCCTCATCGTCGCCACCTTCGGCAGAAGCATTGGCGCCAATATCTGCAGAGGAAGGATTTTAGCCGGAGTTCAAAACATGGGTGTCAGTATGTGGACATAACCCACCTACGTCGACAGCCCCAAGTGTGATTTGTTTGCAGTCAGCCTCGTAGATGACGCCGTCGATCTCCTTTAAATCGTAAGAGTCGGAGATAATCTCGTCACCAGTGATGATGTCCTACGGAAGCGCATGTCAGAAGGCTTGGTATTGAATGTTAAGTGAGTAGATCAAGGTAGCAGATACACCAGCAGGTTGAATTGCACGCCTGAGTACGTGAAATCCCCTTATTGACGAAGACATACCTTGTAGATGAGCATGATGGGCGACTTGTGAAGTTTTCAATGTGTGGAGGGCAATTCGAGGTGGACAGGACCGGGCGCAGAGAAAGGACTGTACACTATTACTTTATACGATTGCGGCGCCAGGTGAGGGGAAAAATATTTTGGTGGGGTCGAATCGTTGTGCCTAAGGCACAATATGGAAGATGCACAGTGGCAAGTCACGTGTACGTAGTCGAGCCATCATTTTGAGGAGGCATCCGGGCCCCATGAGATAGATTCAAGGTTATTAGCAATCTCACCAGCTGCTCTTCCAACACTCCTTCTTTCACCTCACTTTCGCTACCTCTTCACCGCTTCTTCTCACACACTCTCTTCATCCTTTTCAGGACTCTTAAGGCTTTCTTTCCCCTGTTCACTACTTCGCATTGAAACACTACTCCTTCCAGAACCGCAATCTCCTTACCACGGAGCCCAGTCTTCCTTAGCAAGCTATCGCGACCACTCGCCATCACCCCTGGACATACGTTCGTGATCTTTCAGTCTGAAACTTACGCTTTGCATCACATTGTTTTCGTTGAAGAGCGTCATAGGTCATGGCCGCCAATTATTCGAGCCCGTATGAGCTTCCGCCACTTCCCGAATACACATTGCGCCCTCAGCCTCCAGTAGTTTCTTGGATACCCGACAGTTATCTTACGCTCATACTGCCCATAATTGGATACTGGGTTGTATCACTATTCTTTCACTTCATCGACGTCTACGACCTCTTCCCACAATACCGTCTGCACACACCGGTCGAGCTTCTGAAGCGCAACCACGCGTCGAGATGGGACGTCCTCCGAGACGTCATTCTTCAACAAATCATACAAACTTTGTTTGGCCTCGTGCTTGCACAACTGGATGGAGAGTCTTTCTATGGTAAAGAGGAGTATGATGTCTCTGTGTGGGCACAACGGATCCGGATTGCTCAGCGCGTGATTCCAAGCGCCCTTGCGTTTGTCGGCATCGATGCGATTGGACTCTCTATAAAAGTCGCCGCATCGCACAAGATCCTGGCCGGTGTCATTGCTGGCGGACAGTACCCTTGGCTCTCTCAGTTGGAGTCGGTCACTGGTCAATCCACAAGTGCACCTGCGTTTGCATCTTGGGAGCTCAGCGTTGCTCATGCGATCTATTATTATGTCGTTCCAGCGCTGCAGTTCCTCTTCGCCATATCATTTGTGGACACATGGCAATATTTCCTTCACCGTGCCATGCACATGAATAAATGGCTTTACAGTAAGTCGACACAGCTCCAGGACGTCTCACGCTAACAGGCGAAGCTCAATTCCACGCCCGCCACCACCGTCTATACGTTCCTTATGCGTATGGGGCACTTTACAATCATCCCGTGGAAGGCTTTGCTCTTGACACGCTTGGTACCGGTCTCGCTTATCTTGCGTCAGGCCTCACCGTTCGCCAGTCCATGTGGCTTTTCACGTGCTCGACGATCAAGACCGTAGATGATCACTGCGGATATGCCCTGCCGTTCGACCCACTACAACTCATCACGTCGAACAATGCGGCGTACCACGATATTCACCATCAAAGCTGGGGTATCAAGACCAATTTCTCACAGCCATTTTTTACGTACTGGGACCGTCTTCTCGGCACAATTTGGAAGGGAGATGTGTCGTTGAAGTACGAGCGGTCACGTGTTGCAGCTCAGCGCCACATGGACAAGGAACAAAGCGATAGGGCCAAGAGCCACGTCCCTGAGGCCATTTTGAAGCCCAGTATTTTTGAACAGGCCAAAGTGAACGACCTGCCGCTACCAGCGCCACAGCCCATCTCTACACGACGAAGCCCGCGCAAGAAGAACGGAAGTTTCTCCCAGCAGTCTATCAAGGGTCTGCGTGATCGTGTCAATCAGAACCTGCAAGGTAAAGGAGGCAACCTGGTCGGCGTCGAAAGCTCGCATTAAGCTATGAAGCCCATCAGTTTGGAACAGTATATTAATCCAGTTACCTTCTTGTACGATATCCCTTTTGAGTTCATTTCTCCTGTTTATGTTTGACGTGCTCTACGGCTGGGTATTCATTGGCGCTGCGGCTTCTTGGGTCCTGACAGACACCCTATTAGTGGTGACAATTTTAATCGGTCAATGGTGGCTTGGTGCATTCAGTTCGGAAGCTTCACGGTCCAACAACGAATGGACGCAGCGGCATCATCATAATGGAGACAAAGAAGTTTAGTTATTAAAATGAGCTGGCTAATTCTCATTGTTACTTTGACATGATTGCTGTCATGCCTGTGCTTGTGTCTTGTGTTATCTATTATATGTTAGGTCGACGCATGTACTGTGCACACACTTAACCGTACCCCATCTCCACATCCTCGTCCTCCACCAACACACTCTCTTCTCCAACTCTCCTCTCTCTTCCATCCCCTTCGACCCAGTCCAGATCGTACACCTTGTAATGCTTCAAGTCCTCGCCCACAACACACGCCACGCGTCGATGCTTGCGCCCATTCACCTCCAGCCGCAGCGGCACGAACCGATCCGTTGGCACAAACGTGTGTATGGTATATCGAGCAAAGACATCAGACTGTGATATGTCCAGAGCCGTACGGACGCCGTCCATTGACGGCGCCGAGCCGTGTGGCGCCACGTGGTCGGTTATCTTCCTAGACTCCAGCGCAGGTGTATGTGGAGGACTTTCTTCGAGGAACTTGGCGTAGGGTATAGAGACGAGAACAGACGTGTTATCAGAGCTTCTAAACAGCGCCATGACATACTCATCGTCGACAAATCTGACGTCTCGGATCGCGCCGGGAGGAAGGATGACAGTGTGAGACCGCAAATCGGTCCAATCCGGTAGATGGTCGAAAGAGGCAGGGTGCAGTAGGCGGTGTAAGCGAATCTCATGACGCGCCGAGGAAGGCACGGCGGCGACGTAAGTAGCCAGCGAGTCTGAGCGTTTGAATGAGGCGGGCGACTCCGTCATGCGCATGTCGCGTGCATCGCAGATTTCGTCGTCTTCGAGCACGAGGCCAAAGCTCATGCTAGTGTTTGAGGCCTGCCAGCGCGCGATCATGGCGAATGCGCTCTGGCACTGTGCATGGAGGCGTTGCAGGCTGAGCCAGGTATCTGCCCCGTCTGCGGATGACGACTCTGGAGCAAGTTTGGAAGGCTCGACGAATTTGCATATTTCATCGTATGTGGGGAGGCACTGGGGAAGGGACCAGGAATGGTCAATTTTGGGCTGGCGGCGGAGGAAACGATTGAGCTTGCTGGAGATCATGGGGCCGCGGATGAAGTCGAGGACGAGAGTGTAGTCGACGCTGCTATCACGCTCGGGTGGGTCTTCGGTACTGGAAGATGAGGATGCTTGGACGTCGATTTCGTCGCGCAGCCAGCGGGAGAAGGAGGTGAACTGACGGCGCTCTTCTCTGGCCACAACTAGGACTACGTGGCCCAAGACACGCAATATCTTCAAGGTCTCGAGTATACTTGTAAAGTCGCTAGCAGGGACATTGAAGACGGAGCCAGAATCATTGTAGGCTGCCAGACCGCGAAGCAGTGACACGACGATGCCACAACGGTCAAGGGCTGGTATGAGATTTTCGTGTGTTAGTTCGATCACTTTGGCATAACCTTGCGTAGCCGAGTGGTCCCATCTCTTGTGTCCACTTTCCGTCAACTCGTCGACAAGCCATTCTTTGATGAGTGGGGGGCAATGGCCAGTAACAGCGAGATGGAAGAGGTTTTGCATCAGATCACCCTCATCTTTCTCTGTTAGAGTCTCATTGATGTTACGCATGAACTTCGAGGGTAGGTCTTGAGAATGATACCAAAAGTTACTGATCGATCGAAGACATTCCTGTATGTAACGTAGGAGATTCTCGAGCTGTTGCTGTTTTGATCCAATCAAATGGACATGTAAGCCTGCAGATGCGATATAACGGAAAGTCAGAGGCACAACACAGAGCTTGAATTGGGAATCTGTGGCAGCCAAGTCCATGGTCAAACAGTGACTGCGACTGTATAGGTGGGTTGCATGGACTATGCGAGACTTCTGGTTGGTTTTCCAGCCTTCGGGTAGACGCACACCAGTGACGTCCAAGGAGTTGTACACTTTGGGGCTGATCTCACCATCAGCGTGACACAACAACAAAGCATGCACTGCGTTTGCATATTCGAGATGATGTGAGTGAAAAATGGCATCGATTGAGTTCTGTGAGGTGAAGACCTCTGGCACAGGTTGTAGAGCCGGTCTTACAAAAGGTCCTAGAGTTGGGCCGGATAGTACGGAAAGCTTTGGGAGCAGTCGCTCCAAGTCAATCAGTGCAATCTGATCAGGTAGGTCCGGGGTTGGATCGAGAAGGCGGGAATCCAGGTGGCCTTGGATGACATCGTTCAGTGATATGTTGGTATTGGGAGCATCCCAGTCATCGGTACAGAGGTCCTCTCCGATTAGGTCGGTGGAGTCTTGGGATACGCTATTGACTCTCGACTTTATAGAGTGGACATTGATGAAGTTTGACTCCCAAGCCAAGCATGAGATTCTGGTTGCGTCAGAAAGTACATCGGCGCCACGTCGAGCTTCAAGAGGCTGTGGAGCAAGTTTGCCAGTCTCAGTCGAGAGGACGTCAACAGTGCAATCACTCCAGGCAATAGCTATGCTTTTCCCTGCATGAGGCGTCAGTCGAGTAAGAGACAAGAAAGTTATTGCTGGATGTTACCGTTGAACTTCCAGCATATACTCTGCACAACCAGGCTGTCATGTTTACGCTTGCGGGTGAAAGCTCGCTGGCCATTCAGTCGGTAGACCTCCAAGACCTCTTCTTCAGTAACGATGGCGAGCATGTCCATGGTGGGACAGTAGGCGAACAGGTCAGGCCGGATTGAGACAGGCAAGGCCTTTTCGGCTTGCAGCATCAATGAAGCCGCAGCTGGAGAAGGCATAGTAGACTGAGGTATGCATGACCAAATCCCTGAGGTGAAGCCGTTGCTATATCATAATTATCGAGTATTCGGAATGTTTGGAAGTTCACGATGTTCACGTGTGTGAGGGAGCTTTACGCGAGTTAGTAGAACGATATGCCAAGACTGATGTCGGTACGAGAGATGCGCACTAAAAGGACATAATATACGCATATGAGCGTACTGGGGGCACCTGCCCCTCCTGGCAGCCTGGACTGCAGTCGCTGTAGTCACGGTTAGCGTAGTCTCAGTCACGGTCGAGGTCAGCCGGCCGTTCCTTCCTCAGCTCACAGACAGTGACAGCAAGTTATTGACAGTATTGATGTGTCGAGTGTATGGAATGTCGAGATAGTCGATAGTCATAGTTCACAGTAAATCATGACTTGTACCTAATAGTAATGATGGCTATAACTGTTCTGTCTAGTATTTACCGATCTGTCTAGCTACGTACACGTCTACACCTTCCTCTTACCTCTCATTTAACGTGACCTCTCCCTCTTTTATCATTCACTCATCCCGCTCTTCTCACAAACCATTCACTTCCCAGCCACACCACACACACGGGCATATACACATACACACATATATACACAACTACGCTTGGTACTGTGCGACAAGCACACTACACACTACACACCACACATCACGCCCTAATCCTCTCCATACCGTACACCGTGCCGGCGTCGTGCAAGGGGCTCGGCGGTCTCTGCAACTCTTGAGTTTCGAGTCTGGCCCTAGCCACGAATGCCCAGTTCCCTTGGTACCGGCATAATCCTGTTCCTGTAATGTTAATTCTCTCCTGTTCCAATCTCTCCCTCCCCGTTGAAACGTTGCAACCTCATCCGCTGACGAAACGTGCCGCGCCGCAGCGACAGCCGATTTGATACTCCCGGCGTGCTCACATAATAATAATAGTACAATAACAGGTCATGGAGGTAAGATGCTCTTCTCTTCACTTCTTATTCGCGCCTCGTCCTACTACTAATTACTACTGCTGCTGCTGTTGACGCCGCCGCTGCTGTTCGTGCTCCCAAGCCCCCAATCCACTGCTGCTCCTTGCCCTTCATCAGTCCTGTCACTTGTGGGACGCGCTGATGTTGATGCCCCGGCGATCCCAGTAAAAACCACTCCCAGCGCCCACCAACCCTTGGGCTCTCACAGTCCTTGGAAGCGGATGCCCCGTCCGATATCGTCCTTTAGGTTGTTCTTCTCTCTGGCTTTTTCGCGCTCCACTGGGCACGCACTGGGCACTGGGCACCTACAGGTTTGGCGCTGGGCGCTGGGCGCCGGGGCATTGCTGCTGCACACATACACGCACACATATACACACACCCATACACACTCTGCCCTGCTCTCGCGCACGCCTGTCTTTCCTTTTTCTTTCTACCAGAACGAACATCCTTCTTTGTACGAGTCCTCGTCTTCCTCCTCATCTTCTTCCATCTTCGCCCGTAATCCTGGTCTGCTCTCTCGGCTATAGCCTGCGTCATCTCTGTTCTTCCTTGGCGCATTCGCATTCCAGCTGGCTGTGTCCGCAAGAATGCTGGTCTCCTTATCATAACAATATTTGTACAACCACTTCCGGCCTCTCATTCCTGTAAAACATATCTCCCCTCTCACCTCATCTCACTTGACTTTCTCTGCTACACAACCCGCTGTTCTTGGGGTTTTTTTTCTGGCACCACCGTTAACCTGGTGTTCCCTGTGATTTTCTGCTACTGCTGTAGGTCTCGGGTCGTTGCCATAAAGCGCTGCCGTCAACAACCACAACAACCACCACCACCACCACAACCACACCCCTTCACAACTCCCTTCCCTGATCTTTAATTATCAAACGACCTCATCATGACCTTTCAGCAACGCAATTTTCACCTCATCTTCATCTCAGTTGTCACTGCTGTTTTCACTAGAGCCTAGTCCTTACCATTCGCCCTTCATCCATCCACCACGAAACTGGCACACCATGGCATATCATTCTGCAACCCACAGCATACCGTCGTCACAGCAGCAGCATGAGCGTCGCGATGATCAAGACGAATTGTTTGCAGACGTTTCTCGTCTGCAGAATCCAGCAAAGCTGACGTTGATGCGATATCTTCAGGATCTTCCGGATGCCGACGTACCTCAAAGTCCCGAACAACCGCGATACCACACCGGCAAGCTTCCAAACAGCAAGGCTGGAGATGGCAAGCCTCGCCTCATGCTGATGGGCCAACGAAGGTGAGCCTGCAAGCATGATCTCCAGGGCACCGCTTATCAGCCGCGCATACCTGCTAACGCGAGTCATTTGCAGGAGTGGCAAGTCTTCCATCTCCAGTGTTGTCTTTCACAAGCTACCCCCAAGCGAAACCCTGTATCTTGAGACAACCACGAGAATCAAGAAGCAGTCAATGCAGTGAGTTACCATTTCTACACCGCCCCAAGAGCATTCCTTCACCGCCACTTCGCATGCGCCCAGCCTGGCAGGAACGCCGCTGACATGCACAAGCTCATTCATGGACTTTCAAGTGTGGGACTTTCCGGGACACCTCGATTACTTCGACCCTCAATTTGACGTCGACAACATCTTCTCCGAGATCGGCGCGCTAATATGGGTGATTGATGCCCAGGATGAATACCTAGAGGCCATCGGCAAACTGAACGAGACCATCTTGAACTTACAGAACACATTTCCTGATATTAATATAGAGGTATTTGTTCATAAAGTCGACGGTCTATCGGAAGACTACAAAAGCGACACATTCCAGGACATAATCCAACGCGTGCAAGATGAGCTTTCCGACCAAGGGTACGAGAATGCACCGGTCAGCTTCTACCAGACGAGCATCTACGACCATTCAATATTCGAAGCCTTCAGCAAGGTCATACAGAAGTTGATACCTCAGTTGCCGACTCTGGAGAGTCTTCTGAATAGTCTATGCAGCAACTGTCGCATAGAAAAGGCATATCTGTTCGACGTTCTCAGCAAAATCTACATTGCCACAGACACAAGTCCAACGGATATCGGAAGCTACGAGATATGTTCAGATTATATCGATGTCGTGGTGGACGTAGCAGAGATCTACGGATGGCCAGATAGACCGGCGCAAGACGAAGAGGCGGAAGGGCAACAGCAAGAGGCTGGCAATAACAACGCAGAAAGCCTGATCACAATGGAGCGGAAAGGAAATAACTATCTCTACATGAGAGAAATCAATCAGTGAGTGCGACGCTTGATATGGATCGCCAGTCAGCTGATACCTTATAGATACCTCGCCCTGATATGCTTGATGGGAGACGACAGTCCTGCAGACAAGAAGGCCTTGATTGACTACAATGTCGGTGTGTTTGAGGAAGCAATGGCGCAGGTCTTTCCAAGGTAAAGGAAGGGAATTCGAAGCAGACGAGGGTGTCGATGGATAGAAGTGTAGAAACTGTACGATCTGTAGATGCCTGCTGCACCAATCGGAGCAATCCATTCATGTCAAGTAAACAACCTAGTCCTGACGTGATGTTCTCTCCAACAGACGATCAGGCTGACCATTTCCAGGCCATTTATTCGCCTATATTTCCATGGCAGCCATCACGCCTCCCGAGGTCCCTTGTCTTTCATCCCCGCGCTAATCCCGCCGAACTACTCCTCCACCGCCGTCATTTCAATAAGCTTACCCACACACATCTGGCCTCTTTCGACATCTTAATATAAATGCTCTTTTCTTTCTTTCTAATTTCATGAGAACGCACATAGACAATTGGAGTACCACACACACCAGGAAAACTCATACCTCTGCCCGAGCACGCCAGCTGTAACGTTCTCACCGACATCTACCTTACCTCTACGGAAGCTTCCTCGTCCTTCATAACACCGGTCGCGTCCAACGCCAAACAGGATGCCTGCGAAGAAACCCAGCACACCCAAAACGCCTACAAGCACAAAACCTGATGACTCCATCGGTGGCTTCGGCGTGCTCGACCTCCTCCGCGTTCTCGGTGGGCTAGCCATCGCCTCCGCAGGCGTCAGCTACATGGTCACCGGCGGCAGCTACACATGGAACTACTCCGTCCGCACCGCCCTCTCCCAACTCAAAGGAGCAGCCGTACGCTCTCTCTCTCTCCTATTTTACTCAGCCTCACCACCACTATCCCTCTCAGCACAACTAACCCCCAACTCCCCAGACCGGCCCCATCTCCCTCACCGACGCCGAACTCGCCGCCTACGACGGCACAGACCCCAACAAACCCGTCTACGTCGCCCTCAACGGCTCCATCTACGACGTCACCGACGGCCGCGGCGTCTACGGACCCGGCGGCTCCTACCACACCCTCGCCGGCCGCGACGCCACCCGCGCCTTCATCACCGGCTGCTTCGACACAGACCTGCACCCGGACGTGCGCGGGGCAGAGCTCCTGTACGTGCCCGTTACTCCTGCCGAGGCCGCGGCTGATGGCCGTACCGTCGAGGATAAGTACTGGGCTGCGCTCGAGGGGGCGCGCGAGCTGAGTAGTGGGGAGCAGAAGATTCGGCGGCAGGCGGAGCTGCGCAGTGCGCGCAAGAGTGTGGATGCCGTGGTGGAGAATTGGGCCGTCATGTTTAGTGGGGGTAGGGGGAAGAATTATTTCAAGGTTGGCGAGGTGAAGCGGGAGGAGGGGTGGATGGAGAAGCGGGAGAGGCCGGTGTTGTGTAAGGATGCGCAGATCAGGAGGCCGATTCGCATGGGCTTGTAGGTGGATGGACCATGGGGGAAGCGTGTATATAGCATCAAGTGTGTGGGAGAAGTCCGTATTCGGTTTCCGATATATGCTCGCAGTATATACGCTCTGTTTCATAGACGTGTATTAACAGTATACTTTTAGATCTCGGACCATATGAGACCAATACCAAAACCTCAACGCACACTCGCATGGCAATGGCAATGTAAGTTTGTCGCTGCAGTGACTAATCCTACGCACCATGTATCCAATCGATTCACTGCATACAACAGTAGCAATTACACTTCACACTTCACACTTGACACTTGACACTTCACACTTCACACACAGCACAGCATTTCAGGCAAACGCACGTCATTCTGAACGCGTCATGTACATACAGAGCCGCACGCGGACGCTACTCGCAATATCAATCATGCAAGCACGCCGACCCAACTCGAGCCGACAGACATCCTCAGCCCTAACGAGCCATTATAACGGAGTCTGCCCACAAACGCATGCGCCATGTCATCGGATGACCCCATTCGTCGTCCGCCCAGCCAGAAAGCTTTCTTTTCATTGCCCGGTCCCAATGCGTGAATGAATGAATTTACTCAGTTGCGCCGACGGCACGAGCTATATCTTTGTTAGCACGATGGTCGGGTATGGTTGATATATACACTTTGTAGGAGCGATATGAGGGACACATACTGTAGACGCTCAACTTGCTGTGCCCAACAACCTTCTTGATCAAGCCCTGCTCCTCCAGATCGGTCAGCGCCTTGCGCGCCAGCGAGCCGTTAATCTTGAGGCGGTCGACGAGCGTCGCAACGGTGATGAGGCGGTATGATTGAACATCCTTCTGGAGCTTCTCCTGGGTTTGCTTGTCGAGCACTACGGCGTGTTGGGCCTTGTCCTTGACTAAATATCACTTGTATTAGCTCGTGTGCTTTTTGCAGTGCTGAGACTCGTCCTTGTTATCGGAATAGAGAGTTTTGAAGGGAATTATTTTCTTGTAATATAGAGGCTGCGATTCGTGTGTATGGAGAAGTGGGTGAATTTGAGCCATGGGAGTACACAAGCGGGCGAGGACATACCCTTTCCCTTTGACCACTTCTTCTTTTGCTTCTTGCCTCCGGTTGCTGCGGGCGCCTGTCGGCGTTGTCAGTATCTATTGTCGGAAGGGTTTGTAGGTGTCTAGGCATACCATTTTGATAGATGTGTGTTGAGAGGTCGACTGGAGGAGATGTTCTTCGTGCGGCCGGCTATCTCAATGTGGAGGTTCGAAATTCTGGTGGGGTTAGGTAAGCGCGCTTAGAATCTGTGCGCACGTGATCATCAAGGCTTGGCGCTCACCATACATACGTACCCGGGGATCTTAACAGCCTGGAGGTAGTGCTTGCTTCTATCATGTGCCGCTGTAGTGTACTAAGAGCTTATATAATTACAAGATATGGAGTACCGTCGACAAGTTCATAGCGAAACGACGATCATTCATATAGTCTATGAGAATGTCACAGCTACGACGTTAATATCACTAGGCAATTTCACCCCGAGCACCTTAGGTCAATTCAATATCGCTGATCAAGCAAAACCTTGCATTCGAGCTTTCAAGCTTAGTTCGGCGATCTCACATTTCTCTATTCGTCGAATGTCCCAATCCGAAGTCAATGCTGCTCAGTGCAATGAAACTGTGTGTGGTGGCCCCCCCCTCCGTCTATTGGGCAGGATATGTATTGCAATACGCTACAACGTGCATAGTGGTAGATTTCCAGGAGCAACATTCGCACACACACGCCAGCCAGATCCGTTCGCTGTAGATGGAAGTCTGCTCATTGAAGATTCTTCACGATGAGCCTCCGCAGCCAATACCGATTCGGTCCTCATACGCATCCCATGCCTCGCGGCGGTATCTCTCTGCTTCATGCGATCGATCTGCAGCCTTGAGGATACCCCGACCGACAATGACAATGTCACATCCTTGCTCGTAAACAATCTTCCGTGGTGAATTGTACTGCTGCCCCTGCTGATCACCCAACTTCTGGTTCGTATCCATGGCATCTTCAGCAGGAAGTTGTACACCAGGTGTCATGGTGAGGAAGTTGTCGCCAGGCTCCACGTTCAGTGAACGCTGTGCTATGAAGCCAATGACGAAGTCGCGATGCTCTCGGGCGAGGGAGGCACATTGGGATGTATACGAGCCAGTGAGCAGATGACCCTCGGAGCTCATTTCCGCAAGTAAGAGCAGACCACGCTCAAATGGAGCGTCACCTACACGTATAAGCGGGTCCGAGAATAGATTCGAGTCTTCATTCTCCTCCGGAGTGGGAAAGGGGCTGATACTCTCAGTGCGGGTGGAGATGGTGGTGGAAATGGACACAACACTGGCTTTGCGGCCCGTGGCAGCTCGGTTGTAGGATGAGAAGATAGGAGAGTACACAAAGTCGGCAGACGAGTCCGGATTCAGGTGTAACGAGGACGATTTGCCGTTTTCGTCAGACATATGGCTGTCCGTATCAGGCGGCATTGTCGTACTTGTCGGACTAACCTCTTCAATGTCGTCGCCATCGTCGATATGCCAATCGTCGGGGGGAGGGTCGGCGCTAATTTCTGTCTGTACCACACCAGCCTTGTGTGCATTGATTGCTTGGGACGCACCGAGCTTGAGGGAGGTAATAATATTCGGTCCAGGGAGGATGTGTGCGTTTGTGATCTCAGACCATCGGGCTATTCGGAACGGACCGCCGGTGTACTGCTTGCGAACGGTCTCTAGATAACGGTGTGTCAGTTACGGCGTGAAGTAACACAAGAGACGTAAGGCATACCGCCGATGTCAGCAAACTTGCGATCTTCGAAGATGAGGAATCGCTTCCGGCGAGCAATAGCACGTAAGCCGCGGACAGTCCTTTCACCCCAGTCGCCGACTATATCACAGTGCGTCTTAAGCATACATATAGAGTCTCCAACGTCTTCGGCGAGCTGTAGCAGCTCGGCAGTGGTGGTGACGTCTGCAGAGACGCACAGGTTTGTGCGCTTGATACTGATGAGGCGTAAGAGGTAGGATGTGAGGGCGGAGGTCTGGGGCAACGAGGCGCGCTCTCTGTAACTCTGCGTCCAGGTGGTATGCCTCACTGGCGAGTCCATGATGGCAAGGCGCTGTGCTGGAGTTCTAGCCGTGGCAGAGTTGCATTCAAGATGGGATTTCTAGCGCGATTCGGACCTTGGGGACGGGAACAGATATAGCGAGAGTGGAAATGACAGTATCAAGTGCGTGTAAGTGCGAGTATATCGAGCGTGTGCGAGTGCGAGTGTAAGAGTGGATGTGAGTGTGGCAGCGCTGGTAGTAATTAGTGGCCCTGGTGTCTGGCGTGTAAAGAAGGGTCTGTCTGTGCCTGGAAGCCCAGGCCAGTTCAAAATTGAAGGCGTAGTGATTAGAAGATGAAAGGATCTTCAAAAGAGTGGCGCAGGCGGAGACAAAAAGGAAAAAGCTGAAGAGCATGGATGTGCATCTGGATTCAAGAGTGCATATTGGGTGGTTGCGCCAATGTGGGTGCTCACAATTCATTCTGCTCGTTGATCCCACTAATCGATATTAATTAATTCTCACTCGTTAGGTCCAGTCCAGCTGTCCACGGCAGTCGCTCTCCAGTGCCCCGCCGCCGGCGCCTGCCTAAGGTAGCCTACAGTACTATATCTAGTAGTACTAAGCACCTCACGACGTTTCGGCCGACCCTACACCCCACTTTACATGGATCCATCCATGATGTTTACCTAGGTAAATCTGCTTCAGCCGCCGTATTGGAAAGCATCCCAGGGAACCCCATGTCAGAGACGGTCAATGTGAAGTTATCGAGTTGTGTTGTCAACTGTCAACACACTTACCCCATAGTATCTTCGTCTACCGATAGAATAGACGCACTGCTCGGTCTGCACTCTGAGCACACTCTGAGCACACTCTACGGCAAACTCTTCATCACCATACACACTCTTTCCAGCATCGTGTTACCATTGTCCTCCGCATCCAGCCAATCGCCTGTGATATCACTGTATCGGATGTCCGCTACCTGCTCATCTCGCGCACGCTGGCTCAAAATCTCAAATTCCTATCGGCACGGTCGCTTATACGAGCTGTTACGTGTCATTTGCATGCCACCATATCGTTGATGGCTGTCCGTCTCCAGCCACCACAAGATTATCAAGCTCGCAGCCGGTTTCATGTCCGTCGTCGTTGTGTGGTCATGACAGAACTCCCCGCCATATGTCTGCAGCCTCCCAATCAACCTTCTAAGCACTCGGAAACATGTCTAATAGGGTCTGTGAGTATCATCTGGTCATTCTAGACAGCAAACAATCACTTCTGTGTGTCATCAAAACGTATGTTGTGCGCACATGGTTAAGGTTTGTACCTATATACCTTATTAGCCCTTTCTACCCACTTACCATATCGGGTGATATTGGAGAATATCTGTTCCAACTTGTGCGTATTTACGGTTGAATCGGGCAGTCGGCTGGCGGTACGGTTACTCCTTCGGGCGGCCCGCAGTTCTATCGACTAGTGTAAATATAACAAATCGTGCAGATCATCAGTCTATTATGACGTACTCATTATTCTCAGCGACAATGGGACTATAAGACTTCGCAATTCAGGCAGCTTCGTTCATATTCTGCCGTTCTCCGTATACATTTTACTTAGAAGACGACGAACACCCCAGCGGCCACCAGCAGTAGCGCCGACAAGGTATGCTCACGTAGGGGCTCTGTCAATGATTCTCCATTCATATGCTCATGCTCATAGTCATGACTTTCTGGTCGCTCTGTTGAATTCGGGCTTGGGCCTGGAAGCGTAGTGGTAGAATCCATCGGCATCAAGTCCGTTACACCTTGCCCATTCTTGATGAACCCCTTTTCTTCCGCTGTGAGATGCGTCTTCCTATAATTTTTCCACATCCTTCTCATTCTTACCGCTTGGAGCTCAGTGAAGCCTTCACCTTGCAGACACCGATCATCCACATAATTCATGTAATTATGTAGATTATCTGGTCCACTCTTTTTGCACAGAGAGGGCTCTTTGTCTGGACAGCCACGTGTCGCAGCCCATTGCAACGGAGTATCAGAAATGAAATCCGCGTCTCTAGTACACGACGACGGGTCTCCAGTGCCGAATACATGGAGCAATCCGAACCAGTGTCCAATCTCGTGGACAGCGATGAGGCCTCCGGAGTAGTTGACAATACCATCCTTGTGTGGAAGTGTGCCGGTTTTGATGATGCAAATATCGGCTAGGCGGTCTGCAATCTGTGAGCCGAGAGGCATGCAAGCCTGGTTCTCAATTAGAATTCGCCTTGACATTTATTGACAGACATACACCATAAGCTGTTCCCATGTGCTCAAGCTCTCTCACAAATAGCATGTTCAGTGCGGCCTCACTCCCTTTTCGTTCGATCTTTGCTGGCCAATCTTGGGCGCTGGCTACGCTCGCGTAACTGGTACCGACGTAATACTGCGGCATGCTCGCGAGTAGGAAGTAAATTCCATGCGGATTGAATCGTTCATTCATGACACGAAGCTGGTATAGCAGAGTTTTACGCTATAAGTTTTTAGCCAGTATACACCATCATTCCTCTTAGCAATTCCTGGCGTACGCTAACCCAGCCATCGGTTGAATCTTCACTTGACACGGCTACGTGGAAGTGGGTTGGGACAACGATGTCATCTTTTCCCAAGTGTCTCGATCTCAAATTTGTCTCATCGACCGACAACAATCCCAACCGAGGCATCACGGTACCACAGTATTGTCCGCCATCCGCGTTTGATTCGACAGAGAGTGCTGGCTTGACTGCTGAGTTTCCTAGTCTAAGTATATCTGCCTGGACGAGCCGTTGGGCGAAGACAATGGCGAGGATCGATAAGCAGACGAATCGTGCCATTTCAGAAGCCATCGGATTTTGTCTGTCTTAGAATGAATGCTCGAATATCATATGTGATATGATATGAACGGGATAACAATGAGGACAGAGATGGACAGAGCTCAAGCCGTCCATCTGACAGCGTTTAGATAAAGAATAGGCCCAGGCCACTGGTAACAGAAATGAGACAATTGAGGTTCAGGATGTCGAGGGTAAGTCGTTCCTTCCAAGTAAGTCCTGAAGAGTCCGGATTACGCATCTAGCTCTAGGATGCTAGGTTATTAATAACCTCTGAGTCGTTTCAAGGATAACAGAATGAGACTAACAAGGAACATTTCAACAAGGCGACTTGAAAGACACTATCTCCATGGCGGCACATCCCGTAACTCGAGTCATGATCTCCAACCCGGAACAATTTGATTGAATGTGACGCCCGCTAAACCGAGGGTATTCGTGTACTTAAGCCCATATCCAAAGCGTGAACCGTAGACCATACGTCTCGCACAATATTATCACAAAAGAAACCAATCCGACCGCGTACGAGCGGGCTCAACGGCCTCTGACCTCTGCACCAAGCACACCTGCACTCGCCACTCCCAGTCCCCCGAGGACAAACAGCCCCCAGGCCAGCGCTGCACCTTCCGCCTCTTCGACGAGAGCTTCCTCGGTATGACTCTCCCCATGTGTGGTACTGGCAAGCTCTTCACTAGTGCCGCTGGGTGGCACATATGCCTCTCCTTCGTCCTCTTCATGCTCGAAAGACTTGCGCGATCGTGTACTTCGCTTACCATCATTGCTAGCGGTCGAAGATTTGCGAGGTCTTCCACGTGCTGTCCGCTTCGGCGAAATGGGCGGTGTAGAAGTAATAACAGGTTCTTCTTCGTCGTTCTCGTTCTTGAAGTGAACGTGGTGGGAATCCTCTTTGTCGTTGGGCGTCGTAATGAAAGGTACAGCGCTACATTTTAGCATGTCAAACACATCAAGCCCGCGAACTATCGCCCAGACAGAGTAACTCAGTGCACTAAGTAGAACGTCCCACCCGATGACACTGACAGCGGGATGGTCACTGAGAGCGTTAAGTAGACGAACGACGGCGGTTCGAGATCGTTCATATGTTGTGCGCTCCTGGTGCTCAAGCTTGCTCCAAACTCGATAGTATGTTGTATGCGTACTTTCTGGAGTGTTGTCGATTATCGCCGTGACTGTGTGCTTGGCATGCAAGAGAAATGAAGCGATAGCGAACCAGTAAAATACTGAAGTAAAGGAGCGATGGGCAATTCGTGGGTCACGGTGCGTTGTTCCGAAGCGAGCGGGCGCCAACTGTAACGATTGTGAGCGCTTGCGCTACAAGTAAGGAATGGCCAGTCACTTACATGTATGCCAATTGCGAAGACCTGCGGCAAGATGAAAAAGCCAACCATAAGAGTTCTTATCACATTGAGGTCGTTGGCATAGTTTGGCAGGACGTCGAGAAGGACGAGCGACGCGATAATGGGTGCAATGTATACTCCTGGATGGGGAGTCCAGAGGGAGCTTCTTTGCGAAGTTGAGGAGAATGGCACCGGTGTCAGGAGAAGGCCAATGTAAAACAAATTCTGAGCAATACTGAGACCTACCAATTGTCCTAGAAGGACAAAGGCAAAAGTAAGAGTTTTAGGGAGGTGACGTCGTCGGCCTAGGATGGTCAGTCGATCTTGCAGTGCAGCAATACTACAAAACATACCTTCAACTCCAACAAAGATGCTCCACCCAAGTAAACCAGTAAACTGTTGCTGGGTCCACCAGAAACCGCGGCTTCTCGCTACAGCGACTTGAAAGCCATCACTGAGGATGTTCACGTCCTGAAACCATCTTCCTAGCTGTAGTCCACCTGTGATTCCATTCGTTCCACCGTACCATCCACTCCAAAGGCTATTGGGTATGGGTTCCTTGCTTTTCTGTGCCCATTCTTGGTACGAGATAGTACGGGAACTGAGTGCGAAATGCGACACGATCAAGAAACTTAGAAGTGCCAGTCCAGCTAGTATAGTAATATCGCGCCGTCTCTGAGGGATTCTGGAACGCGTATCTTGGGATGGCGGAAGCGCCTTGGATGCTACACGGAGCTTTGCAAAGATATAGACGAGCAGAGCACCGATTGATAAGGCTTGGCTTGTTAATGTAATAATGGGTATCGCGTTTGAGTTGTTGACATCAGGCTCGACGGGCGCCATATCGTTGCGCGGGGTCCAGTAAGTACTGAACCGAAAGAATGGAATATGGTGGACGTTGGGATGGAACATGCGCACTCTTCAAGCTCAAAAGGTTTGGCTTCCGACAACAAGGACACCTTTCATGTATCCAAGAGCTAGAGAGCGATTGTTGTGGGTAGTCCAACGCGCATGCGGTTGCGTTTCAACCTAGAGAAGGCGCGTCATCACAACCTTGGAACTAAGGTGACGAGGAGGCTTGAGCTCGGACCACTTCGAAACGATCAACAACAGTCCACAGCTCCTAACACGTTATGTATCTAAGCATACGGAGATTCGCAAGATACTTAGTACGCTCATTGCATGCTAGAAGCTCGGCGTCTAAGAGATCGTCTAAACAAACTCGTAGGGATGTCAAAATCATCAACATCATCATTATCAACATCATCGTTATCAACATCATCATTATCAACATCATAATAGTTCTTCTCTTCCTCTACACGTCAACAAGTCACGAATGAGACTGACGCTGGCATCAAAAGTACAATCCTACTTAGGGCAAGACACTGCGGTTGTTATGATAGGACATGTGGCGCTTAGCGAAGCAAGTATGCCCCCTTCTCACAGTTTAACACGTCCGAGCCACTAGATATAGATAATCTTTAAAATGAGGTAATTGTAATAGAGAGACTTAAGACTCAATAGGAGACGAATAAGGTACTAGATAGCCCGTTTTCTTATTATGAGGGAAGTACCTCACTCAAAACTCAAGCCGTCAGCTCTCTCCGCTTGTCTCTCATTCTGATCTCTGCAGTTCTGCTTTTTCACTTTCTTCTTATTCGCACCCAACTTCACGCCTCTCTTGTTCAGAACAGAGATACCCGATACTCCTCTTCAAAGACACCGTTCGACTAACCATCTCTGTGTTATCGTTATTCCTGCTTCCTTGTAATCCCCAAATAACTCCAACGACGGTGATGGCCATTACAGCGATGAATACCGCAAATAACGCCCTTCGTCTCGCCGTCGTCCGCGTAAGCACGAACTTCTCAAATTTCTCATTCATTCGTAATTTATGTTTCAAAGGTCCGCCTTCGAGACGGTTGATCGGGATTTGTGGACCAAGAGATGGGAGGGGAGAACGTATACGTGGAGATGAATGTTGGGCTCCTGGAAGTGCGGCTGCAATAGCAATGGAAGTACCAGAGGCGTACTGAGGTTTGTGAGAGATGTCGTAGAGCCTGTCTGTAGCAGATGTCAAGATTGACCTGCTCGACGTATGCGTTGTGCAATGTGGCGGCGTTGGTGTGGGACATGACGGCGTAGGCAGTACTACGAGTGTAGTCTGCGCAATGTCGTCCTCTTTGAATTTTATTCTGTCCTTAGATGGTTGCTCGTGGCCATTCGCTCGATCTGCTTGTGTATCATCTTCGGATTGCCTCGAATTCGCTTCATGTTGACGTAGAAGCTCAACTTCATCGCCAGACTCTGTCTGTGTACGAATAGTGTCATGACTTTCTCGTTCTCCGGGAGAAAGCGTACTGGAGAGAGAAAATCGACACTCTTGAGTTTGATCGGCCATTGGGACAAGGAGATTGTGCGGGATCTAGGTGAAGTAAAGTGAAGACGCTTGTGGGCTAAGGCTACAAGTAGAAATGGAGGAAGTAGTGCTGGGAACTGTAACGAAGGAACAAATGAGAATTGTGGTCGTGCCTGCCAACCTCTTAAAAGACTTTCGAAGATCTATATATGATATAGACAACGAGAGAAACAAGCAAAGATATATCTCCTGTGAAGCATCATCTTCACAGAAACACTAGCATAGCCCTTACCTCCAACAGACATCAAAGCTATAGTTGTCACGATACAAGATACTAGAATAAAACTCCAAAAAATCATGGGTTTCTAGACTACCACACATAATGTGCCCTCACCCTGAACCTATCCCATGAATAAACTGTGGCGTCGTGGTCCGACATACGCTTGTGGCGCCCCCTCTCCGGTGCAGTAGGGCTAAGGTATTCATACGAACTCTGCTCAGTTTTGGGCAACGCAAACCATACGGCTCGAGTGAGACTCGAACTCCTGACCTAAATCAGACCTGATAAAGAGGTGCATGGTCGCTACTAAACGGGTGCTATCCAACTGGGAATCAACCGGGATGGGTAATAAAATCACCGTCACGTCGCTAGTGCCAACTTTTTATAGAATTAATTAATTAATAAAGGGTAGTTTCTGAGCGTAGCAAGACTGGCGATTGCAGACGTACCAGGTACGTGGGTGTGTTGCGTTTAGCAAGTGAACAGCGCTAAGGGATGGACCCACTTGTAGTTGTTCACGTTTCGAGCAATGGTAATTTGAAATTGTCATTCATTGATCTTAGTAATAGGATAGTCGCTTATCCCTGTCTTAGTAGAGATTGCTCTTTCACTCCAAAATCTCGCTCTACATATGATGCCGTGCTCAACTTTCTATAATTATACCAAATTGGTCAACAGCGTGTTTCAAAACCAAACTCAAATTAACGTGATCGTCACCTGCTGTATTGACCAGGCTTCTGTGACAGCTCGTTGTAAGCACTGGTGACCAGCCCCGACAGCTCTTTATACGACATAATCGCAATATGCTCGTTGTCACGAGACGTCAGCATGATCTTCTCGTCCACGCCAGCGTCGAGTTTGTTCAGGCATGTTATTACATGGCCAATGTCAAGCGAAGGGCGATTATCACTGTCCACTTGATGGAAAACATAATCCCTAAAGAGCTTCAGTGGATAGCGAGCCCCCGATTCTGACCACTTCGGATCTCTATCGTACTCTGTTCGCTCGTTGATCATGCCAAGTTTCGTCATCAGGCGAACGAGCCGCCCATTTTCCACTTCAGCGCCAAGTAGGGAAGTGATTCTATCTTCTGCGTGTAGAGCACTGCTCAACGTCGATGTAATCTCGGGTGTGATCGCCCGAAGAAATGACAGGATATCATAGGATTGAAGAGCCTCGGGACTGACATCCGAGGGGCCTTGAACTAGCCAACGGACAACGTCCTGGAGACGAGGTGAGAAGTTCCTGTTTTGGCTGAATTGAGATAGAGCATTCAAGACCTGACCATTTTGAACATTTGGGGTATTAAAAACACTGATCGGCTGACCAAGACCGATTGATAGGATGAGCACGCCAAATCGGCGTATATCTTCACTCTGATGTGCCTCTAGGCTTTGTGCCACATTGGAATCGCCTTGAGTGACATCTAGGATACCACATCCATTGATCCGAACTCGATTCTGAGAGGTAAGTAGGATCTTACTGGGAGTGATGACGCGAGCTGCCAGACCAAGCGCGTGAATATCTTTCAAGGCATTCGAGATTTGCACGATGTAGCCCCATAACACGCTTTCGGTTGGAATATCTCTGTTCCTTCGATTCGCGGACGGTAAGTGGATGGCTAACGATTGCGTTAGAGGGTGATAGTCTGTAACGACGATGAACGATCCATCACCAAAAGCTCTGGTGGTGAACATCTTATGTATGCCAACGACGTTTGGGTTGATAATCTTTTTCCACGAATTGACGATCTCTTTCACATTGACTGTGTCAAAAAGGGAAAAGTTCTCCAAACGGCGTATGGCGTAAGGCTTGCCGTCATCTTTGTCTATAGCTTTGAAAACGAAAGACTTGTAGCCAAATATGGGCGCAGACTTTGAACTACTCATTGGGAGTGGCACGAGAGAATGGTAATTTTCGACCGCTAGAGCATTTGATGATCCCCCAGGGAGAGTTTGGGCACAGGCATCCATCTTCTTCGACAGTTCTTCTCTCAAGTTGTTCGAAATGAAGAACTCATGAACGCTTTTCTGATACGCCGGTCGAGGCGGTAGATAGTCGGGTGCTGGGAAGTAGTGATGCCAATTAGGCTGAAACGCATTTACGTTTTGGTAGAATCCAGCTTGTGCCGCTTGTGCTGCGGCTGCGCTTTGCGAATAGGGATCCAATGACATCTGGCTGGCAGCCCCGGAAAGCCCGGTCATGGGTGAGTTTGAGTTATAGGTGTCGTAGTTCAAGGCCATTGCGGCACTTGGATCCATCTGATATTGAGAGTCATAAGCGCCAGCCGAGTAGTCCACATAATCTTGTGATTGGTGTGACTGTGAGGGTACGAACTCTTGTGATACATCCTTGCTCAGTGTTGAAGGGGCTATAGGCTGCACGTTTTGAGATTTTGGTGTGAAAATGGCGGCGTTCAACGCTTTCGGGGAGATGGTCGCGTTCCTGGGTGTGGATGAAGCACCATTGGCTGAAAGCTGCAGATTTGTCGTCGATTGCAGAGGAGTTGGCTGAAAAGCTGGCGAGTCGGCATTGAATTTCTTCTTGCTGTCATTCTGCGAGCCTGATGAGCTGATCTTAGCACGGTCATGCTGGAAGTTACAGCCGCTATTTTCATATCGGCAGTGACCATAGATCACCACATTGCGACATAATGTATGCTTGGCATCTGGGTAAAGATAATAAGTAGGTGTAATGGTGGATGGGTGTGAATAGATACTCGCACGAGAATGCTTGCATTGTGTAAGGCATTTGCATAAAATAATCGAATCGCAATGCAGGGCATTGACAGCTTGTTCAGAGTAGTTGTACATGACTGATAGTAAGAGAGTTCAAAGATCACGGTGTATGAGAAAACGATACTTACCTCGACCTCCTTGTTGTCTGTTAGGCCGGGGAGATGACACTCCCCTCCCACCAGATGGGCTTCCGGAAGTGGACATGGAATGTCTGCCTGGAGGAGATCGATGGCGCGCGACGTACTGAGCCTGAGTAAGGTCAAACGATTGAGGGGGCAAGGGTTTGGAGGACGATAGCTCGTGTGGGATTTTCTATAATAATTTTAGGATAACGTTTTGGAAGTGATTTGCGTCGAGATCAAGGACGAAGACTTGCTCTCGATACACTTCTCACTTGATTCAGTTCCGCGGGAAACCTTGCTCCTGGGTCACCTGAGCCAGGTATGTAAGCTTGCCAAAACAATGGATCGATTCCCTGACGCTGCTGGGGCCTCCTATCAGGGAGTACTGGAGTAGGTATAGGCGGCCCTTGATGTACAGGTGTTGGTCTAGATGTCGAGTTTGATATTAGGTTCAATTGTGGTTCTGGCGTTGTTCCTGAGCCTAAGTGCAGGTTCGGTCCTAGCTTTAGAGGAGGCGACGATTTGGAGAGACTCTTCAGTGTCGATAGCTCACTAAGCGCTATGATATCGTCTGGCGACGTGGGCGTCTTCGTGGTATCCGTGTAGGTAAGCGAGGGAATAGAGGAAGTAAGTTGCTGTAATGTATCTGAGAAACCCTCAGAGCGACCTCCCTTACTAGTCAACTTGGTATCTACCGGTACGTCAAGTGATAGTATAGGCTTCTTTGGCTCAGGAGAAATGGGCAATGGGTCTCTGGATTCAGACGCGACAAACTTGACTTGTGGAATCTCGGCTTCAAAAAATAGAGAACGCTTATCAGCAAGCTTTAAACCAAGCAGTAGGACGTGTTTTGCACGCCTTGCAAGATCAACGTAGTTTCTAGCGCAGGACGACGTGCGAGATGACTTTGACTGTTGCGGCGTTGTCGAAGGCTGCACGGCAGAGTGATGCTTGTGTTTCTGCGCGATATCAATAGAGTCTCCGCGGCTTTGCACTCCTACAGATTCTTCAGGTTTCGGACGCCTGATGTTGTACACCTTGCTGTAATCCAACTCAAAGATTTTGTATTTATGTTTCCGCCCGAGGTACCTCCTTGGTGTCTTCTCAACCCCGGCCACTTTCTCCAATTGTTCCGCTTGCAGTCGCGTTGGATCCGGGCTCAATTTCTCAGGTAGACTGGTGGTCTGAAACGATTCAATGGGTTCGGGAGGGGACTGCGTTTCAGTTGTTTTTGCGGCGGCTGGTGGGTCACCAAACGGCAGTGGTTCTTCCGGGTCTGAATACAATGTTCTAGGTATGTGTGGTTGTGTCGCTTTCAGGAGCCGGCTCCCGAAATCTCCTGCCTGAATCCTGCTTTGCATCAGTAATAATGTCGGTATAGATAGTATCTTTCGTATATAGTTATAGTTGGGAAAGGCTCACGATTACGGATTGGAACTTGTAGTCCCCCCGAAGCCCAGCGAGGGCAGTAGCAGCATACTCTATGGCAGCAATGTCTCGCAATCAAGGGACAGAGCAGTGCGCAGAGTCGCGCCGTGCGTAATTGTGAGGAGGAAGAGAATGAGGGAAGCAAGAGAGATCGCGGTCCCGTTCGGGGTTGCAGATGCTGTGATCAAGACTGCGGTAGCGGGATGATAGTTACGCGGCTGGTAGGTGAGTGATACGAGACAGCGATTCTGCCACCGCCTTCGGGCTCACATCCACTAAACTCCATGGCCCTGGTGTGACATAACCACGGACACAGTTTAAAGGTTTCGTTGACACAATAAGCTTCATGCTGCTACAGATACAGGACTGCTAGATACTCTCATCTTTGTGTGTCCGTCTTCTTGTTTCGTAACTTTGCGATCTATCTCTTCTAATGCCTCTTCACCAACCTCGGACGCAACTATGGCTGAAGCAGCGGTAAATCTGGACAGCCTGTCCCCAGCACAGCAAGAAGCGCTGCAACAATACACCGCAGTGACGGATCAAGATGTCCAGGCAGCTATCGATGTCCTTCAACGGTGCCAATGGAACGTTCAGGTACATAATTATACATCCAACAGGCTCTATTCTTATATGATTGCAGATAGCTATCACGAGGTTTTTTGATGGCGAACCTGCCGACCCTATTGCTACAGCCACTCCCGCCGTTCCTCCGCCACATAACTCTCGCCGCCAAGGTGTTTTGCTGGATGATATACCTGTGCGGAGATCTGGTTCCAGAAGCAGAGGCTTAGAGCCGGCCCCGAGGGTCGTTCCGCAACCCGAGTCGCAGATCAATTACCAGGCCCCTCTCCTTGTATACATCCTCCTCTTCCCTCTCAACCTAGCAACCGGAGTCTTAGGTCGCCTGGGCAGGGCCATAGGCTACATATTCCCATTCCTACCCCGACTGTGGACAACTATCTTCGCGAGGAATACAGCCCGGGGCTCAAGGAGCAATACCAGCGGACGTCGCGCCCTCAACCCACGCGACACGGCCGCACGTAATATTCGCGAATTCGAAGAAGAATACGGTCCACATTCTCTACCCATCTTTGAAAATGGCTACGCTCAAGCCTATGATCTGGCTAAGCGCGATCTAAAATTCCTTTTAGTCGTCCTCTTCTCTCCTGAACATGATGACACCTCCTCCTTTATCCGCGACACCCTCCTCGCCCCACCCGTCGCAGACTACATTCGAGATCCAACAAACAACATCATCTTATGGCTAGGCAACGTTCTAGATTCGGAAGCTTACCAAGTCGCTTCGGAATTGCGTGTTACAAAACTACCCGTTGCAACTCTCATGGTGCACACTCCTTCGGTCTCTTCCACCGCCTTCACCGTTATCGCCCGCATCGCCGGACCTATGCCACCTGCTACCTTTGGAGCAAAGCTACGTTCTGCCGTCAGCCAGAATATCGAGCCCCTGGAGCGCGTCCGCGCATCGCGTGCTGAACAGTCCGCAACTCGCTCCCTGCGTGAGCAACAAAATACTGCATACGAGCGCTCGCTTGCGCAAGACCGTGAGCGAGCGCGTAAGAAGCGCGAGGAAGAGGAAAATCGCAAGCGCGAGGAAGAGGAAGCAGCAGAGAGGGAGGCGCAACAGCAGCGCTATGAAGAAGATCTAGCACAGTGGCGCATGTGGCGTGCGCAAAGGTTGAAGCCGGAGCCTAGCGCGGACGTCAAGGATGCCGTGCGGATCAATATTCGCATGCCATCGGGCGAGCGAGTCATGAGGAAGTTTGAAGCAGATGCGCAACTGGAAGAGCTTTATGCGTTTGTCGAATGCTATGACGTCATCACTACAGGAGTGAATGAGAGCGAGAAAATCGAACAACCACAGGGGTTCTCGTTCGAATACGGCTTCCTTCTCGTGAGTCCGATGCCGAGAGAAGAATACAAGCTTGTGGACGGTGGTACGTTGAAGGAGAGGATAGGGCGGAGTGGGACTTTGATAGTAGAGACAATCGGCGGAGTCGATAGCGAGGAGGAGGAAGACGAAGACGACGAAGAAGAATGAGTGTACATGTACACAAGGAGACGAGATACACAAAAGGTCACTATTGTATAGATCAAGGTGCACCAGGCATATATTTAGCCATAAGTAGCCATTATGACGGACTATGTCCGTCTATACAAGAAAGGTATCATAACAATTGTCCGTTTAGACACCATCTTGTCCAAATGCATCAGACTAAGATTTCACGCGGCCGTAAAGTCATGACCGACGCACTCATCACTAAGCAACCCATCGTTTCAACTCGTATTCCCTCACCTGCTCCGTGTCCCTTCCTCTGACATCGTCCTGCACCTCCCTGCTCGCGGTGTTCCCGCTCTTCTCACCCTCAAACGCATCGCCGCAGTCGTCCTTCAGCACATACACCATACTGTCGTACGCCGCAACATTGCGATGGAAGCTACCCATGCATCCGTAGTCCTGACCTGTCCACGCATCCGTCACCCGGTACTTGCCGGCGTCCTTGAGCTCTGGCACGTCGCTGTAGAGTACGGAACGATCTTGTGTTGAAGACGACGGGTTGAAGACAAGGACGAGCACGCCGCCGGTGTAGCGCCCACTCCAGTACTCGGCGGGGTGCAACCAGTCGAACGTCCAGTCGGGGTTAGTGCCCCATTTGTACGGCGCAGCTGCGCGGCCATATCGCCCGTCCTGATTGAACGCGAGCAGGTACTTGTTCTTCAACACATCGACGTTTGCGGCCGAGAGCGTGTCCAGCGGCGTGCCTATCAACAGCGGGCTTTTCATGATCGCCCAGATGGCGAAGTGCGTGCGCCCTTGCTCGAACGTTAGCTCGCCGTTGCCCAACTCCAGCATGTCGGCGTCCGGGCGCTTGAAGAAATCCACGTTGTTCATGTAGAACGAGTTCGCGTTCCAGATGTCAGTGATGCGGTCCCAGCGCGGGTTGATGTCGTCGGTCGAGCGCCATGATGCGCCAACGTCGGCGCCCCAGGCCTCGACGTTTGCGGTACCCCATTGACAAAGGGAGTACAAAATCGGCCGGTCTTGGGCGAGGATGGCGTCGCGCATGCGAGTAAAGCGGTAGTGGGTGTTTGACTTCGTCCAATCGTAGTTGTCAGGGCATTGGCCGTCTTTGTTCGTGCAGGTCCCGTTGCGGAGCTCGACTTTTTCCGGAACGCAGAAGCTGCATTCGTCTTTGTACTTGTCGGGAATGTTGCAGTTGTCGTATTTGAGGTCTGACGAAATCAGCTGCGGGAACACGTTCTTGGGAATGGGGTGAGGAGGAGGAGGGAGGATTGCTTACAGTCGACTCCCCATGATGCCCACGTTGCAGCATCAACGTCTTCGTAGTCAATGCTTGCTTGGTAGCCGGCACAGGTCAATGTTCCGGCAGAGCTGTAGATGCCGAGTTTCAAGCCCATGGCGTGGACCTTGTCTGCGGTGCCGCTGATGCCCTTTGGAAACTTGGTGATATCTGGGATCAGTTTGCCGTTCTCACGGCGGTCCTTTACCTGCCAGCAATCATCGATATTGACGTATTCATAGCCCGCGTCCTACACAGCGGTTAGTCGGAGTATCGTGAATTCGAACAAAGCTTTGCACCTTCAGGCCAAGTGACACCATCTTCTCGGCTGCAGTGAGGAACTTGGATTCGTCAATGTCACAATGGAAGCTATGCACGATCAGCATGTGTTGATTACACCACCAGTAATATTCCATACGCATTCCACGAGTTCCAACCTAAGGCTGGAAGCCTGCCAACCCCATCTGCGCGGTAAAGGGCTTCACTCAGTGGTACTGCCAGTAGCAGAGCAGTAACGGTAAGCCTCATATTGCGGGTGCTGATATGAAGCGTAGGTTTCAAAGTGTTCATACGAAAGAAAAAAAATGTAGGGGAAAGTGCTGTTGATCAAGACTCCGTAATTTGAATCCGGGGAATTATGGAAGTGCGGACTCGGCATGAAATGTCTCAATGTGTGAATGGGTGGTATATATACTGGTCATAGGGCCATGACTGGCTTCAACACTGAGTGGAGTATGTCTTTGTTGTTGTGCTCAAACTTGCTGAGGTATTCAGGGCGCGCTTAGCAAGTGGTACATAGTCAGGCATGCGAGCATTCCCTGGATGTCTCACGCAAAATGAATATGTTTGGTTTATTTGCCCGATGAGACGGCGAGAATGTGATCGTGTATACGTCATTCCTATGGTTCCCAGCCGTTGGAGCTTGGAGGAGAGGTGTCGTTAACCACATGTCCCGTTATCAGATGTGTTAGTGAAGGAGATCAGCGCGCTCCACTGGTCCGCTAGGCATGTGGTCAGGCCTGCTGTAGTATGCATGCTGCCCGTGTCACCAAAAGAGGTCCACTTGTCGATGTTTTAGCTCGGAAGTACGAGTCGCAGTTTTTGTAGTTTGTCTCCTTGATTGCGCTATGAAGGTACACATATCTTGAAGTTCTGCGTACGGGGGTGTGAGCAAGGGATATCATGCAAATGGATGTTAGCATGTTGTGGCTAGATGCTCTTCCTTGGTGTGTCCTGATAAGACATGGGGAAATGAAATGTTACAAGACTGGAAAACAACAACAACCATACAAAACAACTCTGAAGAGATCGGCGTTCTAGGTTGTTTGAGGGTCCACCCGGGCACCGAGGCCGGTAAAGCGCTAGTCCGCTTCGAGTTCGTATGCGGGGGAGCAGGTCGGTACTTTGGGGTCAGGAGGTCAGGAGGCCATGGACAACTATTCAGGGAGTGTTGTGCAGCGTGTTGCTGAGCATGGGCAGTCAGGGGAGTGGCATGCATAGCTAAACAAGTCGTCTCGTGCCTGGGTTAGAGCGAGCAATGTGACTGTAGATCTGAACGACTCCCATGAATATATTACGTTAGCATCCTGACTTGTTAAGAGTGTTCACTTGTCAGACCCCATGCGTGAAGCCCATTCGACCGTGGATGGACTCGGGAAAGGGAGGCTGTCACGCAGCCTTGTGCCCATGGCATAATGATCTGGATTCGTTGGACCTCCATGTGGTGATGACATTGCTCTACCGGTCGACACCAACACCAAGACCTAGGTACACAGGTATGATGTGCAGAGTAGGTTGCGATGGTGTTGTATCTAGCCCGGTCAAGTACACGGTCGATCAACGCACACGCGATACTCCATGGCGACGATTGGACTCGGGACGATCGTGCGATAGCCAGCGCCAGCCGTATATAGTAGGTGTGTGCATCTGTCGCTTTAACGTTGAAAACTTGTCATGTCGCGTGGTCTATGCCGTCACGTCTGTTGCCAGGAGTTCGGATAAAGACTCGTTCTCGTATATAATGCAAGGGAGCAGTTCGACATCCTCGAACTGCTATCAGGGATGAAGTATGGTACTGACAACTTGGCTCAAATGAGTCGTACAGTAAAGAGGGAGTACACATAAAAACAAGTTGTCGGATGGGATCGCTTGGGTAATTAGACGTGGGATTTGAGGTCAGAAAATTGACTCGTGATCTCGTGTTGTTAGCGCCTACGCGTCAATAACAGACGCGTCGAAATTACTCTTGTGATACAACTGGGATGGGTACTCGGCTACCTCAGTACTCATTTAGAAGTCCTGCGGTTCCGATACAACAAGTGATGCGTGTTCCTTTAGGATGGCCATGGAGGTATATATACACTATGTAAACGAATACTAAACTATATAGATATATATGTACATATGTATATCTTGGCGCATGTTACAGAGCGGACTACGATTCATCCACATGCCCGATCGACTGTCCGACCTTCAGCTTCTGGCCCTTTTCAATGTTCCATCGCCAGCCACCTGGTCGCTCCTCTTCTCCGGTGAAGCCCTCGTCAAATGAAGGCCTCCTTCCCTTCGGCGCCTCGAATACGAGCACGATGGTTGATCCAAGCTGGAACCCTCCCATCTCTTCCCCTCGCGTAAGCGCATGTCCACGGAGGATTGCGCTGGCGCCTTCGTAGGTCGCCTCAGCAAAACCCGAGTATGGCTCTCCATCATTCGCTGCTTGCTCCGCTGCGCGATCTGCAGCAGTGTCGGTCGTCAATGAATTTGTCCGAAGTTCACGATCGAAGTTGACAACAATGGATCCTACGTTTGTGGCACCCACTGGCGTGTACGAGAAGAAACCCCATCTCCACCTTCCAAGGAGTACTACACGTTCGTTTAGTGTGAACAGCCCAGGCAAGGTCCTTTGGAGGTAGGGAGAAACGCTGTAGAGCTCGCCAGCGAAATGGCGACGGCTTTCGACGACCCATGATACGGGTGAGTGAAACCTGTGGTAATCGCCGGGTGCCAGATAGACGACACAATAATACAGTGCCGTTGGGCCCTTCTCTTTCGATGTTGCAGGTGCCCACCAGGGCTGTGAAGTCGGCCCACTGCGAGCCAATTCAGCGGTCACGTCTAACTCAGAGGACAATTGAGACTTGGTTGATTGATCCTTTGGTGTGTCCTTCTTGTCCCCTCTATTTTTTGCTGGCCCAGAGAAGAGGTTTGGTAAGGTATATGAAATACCGTTGACTTGTGCGAACTCTTCATCCTCTCGAATAACTTCTTCATCGCCAAGGCTGTGTCGATCCTGACTGGAAACTGAAGGGCGGGATGCTAGCTCTGATGTTGGTGTAGAAATGCCTGAGCTGCTAGGTCTTCTGGAGCCCAGCAAGGCGTCCAAGCTGTATGTCACCCCTTTGACTTGCTCGACCTCGCCATGCTCAATAGTCCCAAACTGAATAACTTTGCCATCTGCGGGCGATACGATGGAGTTGGGATTCGGATCAATTGGTCTAACGCCTGGTTTGAGCGTTCGGTAGAAGAAGGCAGCGAGATTAGGGTAGACGTGGAGGTCGGGTTCGGCGACTTCGTCAAGACTACAATCATTAGTACTGCCTATATTGAATGACTAATGTCTTACTTGACACCGAAGATGAACGAGTATAATCTGAACCCCGGCACACGGAGGTAGTAGGGGATTGTAAGTTCATTGAACCGACCCCATAATCTTGATAGAGCCTTCAGAGGTAGTGTAGACATAATCTGGACTTGCCTGATCGACCGTTAGAAGATATCGATTCGGGTCTCCTTCAACATGAACGTACCATGGCCCACTTGGCCGAATTCTCTTTCTCTTCTTTGGGCAACCGTGTTTTTCGCTTTCGTCATCTTCACGCTCTTGTGTTCGCACTTCTTCCTCTTCAATTCGTCGTTTTTCCCTAGCCTGCACTCTGTATAATTGCAATAACCCCAGAAAACCAATTCCAAGCCCTACTGGTATAGGCTTCCACTCCACTTTTGTCTGCCCCAGGGCACTTCTTAGCCGAGACCTGAATGAACCCCGGGGGTTTTGTTGTTGCTGGATGCAGCCTCGTGGAGAGGAGGAGAAAGATCGACTTCGTGGTAGGGAGTAGCGATGCCGATACGAAGCTGGCGCCCTCGTGTTGGTCCATGTCGAGCGATGGATACGCATATAATGGCATTTTACAAGCCGCCATTGGCTTCGAGCTGCCATCATTCGCCTCGATCCATATATCGACCCGAGTTTTGAGTGGTCCAACTTCAGTGTCGCAACGGGTGAGGACAATAGGAGATGTATAGCGAAAATGCGATCTGCTGAACTGGTATTGTTCTGTAGGCCCGGCGTTCTGGTGCGGGATGACGTCTCAGGCAGACGAACCTCTCCAGGATGGATTCCGCACGACTTGGCGCTGGGCACGCTAGTGTTGTAGCATTGCGACCTCATCCCATTCATGAGCACCTCGTCAATAGAGTGAACCTCCATCAATACATGAGTAATGGTCGTGCACTGGGTACCCATTGAGCAGGCGCATCTATAACAATAGAATCTTATCTCGAACTTATTCTTCTATAGATATAAACGCCTTGGAGGGTAGCAAGCACAACGCTCTTGAAACGGCAAGAGATAGAGTATGGGAGTATATCAAGTCCACTAACAGGTAGAGGAGACTCAGCTCATTGGACCAGTTCTAATTAATGATCACTTAATACTAAGCTGTGGGCTTATAAATCAATGTAATCCGAATTCGTTGGTGATCGCTTATGTTTACGGAAAAACTGAGACCATGAGGACGTTTTATATCGAAGGCGCATCTGCAAAGAGGAGGTATGGTTTTATGAAGAGACTCAATTCTGATTTTCGCCGTCAAGTAACAAAAGCCCTGGCCAACGCTCATATTTTGAGCAGGATATGATATGTGAGGCACTCTACCCAACGCCATAAACCATCCTACCAGTAGAGCTCATATAAGCAGAGAGAAGAAACGCAGAGATAGTAACCTCACCACCGATGAATCCCGAATCCTGCTGTGAATAACACAAATGGAGAGATTCAGACGTAAAGATCCGCCGACAGTAACGTTAAATCATGTCTATACCCATCCCAAAGAACGAATGAATGCCATGCCAGGTGATTATGGTGGTAAAATGTGAGACTGAAATACGTGAAAGTCGAAAATGTTTGTGCGTGCGACTGACGGCACAATAAGGTTCAGAAGATCACTTAAACCTCAACTTCCCTGTCTTTGATAGCTCCATCATCCTCGAATCCATTGGCGTCAGCGTAGACAGATTCATTGACAGATCCATCATCAGAGCCGTTGACGGACAGCTGGGGCTTGTGTTCATCCATGACATCGATCTCGTCTGTTAACATGTTAGTGAACCTTTAAAGATCAACGAGATCAAGCAAGCTTACCCTCACCATCCTTCTTGACTTCTTTGAGTCCAATCTCCGTCTCGGCCTCAGACTCTTCTTTGACGAATTCAGCGGACTTTTTCTTGGTAGCGCGTGCCTTCTTCGGTGGACTTCCACCTTCAGCCTGCTGCTCAGCCTTCTTTTCGATAGCGGTCTTTCGCTTACGAGGGGTGACCTTGGTCACGGGAGTGACCGGAATGGTGTCAATAGAGCCAGAGCCAGAACCAGAACCAGAGTCTTCAGTCTTGGTGGCAGTAGCCTCTTTGGCAGACTTGGACTGGCGAGCACGCTTTTTTGGTGCGGGAGTTGCTGGAGGGCTGTCAACACTAGGCTCCGGTTCATCGGACCCAGTAGATCCGGCTGCGTTCGGCTTGCTCTTCTTAGTTGTGGCAGCAGCTTTCTTGGGAGTTGCGGCGGCAGCGTTGGGCAAACCGTCGGGCCAAAGTTTCTTCTTGATTGCAGTGAAAGCATTGGAGGCTGAGCGAGGGTTGCTCATACCGCAAAGTCCTGCGAGCTTGACATAATCAACCTGTAATTGTGTTAGATTCGCTATACTCGACCAGAGATGTAGTAGTTTGTGATTCATATACATTGGGCAGAATAGTACGAGTGAACCTATAGAGCCATAGAAGGTTTTGCATAGAGTTGAATTCAAAACTTACGTCAGGAGCGGACTTGAGAGAAACGAAAACATTTGAAAGGATCTCTTGCTCGCGAGCACTGAGCCCAAATTCATTCTTTTCCTGAGACATCCTGATGATGTGCTTGAGTAGATCTTAAGATTGAAGAAAGTTCGATGCGAATAAACTGAAAGGCGAGAAAGATTTCGGATCGAAGATCTTAGAGGTTTAGGTAGATGAAGTTCAAAACAGAGGGAAGTACACAGTACTTATAGGAATATCCCCAGCCATTCATGGCCATAGATGAGGGGTAGTCGTCAAGTGAATGCATTCACCATGAAATGAAGCATGCTGACTGGCTGGTCTCAACATGCTCACTTCAATTGTGTTCATTTTGAGATTCACGAGTTTAGCCATGGCTTTACCGGTGCATACCAGCGGTGAGACATGAAACTAGGAACACGCAAATGCAACAAGGGTGTCTGTGTTTATTGTAGTTCCTGTCCTGAATAGTTTGCGGGTCATCACGTCCTATTGGCAGTGATTCCTGAGTTGTGGTCGGTTCATGACAATGATTCTGAGGAATACAGATCTACAGTTAAACACATGCAGACCGCTGCTCTACTTGCTGTGGTTCCTGTAAAGGCTGCAAGATTGTCTTTCTTTTCATTAGCTTTATTGGCTTACAATACGTCAGCATCCTTGTATGTGGGATAGTCCCTTACAGATGTGATGATAAAACGCGTATATAGACCCTGATTGTGGAAGCCTCCTAAGCGCATCTGATTTTGTTCCATTAGTATGGAACGTTGATGAAAGTAAAAGTGAACGTGCTGGTGTTTGGTCGTCTACCGTCTATTCTACATCGGGTTTAGCTCAACGACAAGTGGACGGGCTGTAGCCCCTTGACTTTAGATAGGTGACTCGTAACGGTCTTTCGACAAACGCCATTCAACGACGCAATGAGCTTCATCACGCCCTCACAATAATGTGATGCTAGCGTTTGTAGCGCCTGCAGTACGAAAATATGGGTCCAAGTGAATGATAAGCTCTCTACCAATCATACGAAAGTCGTTTTCGACATGCAAATGGTGCCCACACCCAATTGCGTCTTCCTTGATAGCGGGGCTCTGAAGTAGATTTTTTTCTGTTGCACACTGCTTTTTACGTCTTGGTGTATTTTTTTCCTTGCAACATTGACATATTTTCCCGAAGGACAGTAGCCGCAATCTCGTAAAATGTCGGTTTGGAAGAAGTTTCTCGATAAGCACCGGCGTCGCGGTGCCAATCCTGACGGTGAGAGTTCCTGCGATCCAGAACCGACATTATAATGACTCCTATGTCCAGAGAAGAGTCCAACTCCAGAAAATCAAACTATGTTTCAGGGATTCGAATGGCACGTGCCCGCTGATGGCCAGCACTATCAGCGTCTTACCAGGATCCTTTCGTCTCTCCAAGACATCGGCTTCTCGAGTGTTTGGCTGCCGCCTGGCTGTAAGGCGGATAATCCCGCAGGCAATGGTTATGATTGCTACGATCTGTGGGACCTAGGTGAATTCGAGCAGAAGCAGCAAACGCGGACTAAATGGGGTCTGAAGGAAGATCTAAAGCAATTGTCAGATAATGCGAAAGAGCTGGGAATTGACCTGTATTGGGATGCCGTCCTGAATCATCGTCAGGGCGGCGATCATACGGAGAAGGTCAAGCTCGTAGAGGTCAATAGTGAGGATCGGATACAAGAGATGTGCAAACCCTACGAGACAGAAGCTTGGCTCAAGTTCGATTTTGAAGGTCGCAATGGAAAGTATAGTAGTTTCCAATTGGGTGCAGAACACTTTATTGCGACCGACTGGGACAATAATAATGGAAAGAAAGGAATCTTCAAGATTGAGAGGGCTGACCGACGATCTACTAAGAGAGAAGTCGCGCAAAAGTTGCAGAGGTATCTCATGTTCAATGAATTGGACTACACTCATCCAGATGTGCAGCAAGATGTTAAGAATTGGGGTGTTTGGATCACACAAGAAGTCGGTCTTCGGGGTTTCCGTCTCGATGCCGTCCAACACTTTTCGGAGAAGTTTACCAACGCGTGGATCGATCACCTGTCGAAGGAGTTTGGCCAAGAGAAACTGTTCTTTGTCGGTGAATACTGGGTGGGTGGGGTCTCGGAGCTCGTCTCATACCTTCACAAGACGAGTAATCGCATGTCGCTGTATGATGCTCCGCTGCTCAACAACTTTTCTCACATCTCGCAAACCCCGACAGCCGACCTGCGTGCTGTATTCTCCAACTCACTCGTCGATGTCGCTCCTGCGAAGGCCGTCACACTTGTCACAAATCACGATACTCAGCTTGGTCAAACAGTGGAAACGCCTGTCACGCCATTCTTCAAACCTCTTGCATATTCTCTCATTCTGCTACGTCAAGGGGGATACCCTTGTGTGTTCTACGGTGACCTGTATGGAACGTGTGGCCCGAAAGCTGAGGGACCTTCATGTGGTCGGAAACTTGCAGATCTCATACTTGCCAGAAAACTATATGCATATGGTGAGCAAGTCGACTATTTCGATCAACCAAGCTGTGTCGGATGGGTGAGGAAAGGGCGCTGGGATAAGAAGTTTGGTTGTGCCGTTATTATGAGTACTAGCGGACCAGGAGTGAAGAAGATGGAGGTTGGAGTGATTCACAAGGAACAAGTGTGGACCGATATACTAGGCTGGAATAATGAAGAGATTGTTATCGATGAAAAAGGCCACGGCATTTTTAGGTGCGCCAAACAAGGAGTGAGCATATATGTTAGGCAGGATGCGGAAGGGAGGGAAAGGTTTCCTGTGAATTTTGATGACAATATATACAGTTTCTAAAGTGCCAATCCGAGAATAGATGCTAAGATGCACGTTCTAAGAGCAGGGTTCTGCAATCAGCATGCATTTTCTATAAGGATATGTTATGAGGCATCAAGGCAACAATTCTTTTATGACGTTGACATCGTGAGGGCTGTTCGCCGAGATCGCCCGAGCCACCAGATCGCTACAAACTCCACTGCAAAACATCAGCTATTATGATCATGTCAAGCAAAAAGTAATTGTATCTTCGCCTGGCCCTTGCGCCGCCTCGAACTGTCCGGTTACTGTCACTTCATAGGATCGCGCACAAGTCTCACAACACCCATGTCTCTGCGTCTTGAAATTGAGCTGGACAAGCTCGACCCCGCGGTTCCATTTCGCGCGTCGCGTAACCACCTTCATCATACGTGGGCGCGCACTTTCTATACGTCTCCAGAGCTGTATATCCAGCCGGAATCTCTCGAAGAAGTCCTGAAAGTTGTTACGCTCGCGCGAAGATGTAGGCGCCGAGTCGTCGTCGTTGGCTGTGCGCATTCGCCGAGCGATCTGACCTGTTCGTCATCATGGATAGTTAACTTGGACAAATACAATAACGTACTACGCGTGGACAAAGATGCGAAGACCATGACTGTACAAGGTGGAATGAGGCTGGCAGATTTCAACAGGAGGGCCGCTGAACACGGGCTCACAATAAGGAATCTTGGGAGTATTGATGAGCAAAGTATTGTGGGCGCTATCGCGACGGCGACCCATGGCAGCTCTTTACAACATGGTCTACTCAGTCAGAATGTCAAGAGCTTGCGGATTGTTTTGGCGAACGGGGGTTCTGTGAAGTGTAGCAAGGACCATAACGAAGAGCTATTCCGTGCGGCGCTGGTCTCTTTGGGTGCGCTGGGCATTATCGTCGAGGTAGAATTCCAACTGCGCCAAACAACGAATATCGAATGGGTGCAGTCGATTGAACCTCTATCTCTCGTCACAGGTACCTGGAATACGGACCTTTGGACACAGGCTGAATTTACACGGGTCTGGTGGTTGCCGTACTTGAAGCGTGCAATCATATGGCGCGCAGACACGACCACGAAACCGCGACGCGCACCTGCTAGCAACTGGTATGGCGGATCTATGGGCTACCATATATATCACAACCTGCTGTGGCTTTCAAATTATTTCCCCCGGCTTCTCCCCGCCATCGAATGGTTTGTCTTCGGCATGCAGTACGGTTTCAGAAATGGTACCACAGCGTCCGCCGTCGAGGAAATGCGCTCTGGCTTGCTGATGAACTGCCTATATTCCCAGTTTGTCAATGAATGGGCTATTCCTCTATCCAAAGGGCTCGAAGCGATAGATCGCTTGTCTGCATGGTTGAATGGCGACGAGGTAACGGCTGCCATCCCTTTCTCATCAGAGGGTCTCTGGGTTCATTCGCCCATCGAAGTTCGCGTTTCCGACACATCTTCAGTCTCTCCGCGTCCGTTCCTTGATCCAAGCTGCTCTTCTGAACCGACTCTCTACCTGAACGCAACGCTATATCGTCCATATCATCAAGATCCGCCCTGCCGCGAACGTTACTACGAAGCCTTCGAATATCTCATGCGCTCTCTTGGTGGCCGTCCTCACTGGGCAAAGAATTTTAACACCGTGACACAGACCGACATCCAACGTATGTACGGTGCGGACCTGAACTCCTACCTTAAAATCCGCCAAGAAGTTGATCCAGAAGGCATGTTTGTGGGTGCATGGCACAGACGCTTACTACTCGGCTCGCAAGAAACCCTGCTCGCAAGAAACGCCCTCAGTCTCGAGGAACGTGAAGTTGCACGCGAAAGTAGAAGAGGCGGAGGTATGAAATGGTATGGTGAAGTGGTAGGCGGAAGTGAAAGCGTCCTCGGGAGTGCGACGAGTGAGGAGAGTTTTGACTTGATGCAGGGTGCCGAGGCAGAGCAGAGTATGCTTATGTCGAAGAGCGCTTTTGTGCTCGAAGAGGTGGATGGTGATGAACAGGATCATGAGAAGGCAGATTAGCGGCGAAGGGGCTTCGAATGTCTCCGGACAAGATGTAGGCAGTCTCGGGCCGCGACGGAACACCTCGATTGACCATAAGAACGTAATGAGAAGCTGGATTCGGGCTACTTACAACCCTCTGGAGTGACCATGGTCTTTTCTCTTGGTCTTCACCCCTCAATACATTGAGGGACGTCGACATCTTACGAGGTAGCCGGCTCAAAGCAGACAAGACCTCTCGCGGCACCGTAGCGGACCTGATCAGCCGAACTGCTCATTAAAAGTGTGCCTGTGACGTAATAATGTAGAGTCGACCCAGATGACTCTCTGGAATAGAATCTAGGGTTGCTAGCCTCTATGATGTAGTGATTGACCTCATTGAATGACTTGTTAATGCAATTGACTAGACGAAGTTGTTCTCTGCAACCATCTGATGGTGTACCAGAATAACTGGCTTAGAGATCATCGGCCCAGGTATTCACTGGCTTTAGGCCAGAGCCATGAAAGCTTAAGGTACAATTCCCTCAAATGTTCACTTCCAGCGACCAAAAATGAATCTATGAATGCAAACCGCCCGGCGATCACCTTCTAAAGCAAGTCCCTGCAAGTGCACAGTCATACCAAATAAACCAAGAAACGGTTCTCTATGCTAAATAAACATGCTTCTTCTCCACCCGTTCCACAACACCAGTGCTTATTTTGTCGGCTCCTCGTTTGAAGTTTGAACGAACTCCTCATGGAGCTCTCTACCAGTTATCTCGGACGCTGAGGCAACAAAAGAAATGTCCCATGCCAGAGTCGAACTGGCGGCCTTCGGATAACCGCACTCTGTGAGTACATCATATGATAGAATATGAGACCGACGTCATAACCAACTAGACCAATGAGACGTCTAGACCTTCTGCGCTGGGGATGAGTATTATATATGAGTGACACGCTGCGGCGTTACGATTCGACAGCTTAGTAGACCACGCATAAGGTGTGGAACCAAATGGAAAAAGAAAAAAAATTCTTCACGAATATGTCCTGGAAATGTTATAAAAACAATGCCGCTTCTCGGAATCGAACCGAGGGTCTTCACATGGCGTAGGGATACGAGTGTGACGCGTTAGCCACTGCGCTAAAGCGGCTAGAGTTATGTTGTGAAATTTTAAATCGTAAATATCTCCCTATAACTTTGTGAGGAAGATCAATGCATTTGTCAGGTCTGCTAATTACCGCTGCGTTCGTTCATGGCCACGAATCGGCCCCAGCCGTTCACGCCTACTCCCGGTACAACCGTCGAACCATGTTGATCTCATCTAACGTCGTCCGGTCCTCGTGCCGTTCTCCATCCTAATCTTCTGCGACATTGCAATTCACTTTTGTCATTGGCCACAAAATGAACGGGTACTGAACTTATGGAAAGTCTTCACATTGCAGCCTAATGGTAAGGCAGTCGGGCAGCATTTGTGCGCCACACGACAGGCAAGCCTTCCTTCACACGACTGCGTGACCGATAGGATGCAGACTCAATTCCAGCCTCACATTTCAGGTCGCTAATGTGCTGAGTGCGTTGGCCATACTGTAAGCATCATCGTGGACAGTTGCCTGATGAAACAGGCTACCAGCGAGGCCTGACTAGCCTTGACTCCCCATGACGATGCGAGCAGCGCCTCATTGGAATAGCAAGCCATTATAATCAACTGCTGCAACGATGCTCGAAGCCACGATCCCCCGGATCATGGCACACTTTGTTCGGCCAATTCAGAATAGGGCTTACCACCGTGCGCGGCAATTGGTGAACTACTGCTCTCAAGATGCCGTGCAGAAGAGATGCTTAGCACCTTCAATTGGTCAAGGCTTTGCATTCGAAAGTCGGTGTATGGGATAGGCGTGTAATTATCGTGCATGCACTGAGGCTGAGCTGGGAGCCTCCGGCTCATGCCAATGCAGCAATGCTCACACCTTTAGCTACTGAACAAACGTGCTCATCAACGACTGGATGGCGTTGCTCGATCTCTAGAATTATTGGAATTGAATCGTCATAACATTTCGAAGTAGATTCTGTCTCTCAATGCTAGCCAGTGTCTCGATTTCCGAGTGCGCTCCTATGCCGTTGATACCTGCTGCGCCTCAGGCCAAACCCGACTTGGCTGTGTGGCGCAGGCAGCAATACAATGACCCAGGACAGAAATCGTACCCCCAATACAGACGTACATACAAGCTGAAGGGCCTGATACTCATTGTACCCGCCTGTCTTAAGAATTGTAGACTCCCCACTGTCTTGCTCACAGCTTACATCCTCTGCCTCGAGCTAGTCCTCTAATCTTCGACTGCTTTTCACTCCTATCCTAAGTGAGGTTATAGTCACGCTTTTACAACCATATCTTCTATGATGCCAATCTCCTTCAGTCGTAAAGATTCTACTTTCGTCTAATTCGCCGGCTCATCGCATAATACTGGTACTCGGCTCTAACGACGATAACTCAATCGCTTCTCAGGCACGAAGACTTCAGACCTCTTAACGATTTTGTCGGTGCTACGTCTTTCCAATCGTCGATTGTGAGGGAAACTTCGACCTCCTGGGAACACGTTTTCCGACGTATTTGTCGTCTAACAATCAGTTCGTCGATATATATTGACTAGTCTTACTTCGTGAGCTTAGTAGTTCGAACAATGGCTATTCCCACCACACGTCTGGAGTTTTCTGATTTCCATCGGAGGCCTAGGAGCAATTCTTTCGGTCAACCTGGTCCTCTTCATATCGACATTCCATCCCAACCTCTAGGTCACACTTATGATACAACATTTCACGGTAGCTGTTCCAGATGCCACCACTGGCATGATGGGATTCCCTTTAAGGTCCTGAATGCCCCCGAAGAGTTCACTGGCCTCCATTGTCATAAGTGTAACCACAAAATGTGCGGTTTGGGGAGGACCTCAACACATGCGAGCCTCGCGTCACAAAATACTATTCCAGACCCACTACGCTACCCAGTCGAGAGTGAAATCCTATCAGGAACGATAGCGGAACAACACGAAGAATCAGAATCCATGCGTCACGGCGGTCTCGCCATATCAATAGCCGATGAATCAGGAGATTCCACATTCGACGATGTGGATCACCTTTCTTGCGGACGGGACAGGAAATCCCAGGCTTCGATACACCCGCCTTCCCCGAGCTTACTGTCTCCGAACGACTTCCATGATCAACCAATCCTGCGTGACTACCCAGGGCCACCTCCAAATGACGTTGAAGAACCATTATTTCCACATTCGCAACCCTCGGAGCTCCCACGCCGTGGATTCTTCAAAGATAAGCTCAAGAAGGGAATCAAGCGTGCAGTAAATAAAGTTGGATACGACATTGTCAGACTTTCCCCAACTTCGCCCCATGAGTTTGAAGCCACCACGAAACCACCCGTGATTGGTCATGAAGGAGCAAGTAAAGTTACAATGACCCATGGGGTGCACTCACAGCCCTCTCCGCCTCCATCCCCAGAAACTCGCATATCCCCACGGCTGTCACCCGTTCCCAGACTGCACACATACAAGCATCCAAAAGGACATATTCCGCCGACCGATGAGCTTATCCATGAATGCCGGCAGGCAATGACCACTAAAGCGAGCGCGCATCGCTCAGTCTCAGCTCACCCTACATCGTACAATATTCCATTAGCAAGCTCAGTTGCAGATGATAATAATGCCATCGAAGACTGCCAATTGCCTTCCAACAACAGTCAATCAGGCAGAAGTGACTCATATAGTCAGCACCAGGATATTGTCTATAATGAAGATAATAGTGAGCACCAAAGCTCGTCCCTTGCCACCGACCGTGATCGTGAATCCGGGATAGGAAACGAAGTTTCGGATGCGAGTCATCGGAGCATGACAACGACTGCTATCAGCTCGCAATCATCTGCTGGACACCCGTCGATATCTGATCTGCCTGATTTTGCATTGGCTTCACCTGGTGGTGTCTCCGGTCGCGATGATCAGCTTTTTGAGCATGTAGGATCGCAAGTTTTGTTAGCCGAACCGTACCCTTCAAACCTGAGAATTTCCACAGATTCCGAAGGCTTGGGAATCCAATTACGCTACGACATGCCCCAGGATGACACGAATGAGGAAGATGGTGGCCTCACGCCAGTGGCCGCCAACGGAGGAGGAAGCCGTAGATCTTCTTTACCGTTCCTCGAACCACCTGTGTCACCCGAAGACATCATAGAGAGACGAGAGCAATTACACAATGGTACCGAGCCCCAATTGCGAGGGAGTATTGATAATGACAGCCTGACTGCCAACTACGGCAGTGAAACACCACACCAGGATGAATGACGAGTCTTTTGCATCCTTATGCACAAGGATGGACACATACACTACTGGCCGATAAAGAGTTAATCCACATGGAATTGCAAGTATGAGTCCGGTTCGGTCCTCATTCGATATAATCCCGACAGCAAAGGTCTCGATCAATGGCCACTTTGAGGCAAATTTAACACGCCTGGTATTTCCTTGATCCTTGTATATCCATCTACATCTCTGTATATGTATAGGAAGCAATAGGTTCCCAGATATCTCACTTGCACATTCATTGCTTGTATGTAACTCACCATTTCATTCTTGCGCAATCAGAACACGCTACCTTTATCCACAAACAACAATGGTGTAAATATAGATTCCTACTACTCTATGGAAATGAGCTGAGGCAGATAATATGATTCTCTGTTCTAGATTACAGAATCTTTGACTGCAGCCAAGTGTCTCTGATGTGTATGTGAGCCTGTTCATAAATGGTAGTCCTTTTTGGGGCCTACCCCTGAACCTTAGATCCCTGAAAGCAAGCGCCTGGCCGAAAGCTAAAAAATATAACACTTAGGTGTATTCTGTTTATTGTGAGTACCAATATGGAAGAGCCGTTCAATGTATACGTGACCGATGACCAATTGAAGCACGTTAGTCAAGCATACATGAGTGGAAGTACCGAGGAGGGAGTACAGCCATCGCATTAGTAGTGCGAATACGATAAGACAATAACAGAGTTTGTACGAGGAAAGATCAGGCCCTAGACTTGAGCCTCCACAGACTCATAGCAATGTCTGTTCCGGTCTCTAGGGAGCAGATGCCCATTAGCGGTATGCTTTTGTTTACTTTATCGACATACTGCGCGCCTTGACTCGTACAGGTAAATATTATACATATATTTCTGTCTTTCTTTCTTTCTTTCTTTTTTACTCCTAGGATATGTAATCTTGCAATTAACTTTGTTCTCCGTCGATCTGGCGAACGTTGGTTAAAACTGCTAATCGAAAGGAGCCAATCAATGCCACTAATCTGCGTCCCGTCACCTTAAGGTGGTAGCCATATACAGTTCATCGTCGAAAGCAGGGCGATCGGACAGCATGGCCCGTGTCTAGAAAAAGCGGAGCCTTGACGGATCACTATAATTGGCTTACGAGCCATATTCGCTCCCAAAACGGGAATTTTTGACCATCGTTGAAAACAGGGCCATTGGGCAGTTGGGCAACATGGTCCGTGACTGGAAAACAGTGGGTCTTTGGTGATCTACTTTCACCAGCCACTACTGTACTAGCTTCAAGGGCAACCATGGTTAGGCAAGTAGATCTGTGATGAATTTATGTCCTGACACCTATTGGCTCCTCTACTTTCACACTGATAACGAAGTAAGCACTCCCGCTCGCTCTGATTCGATGCCTCATATTCGATCTATGAATGGGTGGATTAATGATTAGTTGGGTAGATTGCTTAAGCAATTCGACGACTTAGTAGCAAACATCATCATGAATGTATTACGATCGTGGCATTACAGACTCGCCCTATTCGTTTTTCACGTCCAAATCAATTTCTTCAGATTATAACCCAAGCTTTCGACCCAACCGGTCGCTTTCTTCGCCTCTGCCTCACTAATGATATCCTTCTCCTCGATTTTGAGCCCCCTTGTGCATTCCGTAAATTTATTCGCGACCCGCGCGATCTCCTCTGTAATATGCTTACACGTCTCGATTTCGTTTAGTGGCGTATGTGCATCATCATCGCCCTTCGAGGATTGTATCGTTGACGCGGGGGGAAGTGCTTTGAATGCTAGGAATCGAGTTTCTTGGGTAGGTAAAGGTGTCGAAGAGGTGTTCGACGGTTCAAATTCGTGTGAACTGTCCAAGCTGCGGGTATTGCGTCGGACAAGGTCTTTCCCACTACCGGTGCGGAACTGCAAGACCAAACCGACGTTTTTGCTTGTGTCAAGATGTCGTGGTGCGAGTGTTGATGTTATATATGTGCCACGTGAAAGCGAAATCATGTCTCCAAGGTCAACACGTTCGAACATCTTGACTTTCTCTGTTTGCCAATCAAGTCTGCACATGTAGGCAGCTTTCTCAGTGAGTAGCAGAACACATTCTTCGAACGGTAGTGTACGCAAGGTATTGCTTTCGGCTGGACAGCTTAATGTCCAACCGTGGATGAGATCCTCCGCACCTGGATCTTCTATCACGATCTCTGCCGCGCGGTGGATGGCACTTTGGCGGACTTTTCGCATATCTAGTGCGTAGTCAGTTGTCTTCATATCAGCCTCGAACTCGGCGAATATTGATTCGGGGGCACGGCCCAATAGGTAGTCGATGAGCGCTTGCGCAAAGTAATCATTAACAATGTTATTGTAGTATCTCGTTAGAGTAAGACCAAAGTCGGTGAGTGCGCCAGAGATCTGTCTCTTTCTTGTACGGGTGTAATCTCCTTTTAGAGCTGCCGTGCCCGAATATTGTTTCGAGACTGCATCACCATTATCTGCCCAAAGTGTATTGAACCAAGAAGTTCGAGGGTCAGTCTGCAGATCGATCTTGATATTAAGATAGGAGAGCTGGGTCTCCAGTGCTGCACGACCTGTAGCAGACTGAACAACATTTGTGCGGTCAAGACAGTCCATACAATTCGTTCTAAGGATGCCTGATTGAATTGAAGTCAAGGTGTCTCCTTCTTGAACAGTGAACCCGGTAGAATGAAGAAACGGGCCTAGGGTGTCCATAAGAATCGATACGTTCTCGAAGCGCATGCCGCGACACACGTTGTGGAAATCAAACCACTCGAATCCAAGCTCGCTTCCTTTACCATCTATACCGCCAGACTTATTAAGTGCCTCCGCATGCTGTTCGTATAATTTTCCAACTTTGGCTTCTGTCCCATGCTTATCGACCAGCGAGTCAGCATAGACCGTCCCATAACGCGAAGCGAGATTCGCAAAATGTAACCTGAAGGCGCTGGCGTTCATTTCCTCAGAACCCTGCAGGGTTACTGCGGGTTTGAGCGAGTATGGACTCTGAGAAAAAATCAATGGGATAGATCCACGGCACTGCGTAAAAGAGTAGATCGCGTTGTTTGTGGTATCCCATGTTGGGGAGGACAGTAACTGCTCTGTCTCCACACTGTTCGCAACATTACCCTCTCCGTCAACGCCTCTTCGTAGGTATCGAAGGCCTGCGCGTAGAGTTGATCGTCTTGAGATGAGTGTTAACAGGAAGTCCTTCGTCTCAGATTCGGTTGCTGACGCAGCTTGTTTTTTAGCAACCTCGTCATGTTTGCTCAGTATGGCCTGTAAGGACGTTGCAGCGTCGACTACAGTGTCCAAATGTGAGTCCATTGAGGTGTTGACTGTAAATGCTCGCTGGCCCACGAATCCTTGTATAATAGGCAAGACAAAACTTAGCTGCCCAGCGTCTATAAAAGGGCTAGCCATATGGTGGTTCCACAAGTACTGGTATATACTGTGATTAGCAAAGTTTCTAGAGTTGATCGTATGTAACATACCAAAGGATCGAATTGCTTGAAAAGAGGCTGACTGCTAGGTGTCAAACTTTGGATTGCTAGTCTCCGTGAGAGATCGATATCGTACGAGAAATAGAAACTCTTGGATCCAAAATAAATCTTCGTCGTTCGTAGTATTTTTGGAAGGAGTGTGATAGATGATGCATTCTCAGCATCACCCAGAGCTTTTGGTATTTCTTCCACAGGTACGTCGGACATACACACCGCAGGCCTGACTTCATCGGAGTTCAATTTTCGACCCCCGTCTAACGTCTGCTTGTTTCCTTCTCCATAATTCGTCGGCTTAGAGCTATCTAGATTATCATCATCCATAGTTTGCTCCAAATCTTGCTGCCTTCTCTGCGCTAGGCTATCATCGCTGCTGATTCCCTGTCTTTTTCTCTGTTGGGTACTCCAACCCTTACGACTAAACCACTGGTCCGCGAATCTTCCATACAAGCCTCGACGTGCGATAACGTCTTGCCCTATGCTGGTGCGTCGTTGCCTCTCTTGCACTGTGGCTGCATCCTTTTCCAAGCTCGTACGTGGTGTTGAAGGTACACTCTCGGGAAGAGACTCGTCATCGGTCACAGTTGCTGTGTCGCTCTCTTCTGCGGACGAATCATCATCTTCGGGCCCTAGGGCTGTTTCTGTCGAGGTCTGTCGTCTCAAGTGGTCTTTTGCTGAGGTGATTGCCTTCTCGGCCTCGGCCTGGGAGACTAGGGGTATGAGCGATACGTCTGAAATGACATAAATCGGCTTTCGTCGTATATGAGCAACTTGTTCGCGACTTGCGATGGACACCAGAAAACTTGTAGACGCGACTTTGAAGAGGCCTAGTGCGGGGGCAAAGTGATCAGTAGACATACGACGAGTAGCAAACATGAGTATTCACCAACAATGCCCCAAGACTCTAGTACATTCTCTGCGGTCGGCTCTTCTCTGCGATCGTTCAACAGTGGGCCAACGTTACCCTTCCAATCGATCTTTATCGCTTGGTGAGTCGTTGGTGGATGGTTTTTTGGAGGTGCTGGCTGCAAGATAAGACCATCGACGGCAGCAAATATTAGCAGTTTTCGAACTATGCTAGGCATTTTGAAGGGAGTAGTTTGTCCAGCTCTGAAACCGCGATAGCTATCGTGTTGCGCTCTCCCAGGTGTTATAGGGAGCTGGAAGAGAGTCTATCTATAGAAATGGAGACCTGGTCTCATGTTAGAAGATCCAGCTGAATCATAATTTCGAAGTCTGCGATGAAGGGAGCTGTACCGAGTTGGTAGTCTCAGGTGCAGTGGTCGCATGATGACGTCGGTCTTGGCAGGGAAAGTACTTTGCAAGTCGAGCAGGGGGATGCTTGCGGCCTTGCTCGTGCGAGATCGACCGCATATCTGTATAACATTGAATTGTTACATATACACATGTAGTAAGCATTGGGCCGTCTTCAGACTATGTTTCGACATCACGAGTGCTTGAATAACGTTGTCGTGTGGAGTACCCATGTAATATCCTGAACGCCAGAGAACTCGGAACACTTCGTACTGTTACACTGGAAGTGTCATTGGCCTTTGGGAGGCTTTACCAGATTCATATGCCACTTCATCCTCTCGATAGCTTCGCGCATGGCCTCGTCACGATCAGGCTGAAAAGATATGGCATCCTTCATTCCACCAACAGCCTTCTTGAGCTCTTCAGGAGCGTTATCCACACCCAGCCTTGCTATCATCGTCTCTGCCTCATGCAATCTGATTCTAGCATCCATAATCTGGCCCCAATAGTGATCCATCGCACCCATATATCCTGTGTGCGATAACGGCACCGGTAGCTTGTCTTTGTTCCACTCAATGATACCGAAAGAATCTGACATAGCCTTCCATCGAGCACCCTCAAGCTCTGGCGGGAATACTATACACAGCGACCCGAGATCGCCGTGAAAGACAAGATCGTCGCCAATCTTGTTGTTGTACCACTCGATATTCTGGTAAAAAACCGAGTCTCGAAAGCCAGTATCATTGAGCGCTGTTGCCATGGCTTGGGCGTCAATGTTCGCTAGTAGATCCATGTTCGTATCTGTGAATGGAGTTGCCATAGCCTTGACCAGGAATCTGATTGACCAAGGAGAGACCTTTATGAAGAATGAAGTGGTGTTCAGGGCGCCTTGTGTATGTGTCGCGAGGAAAGATGTTTGCGCAAATTGCTCGTGGGGAGGAGGAAGAAATATATCCAAAGGAATTGCAGGATTAATTATAATTATGGCTGGGTCGACCCACCTGTCCAAAGCACTATTAGCATGACAGCGCAGCTGAGGATCGTCACATACCAGATCCAGTCAAGTCGTCCCTCAAGGTCTTTTTGGAGCTCATTTGCTATAATTGTTTGCAGATGCAAGAGCTTATTCCAATACCCTTCGGTGATCTGATGGCGCAAAACGAACATGTCGTAGCCGTGTAACTCATTATGGGGCGTATGGCTCTCGATAGCGCGTTCGTACATCTCGTTGTATGGCCCATAAAGCATCGAGGCCTTGCCAATCTTCAACTTTGCCCCAGGGCGATCTCTTGGGAACAGCTCTGGCAGAGGCGCATGGTGGTGAAGACTTTTGCTCAGAATGAATATGAAGGATACGAGTATCGTTATGGAGAGAATAATGCGCGTCTTAAGAGGAGTTAGCAGTGCGCTAGATCTGATTCTTGCATCTATCGCGTACAGGCTTGATGCGTACTACTATAATATCAGCACTGTCAAACCCCGGACCTGTGGTAGAACGTACTCCTGTTGTTCGACACTAACATCTTCACTTAGGTAGTTCGGCCCGATTCTTCAAGAACTTGACTTGCCAAATGCATAGCTACCACCAGGTGAAATCCAAGGATTGAACGCGGAGGTGTTCAGCGAGCGAGGCTGATAGCTTCTCGCATTGCGCAGGTCGGAGGACGTCTGAATAGATGCGATTCTATGCTGCGCTGGCCAGAGGAGGTAATTAGCCCGCGTATGGAGGCGTCTAAGGACTCCCGTCTAAACTCTGTTGAGCCCGGTGTGCAAGATGCCGACATAAGGAAGCTTGCCGAGTCTCCGGTCCCAGCCCAGCTACGAGTAATTACGGGCAGCAGAAGTCCGAGTCCGAGTCTGAGTCCCTCACATGAATGGGCTGTCAACAACCATAACCCGATCAATGGACACGAATATTAGACCTGGTTGTCATAGATGTTGGCCACCGTGACCCGCTGAACGATCAACATAACGATCGCGTCTTCCTTCTTTGTCTTGCGGTAATTTCGTCTTCGCAAGTATCCACGCCGGCGATCATCCATGATCCATTGTCGCCATTCAACACGGGGCCCTGCTGGACTTTCTGCTTGATTTACTGCACCGCGTTACTATTCTGGAAGACTTGGTCGTTCTCAACTTGTTGTTGGAAGACAATATTTTTACATCAACATTGTCCTTACTAGTAGTCTTGTTCTTGTTTTGGCCTTGGCGCCGAATGTCTTTCCGCCAGAGACGACAGGGCCTCGATGGCGGAAAGACATCCGGATTCGGCGCTGAAAGTGCCAGCACAGCTACCGACTAGCAGTTGACTGTAATCGGTAGGATACACTTATATCATACTGCATGATATACATTTTGTACAATCTCATACAGATACACTGAGGCTCGTTAACACGGCTTAGGAAAGTCTTGAGAGTAGCATATTTGCGGAAGAGGTGGGATTGCGTTATGTACCGTAAATCGTACTAATCCATGGATCAATGCTCAAGGGGGTACCGAGTCACACACGCGAGATAGAACGAACACGACTGTGAGAGCAACAGAACGAACAAGACTGTGAAAGCAACAAGATTAAGAAAGACGAACAACGTAATACAACGTACGTAAAATTCGAGCTACAAGAGAAAGACAGAGAAAGTTTGCATTACTAGGATACTCGTGCCATTTCCAGTCGGTACCTTCTCTACTATCATGTCAACACTAAGAGCACCATCTCGGCCCGCGCACCAAGTCGTGCATCATCATGCCATTCTACCAGCTCATTTTGCCTCTACACGTCAAGCAATCTCGAAGACAGTTTTGGCTAAAAAACTCGGAAGCTCTCGAGGTCATGTATCGCATTTTCGCTCTCCTGAGTTGTCATCGCATCAATACGAACCTGGACACCAACCCTACGAGCACCTACACGTGCACCTACCTTGAGCAATGAAATAGTCACGATGTTGCTTGGTCTCGCTGCGTATTACAATCTGTTCTCTGAAGTGCTGCAATGTTGGACATTGTTGGTTGATGAGTTTCACTGTTTCACAGGTCCCGGTGCAGGGGTTAACAGCTTTTAAGATAGCCACTGATAAGGGTACTGGACGTGGAAACGATGTTAGGTATGACGATATGTATTCCGTGGGTTTGTGTCAAAGCTTGTGCGGTGTCGTCGTTCTAATACATTGGAGCTGTGTAAGACTGACCCCGGCAAAACTTATGTTAGATTCGAACGTCCAGCACATGTAGATCTAGTTGCAAGTAACTACAGCATCACGACTCCCCAGTAATCTTAATAGAACATTCTCGATTTGTTGACCCATGCCTGTAGAAAGCAGCGCCTGTTACGCGCCTGGAGCCGCCATTGGAATGGAAGACTCATCTTGAAAACATTGATAGTTGTCGCGGACTTGTTGTACGGAATACAAACAAATATAGACATCTTGAGACAGACTTCCGAAGGTCTTGGCAGAGAGTTGAACATCCACCTGTGGAATCCAATACACAGTCGCCATACTTGGCGGTGGCTTGACAGCATAGGTAGGCGCCAGCTGAAGCTCAACCTCTTTTCCTTCCACAACGAACCACGCAACGCAGAAGCCGCCAATTTCTATGTTATCATGAGCAACGCTAGGGAAGATTCCCATCAATACAGGACATAAGCTGCACCCCTTCTTGCACCATCATGGCCAGCCAAGACTCGGTCTATCGTCCACTACCAAAAGGTGTAGATGCAATTCGCATTCTCACTGTCAAACCAGAACAATTCCCGGCTCCATTGAACTGTGAACTGAGAGTCGCAGCCTTCAGCGAGCGCCCGAAATATGCTGCTCTTTCCTATACTTGGGGTGATTCTCACAGTGAGAGCTTCAGTGCGTTTAGAAAACTTAAAGTCTCAATACAAGGACGCCATTGGAACTTGGCTCATAGAGTCGAATATGTGGAACTGGGTACGATAACTATCAATGGAATGGATGTTCCCGTTCAAAATAACGTGAATATTGCGTTGCGCCATCTTCGGTCTGCGACCCAGCCTTTATCGCTCTGGGTCGATGCAGTTTGTATCAATCAGGGCGATGTTGCGGAGGTAAACGCGCAGGTTGCTATGATGTCTTTCATATACACGCGAGCCGTGAAAGTAGCTGCTTGGATAGGGTTTCCAACGTCGGACTGGCAAATCTCAGCCAGAGAATGGTCCAGCGGACAGACACGTGCGTTCTCGGACGTAATTGCTGGAAATGCGAAACGATTTATGTGGTCTGCGGAACCGGATCATAATGAGCTCACACGCATCGCCGAAAGTGCATACTGGACCAGGCTATGGATCGTACAGGAGATGTGTCTGGCTGCGGACGTGGTATTCGTGTACGGAGCAAAGATTTGGAGCTTTGAACATATCAAAGCTTGGGCATCGATGAGATCAGCACAGGTGCTGAAAGAGCATTCCAAGTCGATCATAAAGGTTGATCAAGTAAATGTCTTTGCAACGATGCTAGATTGTATCACAGCTCGAAATCAACGTTTCAGTGAAGACATGCAATTGGAGCAACTGGTAGAGCGATTCTCTAAATGTTCATGCTCGGAACCACGGGATAGAGTATATGGCCTCATGGGCCTTGCCAATGATACAAAGTCGTCTGCACAGCCCCATACTACGCGCAAGACACCAAGCGAAAGCACCCCCGATCCGGATGGGTGGGATGATCCTGGCGATATGACAATTCAGATCGACTATACGCGATCTTTCTTCGATATCTGGAAAGATGTTATACATCACAGATTGGCACAAGGCCCCGGGGGAAGTCGTTATTACTCGAACCCAAAGGCAGAACGTCATATGAGTCTTGTCAGATTCGCTGGTGTGGTGCAAGCAGCTCTGAATGGAAAAGTTGAAGAGGAACTCAGAACAGGGGGTACTTCAATATCCCAAGACCTTGTAAGTAATCTTCATGCTGGAGACTGGTCCTATAGCTCATGATTCTGAAAGATTCATGCCCCATTAAATATCCGAGTCCTTGGATTTGTATGCAGCACAATTGCTCATATAGACACTTCGCATTCCTCTCTTTTTGGCTCTTTTAGTGCGCAACAGGCCTGGCATGGAAGCTGGACACGACTTCAGCGTGAGATGCACAGATGGGATCTCGTCACTCTCCGAGAGAAGGATCGAGGATATATGTCGAAGATATGTGAATACACTGACGACGATCTTGGAAGAATAAGGGATATTTCCAGTCCTCGAGTACTAGCTTGGCCATGGAAAGAGGAAAATCCAATCGATTGTGGGAATGACACGAGAAGTAGTCCCGCACAAGGACTCGATGAGGAGCCGAGAATCTGTTTGGGCACCAATAATTTCATCGGTCTAGCACCCCGATCAGCGAAAGTTGGCGATGTCATTGTCCGGTTCATCAATTGTAATGCGGCACTCGTGATGAGGCGTCTTTCAGCTAGAAAAAGGAAAAAGTCAGAGAGCTTACCATCAACCATTGGCAAGTCGTATACTCTGATCGGACGAGCAGATGTAGCAAGTAAGGTCAATGCAGAATTGTCTGCTGCCCCTGAAAGTCCTGCTCAGATGATGGGTAAGAGCACTGATCTACTGTACGTAGACCTCAACTTCCACTTACTGCAACTTATAACGGCCGGTATTTCGACCAAAGCCGAATTCAAGCCTCGAGAAGCTTGAAGATTGGTTCTCTGGTGTTTGATAACATGACCAAGAATGAGGAAAAGTTGGAAGATAGATGCAAAGTTACAATTCGCTCTTCGGAAGTTTCCAACACATAGTTCACTGATCGATTTCGAAACCAGTCCATTAGACTCGTTCATCTCAAGCGTCACTGCTAGGCTTATTACGGGCGTAACGTATTCCATAATGGCTGGTACGTGCCGTAGCCTTGCACATAATACGAGCTCAAAGAGCATGTCAAGACTAGGGTCATGATGGCAGCCCAGAAGTTCCATCACTGCACAAAGACTTTGCCCCTTGAATGAGCTTTGCTGTATTCTCGGCTCCTACGAAAAGCCTTCAGAAGTCTTCATTTCCTTTCTCTCTGCCTAAACCTATTCTTTTGCGTCTGTCTCTCGTGTTTCATCGCTATCCGACGCAACTGCCACATCCAACGTAGTCTTTGGTCCTGTGAACCATTTCCTTGCGCTCAAAAAATAGTATGCAAGGCTTCCACCCCATACCGCCGAATTCACCACCACTGCATAATTCATGCTCGCTGGTTCCGGATTTGGGCTTCCCACCGGGAACATGCTCAGACAAATTCCAAAAATCAGAAACACGATCGCAGTCCATCCAATCGCGTTACTGAACCTACCAGTATGGAAAAAGCCTGGCCTAAACTTCTGCTGTCCCCAAACAAGCCTGCAGAATATCGGCAGGCCCCAGGCAAGATTATTCCCGGAGACGCAAAGACTGAATAGCGCCGACGCAGCAACTGGTGCAATCAAGCAGATCAGGCCAAGAACCAGCCCTGCAATCGCACATCCCCAGACCGTCCTTAGTGGAATGTATCCCAATCGCGTCGAGATCGGCCTGAAGAACGAACTGAATGGTAATGCACCATCTCTCGAAAATGCCCAACTCTGTCTTGATGCAGCGACGAGAATACTCAACCCCATTAGAAACTGCACAATCATTAGGAAGCTCATCATTCCCATTGCCCCCCTCTTCCCAAGCGCATCGTAGTAGATCTGCGCCATTGGCTGCCCATAGCTCGTTCCAACAACCGAGACAAGGTCCTGGCTCATGCATGTCGCAATCACAATGCACAAGATCCAACCAAACAGCCAACAGCATCCAATTGACATGAGAATCCCGTATGGCACGGCTTTGGGTGCATTTGATGCTTCCTCACTGATATGCACACAGCTGTCAAACGCGCCAATCGTCCAAATCGGACTCATCCAACTCAACATAAATGCCCATCCACTTGGCCAACTTGTCAGATTATCAGTATGCGTGAAAACCCACTTTGCGGCATTCCTCTCACTCCATCTCCCGACCGGCAGCACAACAATTGTGGCCAATATCAAGGCGAAGTTTACAACCACAAATACGGTCTGCAGTTTACCCATGACTTTGGAAAGCGTGGACGCAAGGATAGCGTGACAGAGTATGCAGACCGTAAAAACCGCATAAACAGTGGAGTTAGACGGCACCCACTCACCGTCGCGCGCAATGACGATGACGGACAGGAACATGAGAGCAAAGCCGTACTCAACGGAACATAGGCCGCCAATCAGACCAAGAGTATTGCTGTAGCCGACGAGAAAGGAAAGGGGGTTGCGGGTCTTGGGGGATGCGAAGTAGTGAGTCCACCTGATGTACGATTAGATGTGTATCTTGAAGAAGGGTTTCAGGAGAAAATAGAAGGAGCGCACCAGTAAAGACCACCTGCGGTTGGCATAGCAGAGCCGAGATCTGCCATTGCGAGGCCGACAACGAAGATGAACATACTTGAGAGAAACCAGCCCTGGGAGGATGTAAGCAGTCGAAATATCTGGCGTCTGGATCGTGAACGACACACCCAGACGAGTCCTACAGGCCCGGCTGAAATTGAGTAGGACAAGGTGCTTGCGATGGACGGCACAAGACCCATAATGGAGAACGCAATACCTATGGATTCTTCAGCGGATCTGACAAGAAGTGTCGGACTCTTCAATCACATACCGAAGACCTCTATCATTTTGAAGTTGCGTCGAAGCTCTTGCTTGTACCCCATACCAGCTTTTCAGCGTCAGAAGTGTCCATTACTACTAGTCGTAATCTTACCAAGCACAACAGTATCGCCGTCACTGATCAGACCTTTGTTCACAGGCATTGAGACCACGGAGGCTTTCTGGCCCTCGATATCTCGATACACCTTCTCAGTCATGACTCAAAGTACAACAGACTAATGGAGAGATTGCGTCACTTGGATGGAGTAAGGCTCGGCGATGAGATGCGGAAGCTAATTAGTAGAGCAAGCTAAGTAGTACATATCTAGTCGTGAGGTTTCAAAGCATGTCACGGACGAGTGAAAAAAGACGCAATGCTCAGACCGCATCTTGTCTTCCCGTAATGGCGGGAAAGAATTCACTCAACCTCGATGAGTATTGGATTACCGACTAATTGATAAACATTCGCGTCTTCACGCTTGTCAGATGGGAGAAAGCCATGGTCTACTTGGATGCTGTGAAAAGGGTATACATCAAACGAGCTGGGCTTCGTGTACTAGCTTAACAGCAACAGCGAAAACGTCAACTGTGTTGGCTTCGGCGGCGGGTCGACGAGGAATGAAAGTCCACATGCTAGCTACCCGAGTCACCTGCAAATCGTAGTCGTCATCGTGGAGCTTTCATCTGTTGATTGCCCGCTTCTCCATAAGGCTAAGACCCGACCCACCTTTCACCCAGTTCTGGTAGTCCTGACCAGGGCTTCACGTTGCACCTCAAAGACATCAGATCAATTCCAGAACTGGTGATCATATGTTCCAGAACTGGTGATCATATGATACTGTCTCAAGCCAGAGTATCATCTAATCACTTCACCGTTTCCAGAGTAGGTTTCTCCGCTTCGGTCTTTTCTATCAGATCAGCACTTGACCTTAGATTGACCGCCCCGTTGAGTGCCTTAACAACTTCGCTCTCGTGTCTATCTCGCACTAATTCTCGTAGTGCACTGACAAGGAAGCCCCCAAATATTTCCACGGACCATTCGTCCGGCACCTGGCTCAGGACATCCATGACATCGAACCAGCCACCAAATCTTTCGAGCAGTTCGCCTGTGCGTTCAATACGTTCCCCAAGATCCTCGATTTTTAGGAACTCTGCGAGTAGGACCTTAAACAATCGGCCCTGCTCCTCCCGAGATGGCATGGCATTGTCAGGTACATATCCTAGTGAGGGTCGGAAGATGGATGACCCTCCGAGAAGACAATAGTTCACTGCGGTATCGAAGTCGCCAAGGCCGTGGGTAAGCAGGCGGATGGCCGAGTCGTGCTCTCCTTGTCGACCCGAGAGAACAATCATCTCCGGTACTAGCTCGTTCTCGTAGGCTTTCAGTCGAGACATAACATTTACAACATCGTAGTCTGCAACAGCAGAGCCTGTGGCGCTGCCGAGTAGTTGTAGAAGGCGCAATCGATTGTCCCACCACTCCACACCCAGCGAGTTTTCTGTAATAAATTGTCGATATGTGGGTTTGTGGGGACGAAGGGCTCTATATGTCTCATAGGTCTGGAGGAGAATGGTCCGTGTTTCGGGTGAGGATGAGAGCTGCTCAATCACCGAGTCCAAGTAGAAGCCGATAAGGTCATTGGCGTACTTCGAGAGTTTTTTCCCGAACACGAGGTACTCAAGGTACTCTTTCACTGCACCCGGAGCCCTGGCTTTGAGTATCTCAACCGCACGCGCAGGCTCGAACTTTACTCTCGCATTGTCATCGGCGAATAGCTCCACCCCGAGCTTCGGGTTTCGGTTCGCTAGCCACGTTCCGTATTCTTCCATAAGTGCCGGATCGCGGACTTCAGCTAGATGCTTCCGCATTCGAATTTCTCCATCAGCAAACTCTCCACCTTCATCGTTCTCGCCTTCGAGAATACGTCTCCATGTCTCGAGTACTTTGCCTACCAATCTCTTACTCATGTAAAGCCGACTGAGCAGGAAAAGGCGCTGATATTGTTCAAGTAGCTCCACAGCCCGTTCGAAACAATCTACACCACCGTCGAGTAAGCTATTAAGCTCTTTCCGCAAATTTGCATTGGTGGATGGACCATGTGTGCTGTGTCTATCCAAGAGAAGCAAAATGTGCAGGAGAGCAGCGTCCACGGTCTGGAAAACTTCCTTATCGTCTGCAATACTGGCCATGCCTTTCTTCTGCCTCCATAGACCCAGATAGCGTCTTATGAGCTGAAGTAAATTGTCACCAAAAGGGCTTTTGGGGTCTCGGGAGATCTTCGTGACATCATACTGCCCTAGAAAGGCTTCAATGGTACTCTTGAGACCTCCTAGTATCGAGATTCCGCTTGGCCCTTGCACTACCTCGTCTTTAAATTGTGGCAACAGAGCGAGAATGATACGGGGGTCAACCTCGCCTTGAATCAAGGCTTCTTCGGTCGATCTTTTGTCCTTTTCAAAGACTAGGACGTCTGAGATTGTGCGAATTATGAGGTCCATGAACAATAACAAAGATGCTTTCTGTCGAATATATCCAAGACCCAGATAGTCGACTTCAGTCCAGCCCTGAAGCCCGTGCAGATCGTTTAGTAAAAGTTCGATCTGCTCTCGGTTGGGCACCATCTTTGAGTCAGCAGTTTCTGAGTGTTGCGCGTTGTAGAGCCTAGCATCGAGTTTCAGGATCATTGGGTTTCTGACGATCCACCATACATTATTACTAGACCAGAGCACACTCCGAGCCTGCCATTGAGATAATCGCTCAGCATACTGCTTTGCACCCTGGTCATCTGACTTGAGCGATGACGACCGCACCGGTACCAGCTTTTCACTGGTCAATCCACGCAGATCCATTTGCCTAGGTGTCAGTTTCTGTCCCAGCTCTGGTAAAATCAGGCCCGTCTTGACAACCATACTTGACATGCCTGCTGATATATTTGGATGTGAGGTGTCATTGACCGTTGAAATGTCGATCCATTCTTTCAGGGATGCGCTTTCTCCTGGTTCCGTGTCCCAGCGTTGTACTTCAACACAGACTTTGTGCTGTTCATCTTTGAACAAGTACACCATGGCCAGGACATAACCTTCTTCAGGTGTCTCGCCTGGGCCCATAGAACTACTAGGATCAATGCCTCTGCCATCCGAAATAATACTAATTGGGTAAGAGCTGAATTCCATTGTACCACGTGAGGGATCACCATCAAGATTGACGAACGACCCTACGCCTCTATCCTCAGGAGTTGTTCCAGTAGTGAGGAGAAACTCATTTGGTGTCGGTGAGATGATGTGAGGCATCAATGGGACGAACTTCTTCAACGGCTCGGGGGGTGTGACTGATATAGGCTCTGACTCTGGATGATGTTCTACCGGGCGTGCTGGAAGAGGCTTATCTGATCCCTCTGGACCGGGGGCCGGAGTCGCACCTCTTTCTGGTGATCTATCGTCTGGGGTTGGTACTGGAAATGGCGAGCGGGATCTTGAAAAAAAGTCGGGCGCATCGAAAGCATATCTCGACTGACTCCCTGGCCGCGGGCTTTCTAATTTCCGTTGGTCTCCAAAAATGCCCAGACTTGTGCTTCGGCCATGAGTTCGACCTTCAGGCTGTCCCCGGGCTGGTAACCCTTGGGTAGATGCCATGCTCTTCGATGGCGTATGGTGCCCTGAGCTTGTCGAAATATCCTGAGTTGGGCCGGCGACAATTCCACTAGCTTCCTCGTCCAGTGTCGATATAGGAAATAGTGGAACCTTCTGTTGCTGATCAACATCTAGCAAGGCATAGGAGTGTTGATCTGCTGCGCAGGCGATGTCACCACGCCTTCTTGTTACCAAGCAACCGCCGTACTGGACGCTTTTCTTACTCCTCGGGCCTTCTTCAGTCACTCTGACCATGCGCAGGTTGTTTTTCTGGGCCATAAGAATGGCCATACTATCTTCGTTATCCTCATCATCTTCTTCGAGATTTTGATCTACGCCTCCGACATGTGTACAGGCGATGGGTTTGGTGCTTGGGAATGCGGGACTCAGTTCGGGAAGTGAGTAGAATGTCAATGTGTTGTTACAGATTATGCAGGCTTTATTGACCTTCGGAAGAAGAAGAATCTGTTGTATACCGGCTTTCAGGTCTTGTGCATAGGCTGGCTGTTGCCTTGAAGCCAGCATCGGCGTGGGTTCATCTGAGGCATCATCGGGTTCGGCCGGGATAAGGACGAAATGAAGGATTTCTGCAGCGGATGTGCCAATATACAGATTCTCGTCTGCAAGAAGGATCAGTTTTGATACTTGACTGATATCTCTTATGACTGCAGTTCCATGGTTGCGACTCACTGTAAACTTCTACGCAGGTGATTCTGATGTCTGACGTCTGCCCATCTGCGGAGAGCGGGACGTCAGATATGAGCTTGCGCAAGACGAAGGTGCCGTCTTCATGCCTATGTATAACATCATGAACTAAGCTCTGTCGCGCCGGTGAACTTGCCATAGCTCACCAGGCATAGCATGGTCGTGGCTGGTCGTAAAAGTTAGGAGATGTACGAGGTGCCCAACACACTTTGAGGCTTGAGGAGCGGGTGGTCCGAGCACTTCCGCCCCGTCTAAGCCACCCATCCATAGCGAGGAGTGTCCTCTTCGATGGATTCATAGCTGCGCAAGCAGAACTTGAAGCGCAAAGCATTGAGCAGGCCATTGCAACCCGCTGAAACTGTAGGTCAATGATGTTGCAATCTGTGTACTTTACGCCATAGACCAGGGTTTCATGCCAACGCGCCATCCAAATACCAAGGGCACCAACATGGACAAAGACGCGGCAAGAACCTCACAAGACGAAGCTGCAAATGGGGCCACAACAACAGCTGCATCATCAAGACCCGGAATGTCTCCCGGGGATGAAGAAAATAAATTCCAGAAGGCTATCGCAGCGTGGCGCAGTACGTACTACAACGTAAATCTACGACACCAAAGCTGACCTGTGTTGATTAGACATCGATCTGACTACCTTGGTTCCCACCCTTGATACTGCTGCCTATGATCTGAATGCGAATCAGCGTGATACTTTGACACAACGGAAGGATCTTGCCCAAAAGACGAAGGAATTTAGGAAACTTGACGATGCCGGCAAACTGGCTGAGATCAAAGGACTACTGAAATGTATGGCCTGACCGATTCAATACAGCTTTATGGGAGACTAGCTGACTGGTCTCAGCATATCAGACGTTCATTGACCTGATCTCGAACCAATCCAAAAGCATATCAACTGCGTTCTTCCAGGTGTACACTCCCTTGTCTGAAGCCCCTGATCCATACCCACTCCTCGAAGCCTCGGTTGAATCACTAGTCACATCTATTGATACCGTTCCAAGGCTCGAGAAAGAAAATCAGGAGCTACACAAAAATGTGAAGGCTCTATCGACACAGCTTGAGGAAACGGAGGTGAAGCTACAGGAGGAACGTACCACAAGGCAGGCTTTGGAAGAGACTCGTGATTCAGAAGTAAAGGAGATCGAGTCTACATGGTCAGCGGTCTTGGGCGAGAAACAAGACAACTGCGATGCAAAAGTAAAGAGCTTAGAAGACAAGTTAGAGAGCCAGGATAGACTCCTAAAAGAAATCAAAGCTAGCTACGAAGTCTCCCAGCGGCTTGACAGAGGCGAAGAGGCAGAGAATGAAGGTGCCCGAAGTAGTGCAACCGCCGCTGAATTGGAAGTTGTCAGCTCGGAGCTAGAGAGAACAAATCTGCGATTAGCGGACGTAGAGGCAAGGAATGAGCAGCTACGCCTGGAACTAGCCCAATCTGCTTCACAGTCACACCGTACCCGACCTGAGGCTGTTGAAGATGACCCGGTTTACCAGCGGTTGCAATCCGAGAACCAGATCTTGCTGCGCAAGCTTGGAACTACCCGCCTTGAGAAGGAGTCCGAAAACAGAAGAATTGAAGGCGAGATTAGAACACTAGAGCGAGAGATTACGACTCTCAAGAAAGATCGCGACTCTTTAAAAGATAAAGTGCAGAAGTGGGGTGACTATGAGAACGTCAAACAAGAGCTCGAGGTCCTAAAGGTACGTCAAGCCGCTGCGGGCACTTGCGTAAACTAATAAGTATCAGTCGATCGAGTTCGCCACAGGCGATGATGATGAGGAAGCTGATCTTGACACAACATCCGACCAGAGTGAGCAGCCAAATGGCTCCGCAAGCACGAGCAAGGGAGATACCCTGGAGCAATTACTTCTCACGCGCAACAAGAAGCTCACGAATGAGCTTACTGTGCTGCGCGTCTCACATCAGGATCTTCAGAACAGGCTCGAGACCCTGCAAGAAGAGCTTTCAAATACCAACATGGACTTGGAAAAGTCGAGGGCTCTGACCGCAACACTGGAGAACGATCTCGAAAAGGTTCAACAGGAAGCTACCAATGCCTTTGATTCTTCGGCTATGTCTGTAGCAGGGACGTATACGTCAAGGTACCCTGGCACAGCCTATGGAAGTCGACGAGGTAGGGCCTCCTCCCCAACTTCGTCTATTATCTCTGGGTTCGACAACTCAGGGCCGAAATCAACGCTCGATGCAATCCGAGCTGGAGAACCAGTAGGTGGTGGCTCTGGTATATTGCCCATGATCACTGCTCAGCGCGATCGCTTCAAGAAGAAGAATACTGAACTAGAGTCTGAGCTTTCCAAGGCCCATCAATCAGTGTCATCGCTTCGCTCTGAGGTCGCCTCCTTACAGAAAGACAATCTGAATCTTTACGAAAAGACTCGTTATGTGTCGACATACAACCGTGGCGCGACTTCATCCTCAGCATATTCAAATGCAAATCCTTCCGCCATCCAAATGACCTCCAACACCTCGTCCGGTCTGACTACCGACCGATATCGATCTGCTTACGAGTCTTCTATCTCGCCATTCGCAGCCTTTCGTGGACGAGAAAGCGCCCGCGCTATAAAACGTATGAGCTTACCTGAACGGATAGTTTTCAGAATTACGCGGCTGGTATTAGCGACACGTGCGAGTCGAAACCTTTTTGCTTTCTATTGCATGGCATTACATATCCTGGTCTTTATGATGCTTTACTGGATGAGCACAGTGGAAATTGAACAACGTAGTAGTGGTTTAAGCAGCGGAACTGCTGCTGCAATGCAAGCTGTCGCAGACGGCGCCTTGTCAGGTAAGGAGGATCTGGCTGGCAAGGAGTGGCATCAAGAAAGTTTCCAAGAAGGGGGATAGCAGTGAATGTTTTCTGTATAATAATGTGGATGTCCCATCTAGGATGTGAGCTCAATTTCGGGAAATTTGATCTGTGAAGACTCTTACTAGCCATCATTGTTTGTCGGCACAATTAAGTCGTATCATTAGCAAGCGCTCAGCAGCAGACTCGTGTCTTATGTACTTCCGAAGTTCGTACTGTCAGTGGTTGGGCTATGAAACGAGTGACGCTGGTATACGAATCTGAAACCCCTCAACATCCCTGCAAGGCGTAATTGAAAGCTATTGGACCAAAATAGTAGAATGGTCATCCGATCCAATGGGGGGCGTTTGAGAATGTAAATATTGCCAGTTAGCCGACCATTCATTGTCAATGTACAAATATCGCGAACAATGCGTGTAGCGAAAAAACACGAAAGAACTCATTGGTCACGCTATTAATGATTTCATTTGTTCATGTATATTACTATCATTCGATGCGTAGCATCGTCCAACGAGCATTCAATGGCGATACAACAATGAATGCCACCCAAGTACAACCACAGCCAGAGCTCCATTATATGGCAACGCCTTTCAACGCCCCCGCGCCATACTATGCATCATCAAGATAAAAGAATATATCGACAGTCAGAACCAAATTCTCCCTTTCCCACACTTCCCACTCAGTGGTAGAAGTAGTAATTTGCCGCATATTGGACCTGAAACGTCGCAGCTTGTCCGTCACATGTCTTGGGTGCAACACCACCCGCGGTATCTACACGGTACACCTCCTTGTAATTACCCTCCACCGCCGTTAGTCGCAGCCACGGCACGCTGCCGAGGCCATTGTATCCCTTTGCTGCGTCCCCTGGCGCAGGCGTCTTGACCGCGTTCTTGCCGTCGCACATGACGGTGCCAAACTCGTGGTTTGCGGTGTCGAGGTTGAAGAAAGGTGTTGTGAGGCTAGTGAAGAGATGGTGGCCGCTCATGAGCATGTCAACGTTGTCGGCAGCGCGAGTGGAGACGGGGACTGGGAGGGAGAGTGCCACACGAGGGAGCCAGTGGATTAGATTCGAGGATTGAGCCGCGGCGCAGGTCATGTTGAACAATGTGGCGATGGCGCCGCCGGCTTTTGGCGCAGAGGATGGGTTTGATGTATCGCATGTGTAGTTCTGGGTGCCACGACCTAGGGCGACATGGGCGAGTGTAAGGCCTTCTGAAGGGGGACCGAGGGCTTCAAAGCCTGTGGGAAATTGATTAACTATGCGTAGAGGAAAAAGAGAGACGGGACTAACCTTGAGGTAATTGTGCTTGTGAAGGATCACACACAGCCATACCAGTGCGTAAAGCGTCAGAGCCGCGCCGGGCGATTGAGTCCAGCCAGTTCAAGTTGAAGCTTCCACCAGGGAGAGCAGCAACGAGAGGAATAGCAGCAACAAGGGTGAGGATACTCGAGCAGCGCATGATGTAGAGCGTCAAATACTGTCGGATATCTGGAGAAGAAGGTTGATCAAAAGGGAAGCAAGGAGAGTAAATAGAAAACAAGAAACCCCAAAGCAAACGCGCAATCAATGCAACAGGAATGATGAATGTATGACACTGCAATCGAAGCGGTCGGAACAATTCCTTATATGTTTTCTCCTCTGCTCCACAAGATCAAGGTTGCCAAACGAGGTCCGTCCAGAAATCCAGTTTTTCCCCAGCGCGTACGGATGGCAAAAATAACCAGCCGCGCACAAGCCAATCAACGCGCTTGCCGGGCTAAAGCGCTAGTGTCACCCCCTGATGCTTCTGCCAGGATTATGAGGCCAAGCTCATTAGCTCCCGTAGCTAGCGCACGGCAATCTGACCCAAAAATAGCAATGCTGAGAGATACACAATCTGTGAGCTGTGATAGGTCAAGGATGCCAGAGTTCGACTGGTAGAGATCGGGTGGGTGCTTTGACAACGGGAATGCAAGGATCGAGTGGAACCAATGCCCATGTGCGTTCTGCGTTCTGGTCATCTTCTTCGACGCGCCGTGTGGCTGGTGAGCAGGGTGGGCTAAGAAGCATACGGTCCGTAGGGTTGCGCAATGTGTTGTCGATGTCTTGGCTAATGATATTTTGTGCTCATGAGCCGTGAGGTTGTTGACAATCTGAGTCCAGTCGTTCTTCGTGGCGGTAAATGCCGAGTACGGCTCGGCAATGGATGAAAAGTTCCGGACCGGGGAGTTCAGTGCGCATAATAACTTTCTCCGTCACGCTTCCTCAAGGAAGATTGTTTAATAGTCCTCTGAAGACCATATTTGGTATCCCATATTCGTACTCGTCTAGAGACCTACGTCAAAAAGACACTAGCTTGGACACCGGTCTCAAGGCTCATCGCGCTATTGCAGATTTCGCGCCGTGAAAAGGCATTGACAGTTTGACACCATGGTTTCCACGGGCCAAGCCGCCGAACACGTCTTCGAGGGCTTCTATGAGCCGCACGCGCTGGCACCGTGCCACCATGCGATTCTGCGTTGTCGAAGACCCACACGCAAGCCGAAGTCGCCAGCACGACGACGACCATGATAAAGACCGCTAATTGCACTACCTAAGAGGATATATTAGCATTCAATAGATGTCCATTATTCAGCCCATGGATGAGATCGTCCAATCGCTGCCGTGGATCACGGTTCCCTTGTACCCGCTAAGTCAAACTAAGAAAGCAATCTCGATGAGCGCTTCAATGAAGGTTCTGATTGGACGGACGCTTCGGATGTTTCACGACATATCCGCAACGACTCTTCACTCGATAGGAGCTTCACAGAAACAAGGTGGACGTGGTGGTGGGTTGCGCAATACTTATGCGGTGACCATGTTAATATGCGGCTGATAGTAAGAGATTGCGTGGTTCCTTTTGTCGCGTGCACAATCTATCAATGGATTATGCTGGCCTGTTCAAACGTCGTCATTCGTAGCGTTACTAATGGTGAAGCAAGCTGTACGTGGGAAGCTACTGAATTCGTGATATCTGCAAGATCCTAGTGTCCAAATTTGAAGTTCATATCGTGCTCGAGCATAAATGGATCCCGAGTTCTGTTCATGACATGTCGTATCACTTGTGCTAATGACATGGAAAAAGCAATAACTATATTAGCCTTGTTGGATAGGTCCACAATTTTCAAGTTACTAGTCAAAGCACGTCTGGCAGGCATGACAGTGTTGGAAAAACAACTTGGGAACCGTCGCTGTGCCCAGCATACGTCGAGGCAAATGGCTATAGATTATTCGCATGCGAGCAGAGCCAATAACAGCACTCTTGCATTCACTTTCTTCATCAATTCCCATTTTCACGCATTGGCATATAAAGCCGCCGATCTATCATTTATACTCCCGGAGTCCCGGATATGCTCTGGTCAGGTTTCAAAGAGTCGTGATAGAAGAGGTCATATGCACAAAGTGAATCGGAGAAGGCCATGTGCTGCTGTGGTTTGTAGCACAGGATTCCAACTCATCATGTACGTCCATTCTTTGACATTCGTGGGCATACAAAGCCCTGACTGCCCTGCACATGAAGAGCCTTGTTCTTGTAGTGATCATTGTTGTTGCTTTATAAGCCCCTTGTAGACCTTACACCTGCATCAGGCTGTACTTTGCATAGTATTGGATATATGCTAGATCTATATAACATTTCATAGGTTCTTTGAAGAGATGCATTCGGCTGTGCTTCAGCTCCTCAAACTTATCGTCCAACACGTTTTCGAGACGGTGGCGTATCCGTATGCTGAATAGTGGATTTAAGATCAAGGACGATGAGTACTTCATGGAACGCTATGTGTCTTTCGTCGGTACGTAGAGAACAACGACAGCAGAGGCCTACTTGCAGATCCTACTCACTCACGACCAACTTTATACACAAATTGAAAGCTTCGATGAGAGCGATCTTTGGGATGTGCCACTCGCATCGGGGCAGGCTTTTCGATCACAATTTCTTGTGCAAATTGGATGAGACTCGCCTGTGTTCATCTGGCCATCAAAATCGTATCACGATCCAATGAGCATGAACAGTCTTGATCTCGCGTCGAGACTCATCCAATACCTGCCTGGTGGAGATCTTCCTGTCTCTTATCTACCAATGATCATGCCTCTCATATTCTGTCGTCTTTTGTCTCACGCCATCGATGAACAATGCAATTTTCGGGCCTCTCCTAATCGTGTCCACCGCTTGGGAGTTATGGCAATCATCACCGCTACGAGAGATCCTGTCTGTACGCTGGAACGCGAGAGAAGTATGTATTGAGCGGCCGGTATGAACGAGGAGACAAGTAGAGAGGCATTATGCCGGGCGTGATTGCCGTTGAGAAAAGTCGAGTTTATCAGCATGGACGAGACGCTCATATCTGGGAGCGATCGAGCTGGACGTCAGGTAGGACAGGGCAATCAGTCAATGAGAGCGGCAGCAGCAAGAACAACGACGAAAGAGCAATGAACCCAAGCCGAAATCAAACCGAAAAATGGGCGCTCAAAATTCAAAACAAAAGCTCATGCCCGGAATCGAACCGGAGATCATGCGCCTCTGCGCCCCTGCAGATACTTAGCTCCTTCATCTGGTGCTTTTCTTCAGTGGTAGGTCAGGTCATTAACCAACTAGACTATTCTCCCACTGGGGCTTGCATTCTTCGGTGAATAGAAAACTTATAAAGGATGTGTGTGGAACGCTACAGCCAATGAACAGAAGTCCTGAAGACGAACACAATGTACACTCGAATATGTTAAGTGAAGTACGTAGGGGTATCTGATCCACAACAAAATGAAAACGCTAAAATCCTCAAATTAGCTCCTGGCAATGGTCCAACGCAGTGAACAGACAATGGCCATCCTTCGCTAAAACACGTTCATCCGATCATATTACTCCAAGTGCTGCGCAAAGAGCCAAATATGCGTCGCCCAAAATCTCCAATTTTTGCACCAAAAACTGCTGCAGGCTTGGTCGCAAGCTGTGCTTCAAGGTCTATGATCTGCTCTAGATGCCTCTGCTGATTCGAAGCAAAGAATTTATTTCGAGCGCTCGAGTTTGATAACTCGACTTGGGTTTGCAGCAACGAGATCTGTAGGCTTTCAAGTTGAACCCTTAGCTTTCTCTCTCTTTCTTTGCCTCTTTCATCGTTCATAGTAAGAATCCCTTCTAGCTTTGTATTGATGGTCTCCTGAGTAACGAGCTTTGCCTTCAGGCCTGCCATATCGGACTCATGGCGTGCAACTATCGGATCCCATTCTTCGCGGAGCTTGTAAGTGATATCGCGCTCGTTCATGAGTTGTTGTCGAAGTGATATAATCTCCTCGAGGAGCATCGTTTCGGTGCGGAAATCAGTCCCAATAGCCGTCCCTAGTGAGAGCTTTTGAAACTGCAGTGGTTGGGGAAGATCTTCGATGGCATCAGAGTTCACACTGTCACGTCTGCCTAATGATATGTTGTCGTCTTCGGTGTATGCAGCCGAAAAGCGTTCGTCACGGGGACGAGCACGAGCCCGAGTGCTGCCACCAAGTATGTTGTCCTGGGCGAGACTACGTAGCGTTTCTATTTCTGATATCAGTTCTCTTCGTCTTTGTAACTCGGCTTCTATCTGCTTCTTTAGGCGATTCGTGGATGCTTCGTATGCCAGAGATTGGGCATGGTAGTGTTCACGCTGACGAACGGCTTCATTCTCCGCATCGTGTGCCGTTACTAAGCTTTGACGAAGCTGTTCTGATTTACGAAGTTCAGTCGCTAGCCTTGCTTCGAGCGCACTGATCCGAGCCACAAGGCTGTATTCACTATTACCTACTTTTTCCAGATCCTCTCTTAGCTGTTTAGTGTTTCTGCTTTCACTGTCGAGCTGTGCTGTAAGACGATCGATCTTGTTGACCAGCGTAAGATTCTTCGCGGCTTTCTCCGTCATCTCACTCTCGTATTTCTTCAAGACCACCGACTTGTCTGCAATGTCGGCCTGTAGTGCTTCGATCAGATGGTCTTGGCTGGTTTGAAGATCCTCGACAGCGGCCCGCCCTTGTTGTAGGACTTGTTGATACTCTCGGGCAGATTCGCGTTCTTGTGCAAGTTCGGCATTGAACTCAGCTTTTTGGTATTCTAGGAATGTTCGCAGCTCCTCTGCATCACGTGCACGCTCAGCGTAGGCAATTTCGAGTTGATTGATACGCGTTTTGAGGTTTTCGTTGTCTACTTCTGCTTGCTGCAATCCTTGCTCGTGTCCAAGTCTTCCTGGCGGAGTGGAGAGGCGGAAGAACATGTGACGGTCTATTTCATGAATCTCGGATACAGTGCTTTCGGAGCTGTCCGAGAGCGCAAGATGCACAGGCTCGCTCGAGGAGTAGACGATTTCTTGCAAGCGACTCTTTTCATGTCGCTCAGCAGCGAGCTTCCCGATCAGCCGGAGATTCTCAGTGCGCAGTCTTTGGCTATCTTCGTAATTGCGAGCCTCTTCGTATACTTTGCGTTTCCACTTGGCGACGACCTCGACCTTCTGATTTGAATGAACAGATGGACAAAGGCATAGTTTGGCTAGTTTTGATAGGGCTATGGCGGAGTCGCATGGGGAGAATGCCATCATGTTATTGATCATGATGCGGATCTGTACAAGATCCGAGTCGGGTATCTTGTACTGGCATCGAGCATTCCAGCGCGAGACTGAGCGCCCGACACAGCAAAGGACGCCTTCGCCATCTTGGTGAGAGTTGAGGTTGAGAGTCTGGTAGGGATCCCAAATTTGGCGCGTCATCGCATCAGTTCAGGAAAAAATGAAGTCTTCGGTGCGAGCATAGGGATGGGATACTGGGACGGCAGATGATTAAGGGAACTATTGGCGGTCCACATAAGGAGATATAAAAGCCCACTCAAAAGGGGAAAAACGCGGCCGTAAGTCAAGTGAAAGTACCATTATGCGTCTATAGAGACAGGTCAACAAACTCAAATATAAGTCGATCGCGAAGCTTAGAAGGATCTTCGGCAAGTCGCCTAGGATGCGAATCTTTGCGATTGGCTAACAACGAGATCACAGCCCAGTTGAATGCATGATTGCATTTGATGGTTTTGAGGTTTCAGCCCCAGGGCCTATCGAGGTAATTGTCAAAAAAGGACTCGCCTCGTCATAGCATGAAGTATGCAGTCAGGCCTGAGAACCTTAATCAGTCAGGGTCGCGTCTTCGCTCAGGCTCTTCATCTAGGGAGGGCAGAAGAGACCAAAAATGTTTACGCTCGTGTCTTATCTTGGAAATCTATCCGTATTCCTCGTAATGCTCGTGACGCCGCAACAATACGAGTAGCCAGCATGGTTAGCCAAGTGTTTGTCGAATGACCATCACGCTGGAGCGAGCAAAACAACATAAGACTTTTCGTGTTGATCTGGTAACGTATAAATATACATATGACAGCTCCGTCGAGCTGGAAATTAGGACGAAAATGTTCTTCGAAGCCTGTGAGCGATGATAGAATAATCACGTCGTTTGTCTCAGGATGAGGTCTCATACAGACTTCCAACGCCTTGGCGCGCTAGACAAAACTGCGCTCAACCCAGAGTGGATAATAGCTTAACTCACGTCAATGCATCCATTCCATCAAAGATCGTTGACATCAACTCAAACCTGTTGCATCCAGGTGTGTCCCGCACACAAACGCCCCAAATTGCAGTCAGCTCGCAGCCTCCAGGATAATCACTACGCGCAATATACAACAGAACCTGAAGACACCTACACAATTACCTTCCGCTAACTCACTGTACATTACCGGAGCTGCTATGGCCGCACCTCCTTCGAAAGTAGACCGCCAGACTACCACGCCCTTTCTGCTGAAACTGTTTTATCGTACAGGCGCTTTTCACCGGTAAGCATGATATCCGTCGTTGTAGCGTAGTCGATTCCTCCAAATCTGCCAACGGGCGCTCAGACTAGTCGTACCTTGTGACCACCAAGCTCTCGAAACAAGTTGAAGCTCGCCTTGACTATTGAAAGCGCAGGGCTTGATGCACTTACTTGGTACAATCGTCCTCACAAGCGTCGTCCCCATCTCCATCGAGCAAGCATCGTTACGCACAGATCGCCACGCCTCAGCCTCATACAGAACAGGCACGGCCAGAGATACTCTGCTGACTTTACATGTACAGGAACGATGAATTCTCCCCCCAATCACATCCGATAAACCAGCATTTACAGATCTACACGTGGCCAAACTGTACTCTCAAAGAGCTGTCGCATCTCCTCGTATCTGCCTTGCCGAATGTCTTGCCTTCACCGGCGATCGGTACACGTCTCGCCTTTCGCCTAGTATTTCCTGATACCAAGAACACCTCGGGACCACCTAGATACATGAGCAAAGATCTTGGCAGCATAGTTGTCAATGCTGAGCCCGACCCGCAAGCAAAAAATGCTCCGATGGGCGACCTCGGAGGTGATGCCGAGAAAACGCTACAAGATGCACGTTTTGTTATAGGGGACTATGTATGTTGCGCAATATTTCCACCATTAGCGAATGGTGACGTCGCCGGACCGCCTCCACCACAAGCACCTGGTTATGGAGGTATGGGATATGGCGGACGAGGCGGGAGACCACCTCCGCGAGAGAACGGATTCGGGAGGGGTCGAGACTTCCGGCCAAGAGATCCCGACGGCTTGCCCTCCGGTGAATGGAGGCGAGGAGACATACCACCCCCTGCCCCAGCAGGCTATGGTGGGGGAGGTAGGCGTGGCAATGGCCGCTACGAAAACGACCGAGAGTATCGTGGAGGATATGGGGGTGGTGGCTATGGTCGAGCTAGAGGCCGAGGCCGCGGTGGCTACTGATACAGGAATCGTTTCAAGAACTGACCAGGATGATATGACATTTATAGATCCGTCAGTCATCGAAGATCAAGTTCAAGTTGGCAGCATTGCAGGCTCCAAAACAGACACAACGAACGCCTACTATATCCCAGACGACTACAGGCACTATACGCTCTATACTCGCGCCGTTTGCTAGTGTCTGTCCATTCGGGCGTTCCATCAGGCAAGCGTAAAGCATGCGTAACTAGACATTTACCATGAAAGCGACAACAGTTCATCTTTTTGCAGACACATAGTCCGTGGATTTGACTGTCGTATGGTAGGGCACTGCAGATCTTCTAGCTCGCGACAAATTCCAATCTCTCGGTCGAGTGATGAGGATTCAATCAAGAAAATCCTACAAAACGTTTACAAGACAAACAAGGTTTGGAAGGCAGAAGCGATTAACGAAAATAGCACGGCTGTGTGACTTCGGGTACGAGGCAGGATAAGCAAGGCGGTGCGTGGAGAAGACTGGTAGCACAGCATGAACATTATGATAGTATGGAACGTATATATATCCATGACGCGAAACACTTGCCCACGCCGCAAACATTGCGCCATCAACATCTACGCGAGCCCGGCTCCTGCATATGTGGAGATGTACGATTCCAAATACCGAGATATACAAAACGTATGACTAGGTCTTATATCAGTTGTGCCTATGACGGACTGAGCAATTGGCTCTTTATACTGAGACGCAATGTATATCTTTTAGCGTAGCCCAGTCGTTTATGTCGCAAACACTCTAGGCTTCAAAACGTGCGTTGTGTTGGTCGCAGTATTCGTGTTATTCTTCTTCTCAGCATTAGATCTGGAGGTCTTAACAGCACATCCTCGGGTCGCCAAAGGAGTCCAGATCGATGTGCATGAACAACAAGCGATGAGCAAAGAACTTATCACCAGCCAGCATTCTGGTGTATTTATTGATAGTCCGAACAAGTGAACTCCGTCCAGTCCGTGTATGGTGCACTCTGCGAGCCATACACGCCACAATTTTCATATCCATGTCTTGATACTGACAGATGCTTACGCTACACAAGTACTAAACGTCGTTCCGTCCCAACAGTCCCATCGTTGGATCGGATGATGATGGTATCTGGCGTATATAGAGGGCTTAGTGTGTGGCACAGATGGCTTCTCTCAGGGCGTAAGTTGACGTTCGCTCTCATGCACACAGCATGGAAGAATACGATGTCTCTGAAGATATATGGTTCATGAAGAGAACGCAGTATTGTCATTTACATATTTAGCAAGGGTATGATATTCAAAGACTGTACATAATAGTATGATGCCCGACGGAACATATTGATGTTAGGGCTGACCTCCAAAGCCGATCGTGCGCTGGGGGCGGAGGGCGATGCACCAATGAAGGAGCGCCTTACCTGGCTGCCTTGTTGCCTGGAAACAGTGTGACGCCATGCATGGTACCTACAGTTTTACCTACGGGTCTGCTTACTTGCCTATAATGCATCACCGATCCACAGTGCCTGTCCTGTACATAGGCAAGGCTATTATGATGTGGACGCGATCTTCTCCTTCAGACCCTCACCATCGTCCTGATTGACAGCGAATGACTTTGTTGGCGTCCTTATGTCCTTGTCTTCATCCTACCCCTTGTCTTCGCTCATGTCTGTCTTCACTCTTCCTTCCGCTTCTACCCGGCTTGTATGCATCTTATAGAGATCGCGCCTGTCAGCATTGTATCCTCCCTAGTTCCTAGAAACTACTTCTGACACCTGGAACCAAGACCTGAGTTCTCTTCACTGAGAAATAATGGCTGTGGTAGAGGCCCGGCCGAACCCGCCTCCAAACCCGCGCTCGAATCGACCAAACGCCCTAGCTGATATACATTATGGCTCTATCGTGGCATCTGAGTCGGGAACGCCTTCGGAAGAGGATGAGCATGAAGATGTATCCAAGTATACTAGAGAGGATGCAGAGAATGCGATTGGCGTCAGTATCGGCCAAGAGCAAACACGCCTCACCTCCCCAAAGACGCCTGCTGCTGAGAAGGCTGCTGCTATGGACGATCTCGATGGAGGAGCATTGTTTGACAGCGCCCTGGTAAACACTGGCCATGACTCGCAGGAACCCAGCCCTGAGAAGGTGGAAAGTACCGAGGAGCCTTCGAGCTACTTTGAACAACCTATCGACAACGCTGTGAACCATTCATATCCCGTCAAAGAAGAAGAGTCCCCTAATTATCCACCCATGCCTTCACCGTGGCGGGCGCAACCTCGCAAGTTTACCCGACTGGAGGCTACACGGAATACATTGCGAGATAGTTTTGCTGGTGGCCGACGAAGAGCACACTCCAGTAGCGGCATGACTGCCGAAGCGATCAGAAAGTTCATCGGAAGCCTTCCTTCTATGCCCAAAGGACCTGCTATGCTGCAATTTAGCCTCCCCAATTTCTCCAGCAATGACAAACCGATTGAGGTGAATGAATATACTAGAGCGAGACCGGCATATCCCACACGCACCAAATCAGGTGCACACAATCTCCCTCAAAATGACGGCGCATCAGGGTCCAAGATTCGACATGACTCCCAGATATCCCCTTTGCAAAGTGGTAGCACTATTACCGGACCATCTGCGATGCAGTCTCTAGATCAAGTCGCAGCTTCCGATTATGCAGCTTTGCAACGGGCCAACTTCGAACAGCCTCAGCGGCCAATCCATCGACCACCCCTGAAAACACTTCCGAGTCAACTTCGGAAATCAGCCTCCCATGATTCGTTGCTCATGCGCCGAACTCTTTCGACCGCCTCGTCTCTGGGCGACGATGGGCGATTTGACAATGTTTCCGATCAAGTGAATAGTCGATTCAAGGCTATTAAAGACAGCTTGCAGGACGCCAACTTCAAATTGCCCAGCATACCGACAAGAACGACTTTCACCAATTTTGACTTTAGTGATTCAGTTTCGAATCTCTTTGGCGAGAAGAGGAATAATAGGTTTTTGGAATCGAATAGTCCGGATGGTTCATTTGGGAGTGCTGGTAGTCGAAGTCCTCGCCCCTCATATAAGCGAGGTTCTTTGAATGCATCTTCAAATACACCAAGCTCATCTGGTATGGACCCCGCTTTTTCTGCTACTCATCCACACTTTACGCGGGCTCTGGAGAGGCTCAACGGAGATGTCGTTATCATGGGGGGCTATAGGGGCTCTATCCTACGTTCTGCTGAACCTCCCAATCGCCAACTATGGGTCCCTATAAAAGTAGGCCTCAACATACGAAAGGTCGACTTGGAGGTGGGTCTTGAACCAGAAGATGAGGAGACGATGGAAAAGCGAATAATACCAAGCGGGATGCTCAAAAATATAGGGCCTGTAGACATCTCTCGACGACTCTTCAAACGATTACGACATTCGGAGAATGCGAAGAGTGGTCGATTACGTGTCCATGACTACGGCTACGACTGGCGGCTTAGTCCTCACATCCTTAGTCGCAAACTCATAGAATTTCTCGAGTCTTTACCATGTAATCAACCTGACGTACCATCCTCGGAGCGTGGCGCCACTGTTATCGCACATAGTCTAGGAGGTCTCATAACTCGGCATGCCGTGAATAGGCGTCCTGAGCTCTTCGCTGGAGTTGTATACGCAGGTGTGCCTACGCGATGTGTCAACATCCTTGGCCCTTTTCGTAACGGTGACGACGTTCTCTTTAGTTCACGTGTACTCACAGCGCAAGTCAACTTCAGCATTCGTACGAGTTTTGCCCTACTTCCTCTCGATGGCGAATGCTTCATCGATAAGCAGACAAAAGAGCGCTACACAGTCGACTTTTTTGACGTCAAGAATTGGATCGACTACCGCTTTTCTCCATGCATTGCACCACCGCTTCCTGCCCTCAATGCAGCTCCGCAGAATACCATCTCTGGCATGATCTCCTCCATGGCATCGATGCTCAATGATCTTCCGAACCCCTTGAATCCTCGCAAGAACTCAATGCCAAAATCATGCTCTGATGGCCCGCCCGCCGAAACAAAAGAACACCTCATGTCTGCCATACATACCGCCGAAGCTCAAGTCAAGTCAGGCGGAGCAAACAATTTCGAGCCTCAGATGGGCGGTAAAGGCTCTCCCCCACCCACCTCGGCTTCTCCTCCTGTGACCGCACACAACCAGCATATGCGTCAGAGCTCTGGTAGCGGGAGCACAGCCTGCACCATTCCATACGCCAAAGCAATCGCATATCTCGAGCGCACTCTCGCGGATACCAAACGATTCAAGCTCGAACTCGAGCATCAGCCTGCTCATGCTGCTGCAAATGCTTACCCACCCATTGCCACCATCTACGGCAAATCTACACCGACGGTGTATGGTGCGAAGGTCACTGGGCGGGACGGGATACGCAGAGCAGATGCGTATGATGAGTTGGCGTTTGCGAGTGGGGACGGAGTTGTGCTGGCACGCGCGGCGCAGATACCGGATGGGTACAAGGTCGTTAGTGGTGGTGTCGTGAGTAGCGAGCGTGGACATGTCACGCTTTTGGGCGACTTGGAGGCTGTCGGGAAGTGTTTGGATAGAGTGACGCAGGCAAGGAGGAAGCATGGTATTGGGCTGGGGGTTGGAAAGAGCAATGATTGAATGGACTTGTATATTGGATATTCTGTCGCCTGTTGGATACGCATGCTCAGTCTCATACGATAAACGTGGAGGTTGTTCCATTCGATTTCGCATTCCTCCTAGAACGACGTAGACGATTCACTACTTTTGGTGTATAACACGGTTTTTGAGGCCAATAATACTGACCAACTCTCTACTGAATAGACAAATTCGCATAATATTCTAGACTCCATACGGTTGAAGGTAAGAGATAGTAATAGATTCTTTTATAGCGTATTCATAAGCCATGTGTCGTGTAATTTTCTCATCGGTGGTTGCGGTGTGTAGAGTGTGATAGGGAAGATCCAGAAAGATGGTGTTGGCCAGAGCAAACTCTCGGGGATGTCTAGGTTTCTTCTCAGCTTGCTGGAGAGATCTTTGCTTATATGGACACGTTATTAGGAGCACAGAGGTATTGATCCATTACAGTGAATCGGGCAGGCCTAGAGAGGCAAAGATGGAACGATCACTGTTGAAATCAAGAGTGGCAAGACAGCGATGACTCGAAGAGGCACAGTTGAAATGAGTGGCTGACATGAGGAAAGTATTTTCATATATTGATTGATATAAGTTATCCTGAATCATGAACGCTCATTACTGCATTCCCACATTGCGCCATTCCCACATGGTTACATGTTCCCAAGTCTAATATAAAGATTTCTAGTCCACAAGCTTGATCTCATCACTCCGACTATCGCTCCTGTTGCGGCCCGGCACTCGGACATGACGATCACTGCCGACGCTGTCCTGCCGCGAGAGCGTCTCAGCCGGGCTCCGATCCGTCGTCCTGATGCCGATAGGGCGGTGCATGTTGAAGACGCCGTTCGGTCGCGCATGCGTAGGCCGCTCCTCGTCGTTCTCGCCAAAGTTGACGCGCGGCTCACTGACAATTGTTATCTCCGTCGTCTTTTTCATCTGAGTGCCCACGGGCACAAACGAGTCGCTCGACAGCCTGTTCTCCTTCCAGGTCCACATTGCATCGCCCTTGCCCATGTCGTCAAGCTCGGTGCCGCGGAAGCTTGAGCGGTGGCGACCATCGCGGGAGGAGCTTGTTGTGCCGGCGGCGGCGAACTCTTGCGCGTGGGAGAAGCGGCCCTTGGCGTCGCTGGAGATGGCGATGCGTTTGATGAGGTCGGCCATGGTCATCTCGATGTTGAGTTTGACGAGGTAGGCGAGAGGGTGGAACTGGATGTAACTGGTGGCAGAGAGTCAGAGGGAGACGAGTCGTGAACGGAAGAGGAGTACATACACGAAACTGTTGGGTATGCTCATGGCTGCGATGATCATAACATCCATGAGCAGGGAGATGATAATGATACGTTGATTGAATCTGAGCAGCTTGTGGTACTTCTGGAGACCATTGTCGACAAGACTCTTCTTCACAGCGCGAATGAAGTACCAGTTGAGAGAAGCATCGATGGCAAGGTATATGCCTTTCTCGATTCGGTCCCAAATCTCGTTGATGTGGATGTACCTAGAACGTCGAGATTAAGCGATGATCGACCATTCCATCGGATCATGCTTACCGTGAGCTTGTCTGCAGCCGAGCGGGGATCCAGATGTTGAAGACACTGATATTGACAAGGGTAACGACGACGGCAGTGGTGACCAGGATCCATAGGGACTTTTTGCGATTGGGTGTAATGACCCGGATACGATTGATGATAATCTGGAGCAGCAATTGTACTTGGATACACCACCAGAAGACTGTTCATGATCAATATGAGGCTTTTCACTCATAGTCCGGCATGACTTACGGATAGTGAAGTAGAATGCAAAACCTGATAAACATTAGTGGTCTGCTCGATGTTTTGAGAGTGTATCGTGATTGGACATACTAGGTCTGATGATCTTCAGAAGATGCATGTAGCATTCCGAGGCCATGAGAAAAGAAACCAGTAACTCCAGCCAGATGAGCCATATGTATACACTTCTCAACGGCCGCCGTGCACTCTTTGACTGTGCGATGCCTATGTAGATTGCTATACCGACGTTCAAGATCGTCAATGCGAACACAACAGTCGCGATGATGACATCGGATAGAGTGATGGGCTCAAGGACGTATTCTGGCGAGATAAAAGGTCCCCATGTTGTGAAAGTAGGGTCCTCCTTGAACTCCTTGATACCCGCTGATTGAACCATGGAGGGCCGATGCAAACAAAGACAAAACGCTGGGTGAGAATCAAATGAATGTCAGATGGATATCGTGCTCTCGACAGTGGAGGTACATGATAGTAGTGCTAGGGATATATATCCTGCCCTCTCCAGAGGTGTGAACTAAGCGCAAAACGGTTACAGACTTGTGCAAGCCACAACCATAAACACAGTTGCTGACATGGACAATTAAGCTGTGGTGGCCTACCCAAGCGCGAACCCAAAGCTCGAGACGCGGGAAGAGCATGAGCGTCGCATAGCGGAAGATTCGGGTACCTGTCCCTCGCCAGAGCCATGGCCGTCCCGGGGCGAAAGTCTAAGTTGCAAATTCGGGCAGACATTGCAGATGTCCAGAAGCAAGGTTTCAGCGCTGAGTGCCAGCCATGATTCTGGTCCTGGAGTACGTACCGTTTGTAGAGAAGTCCAACAAGGAGATAGTACCGAGTGTGAACCGCTGTGTACAAACAAAACGATACTGGCAGGGAAGCCGAGGTTCCAGTCACACTCACTATGAAGTATGAGGTATCTCCCCGTAGTCCCTACCAATGTAGCTGTTGAGGTCTCTACATTCTTACAGCATGGGATGGCTGTATGGCTGCGCTTGCCTAGCAATTAGGGTACCTCGTATTTTCCTAGAGTCTGTTCCATACTGTGGTCTGTTCCCCCAGTGTTGTGTTGAGAGTGGATGTGGCGGGTTCTGATCTAGATCTTGGATGCAAACTTTAAATCCATGACCCGCAGCCGACGGACCAATCATACGAGCTCCTGCCGCTCGCTTCTCTTACTCCGCGAGTCGAGCATTTCATCGACATCCACACCTTTTGAACGTTGGCTGTCGCCGCAGGTGCCTCAATCGGCCCTTTCTGTAGTATGCTTTACGGTATCCATGTGCCCAGAAGACAACGCAGACCTTCTGATTGCCAAAGTCAGTTTCGAGTATCGCAGTACGAAATTGCTTATAGATGTTGCTCGTGGCGGCATCGGCCGAAGAAACGACGATGTAAATGGAATTGTCCCGGGCCCCCGGCCACTAATCCATTTAATTGAAGACGAAAGCCCTCGGGCACCATTCAGACCTTTCAAATTCCAGCCAGCGCCGTGGCTGAAGCCTATTATAGTCTGAGGCTAAGCACTACCGAGAGCGCAATGCAGCTACCGTGGGCGAAACAGCATAAGGGTTTTTCACTACGGGATAGGGCTGGGCTGTTACAGATTTTGACTTCTCTTTGACGAATCTTACAGGCCGCTAAGCTATTACCGGTGCTTCCTAATCTGCTTCCTAATCTGCTTCCTAACGCAGAAGATGCCCCAGATCCTTCCAGTCGCGGCACTTATCTCGATTGCACGGACATTCATGTGGCGATCAGGACAGTGCTCTTGATTTCAAGGCCTCATATACTTTGTCTACCCTGTAGCAGGATACGAACATGGATTTTGGGCTGAGGAAGCCACCAACAGAACTGCAAAGATCTTGTGTTGATGCCCTGAGCCCGCACATGATGGTTCGCATACGGCTGATGGCTTTTGTTGTCCCTGGCCTCCCGAACAATTTCATCAAGGGTAGGCATGTTCCGACTCTCGATCTAGTCAGACTAGACACCGCGCTACTCGGAGGTGACTGCGAAATGATTATGGATCGGACTATCGTACCATGGGGCCCCATGGCGAGTCTAGGTTGGCTTCCTGGGATGCCTGGACCTCTGAATGTAGTCAAGTGCCTTGTCAGTACTAAAGACGTCACCTCGCAGAGCACGTAATGGAGCTATGTCTTTGAATGTTACTGCGGCACTAATAATACTCGAAAATCTCCGAGCGTTCGTTCAACCAGTCACCGTTTGCGGGACCGCTAGTAAACCAAAATAATCTCCAGACACGCCGCACCACAGAAGCTCTTGCAATGATTACTATGTAGACTATGACCAGCACGACGAACGACCCAAATAGGTGAGGTCCCTACTTCTGTTCGTCGATCCAACAATGTAGGACCCAAGAACGAAACCCTAAGCGACGTAGACAGGCCAAGAGAAAGGTGTAGAAGTTGGAAAAAAAAATGCATAATGAGGGTGCCAACTGCAAAGATGCAGGGTAGAAAGCCCCACCCAGCATCAAGGTCGCCTAGTTTGAGTTCCGGTAGCAAAACAGTCTCGTACGAAATAGGCCTGCCCCGAGATTTGTCTCAATGCGGGAGCGTGTGCTGGACTCTAGTTCTGAATCCATGATCCCTGGTATTCTAGAGCCGCTCGCGAGCTCTCATATAGCCTTGTTCTCTCCTGCGATCTCCTTACATTGTTGTATCTTCATGGCCAAATAACAATGCGACCACATTAGGAACATGCCAACAGACCAAATAATGAGGATTATCAGCATGAGCTTGAGCAGAAGCCCCACTGAGATTTCAATGCGAAGAGTCAGTCTTAGCGCAGAAACATACAGCAGAAGTCGATAATCCTCAGATGTCTCGCAGGAACCATTCTCCCCGATGTACCTGTAGTCGTACACGGAAATCGATGTATTCCATTTGGCTCGCAAAATATCCTCTTGGGCTCCCGGAGTTTCTGCATCAAAGTTGGAGAAGGGACCGTCTGATGGGAGGTAGTAGCCCGTGATGTCGAGCACCGGTATTGGCAACGACCCGCTGTTTAAAGTGTACTGCCCATGTGATGTCCATCGTGTTACACTCGAAGTTGTGGCTAAGAGACGTCGTGGACATGGAGCAGTAGAAAGAAAAGCTCCACGGACAGCGTTCCTGAGGAAGAACTGGCTCCGCTGAACACATTGCTAGTTTTCTGCCTGCAGTGCACATATGACCACAAACACCAACCAGTGCTTTTGGGCCACGTCACGACGAATTCATCTGCCCTGTTGATACTCGATCCATCATGTATGATGAAACGATCCCCCTTTTCAGTCCTGATGAACAACCTTACAACCCCACTACACCCAGTCATCGAACTCCCAAATCTCGGACAGGCTAGCAAAGATACCATGGTCATGACTATGAATATCATGACGAGCATGGATTGCAGTCTTTTGATAGAAAAGTCACGCACCAGGTGTGGGATATCGTAGAGCATAGGGCCAGTCTGGATGAAGACAGCACGATAGGTGAGGAATGTGATAGGCGATACCCGCATCGAGGTCGTAACACGCATGGCGAACATCTGCTACGATATGAACGCAAAAAGAGCCTGGCTGCGACGACTGAAGCACTGCAGGTGTTATTAGACTCGAGCATCATTTCACGTCGTAACGTTAGATTGATAGCTCACCACATCTATGACTTTGCCTGTAGTGAAGCTCGAGGTCCCGAAATCAGGTGTGATCTAGAAAAACCCAGAGTCCGATCACAAGCTGTAGAGTGGAGTGTGCATCCGGAACGAGCCATCAGGCATGCATGCCGCATCCTGACGAGAGAACGCATAGGAGCTGCTGATAGGGGCTCGTCACAAGCAAGCAAGTGAAGAGAGCAGACAGCCAGATAGATGGAAAAAGCCGCACGTTACCATCACGTACGCATATCCCTCCTGATTTGACGGTGACTACCGACCCAGCCTGTTGAAAAGATGGTCTTGCTCTTTCAAATCCATGAGTATGTGCCCGATCGATCTCAAGGGAAAAATCAAAAGCCTCTTGCCCTCTACTTAAAGGCTATTTACTGCTGGCATACCTTATCACCGAACCTGATGCCCAGCCGCACACAGGCCAGGCTAGATCTAGCAAGGCTGAAGGGTGAAGTAGACGAAGTCCAATACCCGTCATGGAGACACGGCCAAGAACCTATCACTGCGTAGGCTTCCCGAGTATGCTCGTATACCTGCAGTCCCTTTTTATCGCAACGTCCAATCACAATTAATTACCCATACATTTCGATTCGACACTAGAATCATTCTATTATCGCACGACGCACGCAAGCATAGACTCCTACCTCCCTCCCTCACATCCTCTGCCTGCGCTCCACACACCCACACACACATACAACGCCAGACTAAATCTTATCCAGACAGAGAGGACCTTGGCACATCGTGCATATACAGCCGTATGCACAAACGAGGAGATGAAGTAAGACAAAACCCCGAAAGTGTATAATGGAGACGGGATCGACAGCCGAATGTGGAGAAGAACTTGGTGGTCCTGTTGCCTCAGGCACATTCATGTGCACATGCCTCCCGTCCCGTCAACACTTCTTCCATGTACCGGAAGGCGCGGCACGAGGACAATCGTCATTATGCATTCAACAAATCTTACAGTAGTCTCAAACATTGATGCCACAAAAAAGAATTCTTCTTTAAGTATCATGCCATACTATGCTATGAAACGCTCATCCCATTCGTGCGTTGCTCTGCTGGCTTCGCTCAATGCCTACGACCATGGTCGGTCGTCATTACAAAAGTGGCCATCATGCTATCTAAATGCAAGACATCACTGCCGTTAACTAGCATCCATCATTCATATTCGTCAATTCGTCAAGATATCCACGTCCTATCGCATCGAGAAAGTGCTTCCGGGACGAGAGTCCTCTACCAGGGAACGCAATCTCGGGTTCATCGATTCGTGGGCTCAAGCGTCACAGCGGCCCAGTTTTAAATTATTGATGTGGCGGACAGGTCCCTGGTCGGCTTTACAGAATTGATTCATATGAATACTGGTGGCGGCGCCTTCTTCAGACTTCTCAGTCTCGAAAGACGGCGATGACTTGGTGTTACCCATGCGAGAGTCAAGAGGTTCCACGGAAATGTTACGGCGAACGGGAGTTTCTAAGGAAATGTTACGGCGAACGGGAATTTCTAAAACATCTGTAGCGGCGGGAAGAGCTTCTCTAAAAGTGGAGACTGCAGTGTCTGTAACGGTGGAAACAACTTTCTCGATAACAGCGTCAGAGATACCTGTAGCAAGGGGAGGAACTTCTTTGGCGGTGAACAGAGTCTGGACCACTGTCTGGCTAACCGTCTCGGTGGCAGTCACAGTCTCCAGAGCGATCACCGTTTCTGTGACAGGTATAGCATTTTCAATGCTAGACGTGAAATGCCTCATACTGGGGAGTCCACGATCGAAGACTGGGGCTGGAGAGGGCCTGATGCAGAGGAACAGGACGACTAGGCTAAGTCCAATGACCATAAGGTTCCGAGTATCTTGTGCCAGAAGGTAGAAGTAGTTGAGGAGTGCAGCAGCCAGAGGTACCTCCTTGTTGCTACACTTCCTGGGAAGTGCAGGCCTGTCCGTATCGAAAGAAACAGTCTTTGGTGCAGAGGATGGAACTTGTGGCTCTCGTAATATTTGACTTGCGTCCATCGCAACATCTGATTGCTGTCGTGAATGCGCTCCCTCTGAGGCCGGTGGTGTAGGAATCCCGTGCCTGATGCTAGTACCGATCTCTTTCTGCAAACCTCTCCTGTTCTCTTCACTTTTCATCTCCCGCTCCAGCTTTTTCTTCAGGTCTTCGGGTATCCAGGGTAACACTTCAACGTCGACTCTTTCCATCTCCATCCAAGCGGCACTCCACGCGCCCGAACGCATCAGTCCATTTGCTGCATAGATTCTAACATCCCACCTCCGCTTCCCAATTCCTGCTCCCTTGCTCGGCGAGCCCATTGGCTGCGAGCAATCCGGACATACATCATCATCTAGATCTTCCTCCATGTCAGACCCGGAATTGCTCCCTCTCGCCGTTGCACAACCATCATCGTCATCTTCAAATGGATCATAGCTGATAGATGACGCACAGCTACTACTTCGATGGCGATTAAAGTGTCCACTCTTGAGCAGCCGTGGAGGGGCTAAGTCGAGACTCTCCAGTAGCCTCTCTTCTAGAAGTTCATATTCGTGTCTGGGATGCGGGATCAACAGCCCTCTACCCATCAGGGTCGAATCTTCCAATCTATTCTCCAACAGCCTGAAGTTCTCTAACAGCCAACCCGGCAACACCGACTCGAGGATATGGGCAGAGTATGGCAAAGAGGGAGGTAGCAGCGTAACATGAAGGAGGACTAGAGGATAATCGCGTTTCGGTGTCTCGTAGACCGGGGTCTGGTGCGCGCTCTCGTATCTCCGCTCAAGTTGTCTGTCTGATCGTATCGACTGAGATCTTTGAGACCGTGGGGTTTCCGAGCGCCTGATCGGAGTCGCTAGGTGATGGGGTTGCTGCATATGAGGCGGAGAGGAAGGTAAGCTAGGGAGAGGGCTTGACATTTGCATTGCTTTGACAGACGAGGTGTTCCTGAACGCAGGCCGCGACCGCATCGGTGTGTATTGCTTCAAGGTCGCATGTAGATCCTGATCCAGTTCTTCTGAGGTAATTTCGGAAGGAAAAGACGATACTGAGGATACTGTGGCATTTGACAATCTCTTTTTCTTCTTGTCCTTTGACGTGTGACCAACATGAGAGAGGGGCGCGTCATTCTCAATGCTAGCAAGTGGTACGTCGCAGTCATAGTTTGGCACCGTAGAATCATTCACGCTCATGCCGGTGCCGGCTGCTTGGTCGAATCTATTGTGCTCTTCGTAGATCGAGAATGGTGAGACCGAGTCTGTACGAATGGAAGCCATCGGTAGCCGCGTTGCACTTGCGCGGATGTCACCTCCGAAGGCGCCCGAAGACTTCCAGAGTCCTAGGTCAAGCTGATGATGGTAAATGTGTGTGGGACGCTATGGTCATCGAATACTGTTGCAGTAGACTTTGGCTCCAGAGTAATTTAGTGGGGCGCTCACGGAAGAGATTCAAGAGCTAAAGTGAAAGTTGGTTGTGTCAAGGTTGATGTTTAGATGTTACCACAGCAACATAACCGTTATCCCAACACCACATCCAACGTAGCCATTGAAATGCCAATCCATCGTTCGTGACCATATAATCGCTATTCATAATCAGTCTTCTGCCTTTACATTCTCATTCAAGGCATTCTAATATCGAAGCAAGCATTGTCTCGTTGTGTCTAGTCGTCGTCAGTGCATGTAGGCCACAGCCGTGACATTCATTGAATTGTGAATTAGCGCTAGTCGTTGTCGCACTCCCGATGTGGGCTAGAGAGGCGTACAAAAGTAAAGCCGACCTGGGCGATAAGGATCTTAGAAAAGAAGCAAGTCATGACCTGAGGTCCATAATTAGATCTTAATTAGATGTATTGTTGAGTTGAGCATAAGACGCAGTATATCTCCAATGAAACAGCTCACTATCAGCAATGTCAAGTCAGTGCAAAGCAAATAGTTCATTTAGTTTGCCAGAACGAGCGCATCTGCATAAGTAGTAGCAGACATCCCAGACAATGCCATGCCTCTAACCAGACAGTGCTTCATTACGCGACCTAGCATCACTATTATCAATCCACGGTTTCAAACATGAAAATTATATCATCGAGCCTGACCGACGGATGTTGCGGGTCAAGATACATCACATAAATTTAGACCATGAAATCGTTTCGCTAAGAAAACCCGAACACCAAGCTGAACCCTTCACATGACGCCGTACAGTAACGTTTCTAACAGATAGACTTGCTTTGCTTGCACTTCGTTACATTCGTGAGATGGTCAACAGCGCCTCAAGTGTCAATAGATATGAGTAGGTCCAGAGTGCTCCAATTTTACGTATCCACTAGGAGCATGATCAATACTCCACAAGTGCTGCTCAAACTCATCTAGGGTGAGTCCAGGACCGACTGCGATCGCAGAGGGCATAGAACTCTGCAAGCTGCACTGCGAACATGTCACCTGCCAACCTCTGACTGGACACAGCCGAAGTCTGAAGTCTGCCATGGGATGCTTCCGGCGTAATTCACCTTCTGCTTGTACTAGCCACCACGGTTTGAGATACTGGCTTTGTTCAGACTCCTCCAGAACATGTAGGCGCTGCGAGTCCTGGTGTGTTGGATGTGTATATCCTTTGAGCTGCATGCGGGTTCTATATGAACTTGGAGGTGAATATAGCTCCGACGATTGAGTGATAGCAGAATACATGTTAGGGTCTCGAAACGGGTTTGTGTTCCAAGGCAATTGCGACTGCACTGGTACTGGAGCATGGAATGGATTTCCAGGCGGCTTTTGGGGCTCAGACGTCTCAGCCGGACAGGGGAGCAGTGGCATAGACTGGCGATTCCTCAAAGGGCCTTTTGTGCGGATATTCGGAAGCTGCGGAGGTATGTCTGAGTACCCAGTATTGTGGCCAAAGCTCTGGCGTTGTCGATGTGCAGCCATGTGTCTTACGGGGGAAGCGTCGACCATTTTCTTGCGACGTGTGTTGTAATCCTGAAATGGGTGAGGATCGGCTGCATGGCAAACTTGCCTGTCAGGGAGGCAACCAGTGGTATTTGACCGATTTGGAACCACGGACGAATTGACACTGTGTTGAATCAGATCTATCGATGGCCGTCTATCAGACTGTTCCATCTCAGGAGCAACATAAGCTGATCGCAAAGAGGCAACGCTGTTGCGGTAGGGCATCGGTTTAGCGGGAATTTCGGGCACCTTCTGTGGAACGGTTGGTCCGCCAGTGGTTTCGAGCGGTGTTGCACCATGATGCCACTCAGATTCCCTCACTCCCTTGTGACAGGGCGAAGATGTAGGCGATTGCAAAGAAGGACTCGAGGTCTCATCGACAAGTATTAGCGGTGTTGAAGTCTCTGACATCTCCCACGACTCCCTTGTACCCTGTGGTGATCCTGTGCACTCTTGATGATTGGTTTCTGTCTCTTCTATAGCAGCCAGCATACTCTCGGTCTCACTCCCATCAAGTAGCCAGTGGAGAGTGTCTGCTGTCATCCTTTTTGCAGCCGTCTCACTAAAACGAGTTCCTAAAGTCTCGGTCTCGTTCCCATCGAGTAGCCAATGCAAATTATCCTTTTTCAAAGTGTCTGTTGTCATCCCTGTTACAGCGTGCTTACTAGAACGAGTGTTTAATGCTTCTGGATGGGACCTTGCTGAGCTCACAGTTGATGACGTAACGTTTGGTGGAAGTGCGATCGTCTCGTTTCGTCCTCTCTCCTGAAGCACACTTTGTGCATGCAGTTCATTCACTCTGCGGAGCTGCTCAGCATATTGCAGACTGGCCAAACGACGTTTAGTAGTCCGCCTAATTTCGGTTGTATCAACATAGGTTTGCATATCATGTCGACCTCGGATTGGGCAATAGAGCGGTGCTGGCGTGTGAGAGTCGGTGTCATCACCGTTTATGATACGCAGTGCTTCGTTCCCCTTGGGAGCGGTAGTCAGATTCTCATTTCCTTTGGATGTTATCAGATAATTATCCTCGATCCTCACACCACCGACTGGGAGATAGCGCTTAAGTATAGCTGGGTTAATGAATTTTGCGTGGACTGGAGAGGGCAAATATACAGACTCCAGAGCGAGACGATTAAAGTAGCTGCATGGCGATCAGATCACGGTGACAAGATTCGGACGCTCTACTCACATTCCAGGCTCGACTGTCAACACCATGTTTTCCTCCAGTGTTGTCCCGTACGGGCTAGCAGCGTTTTCAACCATCGACTCGATATCCATAACCTGCCAGACAGATCTTGATGTACCAGACTCTGCTGAAACAGCTTTAAGGGGACGCAAGAGGTCCCTGTATAGCACATCGTGTACGTCTAGTCCTATGTGGTGTCCCAGCCCGTGGGGATAGAATGCGAGTGACGTCCCAGCCTCATAAATTTCTGCCACGGTCCCGTTATGCAAGATGCCAAGATCAAGAAGTCCGCGGATAGCGACTTTGTGTGCGAGTATATGCAGATCGATATATCTGACACCAGCACCCATTCTTTGCACACACGCATCCTGCATTGCTTGTACGAGTTCGTATATGTCTTTCGCCTCCTTTGTCCACGAGCCTGACAATGGGAACGAACGAGTGACGTCGCTGGCGTATAGATCGTACTCACACCCAGCGTCCAGACACATGAGCTGTTTATCTGCCAGTGAGTCATTGTTCCTCGCATAATGAAGTGTGCTTGCATTCTCGCCCGCAGCAGCGATTATATCGTAGGCTTGATTAGGCGCACCGTTCGAGATACACGTATCCATAAATATACCTGCTACTTCTGATTCCGTAGTGAACGTTTTGATCTTGCGCAGCACGTTTCTGTGCGCCTCTGCCGAGATCTCGTTTGCCTTCCGTATGAGTTCGATTTCATGGTGATCTTTGATCACTCGTGCTTGGTTCATGGCATTCTGAAGAGAGTCCGTGTTGAACCTCGTCTGATCAAGCTTAGTTTCGGGCTGCTGTTGCTGGTGAAGTACGAATATTGGTGCGTCGTTTCTTCTAGCCCAAGCCTCAACATGCGCCGCGACACAAGTATTCAATTCCACAACATCGACATCATATTTAGTATATGCGCTGGGTATGGACAGTCCCGGCCCGTTGTATATTGTGTCATGAAGGTCGTGTTTCGGGATATATAAGTTCAAGATATCGGCACCAATATCGTAGGTTACGTGGCAATCAATTTCGTTCACGCCAGTGATGTAGTAGAAATAGCGTCGTTGGTGGAAGGGTATGGGCATGTCAGAGTCTTCGAGGAGTCTGGTAGGGGTTCCCGGGAGATATATGAGCCCCTCTTCGACTCCCAGTTTCTCTGCAACGCGCTGGGCATGCTGTTTAGCTAGCGAGCTGTAAGTTAGTTTGACATCCTGTTTGACAGCGGAATGCTCTCCGTACCTGGATACTTGTTGAATGGCGTAGACTCTGGTGCGTGACAATGCTCTAGCCGCAATCGGAGGTCCATACTGCTGGTTTTGGACCGTCCGAAGTCCGTGATGAAAGCTCTGGGTGCTGCACGTTACCGAAGTGGTATTGTAGCAGAAGGAGATAGATGAAAGTAAGTTTGGTGTCGTCTGTAAGCAGTGGGGCTATGAATGGATCCATGGATGGCGCAGGTGATAAGATCGTGGCAGCCTAGCTAGCCTAGCCTCCCCCACTTCTGTTAAATAGCCAGGCCCCCATATCAGGTATGGCTACGGCGGCCATTGTACAATCGAATCATCGCAGCAATGTACGTTCCCGGGGTTATCAAAGATGTAGGGAACATTATCATCATCCAGGATGCGAAGACGGTTTCGACAAACTTGCCAGGACAGCACCAATATCGCACGACGATGACCACCAGGACGCATTACTCCTTGCTTCCTTGATCTAGAAGACGGAGTGTGTAGTAGGCCATGAAAAGGAGACATCACAGAGAACGGGCATAGAGATGCTTTCTGCCAATTTGATAACGCATACAAGCTTATTGGCCATCGGCTTTTGGCTTGGCAAAACTCTTGCTATTCTCAATCGACATCATCTCATCATAGTCCGGTCGCGGTATCTCTAAACCTTCCACTGTTCTAGCATATGTGATGCCGCCCAGGCGAGAGATTGGACGCAGGACGTTGGGATCCATGAGGTTTCGATCTTCATTGATTGCATCCTCTCGTGCCCAAAATTTTATACCCTCTAGCATTAGGAGAACGCCCGTCTTCTTGCCCGGTGTGGCTCGACTCTCAAACTCTTCTGTCTTGTAAAGCTTGGCCTCAATGGAAAAGATGGCTTCTTTGACTCGGGAGGCTTTGATATGGGTACATGGTGCTGGGGTAAGGCCTGTCAAGGCCCACTCCGATGTTCCGTATGGAGCGTTGACGCTGCATGCATTTGCAGCCTCGACGTAATGCTCTGAAATGATGTTGATGCACACTGTCAGGCATTGTCAGCATTTGTTACTTGGACTATTCAATTTGTGAGCGATACCTTCCTGCGTCTCTACAACATTCTTTAGACTATCCTTCGCTCTGTCCATGCCGCCAGCAACGCCTATTATGAACATCGGAGGGTCGTGGTTCACCATGTTAAAATATGAGTATGGAGCCAGGTTTATGCTCTCGCCTGTCATCAAGTATCAATTTCAATTACATGAAGAAACGGTTGCATGCTAGTACACACCATCTTTCGAGCGAGTGCTCAAGAAGCCGATTGGGCGGGGTACAATGGCACTGATCAAAAGTTTATAATTGAATGTCGCAGGACGTCCCTCCTGGTATGGATCGATCTCAATGTGATTCTTCTCAAGGGATCGGCCTCCGTCATTTGCCCCACCACCAAGCTTCCAGTCGGGATCGCGAGTCTTTGTGTATTTCCACTCCAGGGACTCGTCCCATTTCGGTCGCGAAGCCTCGACTCCTTTGAAATCCGGATGAGGATTTCGTTTGATAAATTTCTCAGCGTCGGCCATGACTTGGTTTCCTGCATCGGAACTAGCTTTCAATTTCTTTTCGTATTCGGCCATTACTTCAGCTCGAGATGACATCGTGGGCAAGAGACAGTATGTCGGCTTTCTATGAGAGCTTATAATATGGAGAGGAAGGAAAGAAAGTAAAGTCGCAGATATCCGTCGGCTATTGACGGACCGTAAGGCGGAAGACGTGTCGGGAGACAGACGAGCGCGTTCGCCCGTCGGCTAGCTGCCCTAGCCTAGCATTCAAGATGATATCATGCTATCATTTCCTTGTGTAATTACTATAAGATAGGTGTCTCATTGAATGCTTATCACTATAGATATTATTATAGTCAATAAAATGGTTATACAGAAGATGATCTATGGTACTAACTCGTAAGAATATATCATAAACTTATCCATGTGGTTTAGCTATAGTCAAATGAAAAGAAAGAGTACAGTTTGATTTGAGATCATATTGCTCAAGAAGACATATTTCATGATGATATCTACTGGTTTTATGAAAATAATGGATTATCTGTCTTATGGTAATCTAGGTACGGGATTCATAGTGTGACATCTCGTTTGGACAAGCAACGAACACCACGTGGGCAGACTCCTAAGTGCATCATCTCTCTTTGTTGTTTCGACTAGCCGTCTCAGACATCGATGAGTCGTAATTATGTGTCAGTTTCATTCACTCCATATCTCACCTTCAACGTCATCTCCTACTCCGAACTTCAATGTCACTGTGTCACTGTGTCGCCGACCTCACTCTCTCGGGAACTACAAGCGTAGTAGATCGTTTTACATTTGCTACTCCCAACCTCGCACTACCTCTTCTTCCGACCACCGCGACAGCGACCAGGTGTTTCAGCGCTCGTCATCAGCATGTTTCACATCGCAGTCCATCCAGTAGAGGTCATTCTCGGCCAGTATTTTGTCGCACTGTTCCTCTTTCATCATCGTACGATCAGCGGATGGTAGTCAGTGACATTAACAAACGTCAATCATTCACTGATTGCTGTTCGTTCCACCACCCTCATGTTCATGGCCCTCCCCCACAAGTAGCTCTTCCTTGCGCCGTCTTTACGAGGGATGTCAAACGGTAGCTGCTGAAGGTCATACCTCGGTCCCCAGACTTGACGGCTCGTAAATGCAGCACCAGCTCATCTGCACTTTTTGGAATGCAAAACACTGAAGTTTATGGCATGCTCAGCCCACCGAATCCTATGCGATGGTACGTATATCGCACTGTCTGGAATCTCTATATCTTGGAGGTTGGTACGTTGAGACGTCAAGCTAAGCTTGGAGATATAGGTCGTTGGCTGTGCTCGTGATCAGGAGCTGAAGCAGTTATGATAATAATCGACTGCACGTTCGACTACGTACGGGCAGACCGCGCACCATGTATAAATTGGCTGCTCCACCAGATCCCCATGGGTTGCGCTCGGGCGTTCCGGAGATGGATGAGTGACATTCGTGAGACATCTTAGCGGTAACTTCACAATGCCGGGTTCAACAACTGCCGCGAGTCCTGTCAAGGGCACACTTCTTTTGAAACCGTATCCCCGGTTAGTTCACATTGTAGGCCAGCCCAGAAGTAACATTATTCTCCCACCTCGCTTCTTGCTTCGTATGAAGTATTAGTAAGGGAACACCGTCTGGTCCCAGGACCCAGTCTCTGCCAGAACTACGCCTACAATTCTCATGTAGAAGGTGGTTTGGTACATCAATTGCTGAAGCCTCTTAGCACCATGGTGCGACATCATCGGAGGCGATTCTTCGAACTTGCGATTTGCAGCATACTGCTCTCTGCTGTTGCAAGAGCACAACATAATGAGAATGGGACCGATCCTGTTGGGGACATGTGCTCCCGGTGGTATCAGGCCTGTAAGTCATGTACATCTAATGATATACTTGATAAATTGTTGACACTTGCGTAGCCACGCTGATGGGTAAAATACTCTATATGACTGGTGGCATCGAGACGTTCCAAAAAGGTCATAAGAGCAGTAGCAATATATCTCTTGGCATCAGTAAGTGCATCTCTATGGGTATTTCAAAGGGCGATGCTGAGCTCTTTCAGACCCTACGGTAATCACGGTCCAGATGGGTGAGTCCTGGGACTGGAAACCGGACGGCGGGATTCCTATTCTAAGTCATGCTAAGGAGTACATCGGGAGCAGTAGGATCCTCCCACCATCACTGATGCGTGGTGCTTTTTTTCAAGGAGATGCTAGCGACGATCGCCTCTATGCTTTCGGTGGTACGGCCTACTACGGTAACACCAGCTTCCCGGGATGGGTTGATATGCCCGATGCACCACCACTATGGGTTTTCAACACCCACAACAACACTTGGATTGAGCAGAATACCAGTATTCCTTTGCAGAGGCCGAACAATGGAGCTGCGGCGGATGCGCTTGAAGCAGGCCTATCGTTTTACCTGAACGGGCAATCGGATAACACTACTCAATCCAAGAACACCCCGAATCGAAATGGCACTTCCATTATGGACGGCCTCTTGGTATTCGATCATCGGAATATGTCATCGGTGAGGAACGTTTCCACCGAATTTGAGGGTGGCAGGTTTCCCAGGATTGGAGGGACGATGAACTACATCTCACGTTTCGGACATGAGGGTATCCTAGTGTCGCTCGGTGGATTGTGGGCAAACAAGACGGCGAAACCAACTCTGGAGATGGTCGGTTGATTGAGAAGTTGTTCTCGATGCCCGAAGCTAACAAAGTAAAGGTCGAATTCTCCAAAGTCGATATATTCGATGTCGCCGCTCTGAAAAGGAATGACGGATCCAAGTACTCGTACACACAGGGCACTACTGGTGATGCTCCCTCGCCCAGGGTCGATTTCTGTACCGTCTTGCAGTCCGCAGCAGACTTATCGAGCCATAACCTGTAGGTGGCCATTCCTCTGTTGCGCCTCTCATCGCTGACTATATAGTTACGTCTATGGTGGCCGCGACGCATACTCAGACGTCATCTACGACGATATACGGGTACTTTCTTTACCTTCGTTCACGTGGACCATTATCTACAACGGCAAATCCCCTCGTTGGGGCCACGCGTGTCATACAATCCCCGGAACGCGACAAATGATCACCGCCGGGGGCAGTCTCGCGGCGCCAAACATCACCTCGAGCTGTGATTGGGAGGACAAAGGTGTGGCCATCTATGACCTGAGTCTAGGTGGGCTTGGTGGCTGGGGTATGATAAAGCTCATAATTTGTGGAGATCTGGAATGTCTACTGACTCTTTTGAAGGGAGTGTATACCACAGCGAGCCGCGGCCCTATGAAGTTACTAAGAGTATGCTTCGTCGCATTGGCGGAACACCACAGGGCGGAGCGATGATGAAAGCGCCTGAGAACGGATACGAGTCCTCGCAGCTTGCCGGCGTCATGCGCTTGAAGGGACCGACTCAAAGCGGAGATTCATCCACGATATCAAAAGGAGTAATGGCAGGCGCAATCATCGGGTCAGTCGTAGGTGTCATCCTTATCGGGTTGGGGGTACTATTCCTCTTGTTTGGGAAAAGGCTCCTAAAAAAGACAACAAACGAGGACAGACCAAATACTGAGATTGGCGAGACGATAATATACAAGTATGAGAAAGAGGAGAAAGGCATAGAGCTCGCGGTGCCACCGCCTCCTGTCGAATTGCCGGTCACAGAGAAGGCTGTGGAGGCCATGACAAGCATACATTCCACGACACAGCGGCATGGTTATGAAGACGAAGAGAGAGGCCAGACGACTCCTGGGGGCGCAGAATCCATGCTGGACACGTGGAATCACGACGAAAAGTCATGGCTTTCCTTACCATAGTATATAGATATGAAACATTGCTACTTCTTCAAAACTGATTACGACTACGTATGAGGGTAGAGAGACTTACCGTTCCAGGCCATCCTTCCCGTTGGATGTGCAGTTTGATAGGATCTGTCTGAACTGGGACGCCTGGCAGACCATGGCGGAGAAGTCCGCATGCAGTCGCTGGACGTGTTTCAGTTCCTCGAAGCAGCATTACCCATGTGTGAGATGAAGACCTGATGCATGACGAGCCATCAGTCCTCGATTGGCTCTGTAAATACATTCTATGGCTATAGACAGCATGATACATAGTCAACAAAGAAGTGTAAGGCGCGTGGCCAGTGGGGCCAAGGACTGACTGCAGGACGCTGGCAAAGTGGTTGAGATATTGAGAAGCCGAAGCCAAGGAGAGAGAGGGGGGGGAGGGGGTAAGAGAGAAAAGCCGCGCAATGGAAGTGAAATGTGGGGAGAGGGGGCCGCAGAGTGGCTATTGCAGTGTTGACCCCCTGACAAGTCTGTTGCACTTAAGCTCGAGGTTGCCGCCAAGCCGAAGAGAGACCGCTGCTAAATTAGCGCCATCGCCATTCATCGCCATCTCCATCTTCCATCCCGGGTCGGTCGCCATCTTCAGCTCAGCGGCTACGTTGCATTCCTCAGGCACAGAATGCTCATACACTCAACACTCAACACCCAATATTGTCACCGTCACTGACCACGTCAACCTCAGGTCTATCCTGTGTCGCTGTGTCCTTGTGGTCTTCTAAACCCTTGCCCTCACCGCCGCTCTCTGTCGTCTCTCGCGTTGCTGCATACTGTCGCTCGTTGTTCGCTACCGTCGTCGCATCTTTCTCAACATCCATCTTGAACCGTCACTGCCTGTATCCTGCGCTTCGAGCAACAGGAACAGCATCTTCACACTTGTCTATTCGCCCTTCTCCGTCTTTACCGTCTGCGCGTGCTGCTGGTTCCGTTCGCGCAGATCTGGACTCGCAACAACAGTGTTGGGCTACAGGACACACTGTCCTCAGCCTTCTTGATCGTCAGGCCTCCTACAATACCTGCCTGAGAGGCTCATCGAGATTTTTTGGACACGATGGAAGAACTAGACGACAAGTACGCCAATCCGCATACGCCGATTTCAGCACTATGGCTGACCGCGCTCTTGTGTAACTTGTAATACTGACCGTCGGTACAGATACATAGGCCTGGCACTGGCCATACTAGGCACTGTCTGCATAGGTAAGCACATCACTCCAATTTTCACAGCATGCAATGTCCCGGCTAATGATGTAACTATTAGGAGCGAGTTTCGTCATAACGAAGAAAGGCTTGATGCAAGCGTCAGAGAGACATGGCTTCGAAGGAGACGGTTTCACATACTTGAAGAATGCAACGTGGTGGGGAGGAATAATAACAAGTCAGTCGACCGTCTTCGATATCCCGAGACCAAGCTGACTTGCGTAGTGGTCGTTGGAGAAATCGGTAATTTTGCAGCATATGCGTATGCTCCCGCCATATTGGTCACACCTTTGGGAGCACTGAGTGTCCTAATCGGGTCAGTCTTCACGAGCTGTCCTACTTCAAGTACCCTCTGACCGTCTCGTAGCGCTATCCTCGGTTCATATTTTCTGGGCGAACGACTTGGAATACTCGGGAAAATCGGTTGCGCCATCTGTCTGTTGGGTTCTTTGATAATTGTCCTACATGCGCCCCCAGATAAGGACATACAACGAATTGACGAGATGCTACAATATGCACTTCATCCACGTAAGTCGTTCCACAATCAGCTTGTAGGGTCGATGCTCACTGGATTAGTATTCGTAATATATTGCCTAATTGTCGCAGTCTTCTCTGTGTTCATGATATACAAAGTCGCCCCGAAATATGGACGTACAAACCCTATGATATACCTCTCGATATGCTCGACAACAGGATCGATATCTGTCATGGCGATTAAAGGCTTCGGGATCGCGCTCAAGCTCACGTTCGCGGGTAAGAATCAATTTGTATACCCATCGACATACATATTTTTGATCGTCGTGGTTGTTTGCATCCTTACACAAATGAACTACTTCAACAAAGCTCTTAGCCAATTCTCGACATCAATGTAGGTCCCACGGCATGTCTATTTCTTCGCAAAGCTTACCAAGCCGTCAGAGTCAATCCCCTCTACTACGTAACGTTCACGACTTGTACTCTCCTTGCCTCGTTCCTCCTCTTCCGCGGCTTCAACACCACCTCTGCCGTCGACATCATTTCACTCCTCTGCGGCTTTCTGATCATCTTCTCTGGTGTCTACCTTCTGAACCTCTCCCGTGAGGACCCCGACGGCAAGAGTAAACTCGCAAATAAATTCTCTGACGGCATTCCAACGGACGGAATTGCATCTGTCGGTACGCGGCGCAGTCTACAGGCGCGCAGGAGTAGTGTCGAAGCCGGCTATGCCCGCGGCAGCTTCGGCGACCGCGACGCACTGATGCACGGCTACGATGAAGAAAACCAATTCGGACTCGGTGAGCTAGCCGAGGACAGCGAGGACGACAGCAGTGGTCACCGCAAGCGAACGAGCTTCGACGAGACGGAAGCGAATCCGCGGAAGAGCACGCAGACGCGTACATCGAGCGCTAAAGGTGTGCGAACTAGTCTTAATGTCCGCGGGAAGAGTGTTGATCGGTGATTTCTAGGCGATGCGTGGGCAGAATGGTAGAATGTCGAAGTTCGGCTTGATTCGCGAGTACATATATCTCGCGAAAATCAACGACACATCGGCACATCAGCTTTCACCCACCTGCACAAACGGCGTAAAGGGCGTTATCGGGACGACTAGACCTCAAGCGTACAGCGGCGTACGGAAACAACAGGGACTTAGAGAGCATTTTTTTCAGTATTCATGTCTATATCATTGCACACGCATTGTGTTCCGCGAACACACGCGCCCGGAGTTAATACAGGTGGTGGCACAAGGGTGTACTTTGGATAGAGGTTAGAGGATGGCATCGGGAACGGCTGTGTCACGATACGGAGATCATGTGGCATGAACAAAAGTAGTTATATGAGAGTATATCCATGTCTCCAAAGGTGCAAACCTCTTGGAAACCACATTGCCAAAGCAGAATAATGTGCATAGGACGTGATTCAACGAGTTAGAGGCGCGGAATCTCTCTGCTTACAGAAGGTTATGATGGTATTACTGACGAATCTACTGCACCAAGACGCGAAACAATAGTGGTCAATTATGATAGCAACCGCAAACTAAGGGCACCAACCTACCTTATAGCACTGACAGAGCCTGCATATAGTCTTCCTGCAAAACCTGTCATATGCAACAACTCCTCTCAGTACGCATATCGAAATATACCGCACACCTCTTCCATTGCCGTGCACCACAGACAAAACACTCCAATACCTAATTAGCTTCAGTAGGCTGCTTGCTGCTCTTTAAGACCGTGCCTGCCTGCCTTTCTCCATACCCTATCTTTAGGTGGAACGGACGCCCAGAGCTGATCCTTATGGTAGAAGTATATGATTTGTTTTTTTAGGACTTGGATGGCATCATGCAAGAAGCACTGGCCTTTGTCTGTCTGTCTGTCGTCTGTCGTCTCGAGAAAAGGACCTCCCATGAGAGACGTTACCCCGGAAGGAGGAAGCAGGCAGTTTTGGTAGACGACGAATGTCTGGCATATTTGTGACTCCTTTGAACTTACTGAACAATGCCGTCCAAGTATAGACAGAAGTACCCACTCCGTCATTCTCAAGGAAACAATGTCTATCGCTGCATCGTCCATGAAGCTGAACAACGTTAGTGGCGAACCTCTAGGCATTGCGTATTCGCCATCGATGGTATAAGATTACTCCAAATTCTTGCTTGGACAGAGGTCTCAATACACGCTTGATCATAATAAGAGAAATCTCGAGCACTTCAGAACCTAAAACGGTTGTGTGAATATTCGCCAGTCAACATCGCACCTCTTTCCAGCCATCACATCTGACATGCCAGTTAAACTTCGAAAAGCAAGCAGAGCAACTGAATTTAGCACTATGGCCCCATTCAATGGCAGAATTACGTCTCCTCACCGCCCGTCCAACGACGATTCTGAAACACTCACGCACTGGGATGACGACTTGAACAGCCCTCCCGCAGAAGAACATGTTGGACCTCAGAGGAGAATCGCAGAGAACAGTATCGCCGATGTCCATTTCCAAAAATTGCCCGTCACCAAAAACGAGCAGCGTAAGAAATATACAGGGAATATCCGCAAGCTGTTGAGCACCGCCAGCACATTGAGACGAGAGTTGCCGAGCTCGATGAATAGACCACTGAACTCGGAAGCCACGATAGCGGACTGGAGCACGAAGCTGGGTTTCTGGAAGAACGAGGTGATACATCTCAAGAATAGAAACACGAAACTCGCCAAAAAGCTCGCAATATCGGAGGCCAAGTACGGGGAAATGTCCGTCAGCCTGAAAAAACGACTGAGTCAAACAAAGAAGGATCTTGAACAGCTGAAAGAGGCTCATGAACAGGCAGAGGACACGCTGCAACAGGAATATCTGCTCAAGCGGGGATCCGAAAACGCCGTACTTGAAAGTTTGCACTCGAAATCAATGTACCGTGTAGAGCAGGCACATACACAGGAACGCAAGCGTCTGACGGACAAGCTGGAGACCCTGCAGGACAAGCTGGAGAGCTTGCAGGACAAGCTGGGGACCCTGCAGGACAAGGCCATGTACCAGTTGCTTCACACTGCTTTCAAGGCACTAGGCCTGACCGTTCTCATGCTTTTCCTCTTTGTTCCCGTTTGCGTGTTTCTATCCCTATACTAAAGTCTGAGTAGGCTTAGTACTGCTAGGTAGGGCCTGTGTACTCGTATTTGTCTTTACTCATCGTTTGTTTTTATCTTTGTATAGTATTGTCTTTTGACGTAGCTTGTTACACTTAATCTCACGCTACCTTCTTATACGTGAAGACGGACTTCATGAAAGAGGCTGAAAATCTGAGTGTCGAGCGATGATCGAACGAGCGACTGTAGAAGGACTAGATTGTTGTAAGAGAGTCAACATGTAACATGTTCAGTTATCCAAAGCTTGAGGATTAGCAGGCGAACGCAGCAAAGTTCAAGTCCAGGTATAACCTCAGGGGACGGCAGAACAGGTGTCCCCTTGCGTGGCCCGAGTAGGCTTCCAGCCGTAAGTCCCGAGTCTAGGGCATTATGCCCCTTGCTCGTAGGCGTTATATTACCTTTCCATCTAGATCTTAACGCAGTTGTCTGGTCTGGTGAGTACCGACCATCCTTCACGTCGTCCGCTGCTGTACGAAGCGCTTATTGATCTGGTACAGTGAGATCTAAATAAGATTATCCAAGGCCATGTGCCGAGCGTTCGGAACACATTCCTTAGTGTTCATCCAAGGATCGGCATTAGTTGCTCCGGCCCGGCTTACCCTACGGTTACACTGCATACACATCGGGCCGCACTCACGGCTCCATCCCTTAGCGTTAGTTCTCATCACTCATCATCATACATTGATCTTTTTTTGTATCTTACGTTATTATCTGCCCAGCTCTTTCTCCAACTCCACGATGAAGAGACGAAGTTTGCTGTCCTGGTACAGTAGATGTGGGACGGGAGTCTTTACTGGATATAGCTAGCGTTCCGAGGTGCCGAGGCATCTGAGCTGGGAGCGGCTCAATTGTTGCTCCGACTCCTTGACACATTCTTCTCCTGATTTGTATTGTAAAAGCATCTTTTCGTCCGCTATGCATCGGGTCGGTGGATAGTTTCCCTTCAGAAGTTCTTTTATATAGACTTGCGCTCATTTCTCAACTGTCATATCATATACATTCTACATTACACAAACAGGAGGACATCTCTTTCCTTTTCATTCGCCATCATGTCGTCTCTATCTTCCCCTCTAACGCTTCCGAGCGGTCTCGTACTTCCAAACCGGCTGTCCAAGGTATGTTACAGGTTGCTGAGCATGCACCTTACATCGTCTAACATCTCCAGGCCGCCATGGCCGAAGACCTCGCCGAATCGGGCGCCCACCCAGGTACCGCCCTCAACACCGTGTACAACAAATGGGCGACCGGAAACTGGGGCATGCTCCTGACCGGAAACGTAATGGTCGACAGCTCACACCGGGGCTCCCCAAGCGACGTCGCGCTCCCATCCTCAATCGCCACCTCGAGCCCCTCCGCGCCCTCTGATCGCGCCACTGCCCTCGCACTCTGGACCGCCTGGGCAAACGCAATCCAATCCAATGGCACGCCCGCAGTCATGCAAGTCAACCACCCGGGCCGCCAATGTCCACGCAACCTACGCAAAGGCGCCGCCCTCGCTCCGTCCGCGATCCCGCTACAGCTCGGCACGGGGCTGTTCGCGCGCTTCATCAGCTGGGTTGTGTTCGGGTCGCCACGCGAGATGTCCAAAGATGACATCCAGCACGTGGTAGCCGAGTTTGCGGAGACGGCGAGGCTGGCGAGTGACGCGGGGTTCAAGGGTGTGGAACTGCATGCCGCGCACGGCTACCTCCTTGCGCAGTTTCTCAGCGAGAGGAGTAATCAGCGTACAGACGAGTATGGCGGCAGCGCGGTGAATCGGGCGCGGTTGCTGCGTGAGGTCGTAGCAGCAGTGCGCAGCGCCGTGCCGAAGGAATTCGCCGTGGGTATCAAACTGAACAGCGTGGACTTCCAAGCAAAAAGCGGTCTCTCGGACGTATTAGCACAGATCGGGAGCATCGTCGACGCAGGGGGCGTAGACTTCCTAGAAATCAGCGGCGGCACCTACGAGAATCCCGAGGTATGGTTATTATGCCCCTGACCAACAGCTCTCCACCATACTATGAGAAGAGTGCATTGGAAGAGATTATCAGAAAAAAAGATTTAACGTCAAACAGATGGCCGGCCCCGAATACTCAGATAAGCCCAGCGAGTCCGAGAAATCCGCGCTCAAGCAATCGCCCACTACCCAACTCCCCGTCAGCTCACGCACCGCCGCTCGCGAGGCCTTCTTCATCGACTTTGCACGCGACGTCCGTGCCGCCTATCCCTCGCTTCCGCTCATGGTGACTGGGGGCTTCCGCACACGTGCCGGGATGGCTGCTGCGTTGGAGAGCAATGCGTGCGACATCGTGGGCGTTGGACGGCCGGCGTGTGTGACGCCGGAGCTGCCGCGGGAGATCGTTTTTAACGAAGGTGTTGGCGATGAGAAGGCCGTGTTGCCGATGAAGGAAGTGCGTGTGCCGTGGGTGGCGCAGATGCTGGTGAGGTGGGTCGGAAAAGGAGTGGGAGCGGGGATCATGACAAAGGCATATCAGGATAGCATTAAGGCGTTGGTCAAGGCTGCGTAGGACGCGATAAAATGGTATGGTGGAACTAATTTTTGGAGCTGGGATGTATTGTAGAGGATAGATTTGTGTGTTGCTGCTTGTAAGATATCACATAAATACCCCTGAGTTTTCGTAATTCATTCCACCCTCACGACTTTAACGCAGGGATGTAAGAACAGTGGTCTGTGTTATTTGCTGAATAGAGTCATTCATTTCCTGTTTTAGTCTACATCTATCTATGATCTTCATATGTGGTCACTAGCGACGAGGGTATCTGCCGCTCTGCTACTACCAGGTCAAATCTACCAATCCACCCTCATACCTACCTACCCTTTAGAATTCTATTAAAAGACACTTTGACCCACTTCGTCACTCACCCAAGTCTCTCCCCCGATTGCAGCGTAGAAATTAAACAAAAGTCCAATTCAGACACCATGGTTACACAGACAATCAGCCTCAACCCACAAATCAAGCGTCCAATGCAGAAAATTATATTGAAGCAAACAACATCCGAATATTGTCCCCCCCTGTAAATTATACCCAAAACCCAACAACAAAGCCTAATATGTACCACAACTCAGCATCCGAGGCAAGGATATCCCATGCCCAAAGAAGATCGCACCTATATACTTCAGATGTCAACATTACATTACATCCCTCCACATCCCTGCCCACGCAGTTCGAGCAGAAACACAAAAACACAAAAACAAACGAACCCTAGCACCATACAATCCAATCATTCTACAACTACAACAACAACAAGCCTACCGGCCGTGCTTTTCCACCATCACAATCAAAAATTCTCCATTCTTGTACCACCATCTCCCACTTCCCCGCTTTGCTCCGTATAACACACTGCATATGCGCTACGTCAGGACATATAATTACATCTATATAAACCCCTCTCCCTCTCCGCCCCTTCTCCCTCTCTCCGCCCTTTTTTTCTCCAACTCTACTTACTCTCTCACCCACATCACGCAACCTTGATCTCTAAACCCACACCACTCGGTATCTCACCTCCAAATCCTCACGCCACAGAGCACAACCCCCCCCCCGAAAAAAAGTAAACACCCCCTTCCTCCCTCTCCATAGCCCAGACTAACAAGATTCCTCAGACGCTCAAAAATGCATCTCACAATCCCCACCCTCACCACTCTCGTGACCCTCGCCACTCTTACAGCAGCTGGCCCCATTGGCTACGCCGGCTGTCAATCCGGCTGTGCCGTCGTTGCAAAGGCGTGTTTCGCAGCTGCGTTCACGCCTTGGGGCGTATTCACGACTGTGGGTTGTATGCCGGCGTATGGGGTCTGTCAGGCGACGTGTGCGGCTGTGCTTGTTGCGCCGACGCCTTAGGGATGGGATGGGATGGGATGGACTATACTGGGTTGAGTGAACATGGGGGAGGAAGGTGCGGACAGGAAGTTAAGGGAGGATGTTGACTTGAGAGCGGTACTGAGATAGGGATGTCCCATGGATCTATTGGGACTCGTGTTAAGTGTGCCATAACGAGACGATGCCGATAGAATCGTTGAAAATATAACTCAATGGCATGTCATGTCCCATTCCGTGCATCAAAGCTGAATACCCAAAAACCGCGGTGTCTTATTCAGCTTCCAGCCTCATTATACACCCGTCTGACTGTGGTCTTACGCAATATGTAGCTTCAATACTATTATCAATTATTTGTAAGTAAAAACTGATAAGTCAGCGAAGGACACTGTATCCTGAGTCAATCTTTTCCTGCACCCTCCACATATCAATTCTCAAACACTGCCTTGTATGCAACAGGGTCATGTCCCAGTAGCTCCAACTCAATCGGGCCCATCTTGTCTTCATACATGACTTTACCCTGGGCGGCCGTGTCTTTGCCCTGATACACCCATCTGATATGACCAGACGCAGGTGCCAGGCCGTTGGTCCGGCCATCAGTCGCTCCGTCGGTATGACCATTAGTATGGCTGCTTCCATTACTGGTTCCATTGCTGGCTCCATTCGTGCCATTCACGTTCGGGTCGATTGCAGGTTCGGTCTTCACTTCTCCATGATCTCGATTCTCATTGCGCAGCACCCATTCAGACAAACCAGCAGGAGCATATCTCCCCTTGTCCTCCCAGCCCTTCCCACCAAGATCGATACGCACTCTCACGGAGGCGTGCACGTACTCGTTCGTATTCTCCAGGGGCTCCTTGTATTTCGTACCCTTGAACGGATCTTCCCCATGGAAAATGTGGGGAGTGCGATTCTTTTTGCCTCCCAAACTGGTCGGAAACTTGCAGCTCTGGTAAATCTTGCCCAACGCCCACCCACGCTTCTCTTTCAGACCCTGAGATTGGACAAGGGCGTCGAATTGGTCGTTGGCACGGACTTGAGTTGAAATGTAGCCTGGTTTGAAATCGATCCATGGCGAAAGCTGGTCCATCATCCAGGCAAGGGTGATGTCTGCCATAGCTGTATCATCATAGGAACCCCCGACGTTTGAGTGCACACCGGGGAACCAGACTTGCTTCAGATTTGTGTTGTTTCCGGGAGGGTTGGACCACATTGTTGGAGCATAGGCGGCGCGTTGCTCATCGAGAGCGAGCGCATGGAAGGCATTATGGATATAGCTGTCGATACTAGTGTCGGTAAACTTGTATTCTTTCACAAAGTCAGGAAAGCCGACTTTCTGTAAGAGAGGAGTCGTAGGGATGCCAAGTGCACCGACCGTATCCCACACGCCGATTGCAGTGATATCGACTTCTTGCGTCAGTTTCCTCTGTCACAAGTCAGCTTCGAGAGTGGTCTGCGGACAATGTTGGAGGAGACTGACCTCAAGCAGCGCAGTTCGGTACGCGTCGATGTACTCTGCTCCTTGATCTGCCACGGCTTTGAGCTCAAAACCTGTGATAAACTTCATTGCAGATGGTTTATATCCTTTCACACCAGCATGCTCCCAATCGAGGAATATGTCATAAAAGTACGGCAGTGCCTCCTTCTCCAAGAGACCGAACCCCCCAATCAAGCCGGCGATGCTCCTTGCCGTGAATGCTCCTCGAGAGAAGCCCACGAGGAATATTTCATCGCCATCAGTGTAGTTATGGGCAAGGAAACTATAGGCTTCGCGGACGTTCTCGGAGAGACCAGCGCCAGTTGAACCACCAAGAACCTGCTCGCTCAACGCCATGCCCGTGCCAACACCGGCTTGATAGTAGACGATCTGCGGATGACCTTTCGAATCTTCTGCTAGAACGGCATGTCCGATTCTGGTAACATTTGACGGAACCTGTCGCTTCTCGCCCGCGTCACTGCTCTATGAGAAGTCAGCATGTAGCATACGATACGCATCTTCGAAGCCCATCACCATCCATGTTCCATCACAGCAAATAATCAATTTCTTGGGTTTCCGAATCTTTGAATGGCCCATGTTGATGGCTGAATCGGCTAGATTCGCCATTGTAGAAGACTCAGAGATATTTTCTACACTTTTCAAGAGCCAAGCATCCGTCAACTCTTTTCTTTCCCCTCAGGAAGAGGCTGCACAGATGTCTGATATGTAATTCCCTGCTTAAGGCTCGAGGTAATGCGATACAAGTGTTGCAATCTCACGATATCAATTGAATGCCTTCTTCCAGGCAACACTGACACACCGAGAGCGTCAGCACGAACAAATGGCCCCTCTATCCCGGATTCGCAGTCTTTAAAGCGGCCAGCAGCAGGGGAGGGACAAAGCCTATGCACGAGCTTGGGAACACACAAAGCTTGCGCCGTTCATACGCCACAAAAACTTTCGCCTAGCTTTTTCTTTTTCCTCAGCTGAATGTGCAATGTCGAGCACTACCCGATTGGGACTCGCGGCTGGTAATCCAAGTCAGCATCAGCATCGTACAGCGGTCTGTAATTACGGTGGAGGCGTCCTCTCCTTCAGCTGAAAGGCTCCCATGCTCTCTGCTTATACCTTTGTGGCCACTCACAGTAAGCTTCTGTCCTCGGACCCTACTGGGGTGACCTAAACGCCCGGTAGCCTTTCCCAGGTCTTGTAGGGACTGTGTTTAGATGTGTCTGTCCGATGGTACAGCGGGGTGCAGCTCGTGTATATGCACTGGCTGTTAAGCGAACCCGGGACTAGAAGTCTTTGTCTTGTTCTCTCTTTTGGTCTTTGCTTCAATCAGTAGTATGGGACTCGCCATTCAGAACTAGTCTGGTTCGATATTGCGGTCCAGTTTCCACTCAACTCGAAAGGCATTGGAGAGAAAGTGCGAGGACGATACCAGCGAGAGCTTCATGCAAGGCTGCAGGCGTAATTCACCTGGTACCGTGGCGCTCTCTGTGTCCGGTAGAGAAGCAGCCACGACTTGGCTGCACAACCTCATCGACGCCATCGACTACGGATCTGCATTGGTGCAACCTTCTTCGTTGGGCAGTATGCGAACATGCGATCGCTGATAAACAAAGGAGTGAAAACAATGATGAGTTGTGAACAAAGGGCATGTTGACATTTAGCTTGCAGACTACCACTTGCCGAGCAGGGTCGGCTCGCTAGGGTACCATACTCCATCGCTGGTAGATTGCTACATATCACCCTACAGGCGGAATATCTTCCATACTTGTTACTCTTCCTAATAAGTGCCTCTGTCATTGGCTATATAGGATGAATGCACGCCCACCTGTATTTAATCTTCACTTGGACTGAGCAGGCTTATTCTAGAGCGATGTATAGCTCATCTCTTCATAATACACCGGTAGATTTGTGACTGCCTTCGTAGAGCCTTAGTATTGAACCTCCAGCCAGTATATATGTCCTCGGTCCAACAGCTAATAGAGTGTACTTCATGAACCCGTATACAAGATCATAGTGTACATACTGGGTAGGACGGAAGTTCCGTGTCTTACTCCGCACATCATCGGCTATTCCGACCATCAAACCAGAACATCTTGATATATAGCAATGCCTATGTCTGATTATATTATTATGCCACCGTTTCCCTAGACACGGCTTCCATCACCATGCACATCCTGGGCCTTGCAAACGGCACCCCGGCTGGAAACTCTGAGATACTCCTTAAGGCAGCCCTGTCTGCCGCAACCCAAGCCAGAGAGTCCATCTCGGCATCATGGATCCATCTGCCCTCTCTATCCATTCCTCTTGACGGCGGGCCCCTTCCCGGCGCTCAGGACATATCTCTCGGCGCCAATGCCTCGCTCAAATCATCCACAACCACCAAAGACCCCGCAGCGGATGATCGTCGAGCACTCCTCGACGCAATCCTCGATGCTGACGCCCTGATCTTCTCCACCCCGGTCTACAGCCACACCCCGCGCGGATCATTGAAAGCCATATTCGACACCATTGTAGGTCCATCCACAGATGCTGTATTCGCCGCCCGCTGTCTTGAACGACAGAAAGCCGGCGATCCGCGATTCGAAGACGTGCAAATTGACGGGAGACTATTCAAGCCGCGCGTGGTAGGCTTTATATGCTCAGCAGGCTCAACGACGCCAGACCAAGTCAGCCTAGCGCTGCCAACGCTGCATTTGTGTGTGTATAGCTTCCATGCCAAGGTTGTTGATCAGATGGTTGTGTATGGAGTAGGAGCGCCAGGATTTGTTGTTGCGAAGGTTGGGGGTGCTGAGCTATGTAGGGCGGAAGAGCTGGGGCGTAACATCGCGAGCGAGATTGGGAAAGGGTTCGACGAGGCGAGATATCTGGGGCCGAAAAGTCGAGGGGCATGTCTGTATTGCCATTTGAGTACGATTGAGGTGCTGGATACAGGGGAGAATGAGATTATGTGCGCGACATGTGGAGCGCAGGGGAAGTTGGCCGTTGGAATAGATGGAGTGATTGGACCGATGTGGAAGGAGGATGACCAGGTGTCTTGTATCACGAGAGACGGGAAGCTTCATCACTTGGACGATATCGAGGCTGGTGCAAGTCTCATCAAGCCGCAGCTTGGAGATTCGACGTTTAGAGACGAGGTGCGAAGATGGGTTGATGTTGACTTTCCTGTCGTGGGAGTTCCAAGTCAACAAAGAAGGACGGAAAGTGTAGCGTGAGGACCTGTAGCTAGTACATCAGTCGTTTTTGGTTTTCATGTCATGTTGTTGGACTCATGCATGCGGTGCATGAACATCCATCATGTCCAATGTGTCTGGCACGTAGACCCGAATGCCTGGAGATGTCTGCTATCCACCAGCAATTACAGGCCCACCGCCAATCTTGCCGCTCAAGTTTTCATAGTAAGTGCCGTCCATACCAGCGATTTCTCTCGCCTCTCGGTTAAACGGCCCTTTGAGTGCGCCCTTGAAGTGCTCCATCACATTACTTCTGAAAACCTTCACCGGATCCGTCCCCTCCTGCTCACAGATCCAACTAAGCCAGCGGTGGCCAGTTGTCACATGCGTAATCTCATCATTATGAATGACGTCCAAAACTTCCACGCTCTCCGGATCACCACCTTTTCGAAACTTCTCGATCGTCAATGGATTAATATCAAGGCCTCGTGCCTCGTGCACCAAAGCGATAATACTGATCCTCGCTCGAAGATCATGTGCCGTTGCCGTTGCGCTCTCCCACAACCCGTGATGCACCGGCAACGCACCGAACGAGCTGCCCATTTCCTCCAACCTAGCTCGCAGCAACGAGAAGTGCTTGGCCTCGTCGTTTGCCACCTTCAACCAGTCATAGTAGAACGTCCTTGGTAGCGCTTGCGGAGTAGTGGCCTCAGTCTGGAAGCTGGCAAAGCGCACGCAGATGTCGAGCGCAAGATCGATCGCCCATTGCTCAATGTTCGCAAGCGCGTGCAGTATCGTTATGCGGCTCTTGAGCGTACCGCCTTTGCCGGGGTTGGGCATCTCCCAGGGCTTGACGGCGGTGAGATTGGCGCGTGGAGGCTCGGATGGGGGTGTTATGCCTGCGCCAAGAGGCATGGGGTGCGGCGTCGATTCGCGAGTTGCAAAGTTGGAGAAAAGTGTCGTAGTGAGTTCAATCTTGCGTTCTGGGTCGGGTGTATTGAGGATGTGGACGCACCAGTCGCATAATGTGGCATCGGATCCATGGTCTGAATGTGTTCCTGTTGATATTGATGGTAGTTGCTCTGGTTTAGATCGAGGGCCATGTTTAAACTTGACTTGTTCGCTGACAGGAACAATGCTTGAGAGCGAGACATCTGTTGCATGATTGAAGTCTAGTGTAATCTCGTTGTCTTTTACGAAGACGGGGAAAGTGCATGCCTTTATGCCGTAGCTTGATTTCCCATTCTCGACATTAAAATCATAGGCGTGCCATGGGCATGAAGCTATGTATGAAGAGTCCTCAATGTCGATATGTGCTGACTGCATTGGTCCACCGGCGTGTGGGCATTCTGCTTCCATAGCATAATACGACCATCCACCGACAGAGGAAGAGATCTTGGACACTTTTCCATCCTTCTTGCCATCAGACGGTAGTGTTGGAAGACGAAACAAAACAAGTCTCTTGCCTGAAGATAGATTAATCACATAACGACTATGCGTTAGATTATAGTGGTTTCCTAAAGGCAAAAGGGGCATGGCACATGGCCTTGAAGTTGAGAGATGGCGTGTTGGTGGTGCTACGTGCTTATATATGTGGATCTGCGAAACGTCGCCAGCGTGCTTGCGTGAGAATCGTCAGATAGACCGGTACATGTGATGGCGGACTGGTGAGGAGATGAAGTAGAATTTATCAATCGTTCTGATGCCAATGCAAGAACAGTTTCTATAACTCTTTGAGGCGCTAGAAAATATTGTTATCCTCAGGCATCAGCTCATACGCTATACCTGATTGGGCCTAACTTGATGCTTAGTAGACTTGGGTAGAAAATGGACTTTTCATGTCTTATTTCGACTTCAGTGTTAACAAGTAGTACATTATGCAATGCCTGAGCCTTATTTCTCATGCCACGCTCATGCAACCTATCAATCGTCTTCTATTACGATCGAAGAGGACTTCGAGACCAAGATATAAATTGAACGTCATCAAGCATATATCAAGACAGACCGCAGCTGCCCAGGCCCAGGGTGCAAACACGTCGTCCACTTGTTGGACAATTTCATTCACAGCGGTCCTAGTGGACAGAATATGTGTCTTGTACTGGAGTTCATCGCCCACGGTGCTGCAACAACGCTTCCCGAATACGCAGCTTCCGAACCGTATTAACGCTACATCGTCAAACAGATATTCGACTATCTTGACTGGTTGTATGGTTCCTGTGGCATCAGCAAACACTACGACCCAGATCAAACATGACTAGCCTGATGAAATGCAGATATCAAGCCTGATAAAACTTCCATCGAACTTTGAGATGTGATGAAGCTGTTCATACGTATATCACACAGTCCGATCAACAGGGTGGTGTCGGCAAAAGACTACGAGAGCTTTTGGGTTTTTCATCCAGTGATGTTGATGCACGAACATCAAGACAGCCATGGCTTATTGCCTATTTTTATGAATTGATAGCAAGATGAAGACTTGCTTGATCTCGTGCGATAGAATTCCCTTTCACACGTGGTTCGATAGTATGTCCTTCTGCTAATATTTGACGTGATGAGAACGAAAGTCCTCTTAGACCATACGTATCTGATACACAGTCCCTCGAAACGTGCGTGACTGTTGTACCTGCAATTGCCGTATGGAAAGTGCTCAATACCCTTTCGGACTAGCGTGACCCAGACGACTGACGCACTGCTCCGCGTCTCTCCATTCACCGGCACGTCGCTCTATACTGGAATGTTGACATCAAATTATCCTCTCTTGTCCAGCAATTACCCCCCGAGTTCGACCTGTTCAAGATATCCTCGTGCAGCTAAACTCCCAGTTGCTCTCGTCAGAGTCTGCGCGGCCTCGCAGGCAACCATGCGCCGTCCTCAAACACATTCGACTTAGGCGGCTCACACGTCCACTTTGATACAGCAAAGGGCACAACAGACATTGCTTTCTCCAACGGTGCTGCCCTCATTCATACTCCAGCCGCCGCCTCCGTACGCCGAGCTCATAGCGCGGCTCTATGGAGAGGATGAACACTGCTGCTGTCGCGAGACCGCCCCAAACTCTCCGACAGCGACGCGAGTCGCAACGACCATCACAACTGAAGACTGCCCGCAACGGAGGCTTGGAGAATGGCGATACATCGAGTAGAGCTGAAGCCACTTCGGTGCCTTACGGTATCGTGTCTTGCCCACGCGCTCACATGAAATCTCTATACTCACAGTGTTGCAGTCAAGGACGACCAATATATCCTCCGGAAGTTCCAAGGCTTGCCTCCTTCCCTCGTCGTCCATCTCTATCCTTCATACTTTCGCATCGATCCAATTCCTGAATCTTTCGGCTATGATTCGCCTATGAAGGGCTTCCTGCAGCACATCCGAGATCACACATTACCACATGACATATTAGAGGAGATATATGAATTGAACGCTCCGTTCTACGAAGGTAAGAACAAAATTGCGCGCGACGACTGCTCGCTGGCTAATATACTAACAGGTTGTCTGATCGTCCAAATCCAAAATCACAAGTCTATCAGCAACAGCCGACCCAAGAAAGGCCCAGCTAAGACTGAGAGTGATGGCGTCAAGACATTCTCCCTTCATAACAGAACCCAGTTCACGACTCCCTCTCCCTTTGTTCCCTTTGACAGTAAGCCTAATGCGCCGCAGCAGAACAATGTGAATGGTTCGAATTCCGAGGGTGCTGGCAGTGAAAATGCTGCGGAGAAGGAGAAGGAGAAGGAGAAAGAGAGGGAAAGCATGCCAGCTCCGCAGACAGCACAGCAAAAGGCAGCAAGTAACGAGCCCAAGATCTACACAGTCGTCCTGCATCCAACTGGGCTTTCCAAGCAAGAGGACATGCGCTTGCGAATGACGACCCATGTGTTTGATTCGAGCACCCTTCGCCGACAGCAAAATGGGAACCGTACTGCTGCGACGCCAACTATGGCGCAACCCCCGACACCGCTGACAGCCTTCTCTCCTACACTGTCCCAAGGCAAGGGATCCAACAAAGGCAGCCGTCCTCCGAAGACTCAAGCAGAAGTGTATGCGTACGAAGCAGAAGTCATCCTGCGGACGTCTGAACAGTTATATCTTGAGCCGACCGCAACTTTTGAAGAGTCTCAACAACTAATAGACGACTTTACACACCCTAATTACAAGCATCCACCGCCTCCTCCCCGAAAGCGAAAGAGAACTGTTGCCGAACTGGCGGCGGACGATGCTGCGGCAGCCGCTCAGCAACGTTATATGCTCATTGGAGACGACCGCAAGGCAACGACTACTACTGTGGCTACAGACGACGACGACGAAGTTCAACTTGGCGTGCGTGGAGGCAGCGCTGCCTTTGCCCCGCAGTTCTCAAGGTTCAAGACGCTCGAGAATATCAGAGCCGCCCATGAAGAGAACGAGAGGAGAAAGAAAGAGGAGGAGGCCAGAGCAGCCCAGACTCGCAAAGAACAACAGGAGCAGAAGAAGATTGCAGACGCAGCGGAACAACAACAGCGTAATGAACAGTTGGCACGTCAACAACAACAAGCTCAATTGCAAGCACAGCAGCAACAGGCACAACAGGCGCAAGCACAACGAGAGCAACAACAACAGCAACAGCAGCAGCAACAGCAACAACAGCAGCAGCAGCAACAACAACAACAGCAGCAGCAGCAGCAGCAGCAGCAACAGCAACAACATCAACAACAGCAACAACCACAACATCAACCACATCAACAACATCAACAACAACAACAGCAGCAACAACAACAACAACAACAGCAGCAACAGCGAGGGCAGGCACAACAAGAAGCACAAGCAGTCCGCCAAGCTCAAGCCCGTGCTGCGCATCATCTCCACGCTCAACGTCAACAAGCAGCATCACCTCAAAACCCCCAGGCACAAGCCATGTCTCACGCCGCGCAACTCGCAAACCAGTCACAGCAGCAATTCAATGGGTCTCAAGGTCAACAGGGTTCACCTATCGTGCGTCACCGTACCCCGTCGGCCTCTTCACCTAATCTTGCCTCTACCTCACACCCCATGGCCGCGCCCATGGCTGCCACAACTTCAAGTATGGGAGCTGGAAGTCCACAGAGACCGCCTTCAGCTGTTTCACATCACCCTGGTGCCACTCCTCAGATCGGCATGGTTCGGCAGGCAAGTCAGAACCAAGGGCCAAGTCGGAACGGTACGCCGCAATTGGTGCAAAACACGCCAAACATGAACGCTGCGGTGCCAGCGAATGGCGGCCGGATCATGACTCCACAGCCGGGCCGTGTAAATGCGCAGGGCAGTCCAATGGCCGGCGGACCGGTCATGATAAACCCACAATCGCAAGCTTTCGCACAGATGTCTCCCGAGCAGCAGCAGCAGCATATGATGATGCTCCAGCAACAGCAGCGTCGCCAGGTAGCAGCCCGCCAGGCCGCGATGGGTAACATGGCAGGATCTACGCAAGCCCAGTATATGGCAATGCGGCAGAGGCTCGGCCAGCTCCAGCTCCAAGCGCAACAACAGCCCGAGAATCAGGGCATCATGCTAGCAATTCAACAAGTCCAAAACCAGATGAGAGTGATACAGCAGCAGCATAATCAACAACAACAACAGCAACAGCAGCAGCAGCAGCAGCAGCAACAGGGGCAGCCACAGATGTCACACTCTCCCAATCCCGGTCAGATGAATGGTGGCGTGCAAATGCGTCCACAGAACTCTCAAAACCCAACGATGATGAATCTAGCCCTGCAACAAAACGGCAATCCTGTGACTGCCCAGCAGCTGCAAGACTTCAAGATAAGAATGCAAACACAATATCCTGACGGCAACTATCCCCCACAGATTGCCAACAACCTCAACCAAGCTGACCAGCAACTTCGGATCATGGCGAACAACCGTGCCCGCATGGTCTCGGCCCAGAACCAAGGCATGCAGCCAGGCATGGGTCAGCAGGGCATGCAGAACCTCAACGCCATGCCGAACATGAACGGCATGAACGGGGGAATGAACATGAACAATATGACTGGCATGAACAACAACATGACCGGCATGAACGGCATGGTCGGCATGCCCAGCCAACAGGGCGGCAACATGAACGCGCAGAACAACAACACGCACATGACAACGTACGCGCGCATGCTCCACCAGTCTCAGGAGAACCAGGTGCGCCAACGCATGATGATGGCCCATCAGCAGCAGCAACAGCAGCAGCGCCAGCAACAGGGTCTCGGGCCTACTAACATGCAGAACGGCGGCAGCATGCAGGGCATGGGCGGTAGCGGTGGTAGTGGTGGTGGTGGTGGCGGCGGCGGCGGCGTCGTCAACATGGGCGGTATGGGTGCTCAGATGCAGATGGCCCCGGGCCAAATGAATCCCCAGCAGATGCAGCAGGCCATGTTGCAGATGCGTATGCAGCAGCAACAGCAACAACAACAACAGCAGCAGCAGCAGCAGCAGCAGCATCAAAACAACCAAGGCGGTCAAAACGGCATGGGATGATCCGGAGGGGATTGATTGATTGCATGCATGCATGCATACATACATGCGTGAGTTGGCATGATACATGCGCTGCGCCAAACAAAGTCATCATCATATACCCAGGCGTTTTTTTGTTTTTCTTTGGAGCGCTTTGCGTTGGGAATGAACCCTCTCTCTTGGACTGTGTGTGTGTGTGTATCATCACTATGGTATTTTCGGGCTGGGAATGAATGAGCTTCTTATTTGAAGAGCGGGTGGGCAGACATGGTCGCATGGACGCATTGTCAATGTGAGGGATGGGGAAGGGCACGGCATGGCATGGATGGATGGATGGATGGATGGATGGCACGGCGTGGTCTGCATGCGATAGGATGCGATGTGAGATGATGGTATCTATCCACACACATACACACGCGTCCGTCTATAGATAGCGAGCGGCTTAATACAATTGCTATACTTGATGCTGGCTCGGGCTTGATGCTGGGTCTTGGCTTGATGCTGGCTCTGACTGTGGCTCTGGCTCTGACTGTGACTCTTGACTCGTAATGTGTTTGTTTGTGTGTTCGTCGGGGTATTTGTCTGTGTGTATACGTATGTATGTGCGAACTATAACGACCGGACATTGAATTTTCCAAACTTTCAAAGCTTCATGGACGTAAGTAAGCAATGCAATGCCACTCAACGAAACGCGTCCACACGAGGAATCGCACGCGGTACATCAGCAGTAAAAGGCCAGTCAGACAGTCAATTCATCCACTCATCAATCCAACATCCATACACCGCATCAAGTACAGCATTGCCATAAACGTCATTGCAACCTTTTCCTTTCTCCATTCATCCATTCCTTCCACACATACATACATACATCCTACATGCCCTCCTGGCATACAACCCCCTACTACACCCCATCATCCTCACGACCATCCATCCACCCACCAACCACTCAATCACGCCCACCAACCCTCCTCTCGAAATCCTCCTCCATGCGCACACCCTCAACAACCTCAACCCTCTTCCCCAAACCCACCATATCGCTACTCTGCCACCACTTCGCACTACCAGTACCACCACCACCAGCAGCACTCTCCCTCCCCTTCCCTCTACCCTTACCCAAGCCAGTATCCGCGCCCCTACCACCACCAGCAACAACAGCATCACTCTCCTCATCATCATCATCCTCGGTATCAATCAGCCCGCCCAAGCCACCTCCCGCAGCACCGACAACAACGACAATCTGCGCGACCCAGTCACGCAGCAGGGCGACATTCTCGCCTGCGTCGCCGGCGAGGCTATCGGTCAGGTAGACGAGGTCGGGCGCGAGGTGTCTGAGCATGTGGACGAAGCCGGAGGGGGTGTTGAAGGGCATGACGCAGGAGTCTGAGTCGACGAGGCGGAGGGCCTGGGCGTGGATGTCTCGGAGGGCGGGGGTGCTGTCGGGGGGTTGGGTGGCGGAGAGGGCGGGGGTGGTGCCGGGAGTGTATTCGGGGCGGGGGTCGAGGGTGGTGAGGTCGTCGCCGGGGGTGTGGGCTGCTGGGGTGCTGATGGCGCTGTAGGAGGAGCCGAGGGAGGCGGCGTGGAGGGAGGAGCGGCGGGATTTGGGGGTGGCCGGCATGTAGATGAGGATGAGGAGGTTTGTGGAGCGAGCGGAGGGGGGGAGGTGGGAGAGGATGGACTGAGGGGGATTGTGGTTAGTGATTTGGATGATACGGAGGGACCGGAACGGAGGGGGACACGGAAGAGGGGGAAAAGGGAAAGGGGGTGTAAACATACAGCATTCTCAGAGAAATGATCTCCAGCATCATGCAACTCCTCCAACGCACTCTCCGCACTCAACACCACCGCAACAGTCTTCCTCTTCTTCCCCCCAGCACCAGCACCAGCACCAGCACCTCTCACACCCTCCGCAAACGCACCCGCATCCACCACACCCCCGGTCGCACTCCTCTGCACGCTCTCCTCACTCCACCGCGCATGATCCCCAAAATCATCCCTCCCCTCCTCCTCGCGAATACTCTGCAGCGCACCACCCACCATCGCCCCCGCCGCCGCCACCCCAGCAACCACATTCCTGCGCGCCAGATCAAACGCCTGCTGCGGCGACGGCGTGCGCCGAATCGTATGGCTCATACGCGCCATGAACCCTGCGTCGTCGGGCGGGTACGCGCCCGGCATGTCTGCACCATGTCTCGCATCCGTCTCGCCTCCAAGAACGCCTTGGCTCTGGGCGTATGTGGTGCTGTTGTTATCCTTATTCTTATTGCTGTTCCGTGCCCGGGCATCGGTATACGGATCACCGTAGCTGAGATCCGTGTTCGTGTCGTCGTCGCTGGAATCGTCGTTGTTGCGCGCGCTCCAGACCCAGGCTGCGAGGCCGCCGGCGGCGAGCGTGGCGGTGATGAGGAGCGGGACCCAGTAGCCGAGGGTTGTGCGCCGCGTGGGCGGCTGGTTGCGACGGCGGCGGTCGTAGCGGTCGTAGGAGAAGGACATTACTTTTCTTTTTTCTTGGTTGTTTGTTTCGGGTCGGGTGTGTGTGTACGTGTGTGTTGTCAGGGCGTGTTATCGGCTTTTACATGTTCGGGTGAGCGAGTCGTGCGCGAGTAGTGAGAAGGGCAAAGGATCGGGGGGGTTCTGATGATTTGTTTGTTTGTTTGTTTGTTCGTGTGATGGACTGCCGCTGTTTGGATCTGGTATTGAAGTTGGAGAACTCGCGGTGGCTGGGAGAGCGGATGGAGGAGTGAGCGGAGGAGAGAGTGAAGTGAAGCTAGCGGTGTTGATGTTTTGGTGGCTCGTGCGTGCGGCGGCCGAGGGAACGGGAAAAGGGTAAATCCACGTGTGGCTGGGGAGTCGACAGCCGACGACGACGACGACGACGATCACGTTCACGCCGGCACGACAGAGTCAGAACCGAATTGATGGTGGAGCATTCTGATGATAACATATACAAAGCTCGTAATAACTGCAGTATGTCTGCCCTTCACCCTCGCAGACAAGACATCCCCAAGCCCCAGCCTGCCCACCCATCAACCCCTATCATGCACTCCATAACCACATATCCGAACACCTCACCCCCCAGACCACAAGACCACAAGTCCGCAAGACCCCAAGACAACAAGACAACAAGACAATCTACCCCGTCTGCCTCGGCGACAACACCCCCTCCAACACCCCCTCAGCACCACCACCACCACCAACAACCTCCATCTCCTCCCTACAAGCCTTAACCTCCCACTCCTCCGGACGCTCATCAACCCCATCCAACGCCTCACTACCCCCCCTACTCCGCGGCCCCTCCAGCATCTTCGCAAAGATAGACGGCTTCCTAGCCCCGCCGCGCTTAACATTAAGCCGCGATAACGACGACGGCGGCGGCGGCGGCGCAAACACAGAGCCACGCATCATCATACCCCCTGGCCTGCCCGCCTCCTTCTCCTTCTCCTTCTCCGCCGTCCGATCCGTCGAGCCAAGCTTCCGCCCGACGAAACCGCGACTCTGACGACTGACGCCGCTCTCGCCAGACGTGCCGGTAGCAACGGACTGAGTCGACCCGGTAGCAGACGTCGTCTGAGATCCGAACTTGCCCTTCTTGTTCTTCTTCTGCTTCCCGGCCAGTGCGGGCGAGATCGCAGGCGTGGGAATGGAGAGCGTGAAGCCGGGCAGATTAGCCGTCAACTTCGCCCTAAACCTACCTGCTCCGGCCTCAAGCTTATGCTGTCGGGGCGTCGGGAGACCATCGTCGTCAGGCTCAGGGAAGAAAGACGGAGCGGGCTCGCTGCCCTCCTTTCTCTCCAGAAGATCCAGGAGGGGCTTGCCGGCATCGTGCTCGAGAGACTCGGCAGCCATACCCGGCGCGGACGACGCAGGCGGCGCAACAGACTCGTCCGAGAAGACCGCTTTGACATGCTCCGGCCCTTGCACACCACGCTTCTGCCGCAAGCGCTTATACTCGAGGTAATCATCCACCTCGTCCGCGAGCGGATGCCGCAGCACCTCATCCATATCCACCTCCTCATTCGGCTCGCGCTGGAACGTCACCTCGAAAACCAACACCGGCTCACCGTCATCCACCATCCCACCACCACCACCCCCCGTCCTCCGCACCGGCTTAATCGACCACCCGATAACACGATGCCTAGACGAACGCCATCAGCAAACCCCTAACTACAAAAACCAAGCACTGCCTACAATCCATCATACCGAATCCCGACCTTGGGCGCCCACAGCGAATTCAGCGCATGCGAGCGCAACACGCGCACCGGCCACCGCGCCTTGGAATCCGCGCCCGTGAGCCGGAACCGGCCGCGATCGCGCGCGCCGCATCGGTAGGTAAATGTATGCGGCGACGAGCCCTCGACCTCCGAGTCGTCCTTGAGCACGACGGCGTAGGCGCCGTGCTCGTCGAAGCAGACGCCGCCGTCCGTGGTCTCGATGTCGATGATGCCGGCGTGGCAGGCGAACATGCCGTTGATCCACCACCTTTGCTCGGTCGGTCAGCTTCTTGTCCTGGCCTGGCCTGTACAGGGCCACGACGACGATGATAAGGACGACGATGACTCACGACCCCGGCACAAAGCCCAACCCGCCATGCTTCTTCGAGCGCGCAGGCAACAGCCGCTCCGGACACGAAAAGCTCCACAGCTTCAGCAGGCCCTGTCTCGTATATCAGCCCCCTGTTTTCGCCCTCCCCTTTTCCTCTTTCTCCCCATCCCCTCCCCCCTCCCCTAAAAGTAAAGTAAAAAAAAGAAAAAGACTCACAGCCCTCGCCAAATCCCCCGTCCCCGCAACCCCAACCAACCTCCCCCCAACCCCAAACAAAAACGGCCTCAACGCATCCAGCCTCCCGAACCGCGCCTCCCAAACCCCCACAAGCCCATCACATTCATCCGCCAACTTGCCCGGCCAGCGCGTCGCCTTGCCTGCGATTTCCATGACGGCGAAGTGCAGGCGTGAGGAGCGGAGGGTTGAGGCTGTTATTTCGGCTGTTGGTGCTGTTACTCCGCCTACTGTTCCAGCTCCGCCGCCTGCGGTTGTAGTTGTAGGCAAGCAGGACCCATCAGCACGCACCCGCACAAACAAGTCGTGTAGTGTGAGGACGTCGTCCGGGTGGAGTACGTCGGGCCCCTCGCGCGCGACGAGCGGGTCGAGGTCGTTGCGGATCCAGGAGGCGACGAGGCGGAGGTGGTGTTTTGAGAGGGGGATGGGGGAGAGGGCGGAGAGGGAGGGGGGCAGGGTTGGGGGGCGGGGGTTGTGGCGGGTGTTGGTTGTGGTGCTGGATGTGAGAGGGAGAGGGGGGCGTTTGTGAGGGTGGGTTGTTGTCCAGGGCATTGTTTTGGAGTGTGTTTTGTGGTTTGTGGTTGGTGTGGGATGGTTGGGGAGAGGGTGTGGTGGGTTGTTGGATCTGAGGATGGAGTGTTTGTGTTTGTCCTGTTTTGTTATTGCCGACGTATTCACTCTCGCCTTGACGCTACCTGCCTGCCTACCTTCTTACCCATCACTCCCTTCCCACCCACGACTTCCTCCGTACGAAGCCCGCATATAAGCAAGTTGGTCAGTAAGTAGCCAGTCGCGAGACAAGTACAGGTAGAAGACCAGAGCAGTAGCAGAGGAGTGTCAAGGGGAAAGCGCCATCCATCAAGCACCATCCATCAAGCGCCACCCATCGAGAACCCCTATAGGATACAGATATGGTCAACGAGCAATGACGATAGAATAATAATAATAGAATCATTAGGCCGAGACGGAATAATCCCCCCCCCCCCGTATATCAACGCGAATCGAGTACATATATATACGTAGAAAAGCACCACCCATCAACACACACAAACCAACGACTAATCAGTACCGCACAAACTTGACCCGTCCCCGTATACCCACCGGCAAATCATCCACATCCACCAGGCCCAGCGAGACGGCGTCGCCCCAGAAGAACAGGGCGCGGTCGTGTGCGTAGGCGAGGTAGTCGAATTCCTCCTCTTCTTCTTCTTCTTCTTCTTCTTCTTCTTCTGCTTCGTCGTCTTCCCCTTTTTCGTCTCCGTCCACCTCTACGTCCTGTACGTCTCCTTGCTTTCCCTGTTCTCCGCCATCACGCCCACGCTCATTCCCATCCAGCGTCGCCGTGTCTCTCTCACCACCACCACCACCACCATCCACACCAGCCACACTCTTCCCTTCCCTCTGCCCCTCCGGCAACCCCGGCACCTTGGCCTGCACCACACCCCACGCAACCCACTGCGCCGAGTTCGCAAGGCGCCACACGCGCGTCTCGGCCATCAGCCGCTGCACCTCCTCCTCGGTGCGCGCCTCCATTTCGGCGTCTTCCTTGGCGACGGTATCCTTGCTGGTCATGTCCTTGAAGGTGCGGGAATCAGGGCTCTGCGCGGGCAGGGAAGGAGGAGCGCGGGAGTCGAGCATAAAGGCTGATATGATACTGCTAGCCGACGACTGGGTGTGCGGCACAGCACCATTGGCACCAGCAGACGCAGACGCAGACGGATACGACGACGAACGGGCAGCAAGCAGGGGCGTAGGCGGCGTGCTGACGCTCGAAAAGGCCGGGCGGTGCAGGACGTACGCGCGGATAAAGCGGTGCTGCTCGGGCGGAGAGGGGTAAGCGGCCGTGTTGACGGCATGTGCGGCGTCCGGGTCGTGGTAGTTGTAGCACCACTCGGTGAAGTGGTTTGCAAACTCGAGCCCGGGCAGGTTTGCGTTTGCGTATTCAAAGTCGATGACGACGAGTTGTTTGTGGACGTTTGCGGGGAGGAGGAGCGGGGACTCGCCCGAGGGGGTCATGCGGAGGATGTTGCCGTATTGTGTCTGTTGGGAGGCATGTTAGTTGTCTGGTTTACGGATCCTGCAAATTCATCTTATGACGACCTACATCGTTGTGGGCAAAGACCAGCCGTTGCTTGAGCTTCTCCGCGCCCCCGTACTGCTCGTCCAGCCAGGTCCGATACTTGTCCACCGTCCGTCGGAATGTCGCCCACGGCACACCACAGACGTAGCCGCGTGTCTTCCAGGCCTCCCCCTTACTCGAGCCGCCGCCCACGCCATCTGCCCTCTCAACAGCAGCAACAGCATCGACCTGGCCGTCCAGCCAGGTCACGACCTGCTCGCATCGGTCCACCCACTTGTCCCAATTCCTCCATACAAACGGCCCGTCCTCGCGCTCCTGGGGCAGCAGATCAATCCCCTCGTGCAGCTCACGCATCCGCTTCGCAATCTGTCTGGACGTCTCCGGGATGCGCAGGTCACGCGGCGTGAGCGGCTCAGCATGGAGGAACTCCTCGAAGCGGCCGTTGATGAACGTGCCCAGCAGACGGGGCCCGATGCGTTTGCGCGCGAGACGGCGGAGGATCTGCAGCTCAGACTCGCGGTCGATCAGATGCTCGACTTGCGGGCCGTAGATGCGGAGGAGGAGTTTGCTGGATTGATGTTCCGTTAGTGGCACGGGCGGGGATTGTGTACTGGCAACAAACTTACGGAGGGGGTTTCTGCGGCTGCGGCACGGGTACGCCGTCTTTGACATCAGCCGCCTCGGGTACCTGTGGCAGCTCTTTTGGTGGACTGACAACATACACGGCGTTTGTCAAGGCACCACTCAGCCGACACACCTCAATCTCGTCGGAAAGCTCGCGTGGCACCTTTCTCCAGCCCTTGAGTCGCAGGGTGTGGGTCAAGCGGACAATCTCGGACTTGAACGTCGTCCACGCCTGGCGATCGCGCTCTTTGGTGGTGGCAGTGCTGGCGCGTCGGGCGTCTGCAGCTGCAGGTTCGCTCTGACCGCCAGAGTAGGCCATCGTCTTGGAGTTGTCGAGAATGACGTCCGCGGTGGGCACATGGGGCTCGGAGTCGATAGTCTCTGTATCCGACGAGGCCAGATGAGATCTGCGGCGCGACTTGCTGAAGGAACCGGATCTTTTGTGAAGCACGCTGAGCGGGTTCCTGCGACTCTGGCCATGGCGCTGACTCTTCTCCGCCAGCATTGCCTTTTCCAGAATGGCCGTCAAGCTCTCGAGCGCGGCGGAGCCTTCGTCGGAGCTGTCAGAGTCGCGGCGCTCTCCTGACCCTGCTCGTTCACTTTCCCGCCGAACAGCATCTTCCGCCTCCACCACCGCCGCCAACTTCCGCGCCTTTCTCGCCGCCCTCCTCGCACTCCGCCGCTCCCTCTCCAGCCTCACCCAAGCACTGACCTGCGCAACAACACCATGCTCCCCCTGAGCGCCCGTCTGGCCACCGCTCTCGAGCCGGTCCGACGACGAGACATGAGGATACTCCTCGGTCGAGGGATTCAGAGCACCCCCAGCAGCTTTCTCCAGCGAAGGACGGGAGCCATGGCGACGTTTTCCAGCCAAGGAGGCGGGGAAAGGCCTGCTCTTAGAGGCGCCGTCGAGCTCGAGCGGGTCTTCAGTCGTGGTGGGATCCTTGTGGGCGCCGATAATTAAGGGCGAGATGCGCTCTGACTCGGCGATGGAGACGCCTAGGCGGAAGAGCATGTGGTGAGTATTGGGCGTGGTACATATGTATACATATATACAGACACACTTTGAAGAAAGAAACAGAGAAAGCAAAGAATGTACAGCACAGAACGGAAGTATCAAACTTACATTTCACAGCCTTGTTCCGCGGCGAGCACGAGGCATTATTACTGTTGCTGTTGTTCGTGTTGTTGATATCGTCGGCCATGATTGAACGAGGGGCTTCCGTGGGGAGGGGAATGTGACAGCAAACAGCGCCCGGTGAGAGTAAAGTGTAACGATGGATAGATATCCAAACCGGAACGAGAAGACACGCACAGAAAACAATCAAGTTTGTCCCTCGATACTAGCTACTGTATGATAAAGTAAGACGCGAGTTCTGTAGCAAGCAGTAAGTAAAAGAAGAGCAGTACAATGAAGTCCAGTCGGTCCAGTCCAGTCTTATCTATACCAGGCCATGTTAGCATTATCTGGACAACAAAGAAGCGGAATAACACCACAAGTCGGCATGACAGCTTACCTTTGCCTTGCCTGCGCAAATACACGTATTGTTTGATATAAACGCGTGGAGTTGATCAGTTGTTGGACAGTAAGAAAGAAGGGGAGGCGATGTCCGGACACTAATTATTCCTGCAGTAATAAGTTGGTAGCAAGGTGGGAGGAATGGGTGTGCAGGATTGGGTGCCTTAGGCATCCACGATTGGTGTCATACGTGTGTTGCATCCATGTGAAGATATTGTAGTACGGCGATACAGAAATACAGAAGATGTACATGTAATTATTCTACGAGGGCATTTGCTTTTCCCAGTTCATAATGTCGTGCCAGTCAGTCACCCGCAGAAACGCCATGCTCTATAACCCCCCCCCCCCAAACTGCCCGCCATCAAGACAATGGCAGTTCCCCGTCATTATATATGTATGTATACTACAGAGAGACGTGTTTTGTGTCCAGCATGTCAGGCATGTCAGGCATGTCACGCTAGCGCGTCGCCCATTCGACCGTCTCGAGCGCCAGCATGACGAGAACGAGTGTCGATGGCAGGATCCACACGACATAGCTCTGGAAGAGCAGCCTCGACATTGCGCCCATGTACACGTTGTTGATCTGGCAAATCTGGGCCAGCTGCAGCGCACTGGGTGCTCCGGTGAGGAGGAAACAGACAATGATGAAAATCTTGTCGTCCACGATGCTGACGGGTATATACTTGGCCGTCAGTGCCAGTAACGGAGCCATGACCAGTGTCGGCAACACCATGCGGCAGACAATGCTGGCAATCAAGATGTTCCGCTCGACCTTGGGATCCTCCATGCTATCCCGGTCCTCTTTGGGGAGGGTGTTGCGAGCCAGATTGGCTCCAAGAACTACAAGGATCAACGGAACGGCCACGCCGCCGCTCTGTCCAATGGCTCGAGTGACGGAATTCTCGACAAAGGTGCCCTTGTCAAAAAAGAGGTGTTGCAGCGGCGTGATGGAGGCAACGACGATAGCGGCCAACATGGCCCAGAGCGGTGGGTTCATAAACGACCACAGTCCCTTGACGAAAGCAGCAATGTAGCCATAGATGTGGGTCAGCAGACTTTGGACCGGTTGAGGCAGGCTGCTAAACACTGCGTGCGCACCTCTCGATACAGCCCGTGCTGCCGAGTCTTTGGACTCTGCTGCACTTCTCTTGATCTGTGCCCACTTCCCTCTGATGCCTCCAAACGACTCGTCGTCTGATTCGTCTGCAGGTCGGGGGAAAGACGTAATGTGGCCGGTAGAGCGATGCCTGGCGTGTTCGCCCCGGCCAGCCATGTTGCCTGGGCCCTTTGCAACGACGTTTCCATTCGCAGGCGTAGGCACGACGTCATGCGCATTGTAAGCACTGGACGCAGAGCTAGATGTCGAAGTCGAAGTCGAAGTCGAAGAGTCGTACTGGCCGACTTTGCGAGGCGTAGCCGTGCCAGACTCGTAGTCGGAGTGGAAAGACTCGCCCAAAGGCGGACAGTCGTCTTCCTCCTCGACGTCGATAAGATTGCCATACGAGTCCGAGTAGGCAGCACCCTCAATCCTGGCATACTCTCCTTGATCCTCGTCGGGGTATTCACTTTCAGGCTTCAACAGGACGTTGTAGCCCCATGACCAGCGGAGGAGCTGACCGAGTTGTTGAAATATCAAGAGGTAGAGAATCCCGCGCGCCGCAACCTCGTCATCGTTGTCACCGGGTACTTTGTCCCAATGCAGTCCTTGCAATGTCTTGGATAGGGATATTACGAGCGAGATGGGTAGCGAATTCGAGTTTCCAAAGACCTGGTATGTGCGTTAGAGACGGTGTAAGTAAGTAGCAGAGTGATGGGAAGCTTACTGCCATGGCTATGACGAAATTCTGGGCACGGATCTTGAAGCCAAACAGCCTGGAGACTATGCGTGCACAGACGTATGAGATGAAGGTTTGGACTAGAAAGATGAGAGGAATGATGGCCAGGTCGACCAGCTTGTCTGCGGTGAGCTGTGAGGCTAGTTTGTGGAAGACTGGGTCTGGTTAGAGTGCTGAATACTAGATGTCTACTCCCATGGACACAGACTTACTCAGACATGGAGTGAAGAGCTGTACGTTTAGATTCGCGACGAATTTCTGTGCTTCAGCGTCGAACATGCCCTGTCGAGCAATAATGTAGCCAGGCAGACTGACGCAGACAACCTCAAGCACAGCCTCGAAGACCAGGAGAGTGAGATGGCCGAGGTCAGGATGTTGCGAATGGAGCGGGAGCTTGTTCTTGAAGGCTTCCAGCATTCCAGACGCATCGACCATGGAGACAAAGTCCGGCGAGGACTCGATGGAGTTGAGACGGTATGAACGGGGAGCGAGAGGCATGATGGGAGGTAGGTGTGTATATGAGTAGGTGGTAAGCGTTGAGGAGCAGCGAGGTGATATGAGGCCTGGAGGTAGTGAGGCGTCACGGCGTGAAGCTGATGATGGGAGTAGAGGCGAAAGCAGGAATTGAGGAAGACGAGAAAGGCGAATGATCAAGTCATGCTGGCGGTAGTACGAGGGCAGAGTGAGTGAAGGGTGTGAATCGGAGAAAGAGAGAGAGTGAGAGAGATATGTGAAGTGATTTGACCGGACAAAGAGAAGATAGCAAGTTGCAAGTTCGGGCGAGAGAGTTGGCAGCGAGGGTGCGACGGGTGTTTGATGGCGTGCTACATGCTGTGTTGTGCGCGGAATGGGATGTAACATACTGCGGACATCGGGTCTAGGCAAGGCTGGGCTGATGCAAATAGGGTGCTTGGCGAGGTGACTACTGCTGCAAGTCTCGCGGTAATTACTATTATTACTGCGCAGTGCTGGAAGATAAGAAGAGTGTACTATATAAATTATCATGAATGACATGAATAAAGCATACTCATGTCTTGTAGTGTGAGGAGTGTATCTAGACAGCGATATAAACGAGTGTGTTGTGTTGTCGTGTACTGTGTTGGATAGATAGAAGCGATGTATTATCGAGTGGAGGTTGTACGTAGGAGTGAGTGAGTGACCTGCTGGTTGATGCCTTGGTGCCTTGATGCCTAAGATTATTGATGCCTGAGGTGTCCAGCATCGTCACCAAACGGTCCAGATCTTTCTCGCGTGTGAGTCGGTTAAAGTTGCTCTTGCGACTGTGGCGAGTGCTGCTGCTACTGCTGTGGCGGTGCTGCAGAGGGGCATGTGTGGCTCACTCAAACTGTGGCTGCAACTGTGGCTCCAACTGTGGCTGCACACGTGTTTGTGTGATGAAGATGGCATTCCCTCCACTCTCTCACAATCGAATCGTCGATGATGCGGATGCTGATGGCGATGTTGATGGCGACGGCGATGGCGATGCGTGTCAGCTTGCATGCGAGACACATTCAAGTCGCATGAACCTGAACTGCAACACACTCGACCATTTTCCCCATGTTCGTCTACGAAGCCTGTTTTGGGTCACGTTCTTCTCATCTTTGAGTCGAGCGTATGAGCTCGTCGTCCCCTCTCCACCTGTGTGTGTTTTCCCCATCCTCCTTCATCCTCTTCACTCACACTCTCACATATACATACACGCACACACACACTCTCTCTCTCTCTCTCTCTCTTACTACTCACTCACTCCACTAATCTATACTCACAACTCCTGTCTACCGGCTCCACCACCAATCCCACTAACATTCCCCCGGCCTAGACGACACACTATTATCGCCCGATCCTCTCTTTCACCGGCTCTTCTGCCCCTCAGTCCCTCTCCTCGATTCCTCCCATTCCACTCGCGCCAGGTGTGTATAGCAGACCTCTACCAACACATTCTCTCCTCACTCACTAATTACGCTGCCAGTCTACAATACCCCGCTCAGCTCCTCCGCTAATTACCTTCCCACTCACTACGAGCCCGCATTCCACCGGTCCACCCTCCCTCCACAGACAGCCTCGTCGAGAAGGCCTTCGAAACACTATATTCATTACCACCCACACACTCTCTCCAACACCTTAGCACCTCCTCTGCCACCGTCAGCCGTGTCTGCTGCGTGAGCGGCAGCTTGCCTGGCCATAATGTCTGCAACTACTCCTGACTCTGACGTGCCATCGTCGCCGGCCGAGTCTTCCGCCAGCGAGACTACCTCTCCCTTCGTCGAGTCGCCTCTATCCCCCAATCCTGCCTCTCCCTTCGTGCCCGCCCCAGCAAGTCACCTCGATCGGCCTCATAGCGCTGGCCGCGCCGTCTCTGCTGCTGCCTCCATGACTCCTTCCAGTCACCCTCTGGGTGCCGTGAACGCCGCTAGACGGCCACCTCCAATCTCGAGTAGGGGCACCGGTCTACAGAACATGCCGCAAGACATCCTGGCACGCCTTGATGCTGTCCGCAATCGTACTGGTCCTGGACCGGCGAGAGGGCCAGGAACACCAGGCTCGTTAAACAGTCCTGCACTATCCTCTCCGGCTGCAGGCGGTCCCGGAGGTATTCCCACAAACTTCAAATTGCCAATCGGCATGTCAAGACCAACTGCGCCGAATTTCCAGTCGGCTCCAGCTGTACCGAACCTGCGATTAGGTGGCAACAAGCCTTCACTGGCGGATCGAAGAGGAGGACTCAAGCTTCCGGGCGGCCTGCCTGGCTCTGGTCCGCCTACTCCAGGCGGTGCTGGTCCCGTTGGAGGTAGAAAGGGACCTGGTCTGAAGTTGTCCCAGATGAATGGTGGCGAGCAGCCCGAACAGTCAGGAGGCCGCTCCAACGATCTCAAGAACTTTTCACAATTCATTGACGTCAAGTCTGGCAGTCTGAACTTCAAGGGCAAGGCTGTGCTGAACGCCGAGGGCGTCAAGTTTGCCGGTGGCACTCAGTTCAACATCTCGCTGGACGAGGTGGATACGCTGGATGAGCTGGGAAAGGGCAACTACGGCACAGTCTACAAGGTGCGACACAGCCGGCCAAAGTTTAGGAGACCGGGGCTTGGACTGGCAGGAAACAAGCCTCTTCCGACAGATCAACAGCCTGTCCCACCGTCCCCGACGACGACGACGACCAAGACCGGCGAGCTCGACTCGGGGGACAGTGCAGCTTCGGCAAAGGCCACAGCCGGCACTACTGGAGTCATAATGGCGATGAAGGAGCTTCGACTGGAACTGGACGATGCCAAGTTTGCCGCCATCATCATGGAATTGGACGTCCTGCATCGCTGCGTATCCCCGTACATTATCGACTTTTATGGCGCCTTCTTCCAAGAGGGTGCGGTGTACATCTGCATCGAGTTCATGGACGGTGGCTCAGTCGACAAGATTTACCATGACGGTGTGCCCGAGAATATATTACGGAAGATTGCGTACGCAGTGACGAAAGGACTGAAGTTTCTGAAAGAGGACCACAACATCATCCATCGAGACGTCAAGCCGACAAACATTCTGGTCAACACAAAAGGACACATCAAGATTTGCGACTTTGGTGTCAGCGGCAACCTGGTGGCGAGCATTGCAAGAACAAACATTGGCTGTCAGAGCTACATGGCGCCCGAGCGAATATCGTCGGGCGGCATTGCACAGGCAGGCGCAAACCCGGGCGGCGGCACGTACAGCGTGCAGAGCGACATTTGGAGTCTGGGCCTGACGATCATCGAGTGTGCTCTGGGCGCCTATCCCTATCCCCCTGAAACGTACAATAACATTTTTAGCCAACTCAGCGTAAGTCTTTTTTTCTCTCTCTCTCTCCCACTTGTGCCCGTGTGCCACCATCCATTCGTCTTTTTTTTGGTGTGAGCATGCTTATCAAACCCACCATCGCATCACAGGCCATTGTGGATGGGGAACCGCCAGACCTTCCTGCCGAAGGCTTCTCTGAAGCAGCAAAAAACTTTGTCAGGGGCTGTCTCAACAAGATCCCCAACCTACGACCCACCTACGCCATGCTCCTCCAGCACGCCTGGCTCGCCCCGCTCGACAAGCCTGCTACCATTACCGAAGCGGACGAGGAGGCAGAACATCTCGCCGAAGATGGCACCACCACCACCACCACCACCACCACCACCACCACCACCATGACCACCGCTCCTTCATCAGAGCCCACCGCCACAAATGACACCACTTCCGAGTCAAACGCCGCCGCAGATGACACCACCACCACCACCGCTCCCGAGTCAAACGCCGCCGTAGACGACACCACTCCCGAGTCAGACGCCGCCCCACATGCCGGCGCCATGGAAGATGCCGATGTGTTGGACAAGGAAGTCGCAGATTGGGTCAAGGAGTGCCTCGAACGCAAGAAGAATGGCACGCTAGGCAAGAATAACCCAAAGAGCAAGGAGAAGCCCGCCCTGCACGCGGCACCACTTGACGCGGTGGGCAGCCCTGACGAGGCGGTGGTGGTCAATGGCAGCGCAACGACGACAACAACAACGACGACGACGACGACGGACACTACTACCTGATGGATGTGCACACTATTATGGGCAGCTATATAATGATACCAAACCCACACATTTATTTTCCCTCAAAAACTTGACTGCCGCGGCGGCCTAGCTGCTGCTTGTAGTCCCATCATCATCCCATGTCCCATGTCCCATGTCTAGATATGATTAGATCATGTACGTCCGCCCCCCAACCCTCCCAGTCCTCAGCCACTGCACGGTTGTTGTCGGTCTCAATGGATTGGCTGGCCACGACGACGGACCTGACAACTCACGACGACGTGTGTCGAATTTCGCTCGACAGCCCCCTCCCCCCAACACCCAAAAACACACGGACCCTCTTTGTTTCATGTTTACAGCGGTCAATCCCTGCGCTGGACTGTACGAACAACGAATGCGAAGAAGAAGAAGAAGAAGAAGAAGAAGAAGAGAAAAGCACGAGCACGAGCACTACACTACAGTAGCACTAGCACAACCGGCACAACTAGCAATACTAGCAATACCAGCAATACTGTACTGTAATTACATAAACTACGTGGACACCACACCACACCACACCACACCACACCACACCACACCACCCCTGCCTCGACAGTCTAGACAACTCGGACAGTCTAGACCGCCTTCTTTGTTCTTCTCTCTGTTCTTCTCCTTCGGCGCCCCACCGTATATGCTCCACTCATCAAGACATCAAGGCACCATGCTACTCCATCCCATCAGGCATATCAAGCTCCATCCACCCCATGAGGCATCATCCATCAGTCAGGCATCACTCACTCACTCACTCCTTCACTCACCCCGACACTCCCTCACTCACTCACACCAACAATCCTGCCATCTAATGTAAGCCAGCACGCACGCAGAAAAAGACAGAGAAGAAAGATGAAAAAGAGGTAATTAGGTAACGCTGGTTGTGTTGTGTTGTGTTGTGTTGTGACATGTCATTTATGGCGGGCGCCTTTTAAACCATGTGTCGTGCGTGCGTGCGTGCGTGTACGTGCGTGCGAGCCATGTGTGCCATGCGTGTATATATATATATATATATATATAGATATGTGTATACACAGGTTGCATCTTCAGATCATGCACAAGCTTTTTTTCCATTTGCCGCGTTCAATAAAGAGCGCCTTAGGCAGGACAGGACAGTGAACAGGCTAATTACTACTAGCTACGGAATGGCTCGAAACGGCAGTACCGAGACCGTTCCGTAATCAAATCCTGACTCATGCTTTATACTTTACATGCACTTCAGAGTCTCAAAGTAAGGTCAAGTCACGACGACGACGACGACGACGACGACACAGAGAGTCCAGGACTCCAGGCCATCAGCATAAAACAAATTGATTCTCATCTACACTCGCCACCTTTCATCATGCGCCGACACGTCCAACCCACAGCATCCCAGCCTCAATTCTCCGGCGCATAGCCATACGAGTACGCCACCTCAAACTTCTTGCCGTCATACTCCACACTCTTCAGTGTTGCATTCTTGGCAGGCATCGCATTCGCATACAGCGCACAAAACGTTCCCACAGGCTTCGTATTCAGCACGGCAAGGAACGCGTTAAAGTACCCACACCGACGGTGCGCGTGAACACTCGACTTGGCAGACCCTCCGCCACTCCCAACCATCGTCAGTTCCTGGTTGCAGAGAATGGCACATTGCGCAGGCTCATATGGACCCACCACCAGCTGACTGCCGCTGATCGACTGGGATATATGAAACGACCCTGGCAGCGCAACCGCTGCTCCAAAACCGTCAATTCGGTTCGGCAGGATCTGCTTGCGGTTGTAGCCGTTTGATCCAGCTATCATAACCTCAAACTCTTCCATTGAACTGCCCCTATCCGTGACTGAACTCTCACCCAGAAACGACCCAAACAGTGCGCAGCGAAACGACGCTGATGATGCAGGGTTGGGGCAACGAGGTCCAGGGATGAAGATTGGGTCCCGCTGCACGAAGATGTTGAAGCCTCCACACGATGAGACTGCATCGCACTCTCGAGCGCACTCCATCGGATCGTACTTGTTTAGCTGCTTGCCAGAGATGAAGGTTGAAAGGTCTACCGACGCCTTTGCGTTTTCAAACACGCGGATGTAGCCTTGCGGCGTGTTCGCATCCTTGGCAATGATGGCATATTTATCAAAGTTCAAAAAGTCTCCAGCCGTATCGTGGAGCGGCAGAGGCGCAGTCCCAGCTGTCTGCGGCGAGCATGGACGACGCACCGGTCCGGGAGCTGTGATGTTGACAGTTGTGTTGAACGATTTCCCGTCAGAGTGGCCGAGAGGTACAACAGTGACGTTAATTTGGTGGCCAAATGTGGTTGTGCCGTTCACCAGAATTGATGGAATAGGCTTGCTGGTTCGGTTGCTGGCAGTGACTTGGTCTCGAGCCGGGCCAACAGTCGTCTTGGAGTGCACATGATTGATCGTGGTATTGCTGAACGTGGAGTTGCTAGGTCTAATAATAATACTGCTGGCATTGAAGCGAGGATTGTCAACAACAACGATGCCGGGCTTGATCTTTATGCCCGTTGTGGCATTGTGAACGACAATGCCACTAGGCTTGACATGGGATCCTTTGACAACGACGCCAGTAGACTTGGCACGACCGAGGGTGCTTGAGTTGCTTGCACGGCTTGGCCCGCTGGAGATCTGGCGTTCGAATGTCGAACAAGGCGTCTTCTGTCGAGACGTTTGCGTTGAATCTCCTTCCAGGAGACGCTGGCACAATGCCGTGACGCTGTCATCATTCGAGCGTGTTTTGCACCAACTGATAGAAAATGCCGCCATAACACAGGGGTGAGCTCCGTTGCAGTTTCTCAACCAGTCGAGTGTGTCTTCACATTCCGCTACGCTGTAAGGACCATTGCGACGTGGCGCTATGGGAGTGACTGGCTCGCCCTTGAAGGCTTGTGTACACTGACGTGCGAACTCATTGATAAAGTTACATTCCCTACTCGGAACTTGCGCTGGCAAGCAGCGGTCGAGCACAGAACTACCGTCTGCCCTCTCAGGATGCAGCATGAGCTCGCAGGCAACATGCTGGCCCTGAGTACGGCCTTCATCGTTGCACCACTTCGCCAGCCTGACACTGGGAATCGTGGTATTGACTGGAGCGTCCGAAGGAATGTTCTTTCCAGGGATACTTCCGCCATTGAGGACCGCTGCAGATGCGAGGCCAAGACCCAGAGCGATGACGGCAAGTGAGCCCATGATGGAGAACTGCTTCTAAAACTGAAGCGGTTTGGCGAACGCCTGTGCTGAATGAGGTAGATACTGCAGAAGCAGTAATCAAATGACGATTCGGACAGAAGATAAGAGTATGAACAGTAAGGCTGTTTCAAAAGAAGAATGCGGATGGGATATAATATGCAGCTGGAATGAATTTTGATTGCTGCTGTAAATGGGATGTTGATGATGTAGAAGAAGACGAACAGTGGGCGAGAGAGGTTGAGCTTTTGATGATGGGTTTGTTTACACATATGAACGGCAGGAGAGGTCTACGCCCGTCAAGAATCCTAAAGTCGGCAGGAAGAGCATATGGCCAGAGCAGGTGGAGCCTCGAACCAGCTGTCATATGGAAGGATGCTATTGCAATGTCAGTTTCTTGGGCAATAGTGCACTGCTCTACCTCGTCAGTTCCGGAACACAGCCGACGTCCAGCATGGTCAAAAGTCACCAAAGGTCCCTGAGCTTGAGTTCAGGATCGCCACGTCTATTCAGCAGCTAATGTACAGGTGATCTTACAAGCCTCGACAGGGGAGCATTCAGGGCGACTTCGATGAGCCGTTCACCAAGAGAATCGTGCTGCCTAGTTGACGACGAATGTCCTCCTTGTCAACATCATGGGTGTCGTCTACCTCGCCCCACATCTTTGTCTGCCACGAGACCTCCAGCGTTGATGCCTCTGCAGCTTCTTCAATACCAAACCGCTTTTGGCTGTCAACATCTTTCCGCAGATGACTAAACTCCTGGCTCCATTCAACCAGTAACCTCGCGCTGACGAGCAAGCTCTTCGTCGCCAGGACGGCGCGCTCGAGACCAGCGAGTTCGAATGCTGGAAGCCCACTCAGCCACCCTTGGATAACGCTCCTGGTGGCTTCCGGTTGGGGAAGCGGCATGATGCTGTTTGGATCCAGCGTCGGTTGGATCTCTACCCCTGGCCAGACGTGCGAGGTCAAATGGCTAATGATAGGCTTCGCGGTGCGGATCTGCAGCTGTCGTAAACTCTCCACGCCTCCCCTTTGCTCTAGACCAACAGCATCATGTATGTTCCTCTCGGGAGCCCAACATAGCAAAGTATCCGTACTCAAGTAGCGCATCAGCATCTGTACAAGGTCCCTGCGGAGGTTTGGACTCGCATCCTCATCAGCCTTCTTTAAGTCCATTGCTCGAGACGTCAGCGACGTCAGGGGTATGTAGTGATTCTTCAGCGCTTGCTGAGCGCTGACGAGCTGATCCCATTCCAGTGCAATTGCAATGGCGAGTGCATGTTTGTTGCTTGGGACTACGAGAATGTCTTTGGATGCCGTTCGGACTGGCCTTGTATCAAGCATCACTTGGTAGCCCTCTGTCGTGTTTGTCTTAGCGTGATATCGAGGCTGGATATGGCCCTACACATACCAGGCGTCTCTTTGACCGTCGAGTCTTTCCAGAATCTCTTTTGAAGAGCGGTTGCTGGCTTTGCAGGATTGGCACGGATAGCCTGGCCCCGGCGCAACAGCTCAGCTTGTTTCAGTTTACGCGCGACCCGGTCTTGAGCCTCAGAGACAGCTGGAGTGGGAGGTTCTGGAGGAGGACCGGTCGCTGGAGGATGTGCTATAGGCGTGGCATGTTGGGCGATAGTTGTGTGGATGCACCTGCGTGGCCTGGTGGTGCTCGCGCGCAACGAGACATGGCGAGCGGCGGCACGGAATGGCAGTGCCATGTCCATTGGTGATTGAAGAGATTACAATTGTGAGGGTCGGAAGGGTGAATTGTGAAGAGTGAAGCGTAAAGTGTGGAGTGTGAAGTGCGTGATGCCCATGTCAAGCTGGATGGATGGATCGAGCTTGGATGACCGTGCATGTCAGCGGTTACGTACTGTATTAAAAACCGTCCACTACATGATACATCCATGATAGAGCAGAGCACCCAACGACCCAACGCATGGACACACGCACGCATGGATGCATGGATACATGGAATAGAAGAACGAGAGATGAGACACAAAAAGACACAATAATAGGACCGAAGTCCAAACTGTCACCACCTGTGGAGCTGGGCGGGCACCTACTACAGGTACGTGCGTGGTGCGATATCACTACTGCACACGTCCTGCAGGAAGACGAGTGATCTCTCTCTCTCACTCACACACACTCTCTCTCTCTCGCACACACTCACTCACTCACTCTCCACTTCCCCAGTCGCCCGTCGCTTTCGCACTCAACTCGAGCCCTCGTACAGCCCTCCAGACGTTATTTCGGCTCGAGCTAATAATTATGTGACCACCGAAATGCTAGGTCCTACCACTGAACTGATGTACTCAGCCCTGACCGTACCTATTCGCTGTGCTGAGCTACATTCCACTGCCACCCTACTCCTCTACTGCAAAAAGATCTACTGATCCTCTTCGATCGGATCAGTCGTAGATCCTACATAAGACCCGCCACTCCTGCTCGTCGCTCAGAACAGAATAGCCCGCTGCTACAATTGTCGCATCTCATTTTCGGTCCGATTCGCTGTACCTACAGAACTTCTCCCCACTCCCAGCTCTGCCGACGCGGCGCGAATATACGCTCAAGAACCCCCCCCTTACGAATACGTCTTCCAAACTGGAGTACTGTTCATGAGCTTCAGTACCTTGTTGGGAACATCAATGCCATGAACAACACCTCGATGGTCGCTCGACCTGCCGCAGTACACCAGCAGAAGCCAATCCGATTCGTTACAAACAACGACGGCCCCTACGCAAAGAGACGAAGAATCAACTCAGCTTGCCTGACATGTCGGAGAAGGAAGACTCGCTGCTCTGGTACGTCGAGCCAGTCTACCCCGCAACATTCGTCGACTAACACAACCTGTAGGCGAGAAACCAGTCTGTGGGACCTGTATTCAAAACAAGCACGAGTGTGGAGGATATGGCAACGAGAACGATCAATTGACGTCTGGGAATAACGAGTCACGAGTGGACGACCAACGATTGCGGGTAAAGAGATCATACCAAGCAGTCCTCAACGAAGACCAGGAGTTGCACACTGCAACGACGATATCCAGAGAAGTAAGCAAGCCGGAGCATGCACCGTTACGGAAGACCATTTCTGGAGACTCCATACTGTCCAGCAGCAGTCCCGCTGCTGGTGGCGGCGAAAGGAGAACGCCTCCCGATTCAAACACACTCAGTCTCAGCACGAGGAATCGTATGCCATATTTTCGGTACTTCGGTCCCACCGCCATCATGCCCGGCTTCAAACAGATGGTTGTCAAAGTTCGTGGCAAGGCACAGGGCACAGGTGGAAGTAATTCAGGATGTATGCATGTCGAAAGCCCCGCGCGAATCCATCCACTAATATTCCCATAGATGATTCGCAGTCGGCAAAGGGCGCTGGACTGACCACTGGTGTTACTCCATCCTACCAAGGCGCCGAAGAAGCTACTCCTGTAGAGATACCGGTGTACGACACCTCTGCCATGGCTCCACCTCCACTGATCACCACTCTCTGTAAACTCTTCTTTAGTCACGTGGGATGTAACTTCCCCTTCTTACAAAAGGACAGGTTTATGCGAGATCTGGAAGAGAAGCAAGTCGATTCCATCCTAGTCGACGCCGTCTGTGGTGTGGCTGCGAGGTTCTCGACAGATCCCATGTTCACCGGCAAGCCCACCCAAGCGGACGATACCACCAGGCCAGATCATTCACCATCAGACCACGGCGCCGCCTTTTCCCAACGAGCAAAGTCTGCCATTGCAGATACCTTTGCTTGCCCTAGTGTGGCTGTTGTCCAAGCTGCTTTGCTTCTTGCGTATGATGAATTCGGTGCAAGCCGGGATAGCGGATTGTGGATGTACCTCGGCATCGCCATCCGCATGGCCCAAGACTTGGGTATGCAAACATTAGAGGGACTAAGGTACGAAGGCCGTACTGGGCCCAATCCGCAGAGCATCAAGCTTGCAGGCTCAAAAGATGGTCAGCACTCTCCGCGTCGAAGCACAAGCCCGGCTGCACTCTCGGGAGACAACGCGGCAGAACAAAAGGCTGTAGAACGAGAACGCATCGACACGTTCTGGACAGTCTTTTTTCTCGATCGTGTAATCTCTTCTGGAACAGGTCGGCCTGTCACGCTTCGTGATCGCGACATTGAGATATCGTTTCCGCCCTTGGACGAAGACGACGTTACCACTGGATGGCCTGCACCTTTCCCGGCCCTCATCAGAGTCATTCATCTGTATGGACGTGTGACGGATCTTCTCAACAGCATCCGAGATGTTTCTCATGTCACTCCGGACGTTTTGAAGAAGTTGAAGTCAATGGAGGTTCAGTTGACGGAGATCTACCAAGGGCTATCATCGAAGCTTCACTTTAACGCCATCAACTTCCAGCATTACGTCAAGGCAGGCCAAGGGACGAATTTCATTCTATTGCATTTATGGTTTCACACTCTGATCGTACTACTCCACCAGCCCACCCTTTTGAAGACGTTCGAGGGTGAAATTGAGCAAGTGCTGCCGAACAGCCGCGAGCTCTCCATGTCGTCAGCAAAGACGATTGCCGACATCCTAGCATTCGCTGAATTGATTGATTCCAAGACTGGAATGGGCAGCCCCTTTTCGAGTCAACCAATCTACATTGCAGCCTGCGCCTTTCTGAAAGAGATCTCTCTCCTCACCGTCTCTTCCAACCCGCAGTCGAGGCTTGGTACACCGCCACCCATCATGTCTTCCGATAGCTCGTTAACATCTCCCTCTACCCTGCAAGAGTCGCCATCGACAGGTGTGAGGTTTGCGAAAGGAGAAACGAAAGACGGCAGCATCGCAGTGGATCAGAAAAAGGCTGCAAAGGACACTCTACTTGCGACAGCTGCAAACCAAAACTACCATCGTTGTTATCGCGGCCTGAAGTATCTAGAGTACTACTGGTCTGGATGCAAATACATATTGACAGTCTTGGATCAGAAGGCCAAGGGCGTAGGCGACCCGCTACTGTACGACCGAGAGGAGATGGAGAGCGCACTTGAAGTGCCTCAGCCCGAAGCTGCTTTTACATCACCTGGTTGGAGGCGGAAGCTATCATGGGGAACATATCTGACGGCACAAGGTCTGGGCGACGTGCCAGCGCTACGCAACAGACCTGGGGGGCTTGCTATGGGCGATGGCATGTCTGCGAAGATGGAATCAAGCCAAGGCAAGCCCACTCCAACAAGTCTAGGGGTTGATGCTAATTGTCCACTAGCAATTGGCTGGTCATTGACTGGCACGATGAATTCTCCTTGCACAAGTCTGGCCGTGTTGTATTCTAGCGACAATCATCCATCAGTCGGCCGCCCCCCTACGGAGAAGGACCACAACCCGCCAGTTGCATCAGATCCACGGTTCAGGAGTATAGCCAGCCCATCACCAAACACCCTCTCAGTCTCTTCGCCACACCTTCCGAGCCGTCCTCCCCGAAACTTTACCAGTCCTACCGCACTACCAGAAATGCCCCCGCCGAATACCTCCACCGCCTTCCAACCACCACCACCCCCAATCCCAAATGAACGACCCTCCATGATGTCGGATGCCGATCTCCTCTTGAACCTGCATTCGCCATACTCGACCGCCTCGCCTCAGCTGAGCAATCCCGGCATGCCTTATATGCCGACCTCGCAGCTGCCTCGAGGCCCAACCTCGGGCGACTTTGCCTCTCCGCAGCCTGGGACAGACCAGTATTCCACCAACGGTCTCCACTACCAGTCCTTCAACTACGGCGACATGATGATTGAGAGTCAGGACATTGATATCAGCGCGCTCAACGACGACGCCATGTCGTGGTTCGAGTACCTCCCGCCCGAGCTGATGGGCATGTACGAGAACAACGGGGGCATGCCGCCTCCCTTTCCGCATTCCGGACACGGGCCCGACACGCCTGGATCCGGGCGTTGAGGCGGCGTGCATCGTCTCAGTTCCACATGGCACATTCATACAACCTCCTTCCTCTTCATCATAATCATACACAAGACAGCTGTTCTCCCCCGCGTCTCCCCAGACTGATATACAACGCAAAACATACCAACCGACCACTCTTTCCTCTGCTGTACATACATTACTTCCCCCAGCCCTCTATAATCTACTCATTGAGCATGTTGTTGTTTCTGTTGCATTTGGATGGTGGCGGTGGGTGCTGGTGGTCGTCGTCGTCGTCGTCCTTTTTTGTGTGCATGCATGACATGGCATTTATTTAGCGAAAAACCGCATACCCCCCTTCTTCTGCTCGTATCAAAATTGTTTGTTTGTGTTGAGTCATCGTGCATTTGCCTCCGCCACCCTGGGAGTGCATGCAATACTGCTTGTTCTGGTTGCTGGTCTTTTGGGCTGCGGTGGGGTGGGAAGAAGGGAAGGGGGTGTTGGGCGGGAGGGGGGAGGTTTGTGGATGTGCGTAGGATACGTATATATATTTTGTGATGTTAATATATATGATATATATATATATATACATGCGCGTTCGTCCCGTCCGTTCGTGCAATATTGCTGTGTTGAACACTTGTTTGCCTATTCTCTACCTCATCCACCTAACTCATCCACTCCCTCATCCACTCCCTCATCCACTCCCTCATCCACTCCCTCATCCACTCCCTCATCCACTCCCTCATCCACTCCCTCATCCACTC